GTTTGCGTAGTGGAGGGCGGTTGGGCTTGGGGGGTTGTTGTGTGGGTAGAGGCCTAGGGCGGATTGGGGGAGTGCTGGGTTGGAGGGGGGTTTGGGGATGGGTTTGGTTGCTGTTGTTGTTGTTGTGGTTTTGGATCTTGTGGATTGTGGGCGGGAGGGTTGTGTCGAGGGGGTGTGGTGGTCGAGGTGGAGGTGTCGGGTTGGTGGTGATGAGGACGACGAGATGCTCAGGGAGGACGAAGTGGTGGTGAATGGCCACGAGTGCGCCGACGGTCGAGGATTGCTGTGGAGTGCGACATCGAGGAAGCGCGTCGCCGCACGATGCGACATTCCAGAGTGTAGAAAAGTCGAAGAACGAGGTTTGGCGTCGCGGGCGGGAGAAGTGAAAGATATAAATATTATATTTCCTACCTGAGATGGATAGCGCCGCGCTCCCACGTGCTGACGTGATCTACGGAGCCACCAACTTTGCGGCGAACCCCATCGACACCCCCGACGCTCCATCAACAACAACACATCATCACTCACACTCGATACAACTCCCCGTCTGACAATGGCATCGGCACACTCCCCGCAACTACGATCTCTCTACAGACGCCTCCTGCGCGAACTCCCCACGAAAGCCAGCCCCTCAAACACCATCCTCTCACATCCATCCCCGATCCAACAACGGATACGGTCTACATTCGCAGCACGCTCCGCCGCCGCCCCAGACGCAGAAACAGCAGCCGTGCCAGAGATCCAAGCCGTAGATCAATTCATCCAGACCCTAAAGGCACAGCGGATGTACGCAACGCTAGTCGAGAGATACAACCCGGGCATGAACATGAACGAGGAAGAACGAGTGCGTCTGACGGCGAGGAAGGTGGGCATGAACCTGCCCATAGAGTTTGTGGACGACAAGAGATGATGTGTTTGAGAGGGTTCTTTGGGGCGAGTCGCGGATACCGTGAGGGACGGAAAGCGAGCAGTAGTTTGGAGGAAATGCTTGCCGTCCGTCGGCTGGCTGAATGGCTCTTAATGCGTTGTCCGGGCACAGCAAGCAGCCATGCGTTTAGGGCTGCATGGATAGACAGACAGACACCCTCCAGATCGGCTCGGAATCGTCCTTGGGCGCGCATCAGCATACAAGAGCGCATAGCGCGGCTAATGCGGCGGCGTCCCTTTCATCGAAGCACAACAAAAACATGTACATGTACATGAGTAGAACAACGACGACGACGGCCGGACTTGCACTGTACATATCACGCAGAAGCATCATAAATCAGCATCTTAGACAACAATATCGTAGACATCTACACTGCTTGCCAATCACTCCAAGTGCACACCTACCCTAACACCCAGCATCACACAAACTCCATCCCATCCCCGTAGACACCATCCCCTCTCACCATACCCCAAACCCACAAACACACACTATCCGACCATACAAGATGTCCGACAGACCCATCAAACCCCCCTCAGCCCTACAAACCCCACAACCCACCCCCCCAGCATCTACGTGTCCATGTCCATCCGCACCCCCCCAGACCGCCAACGCGGCAAATTCACGCCCCAATAACCAAGTCCATCAAAAGCCCTACCACCTCACGCAATCCATACGTGTACGCGCGAAAGAACCGCCCCCCCTTTCCAATCCACAATGACTTAAAAAATTGCGGCACAGTCGCGCCGAGAAAATACCCGCGCCAATCACACACACGCCCCCGACGACGACAAACGGCAGGCTTCTGACTGCGCGGCTGCGAGGTAAGCGCTGCGGCACGGTTGGTTGACTGAGGGGCTAATTAGGGCTGGGTACTTGTTGCGGAGAGAGGGGAGGAGAGAGATGAGGAGAGAGGTGTATGAAGCTTGATTCGTGGATCGGACTGGGGGGTTCATATGAGCAAGCGAGCAAGCGAGAAAGAGAAAGTGAGAAAGTGTGTACGTGTATATGTGTTGAGCTTTTATGAGAGTGAGAGCGTTCAATGGAAGTGTATTCACCGGATCGATATTTCAGCTTCGCAGCGTGGGCGCCGAAACTGTTGACGAAATTTGGTAAGTCTCTTTTCTTTATCTTTTGTCGAGAGTCAGACAGAAGGAGGGGGCAATGGGGAAAGGCCCAACCAAGCACGTGGTAAACTGATGGAGATTTGAAGAGGGCTGATGATGAGAGGCTTAGATGCCGCCGACGTGGTCGTGCCAGTGACTTTCGAGGATATATTTACGCCGGCGACCAAGACGGCCATGAGCACGACGACGACGACGCACGAGGATGATGGGGTGGAGGGAGCGCAGCAGCAACTGGATCCTGAGATTCAGAAAGGTATTGAATATTACTATTGTATTACATGTAGGGCCCACGAGAGTGCTGACGGATTCCATCCAACAAAGCCTTGCCGCTGGAATGCAACATCACAAACACGCAGCATCTGCGGTCATCGCCCACAGCAACATGCTACCGCATCGACGTGTCCACGCCCGATGCCGAGCATCACAGCTACTTCCTCAAGCTTGCCCGCGGCAACACCGGCTGGGAAGCCCTTCGCGGCGAGCACGAGAGCACGCGGCTGATCTACTCGCTGCAACGCGACCTGACTCCCACGCCGATGACGTGGGGAACGCTCATGTCCGATAGGAACACACACTTCTACCTCTGCACATACCACGACTTCCAGCCAGGCCTCGCCCCGGATCCCGAGACTTTCTCCAGACAGCTTGCTGAGCTCCACGTCAAATCCGCATCGCTGGGCGAGCGCAGATTCGGCTTCCATGTCCCGACGTATAATGGCGACATACGACAGCGGAACTCGTGGGAGCGCCGGTGGGAGACGTTTTTTGCGAAAGGCCTGCAGAGCGCATTCGATTTACACAATGAACGTGCCGGTTACGTCGAGGAGCTCGAGGCTGTAGAGCATGATCTGTTCAAGATCGTTGTGCCGAGACTACTGAGACCACTCGAGAGTGATGGACGGAGGATAATGCCAGGACTCATTCATGGAGATCTTTGGCATGAGAATACGGCAGTGGAACGAGGTTCCGGTCGAACTATGATATTTGACGCCGCCAGTTTCTGGGGGCATAACGAATGTAAGTCGTATATGCCGACCATGGGATTTTAGGCTAACTGTGTCATGACCAGATGAGCTGGGATATTGGTTGCCAGAGCACAACAAGTTCGGTGTAGACTACTTCGAAGCCTACCATGAGCTTGTGCCGAGGTCGGAGCCAGTGGAAGATTATGACGACCGGATTAGACTATACGCTCTGTGGGTTCTTACACCTGTCCCAGCTACTTGTGTGCTGATTCTCGCAGGCGTTTCAATCTACATGCTGCAGCGCTCTTTCCTGGCGACCTGAAATACAGAGACATGGTCATCGAAGAGGCGCAGCTGTTGGTCGAAAAGTATACCCCTTAGATGAGGATGTCGACAGCCAGTGGTGGTTTGGGGGCTAGAAATTCGGACTATGATACAGTCATGAGCCTTCCACTGAAGGTAAGGTTTTATGTAATTGCACAATGCAAGTGATGTCGTAAATGTTCCCTGCCAACAGCCTATCGTCGTATGTCGAGCCCTCCAAACGCTCGGTCGAGCTCTTCTCCTTCTCTCGAAGATTGCTGATGCTGCTGCTGCTGTAATGGTCCATTGGTGAAACTCATCACGTTTCCAGCCATGTTCTGCTGTGAGCCTGACTCTAGTCCTTGATCCAAGGCTCCAGACTTCTTCTCAGGAACGAGCATCTTCACATCCTCGTCTAGCCATCCAGGCGCAACTCTCCTCTTCTCCGCCAGTTCCCTCTCTCGGATCCTATCATCCCATGCCTTCACCATATCTTTCGCGTCTTTCTCAAGCTTGTCCAGGTGCGCCTGAAGAGCACGACAGTTGGATATGATGTCGTCTGGATGCGCCGAGTGACCCCCAGCAGACATCACGTAGGCTGGCTTCTGGGACTCTTGGGAGGAGTTTAGAGTTGCGGGATCGTTGGAGCTGGAGTGTGTGTCTAGAGCAGATGGCGGGAGGGTCGATGGAAGCGACTTGTAGGTATACGGAAGAGTCGTAGCCGACGGTAGAGACAGGAATGGCGAGACTGTGAGCGGGAGTTGGGCTAGGAGATGATGCGGATCTGAAGCTGTTAAACAAGTACGCCGGGCAAATTGAGTAGACTCACGCTCGTCATGCATATTCAAGAGACTTCACGGGTGCGATTTGTATACTGGAAAGCCAAAGTAAAGGAGAGCTAAAGTGATGTTGGCAATGATCAATGCTTGATGTCAGTCAATAGTCGCAATACACCACAAATAGTGGGGCATCTGCACGTGACGTCAGGGCACAACTCAGTTCTCCTATCAGAGACCTCGAGTGTCATCATTTCATGGATATATAGCTTTGTCTCTCCGATACATCAATAAATTGCAGCATGCGCCAGTTCAAAACAGAACGAGGTCCTTGTAGTTCATTTAAGCTCAATCAAGCGCAGTCATGGATATGAAGCAGGGAAACCCCTTTTTGCTGAAAAGCGCAAACGCTCAAGGAGACGATCCGAACGAGAAGTACATGAGCATTTTACATGGTGATACCAATCTTTCTCATTTATTGTTGAAGTTGAGTTCAGTCCATGAGAAGTCTCCTATCCATCATGCCTTACCTGCTCCCTATGATTTCCAGAATTCCAACGCACGTGCCGTATTTCCCAAACGGGCGATCTGTGAATATCTCCTCCTTTCCTTCATTCCCATTCCTTTTCCATCTCGCGTGTTGCACCATCTCCAGGGCCGTTGGCAGCTCTAGTCTAAAATATCGGGATATCATGTTTGCTATTCGGCAAGCGACCGGCAAAGGTCTGGGGGTCTTTGCGTCCCAGCAGATTCGCTCCGGCCAACGAATCCTGTCCGATCGCGCCCTGCTTACAATATCTGCCTCAAAAACAGACATTCTTTCACAGGTAACTCTGCTGCCAAAGCTTGATGTAGCTGCTCTCCTTGGACTTTCTCAAAACCCAGCCAAGTCTGGCGTCTTGAGCTGGCTAGAGTCGATATGGCGTAGCAAATCAGCGCCCTCCAACACACGACTCAATCACACAATCCTAAACATCTTTAGAAACAACAACTTTGACATCGGAGACGATGTCCGCGCTTTGTTTCCTCGAGTAGCACGCTTGAACCATTCATGTGTGCCTAATGCGCAGGGAAATTTCAACCGCGCGCTAGACAAGTTCACGGTGCATGCCACGTCCGATATACAGTCTGGAGAGGAGATCACCATTTCGTATCTGGACGATCATCTGGCGCTGAGGGCCAACAGACAGAGCAAGCTCTTAGACAATTATGGCTTCGTCTGCGGCTGTAGGGCATGTGACAAGACTCTACCAGAGTCAGCAGCTCGAGAGGCTAGAAGAGCCAAAGCAATTGACCGACTTGAGAAGTTCGCTCAGTCGGGTCCCGCTGATGCTGGCAAAGAAATGGACGTGGTACTTGCTCTCTTAAACGCGTACCAGGAGGAGGGCATCCGTGGACGAGAGATTGCAACCATGTAAGAACCGCATATCTCCCAATGAGGAATTTTGACGCTCATCATAAGAAAGGTACATGGCAGCGGCATCCCAAGCATCAAAGCTGGGCTTCCAAGAGAAAGCTCGGGAGCTCGCTCTTGCAGGCCTAAAATGTGAAGTAGAGGCTGTTGGGGGTGATAGTCCTTTCTTCGCAGCTACGGAGAAGCAAGCGAAAGATTTAGGGGTTGGCGTAGACATAAACCTATAGAAGGTACATCCTAAGTGAACCCCTTCAGATCAGGAAAGACCAGCGGCAATATCTACTCACGACGACGCCCTCGATTCGACGCCGGAGAACTCTACGACATATCTCATGATATCCTACATATTATTGCTATCTACAGTCTTGCTTACTTTTGACATAATATCCTTCTTTTTTTCCCCGTCGAGACCAAGACAACACCACCATGTGGTCCGCATTGTTTGCTCCACCACAAACTCGACGACCTGTACCCGCCGCTGCACCAGAGGAGCCAATCGTGCAACCACCAATCGTGCAACCACCAATCGTGCAAACAATACTCGTGCCATCAGTCGCCGAGAAACCAGCCCGGGAAGAAATAACAGCCGAGCCACCAAAATCTCCAGGAAAATATATTCCCCCGCAAAGGAGACACCTGGATCAGCCTCCGGTCCAGTACCCTTCCACCGATACCATGTTGTTTGTAGCCGGTTTCACCAGGAATAGCGATGACGCGACGAATGAGAGACACGTTCGCATAATCTTCCGTGGGTTCGAGATGTATGTATCTATCTCCTCTCGCTCTAGCGCAAGGGTTTTACTGATAACTCCCAGTGTTGAAGTAGGGCGACGGATGCGTAGAGGAGCATCCACTTGGCGGACTCCCAGATTTTATTGCTGCGTGACATTTTCGACGGCTGCCGAGGCGAAGCTGGCAAGACGGGCTCTGAATCATAGACGGCGCCTGGGATTTGTTATAAGCGTGGCACCTTGGAGGGAATCAGACCCAGGGAAGCACATGAATCGGCAGTCGGAGTGGCCAGTACTCGTTCAATCTTAACGTTTGAATATCAATGTGACACTCCGGTGAATGCGCGAGATTGTACTTTCGCGTAATAGTGATCTTGTATTTCGGAAGACAGAGCTGTTTTTCAATCCTATCTATGCCATGAGCTGCCACAGAATCAACAATGGTTGCAGCTGCATATAACAGTCCAAAAACCGCTTAGCGTTCTTCATGTACTATGTACACCATGTGGGGTCACTTACGACCAGGTAGCTGGGCTAAATTAGTAAACTAACTACGGAATCCCTGTCGGAATGACACGATCGTCAATCCGACGATGTGAGCTAAAAAATTAAAAGGATCTGATGGATCAGCCCGGGGCCGTAGTACTCAGTCGCACCACTTTAAATATTTCGACCTGCCGTGTTTGTAGGTACTGTACATCCTTCTTACCCTCGCACCTATATATATGTAACGTACTGGTACCCATCTGACGAGTAAGGTTCAAAATACAAAGTCCAACCCCTCGAAATCCAAGAAAAAAAGGGTCGCGACAGCACATCAAGATGCCGATTGCCAAGGAGCATAAGCAATGCGTCGTCAGATCGGCGACAGACCTACAGGAAGTAGAGGGACTATGGTGGCCCTTGATGAAGGAGCTCGGCTGGGTCAGTATTAAATCACGACAAATCCTCTCTCTCTCTCCTTCTCACAACACCCATAAAAAACGAACGTGGAACAAACACCAAAAATAACCATGCATTAGAATCGCGCACTCGCAGATGCCAAGACTCACGTCCACTCCTCCGGTCTCGATGCCTGGCTCATGGCCATTCTGCCAGACGAGGACGGCGACAAGCCAGAAGGCTGCGTCATCCCGTTCACGTACCCGAATTCAACGGGCTGGTTGGGCTTCTTCATCATGAATGCTGCGCAGCGCGGCCATGGCGTCGGACGGGCGCTGTTTGCTGCGGCCCAGGACTACTTCGCCAAGGCCGGGACTCAGTACATTGGTCTCGACGGCGTGGAGGCTCAAGTTGAGACGTATGGCCGGCGGGGCTTTGTGACGACGGATCGCATCGCGTGGATGGTGCGCAGCAACACGAAGGATGTGCCGCTGCCTCAAGGCCAGCTCTCGGAGAGCGAGCGTCTGGTGCCGCTGGAGGAGGTCGATCGTGCGTTGCTGGTGCAGAGCGATCTGGAGCACACGGGATTCGAGCGTCGGCGGCTGTGGTCTGATGAGGGGATGTTTTCACGTGAGGATGTCTCTGGATTTGCAGTCGTAGATTCCAAGAGTCCTGATCGGCCGGTTAAAGGGTGGATCCTGGTTCGTAGCTGCGAAAAGGGCTTTCGCTTCGGGCCAATCTATGCGAACACTAGAGAGACTGCGTCGCTGCTGGTCTATACGGCGACCGAGAGTCTGGAGGCGAGGGAGGGGAGCCTGGTTGCTGAAGTCTGGCGAAGTAACAAGGAAGCCATGTCTGTGATGGAGCACTTTGGCTGGACGTGGTACATGGACTTTCACAGGATGTGGGTGGATGCTCGGGTCCCGGAGGCACAGCGGAAAGGTGGCAAGGCTGAGACAGGGATGTTTGCCATCTTTGACGCAAGTGAAGGATAGGTAATTAATTACAAGTGTATTGAGCCCAGCTCACTGTTTACAACGCACAGACTTTATCAAGAACTACGTCTCTATCCGTATCCACTTCCTGACAAGGTGTATATCATGGAATCTTCTGACACACAGAGCCCAATGTCCCATTCGACGCAGCCAAGCGTCGTGGACACAGCTAACCTACTACCTTCAGCTGATGATGAGCCACTTATAATTGTCGACAAGCTCAAAATTCTCACTCAAATCGTAGGATCCGGAGATTCCGTCGCTGAAGCCACCGATTATGCCGCTGCACCAGACGTCAAGCCTGGAGCAATAGCCAAAGCCTTGGTCGAGATGAAGTATTTGGAACACGCCCAATACGTATACCACAACAAAGGAAACACCCCACCAGCCATCGACTGGGACAACGACCACGCGCCACCCCCAACATCTCCCAGACCACTGCAAACAGCCCGACGTCGCGCAGAGGCACTCAACCTGCTGTACAAAACCACCATAGCAACGCCCGGCCACGCCGTCTGGTGGTCCAAGAATCACAGGGACTGGCTGCCGCTACTGAAAGCGTTTGTCAGAATTGCAGGAGCAGAGAGGAACGCGAGCAGTGGCGTGAGAGGGTTGACGAGCGTGCAGATGGCGGATCTGCGTACTATCAACAAGGCGCTGAGCGTGGCTACGCTGGTTCTGCAGAATGCTGATGCTCGGTTCAGATCGTTGGCTGACGTGCAAAAGGCTGTCTTAGGGAGGGAGGGGGACCGGCTTAGGGGGATGATACGCGGTAGAGAGAAGAGAAAAAGAGGTGTTGATGATGTGGGAGACAAGGGGGGGACAATGAAGATAGGAGGGGACTGTGGCAATGTGCCAGTTATTGGGGGGCATTGGGAATGGGCATGGAGCATCTATGTTTTCTTCTAGCGATGCTTTGGGCAATGAGACTTTTTCGTATATAAATTGGCTTTGCCTAAGGTGACTCTTATTCGCCGAGCTATTGTAGGGGAAAGGGCGATATAAAATTTTTGCAGCAATTCTCTTGGCAGACGTACTTCGACCTTCCGCGGTTGCCCGGTCAAATTATATATATATATCTCTCTCTGGTGGAACAGTGTTGCTGATTGACTCTCTCGCTTGAATATTCTACAAGGATCTAGTCTTGTTCGTAACGTTTGTTTGAAACAGTGATCAGCAGCATCCCCCCTGAATCACTTCCAGCAAGTTCAGAATCGGTAAATTGCTACGGCGTTCCGTGCCATTAGTCACGATCATAACAGTGAGTACTAGCTACTGAGTTTTCGACGTCAACATTAGCTGATTAAGCGAAGCTGTGTTTTCACCGGAGCCGATTATATTTCTCGACCAAAACACCAAAACAACTTCTTCCCACCGCCAACTCCACCGCCCAAAGCCCCAAGCAAAGAGATCCAATAACCTACCAGAATGGATCCAACTCCCAGACTTAAGCTTATATATCCCAAACTCGGCTGTGACTATAAACGTTACAAGCCCAGAGTCTACCCGGAAGTCGCTCGCAAGGGCACCTTCCCCTTCCTCGACCTCTCCGCAGAACTCCGCAACATGATCTACGAGTACAGCCTCACGCGGGAGTCCATCTATCTCACCGGCGTATCAAAGCCCAAGGAGAGACTCCGCGTCGGCCGCGACCCCGAACACCACGACCGAGACGACGCCCTCGCCACAGCCCTCCTGACCGTCTGTCGCCAGATCAGCACCGAAGCCGCCGCCGTCCTCTATAGCAACAACTTCTGCTTCCAGGGCATCAACATGTTCTCCCGCTTCATGGCGGACATCGGCACGCAGATCAGGCTGGTCCAGGACGTTGAGATTGCAATGCAGACGGCCTGCTGGACGCGCAACCTGGCCGTCCCGAAGCTCGCACACGCAGCGAGCCTGCGCCAGGTGCGTATCTCGCGGTTCAAGTTCGTCACGCTGGCCTTCAGGAACATACGCGACCCAGTCAAGACCTGGATCGAGATGGACGGCGACGCCGGCATCTTCCATGACGCTGACGGAACGACGAGATCGTTTGATTGTGGGTCGCGCAGCTTCCTGCGCTCGGTGGGACAGTGGAGGCATAACGAGGACTTTCGACGCCTTGTTTGCGGCTTGAAGGTGTGGGCTCTGCATAATTCGGACAGGGAGAAGGATCCGCATGCTGCGCTCCGCTTGCTGAAGCCGGGTCGTCACCATGGCATCCAGCGGTGGGATCCCAAGTACGGCGCGGTATTCTGGGCGAGCGAGGACGAGCTCCCGGGCATTCTGAAGGCGTTCTTGGAGGAGGCTGGTTTGTAGAGATGGAGACGGTGGCTGGCGGAACAGATACCGACCGGGATCGGGAATAGGAGAAGCTCGAGTACATGGGATATTCGTAGCCAGCGGAGCGGGAGAGGATTAAGCTTCGATTGAAGCACTTGTATTATTACTGCCAATAGCTCACTTAGCTTGGTTACGCGTTGTCTCCCATATTTGAATGACATTGGATTGATAGTGCGTCTGATCTCAGATAACTAAAATGCGCCTGATTTCCTGCACACTTGACGTGTGAGTGGGTATGCTACAATAATATCCCTCCCTCAAAAACCCCTGGACCAAAAGCTGCCCCATGCATTCATTCTAACCACAGTGAACATGTCAAAGATATCCCCAGGCTAGATCCCAGAAATTTGTTGTCTTGCTCAATTACCCCAATTATAGCAGCTACCAGCTTAGAAATTCTCCACTCTCGTTCCAATCCCCCGGTCATCCGCCAGTCTGACCAGCTCGCTCCCCACAACCACATCCATCAAGCCCAGCCCAACACTCTTATACACCACATTCCCGCGATCCAACCACTCCTTCAGCCCCTTCTCCGTCTCATCCATCTCGCCCGTCGGCTCCTCATTCACATCCTTGAAGCGAATATGCTGACTCTTCAGCTCCACGCCCCCGCTGTCCAGACTACTCGTGCTACCATGCTTACTCCCCTGACTAGCCTCCCTGCGCCGCGCCACAGCGTCTCTCTTCAGCATGACAAGCTCGCCGATCTCGACAACCTCGTGCCCGCCCAGCCCAGCCTGGATGACCTCGCCGGCCTCCTTCAGGCAGGCCTCGACGCTGTCGACAATCACGGCGCCGCCGCTCTTGGCGTGCTTGTGGAAGTGGCGGTGGTGGTGTTCGGGCTCGACGGCTTGCTTGAGGATGTCGGGATGCAGCTCGATCATGTGCGGCTTGTAGCTGCCGACGGCGGCGATGTAGCGGCCCCTTTTGCGGCCCTCGGCGTGCGTCAGATAGCCGGGTGGGAACAGAGGGGTGGTGCTGGGCGTGGTGCAGAAGATGACGCTTGCGCCGCGGACGTACGTCTTCAGCAGGCGCGAGTACTCGGTGTGGGTCGGGGTGAGGATGCTGAATTTGGGGTGTGCGAGCGGGGTGTCTTGTTGGTTGTGGCTTGTGATTTCGGGGAAGGAGGCTGGCTCGTGGCCGGGGCGGTAGAGGCGCTCGATGAGGGCGTGGGCGCGCTCAAAGGAGCGGTTTATGATGTTGACGTGGTGGATGTCGGGTCCGCGCAGGAGGAGGGCGAGGCGGATGTGCCAGTAGGCTTGTTTGCCGGCGCCGAAGACGGTGATGTCGTGTACGTTGTGGCGCTTCTTGAAGAGCATCGTGGAGGCCAGGGCAGTGCGGAAGGCAGTGAGTTCTTCGGCGTTGAGAAGGGCGCGTGGGAAGCCGGCGCGGTCCATGAGCGTCAGCGAGCCCCGAGGGGTGGTGGACTGTGTGCTTGATATCGATGTCGGTGGTGTGAAGGAGGAAGAAGAATTTGATGTTTGGATCGAGGTCGTGGAGCTGCGGTCAGTGATGCTGAGGGAGGAGAGGGACGGCGAACTGTCGGATTTAGGGGCACACTGGGCAGTCTCTTCGAGGCTGACGATCTTGACGCCGAGATTGTCATTGCTGGAGGCGGGCATGAAGAGTGTTGTGAAACCGTTTTTACGTGACAGGACGGTGCGCATGGGTTGCATTGACGCGCAGCAGCCGTTTGATTCTTCGTCGGTGGTAGTCGAGTAGTAGTGTAGAGCGTCTGCGAGCGATTGTTGGAGCTCCTGGACATCTTCACGAGTCAAGGAGATGAGTACTTTGCGTACATCATCGTCTGTGAGTACGGTGAGAGGCATCGTGTGCGGTGTAATAGCCTCCTCTGTAGTCGTTGTATACTGGGAATTAGTGTTGCCAGCTCACACAGGCTTTGACGGACAGCGACGGGACGAATGATGTATATGAAGAAAGAAGAAATAGGTATAGAATAGATAATCAAGGTGTTAGTAGTAGATGCATTGCGCTCCATCTACAACGACACGGACTTAGGTGGGAAGTTGTTCGGTGATAGAAGTGAATAACTCCCTCAACCCCACATGCGTCGAGGGGCACAACAGCTCGGCCGCGACCTATGACATAATTCAACCTGCAGGGACCTAAACCATGCGGCCTGCTTATGTAGCACTGCTAAAGAGCTTGGCGATACTGGTTGCTTTCCAACATTTAGAAAGGAAAAACTTACCCAAAGAGCAAAGGTTGTTGGGGGCCAGGTGCACCGGGCCAATCACTGAGAGGCACAGCTGCAGAAGCTTAAGGTGTATTCTGTCACCACTCATATGCTTTACGGACGGACGTCAGAAGTAGAGTTCATCGGCAGACACGTTAACTTTTCTTGTTCATCCGCAGCAAGTACTGACTGCACGGGGTGGGGGTGGTTTGAAACAGCTCAATGTATATTCCAACATCGAGCATCCATTTCCATTCGAACGCCCGCTAATATGCACATGAAGAGCCCTACGTCCGTCCAGACCCGACTTAGATACCCGTTTAGATCTTGATGGCCGACTCAAGCGCCTTGCGCTTCTTTTCCGTTCGTGCGTTGGCCTTGGCACCCATGATACCACCTCCCCAGTGGCGACGGGCCTCCTCGTGCTTGTCTGTGTAGCCCTCCTTGATGGCAGATACGAGCTTCGACAGCTCGGTCTTGTCCTCTGAGCGCACTTCGGTGAGAGCGACAACGGCAGCGGTCTATCTAGTATGAGCAAGATCACGTATCAATAACACTTCCAAACATACCTTCTTGTGGACGACCGTTCCGAGGCGGGCCTTGCCCTTGATGACGGCGTATGGGACACCCATCTTGCGGCAGAGGGCGGGAAGGAAGATGACGAGCTCGATGGGGTCAACATCGTTGGGAATAAGGACCAAGCTGGCCTTCTTGTTCTCAATGAGACCGACGACGTGGTTCAAACCGTACTTGACAGCGTATGGCTTCTTGCTGACGTCCTCCTTCTTCTTGCCGTCGGCGATGGCGGTGGCCTCCTTGGTAAGACGCTCCTTCTTCTCGGCCTTGGTCTCAGGGCGGTACTTGTTGAGGAGCTTGAGGGCTTGTGCGGCAGTGTTGCGGTCGAGAACGTGTTGAAACTGGGCAATCGCTGGGGGGACCTTCAGGCGAAGGTTGAGAATCTTCTTTTGGCGCTGGAGGCGGACGTATTGTGGCCACTTTACCATGCGCGACAAGTTGCGCTTGGGCTGGAGCTCCTGACCGATACCGAAGTTCTTGGGGCGTCTCTCGAGGAGAGGGTTCTAGTTGGCGTCAACACATGCTTCGTGTATAGAGGATGGATATAGATATTCACGTACCTTGGCGGCTTTCTTCTGACCAGCCCTTCCCTGGGGGAAGGGAGCTGGGGCGGCTTTCTTTCCTTTAGGAGGCTATCATTGAGAAAAGAACGTCAGCGAACTTGTCCACTGATTGTTCTAAGTCTCTAAAGAGTAACGAACACCATTGCTGGCGTCGACTCAAGCCATTTCAACATCGACACCAAATGAATGGGTGATGGACTTGCGCCAGAGCATGCGACGTCGCTCAGTGTTACCTGGAGCTTAGTCGCAGAGGCATATGGACAACAAGTAGAAACTCAATTGCATTGTGATGATATGCTTACCATTTTGTCTGGGCCGGAAGTTGTCGACTGGGTGTTGGTTATCGTGGGGATGAAGCTCGGTGGTGAGGATTTTCAATGTGTGTCTCGCTTAGTTTTTGCAGTCACGTGAAGAGCTCGGACCTTCTGCGCGAGCCCGCGAGTATTATGGCCTGAGGCATTACTTAGACCCAACATTGAGAAACTCAGGCTTCACTCGTGCCAAGCTATCTCTTTTCCATCCGCGATTGACGTTGCACAGCATCACTTGCGGATGTTGACAACAAGCCTTGAAATATTCGGTCGATGCGATCAGGGTGGTGATGGGAAGGCGCTCTCACTCGCCCATTTGCTTCTCAAGATACTATCTCACTGAACCGAGACGACAGCTAGACCGTAGAAATCAGTCCCAATCTATTTCTAGCCCTTTCCGGAGTTCAAACGAATGGCCCATCACACTCGGAAGCCCACATGGAAAAACAAGAACAGCCTGAGCCATCGAGACAAAGCAAGGTGACACAACATCTGAGCGACAGCCACACATTCAAGCTAAAGCCCAACATTGTGTATCTGTAAGGCGTCCAGAACTTGCCTAATACAGCGATCAAGTCAATGTTTCTGCAAGAGCCAGGATGCGTGGGTGAGACAGGGACATTCCCAAAGCTGCCGTGTTTGCCGCGTATCTGTCTCGGGGGGTTTTTCTTTAGAAGAGGCAGGTAACTTACCATTGGTCTAGATATGACTAGTCCTATGTGTGCTTCTTCGTCGGCACACGCGAAGGCATGGTCAGATAGTGCTAATATACCACCACTAAGAAGGATGGATAGCTCCGTCCCTACGCATAGCATCGTTAAAGTGCGTATCTGGCCACAAGGACCATAGTATCTCGATCAAGGTATCACAAGTGCCCTCCAAGCAAACAGGACGTATCTTCAACTATCCGCATGTCACACACAAAGCCACGCCAATCTCGGCCCTGCAGCATGAATCGAGATATCCAACCATGCACCAAGTCCCGCACGATACACTGCGCTGAATATACACACTACGCACCAACCCCCAGTACTCACCCCCAAAATCACATAACCCACCAAACCACCAAACTCCCAACCCCTCCCCTACTCATCCCCCCGCCGAACAACCCACACCTCGACACCACTTCAACAACCCCAGGGCATAACATAGCAAGCTCCAAGCAACAACATATACCATCACAGCTGTCTCCCTTGATATCTGCGGACCGGAATAGAAGGCTAGACACCATGCTATCCCCTGGAACGGGGATTTCGTGTGCCGACGTTAGTGGATGTGCTAGGTTTCTGTTGCTATGTCTAGTGTCGGGGTGATTTGGATGGACAGTTGGATGGTCGTTTTTGCTGAGTGGCTGGGTGGGTGAGTGTATGGACTTGGGTCTGTGTGGTGTCTTTGGGGGGTGTTTGTGTTTGTGTTTGTGCTCGGCGCGTGGAATCTATGAGTAGTATCAGCCTCGCTGTTTCATGAGCGCGGAGTAGTAAATTTAATATCGCTTGTCACGCTGATATTGTACGAAAAGAAAGGTATCAGTGTGTATGTTCAGCAATATCAAACATAAATTCGTAACATCATAATAGCGATCCCTGTACTCACATCCCATTCCGCAAGGAAAAAAACACACAGGCCATCTATCCCAGCCATATCCGACAAGGCCGTCTCGGGTATCCACCACTCTCGCCTTGCACCCCCCAACAACGAAAAAATGTATAGGACCCCTTCCAGATAAAATGACTCCAAAACTCGAACCTCACGCTAAGTCTAGACATCAAGCTTGTCCAGCGCCGCCTGCTCGATATGAATCACCGTCTCGCTCTTCTCTCTCACCTCGGGCTCGCCCACAAGCGCATCCGCCACGGAATCAAACACCACGTCCGCACCCTCCGGCACGCCCACCACAAGCACGTCGCGCACATCGACGAGCCGCCACCTCGCCCGCTCAAACTTCCTGCGCAGACTCGCGCCCATGTTCGCGAAGCGCACGCGCACGTCCTTGCCGCCGTACTTGCGCAGCTCGGCCTTGAACTCGCCGAGGGCCAGCACGCCAGTCGTGTCGACGTACGAGACAGCGGCCATGTCCAGCACGACGAGGCGGATGGGCGGCGGGTCAGCCGAGACGGCTGCTTTGGCGCGGAGTTTGCGGATTTTGCGCTCGCCGCTGACGCTCCAGTTGCGGTTTTCTAGGGATGCGCGGATGACGTCTGCGTCGCCGGCGTTGTATGTTTGGACGGTGTCGAGCGTGATGTCTTTGATGCGGTAGGCGTTGGGGAAGAGGATGGCTTGGGAGAAGCGGAAGATGCGGGTGTCGGGCTCGACGGTGATGTCTTCGGGGCCGGCGGGTGGACTGCGGGTCATGATGAGCTTGCTTGGGGACTGGTGCTTGACGGAGGCGAAGGCGTTGCGGAGGAGGGTGTAGACGATGGAGAAGCATACGGCGGAGGCGATGCCATACTCGGTGTTGACGAAGAGGGTTACCCAGAAGGCGAGCATGCTGGCAATGAAGTCTGCGAGTGAGGTTTGCCAGATGAAGTAGAAGGCGGATGCAGGGCCAATGAGAGCCCAGACTGCGGTGATGATGATTGCGGCGAGGGTGGCTTTTGGGATCCAGTACAGTGCTCCGGTGAGCTTGAAGATGCTGAGCAGGACGAATCCAGATGCAATCAAGTGGCTCATTGGCGAGCGTACTCCAGACTCAGAATTGACAGCGGTACGCGACATGGCGCCGCCGACACTCATCACAGGCCAAAAGCTGTTGACAAAGTTGGTGAGTCCGAGATAGACAAGCTCCTGAGATTGGTCAATCACGTAGTTGTTCTTGCGACCAAAGCCTTTGGCAATGGCCAAGTGCTCGAGGGCTCCTGCGAAGAAAGGAGTAACAGCAAGTGGAGCTGCTTTGGCAATCAAGTTAGCATCGACCATTCTTGGCTTGGCGATTCCATCGGCTTTGACCTGCGAAAGGGCCCAGAGGGGGTCCTCGCGGTCCTTGTTGACTCCGTAACTGATACCAGTGAACAGTATGAGGACAATCGCGGCACGAGCGAGTGCAATGTACCAGACGATCTTGCTCTTTTTGCCCCACCTCCTGCCAATCCACTGAAGGCCGACGAGCATGATGATACCGGAAAAACCGATGGCGACAGTCGGTCCGTCAGAATCTCCAAGCTGGGAGAAGACGTCGTGGATGATCTTGGCCGTACCAGTCCGGGTCTTCAGACCGAAGATAGAGCCGACTTGGCCCAGCATGATAACGATGGCGGTGGCAGAGATGAATCCAGTCAGGACAGGAACTGAAATGAAGTTGAGAAGAAAGCCGAGCTTCAGAAGACCCATACCCAGGGCGTAGATGCCCACCATCATAGCAACGGCAGACGATATTTGCTCAGGAGAATAGCCGTCTTCGGACAGTTTGCGAACAGCTTCTGCAGTCAGAAGCCCAAGCAAGGATGTTGGTCCAGTTGATAAGTCTTTCGATGTTCCCATGAAGAAGTATAGTATTCCTGGTAGCCAGCTGGACATGAGGCCGTATTGGCCATCGATCGTTGCAATCTAGCATACTTGTCAGTTCAGCGACTTTTAAACAGATTGTTATGCACAACCTTTGCGTACGCAAGAGATTGAGGGATCAGCATGATGCCAACGGTCAGACCAGCGATGAAATCGTTGATGACCCATTGCGGCCTGTAACGTGGAAGCCACTGAATGACAGGAAGCTTTTCGTAGAGATATTCTCCAGCAACAGATGGGGCAGAGCGGAACCCGGTATTGGCATATCGCCTCGCCTTATCGAGGGTCTCATCATTCCTTAATTCTTTCTTGATTTCGTCTGTCTTCTTGCGGAGTGTCTCTTTGTTAAATCGAGCCATCGTGAACAAAGGCTGCGAAGTAGCAAAGGGGCAACAATGACGAGAAGCGAAGTAAGCAGGGGCTATCCGGTCACGGTGTGGGCATCGTATGAGGCCTTATATCAAACAGCATACTGACAAAGCCAGCCGTTACCCCTCTTGGATTTTAGCTAGAGGCGTACAAGGTGCTGACGCTCGACTAAAGCACTGCAATAATACTACTAGACGACCATCTGGAATGGAACCAGCATTCCAAGCGGGCGAATGAGGCTGTAGTTCATGGCGGCTGTGTCCGCACGAGGCAAACGGTCCGCTGATGGTGGTGGTAGGACGCGGTGCGCTATAGACATAGTGATATCCATGATAGTAATAGAATATGCGGTCGGGATAGGTCAAAGGTGGATGTGTGTGATGAACAGCCCCCTGGCTCCCGATTCGAGCTGTTAGAGTGAAAGACTAACGAAAGCCCGACGGTTATTGCGCATGCGTCGCCACTAGAACCATAATTGGATAGGGCCCGTGAATGCAACTATAGAAAGGTAGAAATGAATGGTTGTTTACCTGCTGCTGAGGCACACCCTGACCGTAGCTGGCAAGGGTATTTGTCGACTCCACAGCGATCAGGGCCCCCAAGAGTAATCTTGGAGGCGTTAAGCTTTCTTGGATTGGGTTAAGCCGTCTCCAAGATGTGCCGTCGGCTGGGCGCCTGAATCAAAACTAGTAGGCGACCTGAATCTTATGTGTGTTCTGGTACTAGCCGTGTGGGCCTTGATCAATTTGCTGGTTATAGTCGGCCCTGGTGCATCTGTCCGCGTCCAAATTGTCCCTATGTTTTGATCCGGCTATAGATGGAAAGTCGACTGTGGCGTGGTATATAGTAAGATCTCTCGCCGGTGGATGATCATGATGATGATAGAAGAGGGGGAGGGGGGAGGTGGAGGGTCGGAAGTAGAGCGGGGTTACTGAGCTGACCTGAGCTGAGCCTGCGAGAACAACCTCACATCCTATCTCACTCACCTTCATTCCGCAGATCTATATCATATATCCGTGCCCGAGACGCCTTGCATATTTCAGGCGAGACGTTCAATCTTCACCAAACAGCATGGCTGCCAATCCATACTGCTTCTCGTAATAAAACATTGGAGTTAGAAGGTATTGAATGGAAACACAGTCTAGTGTCAGGCCAGCTTGTTTCGCCCCTGCCCATGTCATTTTCGTTTTCTTGCGGTTTGGCGTGCGGGGACGGCAGACTCCATCCCCAGCGGACGGATGTTTAGTTGATATTCACTGTTGTGGAGAGACAGGGACTTGCTCGAGTAGTGGCTCTCCTCTATCACCAGTAGGCCCCTACCGACGGAAAGCTCTGGGGCAATGCATTATAGAGCAAAAACCAGTGGCGATGGCGGCGCTCTCGGTCCAGACCAGTAACAAATGCATGCCATTGCGACTCCGAGGCATTTCCTCGTCGGTGAGAAACCGTTGATTCGAGGAGGAGATGATCTCTTCGGTGGCAGATTTCTATATTAAGAACTTCCAGAAACGACAACGACGATAAGAGCGCAGAAGCGCCATGTCTGCCCATGTGCTTTGAACTGGAATGTGACATGTTGCAGGACATTCTGACTAGCTGTCTTTGGGACATGCTAATAGCTGAGAAGATCGGAATCCGGCAATTCCCTAGTGATTACTTTACTGCGTGTGTGTGTGCGTGCTTGCGTGTCCTCTGGATCCATGGATCGGCAGCTTACTCCTACTACCAGCGTGGACGCCCAGGTAGATGTCGTGAAAGTGTGAGTGAGTAGAGCACCAACGCCTCTAGTATTACTTGCTTGATCGAATGATGTACCTATCTCGGACACCAGCTCGCCTTGGCTTGTATATACCAGTGTCGACTGAACCGGGGACACGGAGCGCCACCCGAGCAACCTCTAAAGCTCCTACTGCAGGGAAGCATATAAGCGTAGAAGCAAGCAGTCAGTGGACGGATAAGTCGGCTGCTAGAAGACATGGTCAACAAGTGGGAGACCAATGATTGGAGACTTAGTTGCTAGCTGACGAGGCATGATGCTATCGGCGTTGTCAAACACAGGCACAATTCGATGTATGCCGAGACGACCGTGCAAGCCTCATAAGCAAAAAGACGCGATGACTGATCAGTTGTTATGCCGTGGCTTTCTGCACGCCCTCGTTGTGATGCCATTGTGGAATCGCAAATCCATCCATTAATTAGTGTCGCACCACTCACTCGGAACCAGCATCGCTTACTCAGCTACAAACACACTGCCAGGTGGAAGTCCATGTCCAGGAGAAAAAGTGTTTACGCCGCGGGTGGCATGGTTGCCATCATGAATATCTCGTATCTACGAGCTAACATACGCCTGTATCATGATCCAGAAGAAAGCCAACGAACCCCAAAGGCACCCAAGTATTTACAGAAAGTCAACGACCGCGTAAAAGGCTCAAATCCGCCTTGACCGACTGCAGTATGTCGAATGCCAACTCCAAACTCATGCGAGTTATTCAGATGCCATGCAATATGTTTCCATGCTAATCTCAAGTGAATGTCCTGCCAACGCGCTAAATTTCGCAAAAAACACTGCTTCACACCACCTATCAGATTCTCATACTCTCCGCGCCCTGCGCCTCGCTGGAGTGGCACTTGTTGGCTTCTCCTCACTGGCTGCCTTATCTGCTGCTGACCCGGGCAGGATAACCTTCTTCGGCGCTGCCAACCTGCTTTTGGTTTGCTTTGGTTTTGCAAGTACAGCAGACTTCGTTGCGTCAGCCATCGTAGCTATGACCTGAGTCACAGGTGTAGAGGCTGGGGTCTTTGGACTCGTAGTTGTAGCTTCTGCGCTGGACTTCGTCGTGCGCTTGGATTTTGTGGGCTTTGTCAATCGCTGTTCCTCCTTGCTCACCCTAGCTTGCGACTGCGCCTGCTGTTCTTGAACGGCATCTGGCAAGAAGGATGATACTGTCGTAAGCAGACCTTTGCCCGGCGTACCATTCGATGCACCCAGACCACGTATCCTTCGGACCTTAGGAGTAGATGATGCTTCCGAATCCCTCGATTTACGCTTCCTCGAGTCGCCCGCCGTGCCCGACCCCTGCTCTACAGCCTCTGCAGCCTTCTCGGCAGCTACAAGCGTAGGAACAGGAAGCGCTGCCGTGAGTTGCACCGATTTCCCTTCCGAGTCCTGAAAGTACGCGAGCTGCTCGTCCCAGCGTATATGTCGACCAGGCAGATTCCGGGTCGTTTCATCATCAGAGCTGTGGTATGGCGAATCCAGTGCGGTCTCAGTCTCAAGTTTCTTGAGCCGTGAAAATGCATTCAATGCCGATCCTTTGTTGCGCCGTGTATTATTCCTAGTCAGTAGAGCCAGCTCCTGAGCTTCCGTTTTTTTTGAAGCGACCACAGGTTCCTGGGAAGATGTCCTTATTGAGATACGATTAGGTGTAGGAAGAGTTGAAGGCGGTGGTATGCGAGAGCTGCGGGTCCGGACGCTGCGGCGTGTCGACGGGATAGTTGCGTCGTCGAGCTTCATTGTGTCATCGAGTCTCATGGTGTCGTCCTCCATATCGTCTACATCTTGAGCCAGAAGATCCTTGGCCGAGCGCGAAGATGGCATGTCTTTGACCAGCTTTTTGCGAGGCGAGGGAGAATTAGGGTCTTTATCTTCTAGAGCTTTTCGAGGGGATGCAAGAGCTTGCTTGATCGCATCTGAGTCGCGACGATTGGAGAGGGATTCGCGTTTGTGTATGATATTAGACCGGTTGGCTTTGCTTGCTGCTGCTCGACTGAGAAAATCCTTCAGAATTGCGGTATCAGCATCTAAATCGGTGGTGATGTCGTCGGGAAGTTGTTCCAGTCGCGAAATCACAGTTTCTTCTGCTTTTCTCGGAGATCTCCTGGGGGTGCTCTGAAAAGCTAAGTTCAAATCCAAGTCCAATGTCAGTCCATCCGCAATAGATGCAGCATCAGTACTGCTGGCGATTTCTTCATCTGCTGTCACCGTGTCGTTTGTAGCATCTACACATTCACTGTCTGCACATTGGCTGTCTAATGTGAGCTCGTCAGTTTCGTCCAAAGTCGATACGCTGGCAGCCTCTCCTTCAATGATATATGGCTTGCACACCACGGCGCCGTTCTGTTTCGGAGTGCTGATAGCAGCCTCTGTCTGGGCAAACATCTCTTCTGCGAGCTGGTCTTTGTTCTCAAACACCGCTTTAGCATCTTCTGAAGTCGCACAGGCCTCTCCGCCAAACGTAATTTGGAGAGTGGCCGTCGAATCGGCAGGCGCATCATCTGTGGCGGTTCGGTCTATGATGGTAGACTCGCTTTCTTCTATTTCTTCACTAAGTTCAATTGCGTTTTCTGTTGCAACTTCTTGAACAAGTTCCACTTCTACCTCATTTGCTAGGGTGTCATCCACTTGGGATATACTATGTTCTAAGACGGACGTAGCAACTGGCTCTGGCTTTGGACTCTCATCCATGACGGTTGAAGCGTCTCTTTCGAGGAGTGATAGACCTAGACGAGATTCTTCGTTTTGTTGTTCATCCTTCTGAGGTGGTTCGATGATGCGTTCGACATATTCAACATCTTGCGGGCCATCGATCGGAAGAGTGGTTTCGATAGTTTCATCTTTTACTGTCAGATCAGTGGTGCGAGACCTGTCAGAGCCAAGGATAGAATGTGCTTGGTCATCGGAGCATTCTATGATGTTAACTTGTGCTAAGGAGTTGTCGTCTTCTGTCTCGTCTTCATAGATTGTGCTGAGGCCCTCTACGGGTTCGTCAATGAACATTTCCTGCTCTGAATACGTATGTTGCTCCGAGAGTCGGTCGGGGGCTTGCTCATTGGTCTCGTCGTATTCTTCGTTAGCATCATGTTCTGACGCTTCGACTTCAGGTTCCACATCATCCAACGAGACGAACGATGCTTCAGCAGACGGATCTTGAATAGTGTATCCTTGTGGGCTGACAGAACGTTCCTCGTTAAGAATTGTTTGTGACTGTATTGGAGACGTAGTTACTGGGTCTGAACACGGTTCGCCATCTTCGACTTCATCTCCGTCGCCGTAGGCTTCGAGGGTTTTCGCGACGGGACTCGTAGGTCGCGTGCTCTGCTCTGGAGGTTCGCTATCTTCGACTTCATCTCCGTCTCTGTAGGCTTCGAGGGTTTTCGCGACGGGACTCGTAGGTCGCGTGCTTTGCTCTGGAGGAGGTATATCATGTTCTTGAAGATCTAGTCTCGGTATGACTGTGCTAGTTCTTCGCCGAGCTATACGTCGTTTTCCTTTCTGGAAGTTAGCTCTTAGTGCACAACGCGTTCAGGAAGAAGGTAAGCATACTCGGCGACGCGCCTTTCCTCTCTGTTCGGGTTGCGACCGCAGCGCCCCTCTTGCGCTTGTTATCGAACTGATCAACATCTTCTTTAGCTTCAGCAATTCCTCCCCCCTCAAGGCATTGCTTTTTCACCACGCGGACCGTTCCAAGCTCGAGTCTGTCTCCAGCCTTTGGTTCAGCAATCTGGTGCCGCCTCCATACTTTTTTTCGCCCTTGCCCCTTCTTGAACGGGCTTTGTGGTGTTCTTTCCCATGCTTTGCGTACTTTTGGAATAGGTAGCGTGTTGGGATCGAGGAAATCTGCGGCTGCTGAGGTCTCGAGCCATTGTTTGTCGAGCATGTCGGCGGAGGCGCGCGTACGTGGCGGCGTATGTGGCATAATTAGTTAATCTAGGAATATGGCGAGTGATTGCATATATGACATAGCCGCTCTGGATTCGGGTTCCAGCGTGAACTGGGGGTGGTGCAGAACAGGAGTATTTGACGGTTGTTTGTTTTGACCGACTGGTCGCGGGCTCCAACCAGCCAGGGCGGCCGTGGCTTGAACACGGCTCCGAAGTTCTGCCATAACGATCACAGTTCTGCTGCCACTGGATCAGACTTGAGTTCATACGAACTGCGAATTGACTCTACACTTTTTTGATAACTGTTTGTCACCATGGTGAAAGCGGCGCCAATCTCTGGTGCCAGGTCAATGGCGGCGCGCCCTCTACCCCCTCTGAATAAACTCCGCGTCAAAAAGCCGGATAGGGAAGTAGTAAATCCATGTATCTCAGTCATGTCATCAGTCCTGGGTACGTGATCAGTCCCAAACGGCCCACTGTATGCAACTTGGCCGCTAATTTTAATTATGAAATAGGTTGCTGGGCATCTTCAGGACATGGCATTGCAGGTTGCGCACAAGTAGAGCAACAGCTGAGAGCGTGTATGGACGCACCTGTACGGCGCACCCCTTATTTGCGATTGTCGTATCACCTTGAATGATGCTAATGGATCTCACAGCCTGGCAAAGCACCGAAGAAGAACAACATTAACTGGCACCTCTCGAGAATGTATCCTAAAATCAAAGGACCGCACAAGAAAGGGATCCACGAACACCACTAATGCCTGCAAACTTACTTGCTCGTTCGATCAGCATCAGAGGCCAATCCGACCACCACAGCAATATCTACATCACACAAAATGGCAGTACGACGAATGCTAAGTCATACCATTGTCGGAATATCTGGTGTCTGGCGAAATACGGGCAGAACATATGTGCTCAAATAAACTAGATGTGCAAGATATTGCATCAGAATCGCATTGGGGGAGTTGTGTCTAGGAGCGACACACTGTACAATGTATATATATACTCTCACCGAGAACTTGGTGAAAATGTATCACTCTTTCGCTGATATCTAAGCGCGGAGGCAAGATTCCGAACCATCTAGCTCTACGCGCACAAAATCGCATTGTGTTAGGATTATATATGTACAAGGATAGTCAGTAAACCTTCGTGGGCATCAATCTTCGAAAGGGCGAGAGTCTGTTATCATATCAGTCACTTCGGAGCTTACTAGGACCAAGTGTACTTTAAAGTTCTTATATACAAATAATCGACAGCCCGTAGGCATAGTCTAGATGCTACAAAACGCCCGTTCTGCACCATCATAATCGCATTACGTATCCAATTATGCAGCAACAATACATCCTCCTCTCTACGAGCCAATTTCATGCACCACTGGCTTCGGCGAAGTTTGACCAGTTGGGTTCACTGTTGTCGAATCTAGCTGCTGGATAGAGTCATGCTGTGCAGTAGCTCCGGGCGGAGGACTGCTAGGTTGGGTATATGGTGCCTGTGATCCTCCCCCGAGCTCCGCAGCGCCGGCAGCAGGAGGCGGAGCCTCTGCCCCTGGTGCATTGTAATTGTATTTATAGTCTTGAGTTGGGGGCTGTTTAGATGGATCTTGAGGTTGATAGTAGCCTGCGGTGGCCTGCTGCGCACTAGGGTCGTACGCGGTTTGCTGACCGTAATTTTGCTGAGGGTATGCGCCTTGGGGATACGTGCCCTGGGGTACAGAGGATTGCGGTCCTTGTGGTCCACTCATCGGTGGCGGTTGGTATCCTCCAGCAGCAGCCGGGGCGGCAGCGGCGGCAGCTGCTTTGGACTTCTTCTTGCGGCGCATGAGTAGGAACACAATTCCGGCGACAATGATGGCTAGGCCGGCGACGCCTCCGACAACTCCTCCTGCAATGGCTCCGACGTTTGTGCTACTGCCTTCATTCGAGCTGTTTATGCCGTTGGAAGACGAACCGATAGTAGTCGCGGTATCAGCACTTGAGTCCTCGGCGGACTCTGAAGGGTTGACTGTTATCACTCTGGTTGAGATTGGCACCTCGACTTGGCTAGTGTCAGGTAGCAAAGACTCGCCGCTGGTCGAGTAGTCGACTAGGATCGTGGTGTCGACATTGGAGCAGCCCCACTCTGTCATTGTGGTTGTTCCGAAATCATAGAGGATATTATAACAACCCGTTAGAGACCCAGCTGTACACAGAGCCACATAGCCATTGCTCGCGCAAGCACCAGTGCAGGAAGAGGCCTCCGATGAAGGCACGCAGGTCGTCTTGATGGAGCAAGCATTGAGGCTGTTGGGATTACAGCATCCATGAACGCCGTAGAAACTATTCGTCGCACAAACATAGGAATCGTCGATACAGCTGAAAGTATTTGCTGAAGACCGGTTAGTACGTAGAGAATGTTAACGATAGACCATTCTTACAGGGATCATCGTGGCCGTAGCCACAAGTATTGTCACCCCTCGAGGCTTGACGTTCGAAAATACTGTCCATGCCTCTATACAACAATGGTGGTGATGTAGGAGCTGGACTCCACCCGACTACCTCAGCTCCAGCATCGCCAGTTGCTCGAGGCCCATTCCACGGCACTGCAGAGATCATGACGGGCGCCAGAATGGCAGCAGACATAAATACTCGACCCATACTGACAACCATTGTCTTGCGACGTGTGCGGGGGGCAGTATCAGATTATACTCTGGCTTCCGCAGAGAATTATGACGTGAGATGAAAGAGAAGCTTGGAGAGACGACAACGACGACAAGAAAGGATAACGAACAAACGAGATCTGCAACCGTTGTACAGCAGAGCGGTCAGGGTGGTTCATATTACTCTCATTTTGTACAAACGGGGGCCAGCATTCTGGACCACTCATCCATATTACTGTCGTCGAGGCGGGAACAATGGCCGAGAACGACTAGACTGGCTTCTCCGGGTCGCATCGAAGCTCTAAGCCCCCAAAAAGACATCTGTCAGCGCAGCGGTTGACTCGTTACTGTGCACGTAGCGGTCCATGTTCGATCTGCAAGCCCATTTGAGGAAAGTTCGTCTTTGGTTCTCTCCAATACAATGCAGGCACGCGTGATCGAGCCGGAGATCGCGGCCAATCAAGGCGACGATTGACAGCCATGGCGTAATGTGCAGATTGAAAGGAGTAGCAAATTGTATGAAAAACAACTAAGAGTGCGTATCGGGGCTTGACTCTGCTGACTCTCCGGTGCGGCTGAGAAGGCTTTACCGCATTTGCACTAGCGTCACCGGACTAGCAGATGCGACGTTCCTCTCTATGGCTCTCCGAACCGAGTCCAAGTATGGGCCAAAACCGCCACAAGGCATTCATCCACTTTCAGGCAACCACTACATTGTAGCCATGTCGATCGACCGTTGTGCATAACAGTCCGCGGACTTCTTTTTGATAAACCTGGACTTCTGACGGTTTCAAGAACTCATACACTCATCCTATTGTTCTCTGTACTTTTCCATTCAGACTCATGCTCTACCGTATTCAAGGCGAGCTATATGCGTGTCGTTCAGATCCCACGATCTCAAATCCAGCTTCAGCACCTGCTATTTCATGGACGTTCTACACTCTGAGAAGCTTTTGTCGCTCTGGAAGTGCATGCGCGTCTCATAACCTACGGGCTTCAAAGGCGAAGGCATGCATGAGTGATACATTTCGCAACGAAGGTTAAATCATAGTGCGAAACACCATGTTGTGCTACAGTGGCATCCAGTCAGCGGAAAGCTTTCATCGTCGTACAGTCTCACCACTGAATTTATGTCTGACATAGATATAAAGTCGAATGAGCCTTCTGATAACGCTGCGCTTGACACTAAATACCTTTACTAACAAGGCGACGGAACCCGTTAAATGATTGCAGAATCGAAATGTGAGCAACACCTTTAACGTACATTCTCGAGTATGTTCAGGTGGGTCGCAGCCCGAATCCACCAGACTAGAAGTATCATAAGCACCATACGAAACGCAAGGCGAAGACGGTCTTGTAGGCTTGATCTGGTTTAGTACCATTTTCTTATTCATTTTGGGTACCGATAATATGCGAAGTCTTATACGTGGACCTGGATTAGGCTACAGGACGCATGAAGTCTTGTTGCGTCTGCGTTTCAAAATTGCATCAACTCAAATCATAGTAGCCTAGTTACTAAACAAACAGGAATTGTGGTAGTATAACGGCCCTCCGCAGTTGCTCTTCTCTTATGTATAATACGGGTCCAAATCAAGCAGAACTTCATGTTTTATGATCCTAGGAATGCAGACTGTACAGGCGTATATTTGGCGATAGCCAGTAGAGAGGGCATTTCAATCTTCCGCCCTCCGCCGGTTTGCGACTAGGGCCGTTAGTGGTGCTTTGATTTCTGTTCCAATTGCGCATAACAGAAGGAAGAGTATCGTCTGAGAAATTGAAGATGGTGGGCTAAAATCTGACTAGAAGACTCCCACAGCCGGGCTGTGACGACACATCCCGGTTCAAACGGCGTTCCATAACCAGCACAAGCCTCAAGAGCAGGTCCATGATTGATGACACTGCGTCAATCAGGCGTTTGCTTGTGTGAAAGAATAGAATTGCTGTCTGCAGCGCGCTTCCTAAGCGCTCTGAGCGGCACAGTATACGGCGCATACTGGGCATCTACTCTACGCGCCTGAAAATGCGCATCACAACACCTCACAGCGTTGGTCCATTGTCCTTGAGCTAAAGGACCAACAAACATCCCTTCCGACCCCATGTTTCATTCGCAACCCTCCCAGCTTCGTCACAGCCGCATGTCATCCTCGTATAAGACAACAGTAACCGAAATTTGAAGTCTCACAGTATACATCCTAGCCCGAATGGTAAAAATAGTTACCTTATGCCCCTTCGAGTATGGTCGTACACTGGGGATGTATAGCTTCTGCACGGCGGGCGATTCGCGTGTGCTTGCTCAGCCCTAGCGGCGATTAGATGCGAGTGTTGGAGATCACTCCGTTTCTGGCAGCGACGTCTAGGGCGGTTGGTTTCCCAGGTTCCTGAGAATAAGCCTGACATTTATATAAGACCACAGCAGGACGTTCCGATTACTGTGGCGCGAATATTCATTTGTAACCAGTACCCAGTTCCAGACACCTGTTGTTGATTGCTTTGATCTGAGTCCCCCGGTCTTTTTAAACATTTCCTTGCGAGAGTTCCGATACATGTAAGGCTAATGTTATGGTCGCGTCATTCCGTGCTTAACGTGTATCTTGCAGCATCAATAACGTCTCAAGAGCATTGGACCTTATAAAAACATGGCGCTCGAAGCCCCATACACAAATGCAATGCGACTGGGTGAGTGAGTGAGTGAAAGGGATGAAATCGACAGCGATGTACTCACTTCTCGCGATCATAGGTCAGGGCTTCAATACCTATACTCAAGATATCCGCCTTGACGGCGCTGTCAAAATCACAAACAGATCGTTTCCCATCCGTTCACGCAGAGTCACCGGCGGTCCAGACGTCACGAAGCGCGTCGCACAAATCAATGCTAGAGATGCAAATCCGCCACCTTCACCCCCAGGGACGCCAGATCTCCTTGGACGTAGCGGGAATGCAGAGCGATCTGGGAGCGTACCAGCCATCAGGGAGACACCTGCACCCGACGAGAGGGAAGGTCGAAGACAGTCGACATCCGCCTCTATTATCCTAGGGCCTCCACGCGCCGTGTCACCTTTCACCATGGTCGACTCATCAACACCGCCGCCGATTAGCCAAAGTGTGACGTTTTCGACGCGAGCAATTGAGAACGTGTCAGACATCATGGATGCCCTGAACATCTCGACCGCTATGTCGATTGGGTATGGCACAATCCACGGAAATGGAAGCGCAGCATTTGTAAATGAGAACAAGGTTCTAGACTCCGAGTTGAATTACATTGTTAGTGTGGCCGTGAATAATGACAACACGAGCGTCGACCAGGAGGACATGGAGTTTCAACCGATTGAAGACCTCCCGCCGGACAGGTTTACGGAGGTCTATGGAGACTCTTTTATTAGCGGATTTGAAGAAGGGGGCGTCTTCAATGCCATTATCTCGATTCAAGTGAACGATAAGAGAAAGCTGAGGGAGGTCAAACAGGCTGTGGATGTTCAGTTGGCTGTCGGACCAGTGCCTGTGGATGTTGGTGTAAAAGAGGAGCTCAACAAGTCCCATATAGAAGCCCTGCAGGATACTGAAATCACGATCAGTGTCAATTGGACTGGCGGTGGAGAAGTGAAGAAGCCCGAGGTCCCTTGGACACTTGCTTCTGTTGTAGCAGTTGCCAACGCCTTTCCTTCAATGGTGGCGAGGAGCTGTTCAAAGACACAAGCAATTCTTATGAGATATACGGCGTTGAAGTCATTCCAGCAGTGGAAATGGAAGATGGTAGCAAAAGATCCAGACTGGGCGAAGAAGTTCATTATCCTGAACTACGCCCCTTGCCAATTGTATACGTCGGATCTTTTTGATGCCATGATGTCCTACAAAAAGCTCTGGAAACGGATCTCAGAAAGTGCGTCATGAGCTACACGCTACACAACAAATCTGCTAACGATATGCCAGTCCTGAAGAATCCGTCGAAATTCAAGATACGAGAACCGGAGAAGAAGCCTCAGTACACTTCCAATACTCTTGCAACAGACGACTTCTACGCCCCTAGACTAGAGCGCGGGATACATATCGAAACCTCAATGTCCAACTTATCGCAATCGTCAGAGAAGCTTTCTCCGTGCCAAAAGCGAGCGAAAGGATTCATCGAGCGTAACAACACATTTGAGATTGAAGATAACACAATTGGCGAGAGTTGGGATCTGTACGCCATCAACCATGATCGGTCACCGATACCTGTGGATCCCTTAGCCCTGAACGAGGCAAAGCTCCTATGTCGCGAGGCCATGACACTGATTGTTCAGGAGGCAGCCCGGCTCGTGGACCACCCACACTTGGCATATGCCGAGTTCAATGTCATGACAGGTAAAACTCAGATGAAGCGCCCAGACTTTGCATATCCAGAGGTCCTCCGAATGCGCCTTCCGGTACCTAATGCCAATGATGCGTCTGACGATTCCATGACGCAAGATGCAGCTGCCATCAAGACGCAAGCGTTCTCTCGCGACAACGATCTATATACGCACTTGGTAGGAGATCCACCGCTCGCGCGTCGGACTTACAAGGCATTCACATCTTTGGATCTGAATGAGACTCCGCGCGGCCGTGTGCAAGCCCAAAAGGGGGAAAACACGCTGCGCAAGATATGTTTACACAGCTACCACCATCACAGTCTAGCCTGGAGTTCTTTCGACGCTGATGCTGACGGCGCCATAGGAGCCATCGGCTTCGGTTTCGCTCATGATCCGCCTTCAGACAAGAACTCCAAGGATTGCTTCTTGCACCACTACGGGCATCCATCCGGCGACGCAGAATCCAAATGCAAAGTACTCGACCTAGGGTCCAAGACTGCTTCGACAGAGATTACTCGGATAGATATCTGCTTCGTTCCTGGCACCGGCAGAATTGCTGGAATCGTCTTCTATGATGACTTCGTTGATGCGACGACAGAGAGGCTAGCGATTCGGCAGTGGGGAGCAGCCGGACGAGAGCCGGACGGGCTGCAGGTGGTCACGCAAACACCTCCGGATGACGGGGAAAAGTGGAGATTTGTTGGGGTATGCGGAGAGTTTGATTCGAGCATGTTCGGAGAAGTGCTTGCACGGGTCAGTGGGATATGGAGAAGGGTTTAGGATGGTTCTTGATTCTTCCATGGATATGTTGATTCTTGGGTATGGTGTCGGGGTTCGGCGTGGCGTTATTAGTATAAAGGCAGAATACCCAGATAAATCGTTTGTTCTTGATATCAGGCACGCCATTTTCTACTGTGTTGATAATGTCTATTATAGGTAAACATGATATGATAAGTTAATGCCTCATTGTTATCAGAAATTCGGATGGATGACCGAAAAGCCTGGTCGCCACGGTCTGATTCTTCCCCGCTTAGCGTCATGACCCTTCACCATGAATCCATGCCCGCTCCACCAGACTCTATTATCTCGATATCAACACTAGTCTTCTCAAAGATACCCCTTAACTATCCCAGGTGATAAGGATACATACTCCACCCCAGAGGCAAAGTCTGACTGTTCGCATTGCTGTTCGATCAACGCGCGTCTTGACACGTCAACCGACGAATGACCTCCGCGACCTCAACTTCAATACCTCCCGCATCAAGTATTCTGCCTGGAGGATATCTGCAATACTTCTGTGCGAGCCAAAGTTGTATAAGACTCTCCTCAGCCAGCAAGGCTCACGAGAATTCAAGATGTCCATAAAGTAGGTTAATTCTCAGCATCGCTGATCAAGGCAAGCAGTGTTCCTGCTGACGTAGGCCTTTCGGGATGAAGCTCTCTGGATACATCTTTACTGACACTATTTGCCTCTACAGCTGGGTAATGCTCTCGGATGCACAGAACTTTACACCTCTACCAAACGAAGAAACACTCTACAAGTCTCCACCGCGGACAACCCTCTCTCTACAAACGTTGAACAAGTACCCTGGCAGGGAGCCATTTCACGTCACAAGCTCCAGCGGTACGATACATCTCACAAATCGACGTGTAAGAATTTCAAACCCTTCTCTACATGAATTATTTCACTAAATCTTCTCAGGTCGTGTATCTTCCCCAGACCCCCTCACCTACCCTTCAGTCCTTCGCCGCGCCCATCCTCAATCTACATGACACACACGTTGACTCGCCTTGGTTTGGTCCCAACACTTGGACAGCACTCGTACAGCCGGTCGCTGGTGGCAACATACCACCTCAACACGCTGCACTCGAGTTAAAAATAACTTTCAAAGAAGGCGGCGCATTTGACTTCAGCGCACGGTTTGAAAGAGTCAAGGAGCGCCTACAACAAGCCGTGGAAGTGGCGCGTGAGTCCGGACACGCAGCAGGAGACGGCTCTGAGACTGGAAGAGGACTTGGTGGTGGTGCTTTGGCAGGGGTGAATCTTGATGCTGTGCATCTAGATGAGCTGCCAGCTTACGAGCCAGGGAGTGGTGTACCTGTACCTCCAGAACAGGTTGTAGAGCAACAAGAAGCCATGAGACGAGACAGCGAGATACTATCCGGGTCGACAGGTCCTAATTCTCCTAGAGTTCCCGCGGCACCGTTCACACCTCCTGCGGAACCACCACCCGGGTACGAGGAGGCACAGATGGACAGCGTTGCGGACGAGCTAGAGCGAAGACTGCGGAGGGATGGATAATATAGCACTGATGGTGCTACTTCTTGCGTTCGAGAACATGATATCAGGGATATGGGCATATACAAGGCGTCAAAGGCTACTCAGGAGGATACCACCAACACCTTTCAGTATTTTGAGACGATTCGAGCGTGTATTCTACTATACGACCAGATGCCCCAGGCATCATTGCATGAAAATGAAAAGTCTCGAACATGTGAAGATCTGCGGGGTCTGAATTGCATGTGAAGATACGTCACGCGAGTTCCCGCGCTACCCCGGCCACTAGACGGATTAGGAAGATGCCTCGGTCCCTCGTTGTCATCATTGTCTATGCTTAAGAAGCCGAGTTAACATATTTCTCTCTCGGACCTCACTTCTAGCCTCCTTCGAGCCATCATTCTTCTCACGACTTCGTCCTCCTTGCACCGGACTCTACACACCACGATGGCCAACCAGACAGGAAGAAACTCATCGGGTATGTTGTTCTCTAGAGCGGTGGTGATCTCACTGCTCTATGTAGGCTACAACTAGATAGAGAATAAAAACTGATTTGGAACAGCTCAAAATCGGCTTGCGCAGGTCGGAGAGCACCTTCAGAGCTCCGGACCAAAGGGAAAGAGTGCGCTGCTCGAGAAGCATGCCGACGATGTAAGTACTATCCATATAGGACATCTGGAGTGCGGAGCGGCAAAAGCTCTAATATAGCAGCCATGGTGTATTGAGGAGGCTTCAACAGCCTCGAAGCTTGGAAGAAACAGTGCTGACATCTTGTTAGATCGTCGTGACAGCGGCGCTCCGCTCCGCAATCACCAGGGGTCGCAAGGGCGGTTTCAAGGACACTATGCCTGCCGATATCCTCACTGGTGTCTTCAAATCTCTCATCGAACGCTCCAAGATTGACCCCAGTCTCGTCGAAGATATTGCCGTCGGTACCGTGCTGGCTCCAGGAGGTGGCGCGACTGAGTTCAGGGCCGCTGCGATCGCAGCAGGCTTCCCAGTCTCGGCTGCGGTCAAGAGCTTGAACAGGCAATGCTCAAGTGGTCTTCAGGCCTGTGTAGACGTCGCGAACGCCATCAAGGCGGGCATGATTGACGTCGGTATTGGTGCCGGTGTGGAGAGCATGACTCTACAATACGGGTGAGTCTACATCCGGGCTCCTCATGAAGCCTGAATCAAGTAGCTGATACATACATGTTTCTAGTCCTACTGCCGTGACAGAGTTCTCTGACGCTCTTGAAGAAGTCGAAGAATCTGCCAACTGCAAAGTCCCCATGGGCGTCCTTTCCGAAGACATGGCTAAGGACAAGGGTATCTCGCGTGCCTCGCAAGACGAGTTCGCCGCGCACTCCTTCCAGAAAGCAGTCAAGGCCCAAAAAGCCGGTCTCTTCAAGGAGGAGATCGCACCTCTGACCGTCAAGTGGACAGACCCCAAGACCGAGGAGGAGAAGGAGATTGTCGTAGACAAAGACGACGGTATTCGCGAGGGCATCACGCCCGAGAGTCTCGGCAAGATCAAGGCCGCGTTTGCAGCAGACGGCACAATTCACGCCGGTAACGCATCACAAGTCAGCGATGGCGCTGCCGCCGTATTACTCATGAAGCGCTCCACCGCACAGAAGCTCGGGCAGCCCATCATCGGCAAATTCGTCAACGCAAGCGTTGTGGGCGTACCGCCACTTCTCATGGGCGTGGGCCCAGCAGCCGCTATCCCACCTGTCTTGGCCAAGACCGGTCTTGACAAGAACGACGTCGACATCTACGAGATCAACGAGGCGTTTGCGTCACAGTGCTTGTTTTGCATCAACGAGTTAGGCTTGGACCAGGCGAAGATTAACCCCAAGGGTGGCGCAATTGCGTTTGGACACCCGTTGGGTTGCACGGGCGCGCGGCAGGTCAGCACACTGCTCAATGAGCTGAGGAGGACGAAGCAGAGCATTGGTGTTACTAGTATGTGTGTTGGTACGGGCATGGGTATGGCCGCGGTATGGGTTGCGGAATAGAGACTGGCTGTGTGAGTGTGGTGTATTGTACGAGTCTTCTGGTATATAGGTTTTGTATAGACGGTTTGCTACAAGTTCCATGAACTTTCTCATCTTCTGAGAACAGCGTCGTCTCCTCCTCAGTGCATCACAGGACTCCTTTTTACAATCACACCAGTCAGCGAGATTGATCCTCCAGCTATACTCCTGTCCATGACATCCCGTCACTGTAGCTCTCCATCCTCGTCAACAACTCCAAACATCCGCACACTCACTTGGACATGTGTGTGACCCACAGCCCATACTCCGGACGAAACCTCTCGCACCGAAACGAAAACCAAAAAACTTCGGAGGTACAAACAATTCCACAGACCTACCACTGGCTGTGTATATATCACTATCCGCCATACATCCAGCCCAGTCAATAGACCTACCCTACTCGTAGGCCCAGATGTAGAGAACGCCGGGCGTATCCGACCGTATACAGATAGAGAAGTTATATGTATATGAACATTCCCATTGTGCTTTTCAATCTTACGAATACTTGGACACACGAAAGAAAATATATCTTACTCAGACTCCTAGCCTGGGTATGAAGTCTGCTTGGCTTGTTGAATGACAATACATGGTATTGAACAAGGAATAAGACAGACTTGAGCATTGTGTGGGTGAGGAACGGGTTATGTCATAGTTGAAGAAAATGATTTGCTGTGTAGAGCCTTACGAGTGTGTTGTTTAGTGGTATTGGGTTCACGCATTGAGATCTGCTGATTATAGGATACAGGGATGTGTGTCGGCAGGCTCTATATAGAGAGGTATACTATTGTCTTCTTGTTTCTGTCACGGCTTTCTATATGTAGGGCACTTATTATGGCTTATTCTAGACAAACATAGCTACGTATATGTGAAGTTCACAGGTCATGGCTTTATTTTCGTACGGTATGGGACCCATGAGAATCGCCAGTCCTAGCGAAGCACTACTGCTACAGTTCTGGGATGGTAATACCCATCATGTGCGAAGTGATAGAAACAGTGCTGCTCATCATCACGATTGCAATTTTTCTACCACTGAGTCCGTTGTCTGTCCCCTTTGCCAACTCTTACGTCTCAGAATAACTTCAATTGCATTCTTACTCGAATACAGATTTATCTGACATGGGGCTGCTGGGTCTGTTTTGAAACATGTGGTGGATGTTCGCATAGAGGGTCGAGATTGAGAAAGAGTTTCGCGGTCTGCCCTGGAAGAGCTTTTGCGAGATTAAGACCTGGGAATGGCGTTTGCTATATATGATGGGTGCTGCAAGCTCTGGAATTAAAAGGAATCATAATGTATACTATTCTTTGTAGATGTGAGCGGCAAGTGCCACTGAGGCTGGCTGATGTACAGACCTCAAGCAAAAACCGACTACTTCCATCCAGAACTCATCTATAACCGTGCAATGTTTGAAGCGCAAGACTAATATTCAGGAGAGCGCTGAATTATCTTATCTCGTCATGATTCGTAGGTAATATTGCTATAAATGAAGACTTCCCAAGTTCCGTGGTGCTAGCGAGGGTATGTGGAAAAGAGAAGAACATGATGGCCTGAGCAGGTGTGAGATCCAAGCTCGAAAAGTGTTCCGAGGCAATAAAAAAAAAGGAGACAGGGAAAGACAAATGGGTTGCTGCTGATGCGAGAAATCGCCATATATGTTCAGAGACAGGCCACTTCAGGGAAGCATGTACGTAAAGATTCAGTCAGCCAGCTACTATGTCAAGCAAAAACTAAACTCAGTCCGGTCAGCCGAAAATGAGGCCATATTCGCCGTCCCCGTAAGCATCCAATTGCCTGGCTGTAGAGGTCTTGGTTGGCGAAGTCCAGACTTTGACGACCATGCCACGGCCGTTGTACCCTAGAGTCTGCCTTTAGTTGAAATCTTCTGGATGAACTTATATGACTGAACACAGTACTCACTACAGCCTTCTGACACTTCATGAGTTGTGTTGAAGTAACCACGTTCAAAGTGGTGCGCAAAGTACCAATTGACTTGGTTTGCATGGACCGAGAATGCAAGCAGGCCCAGAATCAGAGGAAGGTCACCATTCATTCCCCCATAATAGTCTGGGGGTAGCACATCATAGTCGCGTGGGAGATGCCCGGCGGGCAGAAGCTTCTCGACCCATCTTTGGTGTAGTCTACGGCCGCGAAGCCGATTGTGAGCGCTTCCGTATGTCGCTGTTGATGCACATGTGGTCTCATCGTGTTCGAAAGTCATGATCTGCCAACTAGTTTCAGGGCCGTCGTGACGGGCGATAGACATGGTCCTTATCGGGGTGCCCCAGTAACTGTCCAATCCATCACCTACTTGGTGATCGATTGCATCGTAATTCACAATCCAGAAGTAGCCTGAATGGTAGTAGATAGAAAAAGTCTTGTACTCCATGGCATCGCGCGGGAGTCCATCGGTCTTCAATGAGACGCCATCGCAGTAGAAGACCAAGCTATCCTCCCCAGAAGAAATGTTTCCGCCAGATGGTCTGGGGGGAGTCCAGTGTCCTCGTGAATCAGTGTTAGGCCTATGATCGGGAGCCTCTCGCATTCCACGTATCCAGAAGTAATAAGAGGGCTGAGCAATGGTCAATTGGCATTTCGCAGGAGGACAGTAAGGGGCACATACTGCCATTACACTAGTTTGTACCACGAGCAGATTTGAGCCTGACACAGGGATTCGGCAAATAAGGAGCTCTGGTCAGAGCTACGGTGTCCATTATCCGGTAAGTCTTGACGAGCTTTATGCCTGGGAAGCCAGCTATGCGGCTCAACAGCTTCCAATCAATAGGCGCCCAGAATGCTACTGGAGGGGTTAAGTATGGAATCCATCTTGAGAGGAGACTTGTGACCAGATTCATGACGTGGAGTATGAGAGAGACGACGGATCATCCAATGCACTGGAAGGGTGCGATAAAGGTAGATCGCTTCACTGGACGCACCAAGCCAGTGCAAGGATAACATCGGGTGTTGCGCTGAATATAGTCCAATACTTGATTGTCCTTGATGCAGACCCCGCAGTGTTGCAATATGTGGCACACCCTTGGTATCGCGTCTAACAGAGAAAGAAGCCTGTGTCCCATCCTTTGCGTTGTCATCGACAGAAGAGGTCCGCTAAAGTCGCCAGGCTTTCAAGTAGGAGACTCGTCGTGGAGATATCGCTGGATGGAGGTGAAGTGAGAGCCATGTTGAGCCCTTTTAGGCGCGCGGTTCCAAATGGGCATCGGTAGTTGGGCTGTGTTTTCTCGTGCTGGAGTTCACTGCGTGCAGACTACATATCTTAGCGGCGCTGCTAGCAATGGCCAGCATTGAGTGGAACGGTTGCGAAGACAGATCCGTCCTTCCGCGAAAGTGGCAAATTCTTGCTAGAGACTGGGAAGCTCGTATTTGGAGGCTGTCCTGATGTATAGACAGATGATGATCAGACGATATGGTGGATGTATCGTCGGCAGACGAACGGCCGTTTCAGACAGTATTGAAACCTGCCTGGAAATTTCACATGTCTCGTGCCTGTTTCCAAGATGTCAATGACTATGAATTGATTCTTGATGTTCGAATTGGGCCGAAGTCGCTAAAGACGCGTAAGGCTGATCATCGCTGGTCTGGTGCAGGGAATGCAGAATACTTAGCAAGCCTTTCGTCGGCTAACACCGATAAGATGTTGCCAGCCCACAGACCGAGGGTCTTTGGAACGTATTATGAGACTAAACATGAGATGTAGGACCTCCTGAAAGAGCACAGGATGTGCGTTCTCTTTATACTTACTCGCGTCTACTGCCTCGAGCGATAAGACTGACGACACAGCCATTGAGCGCAAAGGAGGCCTCAGTCGTAGCACGACACTAGAACAAGGCAACCATCTTCCCGGTCCCAGGCTCACCGGACGCATTAGAGGAGCGCCAGCGATCGATGCGCTTGATTCAGTCTCACTCTAATATCCACTGCCAATGCACCCTCAGAGAGACCAGCTACGACTCGTGATCACACAAGCCGATAAGCAAAGAAGCAGAGACGAACGGACCTCAAAAGCTTTGTACTGTTGACCGTTGTTTGCGAACGCCAGGATAGATTCATCCCAGATCGTGACTGAACGCGCATAAGCATCGTAAGATGATCAAAGGGACAAGAGCGGAGTAGGAGATGCGCTGTTGAATGCGGCGGATGCATAGTGGAGACCTCTGGCCCAGTCATGGACGGCTTTTTGATCACCAAGAACAAAAATTGCTGTCAAGACCCCGCCAAACGCAGCAAGACCTGGCTTGAATCCCAGCATGTTCCATGACATGCGCGATGTCCGACTGGTGATGACGAAAGTGTACGTATCAGGAGATCTTCGCCGTGATAGTCGTGCATGGCCTAACTAGAGTCATTCCAAGGGCTCGTACGAGCCACAACTGGGTGAAGTTGGCACAGAGCCAAGCTACCGCGTAGCTAGACGGGCCGAAATTCCACTGGACGAACGACTGTTCTGGTCAGCATAAAACCGTCTATCAATCATCCTACAATGTGCCTGGGTGCTACGGCATCTTTCTGAGCATCATACTTTACTTGCCTTTGACCAGCAATAGGCCAATTTCACAACGCTAGTGACGACCTCGCAGCTTTTCCAGTCGTTCCGCGATCTTAGAGGATGGACTCGATTCTACGCTGCGCTCATTCATCGGTCTTGGGGGCCACTCGATGTAACCAACCGATCGACCAGCCGGAACACCAAGCTCTCTAAGTCGGCCGTGAGAAGGCACGTGAGCGAGCCTTTACGCCCTTGACGATGAACCATGTGGATAGACGCCTTTGGCAGATCGAAGATTCTACGAGGAGCCGAAAATGATCGAAGATCAACCACAACTACCGTAGTTCCAACTCATCGTGTTGCCGAAAGGCCGGCCATGGACAGCGAGAACTTACAGACGTCAAGAAATGTTGCTACCATCTATTAGACGGTCCATGTCCTCGAAACGTGTCCATGCCGGGTGACAGCTGGACGGGACGACTCGACTCTGGCCAAGAACATGACTGAGCTCTCAGACCTCAGAGTCGGCTTCGTAATCAAGGACCAACAGCTTGTCTTATCTGAATGTCACTCTTGTAACGATGGAAGAAGCCTGATAGCGGATACGATACTGGGAAACGCCACATGGCTTCTCCGACGATGGATTTATGATCAGAGATGCTACATCGTAAGCAGATGAGAGAGGAGCAGCTGAAGAGGAGGAGAAGGAGGGAGACCAGGGAGAGTCGTACATTTAAAGACTACGGCCCCAGTAACTAGCATTATTAGTCTCGAATGTCCGGGAACAACTTTTGGCTCTTGGTGCCCTACTTGTAAGGTTATTTTGTTTGCCTGGTTTCTTGGCATATATATCAGTCACGTGCTACGCTAGCACTTCTAGAACATCTTTGTGCGAAAATTATAACCATCTCGATATACGGCGAAGAAGTCAGATCAGGGTAAATCAGTGAACTTGACAATCAGTTTACTACAGCACGACTGTTCAAACCATAATCATGTCTCTCACTAAGCCCACGCATACAATAATATTGGACGCTGGTCCTATAATCAAGAATGAGCCCTCGGTGTCCACACTTCTCGCTTCGTCAGAGGCTCTGGTCACAAGTCCCACAGTCATTGCAGAAATTCGGGACGCGACCACCCGAGCTCGAGTCGAAACTTTATTGAAGCCATTCTTGACCCTGCGGCAACCAAAGCCGAGCAGTCTGCAGTTCGTGGCACAATTTGCACGAAAAACTGGTGATTATGCTGTGTTGAGCAAGACCGATCTGGAGCTCATAGCTCTCGCTTACGACATAGAGTGTGAACGCAATGACGGCGACTGGAGACTCCGAAATACTCCAGGGCAGAAACAGCTCAATGGCTCGCCGCCTCGGCAGAAAATGACCAGTGATTTGAGCTCCAACGAAGTGAAAGCAGTGGGCACAGAGAACGCATATCCAGTGGCGGACTCTCAGTCTGACGAGCAAGTGGGAGAAGACGATACCACAAATGCCAATGCGGAGGCGAATAGTGGAAATTCTGACGCAACTGATGCACTCGCACAGAATACTGCTGATTTAGCGATCTCAAGTCTCACGACAAATCCAGTAGCTGAAGTTCCAGAGTCCATGGTTGCGGACACGTCGAATGACCCAACAGGCCAGGTTGAAGAAAATACGCCAACCACAGAAGAGTCAGAAGATCAAGCAAGCGAAGACTCTGGCTCCGAAGGTTGGATCACGCCCGCAAACTTCAAAAAGCACCAGGCCAAGGAAGCAAACGCCGGAGCATCGGAAGAGACCCCTCAAAAAACGCTCCAAGCCGCAATAATAACCACAGATTTCCCAATGCAAAATGTCATACTTCAAATGAATCTCAACCTCCTCTCAGGCTCTCTTCAGCGTGTCCGCAACATTCGCAGCTTCGTACTTCGTTGCCACGCATGCTTTGGCACCACGAAAGACATGACGAAGCAATTTTGCCCCAGATGTGGCAAGCCAACTCTCACAAAGGTCACGTGTACAACCAACTCGAAAGGCGAATACCAGCTTCACCTCAAAAAGAACTTCCAGTGGAACAAGCGAGGAGACCGGTATAGCATACCCAAAGCTGTGCATGGTGCCGCGCATGGACGAGTTAAAGGTGGTGGAAAGGGTTCGTGGGGCAATGAACTACTCCTGGCAGAAGATCAGAAGGAATACTCGCGCGCAGTGACGCTGGAGAAACGGCAGAAGCAGCGCGATCTCATGGACGATGATCTGCTGCCTTCAATTCTTACTGGGCAAAGGAATAACCCTACTGGGCGCCCGAGAGTTGGGGCTGGCAGGAACGTGAATTCTAAAAAAAGGAATTAGGTACTCAATCGCTGGAGATGAACAAAAGAACGCCCCGTATTTGAAGGGCAAAGCAATTCTATACAATAATCGATACAACTGTGCGAACGAGGTGCTATACACGATGAGAACCTGTCTAAGCATTGCAGGAAACTCATACGTATGGTTAAGGAGTCTCAGATCGCCTGTGCCGTACCAGAACTCGCTCTCGTGTGAAAATTCGTCTTGAGGAGACATGCATGCTATATTGGCCCAAAAAGAAATTCCCAGAAACTGCGGCGACGGATCTCACGATACTACCTATCCAAAGTATCTAGAGCTCTTGAAACTACCCCAACGAACAATATACCACTATCCGCCTCCTTTGCAAATTCCATCCCTCCCCTAACCAGCCAACGCACGACGTCTAACCCGCCCAACCGCACCCCCATAAGCCAGCACAGCACCATTCAACCTATCAATCATATCCAAAGTAAACGCATGCGTCTCCTCCGCCCGCGTCGGATTGAACACAAGCACGGCACTCTCGAAGTTCTACACAGCGTAAGCCCTCGTCCCTTCTTCAAACACCGATCTACAGAGTTCCGCCACGTACGATGACACTCCGTCTGAAGCTCTCCAGTCCCGAAACCACCCGTCCGCCGAGTCGGATAGCTCTGAATAGTCCGGCGTGTCTGTTCAGCGTGGCCATGACTCGGCCCTGGTTGCTCATATACTGAGGCTGGGTTAGCAAAGTGGTGCGCGAGAGAGGGGGGCTGAGAGCTGAGAGATGGGTGCTTACAATGCGATATCTAGTGGTTACGGTGTCTGAGTTTGTGCCGGTGGGCAGAGGTGGTGCATCGCGGATCTGGGAAGTGTAAATGTCCATGCTGGCGACTAGGCTTTCGAAGGCTTCTAAGGTATCCTTAGGATGTTAATATGTTAAAAATCTCCAAACTTGTGACATGCATGGCATACGTAAAGATGTCCTCTGTCCGTGAACAGCGCAGGGCCATCGAGAAATGTGATTGCATCGGCTGAGGCTTGCTGTGTTGCCGTCTTGGAAATCAGAGCATCCAGGTCTTGAATGAACTGGGTGGCGACAGAGGGGTCCTCAGGGGGCGGAAACTGCGACATAATTGACACCGCGAAGACAGCGATGAGAGTCGCGATAGCTTGGAGTATGTAAAGCATCTTTGGAAAACGCTTGAGCATGCAGCATTAGAGGAAGAAAAGATGAGGATTACTTCACATTATAAAGTATTGGTGTCTCTCATAAGACAAACCCAACAACCTTCAGGATGTATGATTACTTGACGAAAATTATTGAGCGTAACTCCCGAAGGCTCAAATTTCGTGTTCATTGCACCAAAGTCGTCGCCCCATCTCCTGCTGGATTGGGGATTGGCATCTGTCGAGGCTTTATCTGGACATCGTTGTGGTATCCCGATGTGGTACGAAAGCAAGCCCGTGGCACGAATTATCTGGCGCTCGTGACACAGTGGTCAAATGGTGATAGCGACGAGAATTGTATAGTGTTATATTGCTCTTTCCGACATCCTGTATGCGCCACCATTGCTCTCCCACGAAGATTCGCCTAACGCCATGTCCACTTTCCTCCCAGCCCGCTTTTCCCTTTATTGACCCAGCACTCGCTTGTCCTCTGCACCTAAATTAGTAAAAATTCCGTTCGCGTCGAGTTGGAAGACATACTCTGCTGGGTTATGAGGAGACCATATCGCTTCTTGAGAGTCACTCGGTGTCTAAAAATGCACGCGTCAGCTTGCATACGGCTGATGGGTAGGTGCTTCCACATACCTTGAGTACTTGTCATCGGGCGAGAATCTTGCGGGATGTGCGGATTTTGCGACTTGGCTGCCGATAACTTTTTTCAGGGTGTAGATGCGCTTGCCCTCGGCGTCGAGGGTGTACATGAGATGCATTCTGAGCAGCAATTAGCATTGGGCCGCAGAGATATGAGTGGCGATCCGTACTTGGAGTTCTGGGTGGTAGGAGTTGATAGATGAAGGGGTTTGTTGCTGCGTCCGAAGTCTTGAAGTGTGCGCGACTCTAGATTTGAAGCTCGAGAAAATTCATAGACCAGTGGACCGCCGACGTGCATCCCGCAGCTTGGCACTCCTGGCGTCACGCTAAGCCGTTTTTATCTCATAATTCCGAGATACCTTATCATATAACAGGCCGGGTCTGAATGATGAGGACTGTAGCTACATCATATAGGGGCCAAAGTATGCAACTATTGGTAGCCTTCTTCATAGACGCTGTTCGTTGTCCCGTCGAGTGTACTCGCTGAATTTATGGTTGAAAGTAAGAAGAGAATAGCATTGCATCACAGTCAAATTGGGCTTAGAATTAATCAAAGTTACGTACTAATACCGGAGTCGCTCTGGAACCGGATATTGGGTATAAACCCAGACCAGCGAGTAGACAACGCCAACATGACATTCCTCGAGACTCATGGTGCAAAAGGGACAATATCTGGAATAGTAATATCAAAACTCATTGACCTGACTGCTACAGCACGCCAAACCTATGCTGCCAAAGTACACTCAACCAAAGACGCCGAGAATGACCTCCCCTCCCCAAATGCCCTGTCATTCAGAAACCCCCTCTATCCAAATCGTAAATCTGTCACTTTACAGCAGCCCTTTGCGCGCAAGCTCAATCTTCCTCGCAACCTCACCAGCCTTCCACCCGCCCTTACTCGCACAAACCGCAATGCCCTCACCCAGCTCGACCTTATCCTCATTCGCAGGAAACGCACACGGGCAGTGGTGCGGGAAGTGAACACAGCTGAGCGTGCCGGGGCAGAGATATTTGTCGCAACTTGCTATTGAAGACAACACCCGCGTTAGCACAGAACACATCTACATGTACACAGACGGTAAAGATAGGATCGCATCTGAGCGCGGCGTGCGGGGCCTTTTTCTTTCATGGCAGTACATACCGGCTTCGTATTGTTGTTGGTACCAAACACTATCGCTCCTCACGTTCTGGTGCTGTTGGTGCTGCTGCTGTGGGCCCTGGCCTCCGCCATTGAACATCTGGTCGAAGAATCCGAATTGGGCGTTTGCTTGGGCGGGTAGGAGCGCGAGGCTGAAGATCAGCATTAGGAGGTCGAGGATCGTCATGGAGGTTTCAGTCGCCATATTAGGAGAGTTATGGAAAGATTTATTAGGGCTGAAGAGGGTCGAGACGAGGGAGCGCCTGCGAAGATGGGTGCTGCGCAGCGACTATAGCGATTTGACTCTTCGAAAAGGAGTGACTTTGGTCAGGAGATGAGCGGCAAGGCTGTGGGATTGTTATGTGTACTGAAGGTGGATGCGGGATCGATCGATGAGAGATCGTCGCTGCGGACGGCCTCGGTGGTCTTGTGCGCCATGGTTTCATGTTTCCAGCTGGCCTTTTGAGTTTGCAGCCTTGGTGCCTGAGAACGCTTCCGCTTATGATTCAGATAGCTTTTGCCGCTTTCAACTTTCGATCTGACATCTTTGTCACAGTCATTAGATGGATCTGCTCGTGTCGTAAGGCGATACAACCAAGGGACTTCTAAAAACTGATCTCCGACATCACGAAGCCGCTGACGTATGTATTGCTCACATGAAGGACAAGGCCTGCCGATCTCATTCATATAATGCACTCGTAAGTCGTGACCTTAGATTCACCAGTATCACCTTTTCAGATACTTGTATTGATACAACTGCGGATTTCCCAGCCCGCATTCATCTCTCCCCCATTCGTGCATTAACGCCTTTGTCATGCTATGCCGATCCTTGAGCGCAGCTTGCAGCCTCTCCCGCCACTTCTGTTCCCGTTCACGCATGAATGCTTGTATCCTCTCATCGAATGCACTGTTGACAGCTTCATTATCCTCCTTGAAAGCGACAAGTTCAGCTCTGGCAGTCGCGGCGTCTGCTCGAGCGGCCGCCGTGGCTTCCTGCTGTGCCTGGAGAGCAGTACGTATGGCAATGAGAGCTTCGCTGCCATCTTGATGTTCAGTCTGGTCATGAATCCTATATACTGGTTGTACCCGAGTGTCGGTTGGCTCTATCTTGAGCTGTGCAAGCTCCTCATTGGCAGCAGCCAACTCCTGTCGTGCTCGGTTCTTATCTGTCCGTTCGATTTCGAGCATTTCTCCAAGCTGCTTGATGCCATTTTCGGCCTTGGTGCGCAAAGAGTCCATGGCCGTCTTGTGCTTGATGTGCTTCTCCGCGGTCTCAGCATTCAGTTCATTGATCTCATTCTGAAGTTCTCGCTGCTTCTCGAGAAGCTTTGCGCGCTCTTCCTCCCAGTCAGCAGTATGGTGGAACAGCTTCGAGCGAATTTTCTCGAGTACCGCCTGTTCTTCCCTCCTCGCATCACGACTTTCATTTGCTTCATCCCGGGCTATTCTTATTTCATTACGCATCTGATCGAGTTGTAGACGAAGGCTCGTCAATCCACTTTCCATATCAGCTACCTTGGTTTGAGACAGGTTGTAAAGCTCGTGCGCGTGCAAGCGCTGTTGTTTCTGTTGCGAGACGTCCTGTTCTTTCAGGAGGACTTGCTTCCGCATGTCTTCGAGCTGACCTATCGTTGTCTTCAGACGTGCCTCAAGCTCTGCAATTCGGGCCTGGGCAACGGGCTCTTTCTCAATCTCTGTAGAGCTAAGAAAGGAGACTTCTTTCGTAGCGTCGTTTTGATTGAACTGGGTTTGGGCAAGCTGTAGTTGTTCTTCTAGAGCAGAGATCTTGGCTTTTGAACCCGACTTTTCTTGTTCTAATTCTTGATACAGACTAGCCTTGACATTGTCAAGATTGATATCAGCAGCGGCACTATTTCTCTCGAGCTCTCTGCGAAGCCTAGCTATCTCTGCCTGATAGGCTTCCAGTTTCGAATTGAGGTCATCTGCTTGACGTTCCCTTTCTTCAGTCAGCGCCGAGCGCCTTGATTCTTCTATTGCATATCTTTCTGCTATCGAATCCTCGATCTTCTTCTGTAACGAAGCTATGCGATCGTCTCGAGAAGTCGAAGCACGGTCATATTCTTCCTTTTGCTGTCTGAGCTCGTTCGTATGAGAGATACGCAACTCCTCGCTCTTCCGCGCAAAGTAAGTTCGATCGGCCGCTGACTGCATTTCGAGGGTTTTTATCTTGCTGTTCATATCGTTCTTTTCTTTTAAGTGCGCGGCCTCCAAATCTGTCTTCTCCTTGAGCGCAGTCTCCTTCAAGACAGCTAACTGATCTGCCCATTCCGAATTTGCCCGTTGTAGACTTCTTTCGTGCTCACTGCGTACTGTAGAGAGCTCACGAATATACCCTTCATTTGTGCTCTGGGATCGTTTTAGTTCGTCGGATGTGAAAGCAAGCGTCTCCTGCAGTTTTCGTATTATGTTATTGGACTCTGATGTCTGACGGAGGAGCTGTTCCTGAAGATCTGTGAGAGTCGGTGTCTGAGACGGCAAAGGTGAGGGTTGCTGAGGCGACAGAGGTTTGTGAGATGAGCGGGACGGATGGCTGGGCTTGTGAGGTGTTGTGTCTACATCTTCTACGGTCGGCTGTAAGGACCGTACCGATTTTGCTTTGTTGGATGCGACTATGGGCCGGGGCGACTCCACGTGTATTGCAGGGACATCAGCTTCTGGTAAAGCATCCAAGTATGAGAGGACCCTCTCTTGGTTCTCCATAGAAGACGCCGTAGACTGTCGATCATCATCATCCTGGTCATCATCGGGATGTTGATTCTGCTGCTGCGCATGTTGCTCTTGGCCCTGAGTGTGCTGTTCCTCTATCTCGCTACTGTCGATATACTCCTCTAGATCCTCTGCAACTTCGGTGTTGCTGATCCTCTCCGGCATCGTGACAGTAGGTGCAAGACTGTCCCTCAAGCTTCCTTCTCTTAACGGTGCGCGCATCCAGAAATCCATGTTCTGTGTGAAGTCTGTTGGGCCATCGATGTCCTCACTACGTATCGCATCCAAAGGTTCGACTTTAGGCAAGTCTGCAAAAGAAGATGCGTCGGATCCCGGACCTCGCAGCGCGTCGAAGTCGATGGAGTACTTTGTCCTGTGTGTCGAGGCAGAGGCACGCCTTCGATGCCCGTTGCCCAGCGACGCCATGATTCACAATCTGGAACGTGGAGCGAATGGACTATATGTTTGCGGAAAACTGTGCGATAAGACTATACGACGGCGTAGGAAGGTCGATTGCGGATGTGAAGACGCGAAGCGCGCGCTGGTTGCATGTTGACGACATACCGCATTCGACTTAGCGCGTTGCACGGACTATTCCAATATCGCCATGTTTTTTCATCACACAGAACACATCGTTCATTCCGCAACCAATCTCTATATTGGTCACGAGCATATGAATGTGCAATATGGTATCAATAATTCTGCCTTGCCATGAAAACATACTCCACAACGACTAAACACAGCAACCGCGGAAAGAGGGTATTTCTGGTACATCAGACAATTGCTAAGTCTCTCGTTTCGCCATATCCGTTGTAACAAACGCCTCTTAGATTCCACATAGTCATGCTCTCCTGTACATTTCCAGCATTATCTGTAGCTCGACTGAAAAGTCTTTGCGACTTGCCCTTCTCCATGCTTATCCTCGTCTTCCATAGTGTCCACGCCCACTTTCCTTTGTGTTCGTCATCACTCAACAGCTCTGCCTCAACCCAGTGGATTCCTTCATCGGCAGTTACCTCAACCTTGACCACTGGTCCTGATTCGCCGCTTGGTAGAGCATAGCCTGACACTTCGATACAGCCGTCTGATCCAAGCTCGGTGATGCTCCCTGGCTGGGGAACAGCAATGACGGAGTTGACAGGCATTTCCTCCAATGCAGGTACATTCGCCCACATGTTTTCCGCGGCCTGAGCGCTATCGATATGTGGCGGCAGAATCTTGTAGTCGTGTTGTTGATAGAAGTTCTTCGACTCTGTCGCTTGTACGGTTATTCGATCGAGCCACTTCACCGACCGAGCTCCGGCAACGCCTGGCACCACGACTCGCACGGGGAAGCCATGATTGGGCTTTAGAACCTCTGCATTCATCTGTCGCTACTGTTAGCCTAGATCCACACAGTCTTGCTGCCTCACCACACCTACTCAGCGAGGATACACATACCTTTAGTGCCAAAACAACCTCAGCATCTGCCCTCATCGCCCTATCCAGCGGTATGCTCCCACCATACCAATCGTCCTCCTGTACCTTCACTTGAAAACAAGCAAATGCAACATGTGTCTCCTTCCATCTGCTCTCCTCGATGTCAATCCCGGCATGCACAAGCACATCCTTAAGCAACGGGCCCTCCCATTTACAGTTCATGACAGCACCATCATACCAGTCCACGCCCTGCACCTCCTTGATCTGAGTCCGCATAGTATGTCGTCTGTTCCCTGCACACTGTAAGGCACAAACAACCTCATGTTGCGTCAGCGTCTTGAGATCATCAACGGACAGTGAAAGCTGCCTCTTCACTGCCCCGTCGACTTGCACAATGTGCTTCGAGGCGTCGAGATGCGGGATCGGGCTGAGCATGTCAGCCGCGCTATGTTAATTCGACATGATATCCTCGTACCCATGGTTGCGATCATAGCCATTCTTAGTAGTTAAGAAGCTCGACACAAGATCTTTGAGCGGTGGCTCACGGTTCAGCGGCTCGTCAACAGAGTATTCTGTTTGTAGATCGCTCATTTCACGAGACACTTTGCCGCAACAGGAAATCGCATAAGAATATACCTAGCTATTGTGAGAGGCTTGGTGATAGCTCCTCAGAGCTCTCTTGTGCATGCGGCTGATTATAGGGCAATATAAGCAGGTAGCTCGGGTAACGACGTCATCCCGCAAGTGAAACAGTGAAAACAACCTTGGGACTCTTCACAGCACGTGTGGCGTACAACATACTATAAGTCCTCCAGTGTCTACACTTCCGTTCGACCAGAATGTCTTTCAACCTCAACTAGAGTAGCATTCGCTGACCTTTTCTCTGAGCCACACTATGGCTGTGCATATCTTGTATTGCTAGAAAAAGAATAGAAGCCGCCTACTGTACTGCTGGAATGCGATCGTGGCTTTAAGGCTTTTTGCACTGGATTCCAGTAGTGATTAAGAGGTTGCAGTCTGATAGGCCGGACTTTTCAGGCTGTATGTCTACCTGTCTAAGAGTTTGCTCTGCATGGCCAGGATTCCTCCATGACCTCGATGATTGTCGATACGAAACCCCCGGAGATAGCGTACTTACTGGAAAGTACGCAACTTCTTGGAGGGTCTCGGGCATAGATATGTTGAATGGCATGAATGGGCAGGAGTCACAATAATGGGTGTTGCTGCTTCCGTGGCCGGTGGAGGGTAGAATGAGAGGGATGTAACGAAAGGTCTTGTGAGGCTTTTTGCTCTCCATATGAAAGGTTGGATCCATTGCTGTACCGCACAGCAGGTAATTTCTGATGGTGAGCAAGTGCAAAAGACGAAAGGATGTACTGGGTTCGGCCACGTCCAATCGGAACCTACAGGCGGGATGACCGAGTGAACAGTGGTAGCGTATGATCGGTCGCCCAGATACTATTATCAAATGTTCTTTAAGGCTGACCAATGGAGTCCAGGAGGCGACAGACATGAAGTGGGAGTATTCGGGCAGCCAGCCTGCATAAATGCGGGGCATAGACTGTCACTTGTAGGTCTAAACACACAATGTTTCAGGTGCCAGATGTGGCTGTTCGTCCGAACGTCTAGAAACAGGCCATGTGCGAAGTGTCGGAGATATATTAGTAGAGAGAGTAGAGTTAAACATCCAGAAGATTTGTTTCTATCTTTGTTTAGAGCATTGAAACATCTAGTAAGGATGTGTTCGGCCCTGCTCATTTCATTACATACGTACAGCATGCATGTTTCTAGCTGATGCCATGCAATAAATAGGACGGAGGATGTTCGTTACAACCATATTATCGAAGAGAGATTGCCGAACTTGGAACTGATCCTGTAGATGCAAAGGCCACTGCTTTGAGGCGTATGGTCAGAACATATGGATATGTCAACTTATGTCTCAAAGCCCGGGAGCGATTAACATTGTTTATCATCGTATGTTCCTACTGAGCGAAACCTGCTGCAAGTCCACGTGCTGAGGGATTATTTAGCCCTGTGGATCGGCTGGTCCGTGGATTCATGCAAAGATCAAGGTGAGAGTTGTCGTGGTAGCCCGAGGAGATGGATTATGGGAGAGTATGTCACCTCGTCATGGCGTCACAGGCTCTACCAGTGAGAGACATGGAAGGCTTCTCTAAAGAATTCCTTCTTTGCGTATGGTGTAACACTAGGGCTGGTATCAGCGTAGTCAGAACAAAAAGCCAGGGCCAGCGTCCCCTTATCGCCAGCCCACAAGCCCCGCCAGCCACTCAACTTTAGCCGTGGGGGCCCCTGAAAATCTCGTGCTTCTTGATGGCATGGAAGGCCTGATCGTTATGCCCTCCACACACAAACTTGAGCCTCATCCAGTCCCTATTCCCGTTACGGCTATTGATACCACCTCTCAGCCCACATGTGTCATGACTTCTCCTTCTCCCCTCCCTACTACTACAATGCTACTACTACAGTACTACGAAGGGAGCTCGAGCCAACCTAGACTGTGGAGAAAGTAGAAAGTTTAGAAACGTCTCGACTTGTCTTCCCTGATCGAAGCTTGCTTTCAATGCCCGAGCGGTAGGACAGCATGTCTGCCAATGGATATATATCTTGATGAGATGCCCTGCATGTAGCACTTTTTTCTTCTCTCGCTATCGCTGAGTCGACACCAAATATCACTTTCCTTTCGCATATCATTTGCATTTTGCTTCGCGTGCCTGTGGCATCGCGTGCTTTCATTGACATCGTCGTCTTCCACCCTATTCTGAGCACACACTCTCATTCCGTGTACTTTGCCACTCACTCAATCTACTTGCAAACTCTCCAGCTGTTGATTGTCTGGCCTGTGATTCACTCTCTACGTGGGTCTGTGTTGTGTCTAGGTATGTAGCTCGCCATCACTACACTGCTCAACAATCACTCGCACCGAGTCTCGATTGTAATGCCCCACTTTTCGCATAAAGTCTTAAATCTATTGAGAGACGCGGTGGCAACAATAGCATACTATTTTCTATTGACTTTGCCTTACACTGCTGCGTCCTGCGCCTGAATATATCAAGGCCGACTCTTCCAATTTTTTACAATCCTCGAAACTAATCTCTTGTATAGATCGTGTTCCAGACGACCATTTTTGCAGTCTTTAACTACCAATCGATAGCCGGCCTATCGATCTCTCAGCAAAGCAAGCTCAGCAGTTGGAATCTACCATTTCAACATGTTCACGTCTTCACTCGCATCATGCCTGGCCCTCGCCCTGCTCAGCACGGCAAACGCCCATATGGTCATGTCCAATCCCAAGCCCCCTAACTTCGGGGTTCTTCGAAACGCTCCCATGACGAGCAATATCTGGCCTTGTAAGATCGGTGAAACGACGAAAGTTGAAGGTCAGGCCCCTATAATCTATGCCTTCGATGATCCATCGTACGGCGCCGTCACCAAAGCGCAAGCTGGAAAGTCGATGGAAGTCGAATTCACTGGCAGCGCTGTCCATGGTGGTGGATCTTGCCAGTTCAGTGTCAACTATGGGGACACTCCAAGCAAGAACGTAGAGGATTGGAAAGTAATTCACACCATCCTAGGTGGCTGTCCAGCCCAACATGAGGGAAATCTAGATGAAGGAGGAAATGATAAGCGGGGGCACGCGAAGGGTCTGACCTGTAAGAACGCAGGTCAAGACAAGAGTACCGGTACAAATTGTGTACGGGCCTTTGACATCCCGATTCCCAAGGACATCCAAAACGGCAAGGCTTTCTTTGCATGGACATGGTTCAACCATATCGGCAATCGCGAGATGTACATGAACTGTGCCCCTATTCAGATTACTGGTGGAAAGGATGATTCATCCGGAGTCTCAAAGCTTCCCACCTTGTTTGCTGCTAATATGGGTGGTGCACCAGGCACTTGTAACACCGGTGAGGGGATCCTCTCTATCCCTGACAAACACATAGGACAGTCTGTAGTGAACAACCTCAAGTCTGTCGACGAAGCTAGCATCGGTAACTGTGGCAAAGCTGGCACTGGCCATGGTAACGCTGGTGGATATGGAGGGGATGCTTCTGCCCCCTCGTCTCCTGCATCCGTTCCATCATCTGCTGCGTATTCCGAGGGCGACAAGCCTGCGCCAACTCCATCGCCACCCGCAAAGAACCCTCCGACAGCTCCAACGCCCGGAAAAAACCCGCCAGCAGCCCCGGCGTCATACGAGAAGAGCCCTCCAGTAGCTCCTTCGCCCGCAGAGGACACTCCAGCACCCCCCTCATCATCCAAGGAGAACCCTCCGGCTTTGTCGCCGGCCAAGGATAACACCACCGAAGTACCCTCGGACGGCTACTCTCCCGCCTCGTCACCGGCCAAGGACAACGCTACCGAAGTTCCTTCAGACAGCTACGCTCCCGTGGGAAGCGGCCCTGCGTCTTCGAGCAATGGTGTCCCTTGCAAGCCAGATGGCGCCATTATATGCATCTCGGATACCCAATGGGGTACGTGCAATCACGGATTTGCCGTGCCTCAAGCTGTCTCCGCCGGGACTGTCTGTAGCGGTACTGCCATCAAAGCCCTTGCCAAGTCGAAACGTCACAGCATCCACCACCTACGCTCTCATCCCCGCTCTTTCATATGAGATCCAGCTCTTGACAAACCGGCAGCGTTAGCATTACAGGCTTGATAGCCGATCGCACTGAGTGCAGTCTGTTTAGGACAAGCGAGTCTTCTGGAACTTGAGAGAAGGCTGGCACTCAGGTGGGAGCGTTTGTATTGCTCTGGATGGCATTTTGGCATGATTGTACATTGAGTGTTCTGCAAGACTTCGACTGCTCGAATCGACTTTTGCTTCGCTCCTTTTTCGTGTGGACATACTTCTCTTCTTCTGATCTACATGCCTTAAGTAGTCATGCCGATTATCTCTTCAACTCTCCTGTACATGCCACTGGCATTCAGATACATCTGTGCAAGCCGCAGATAGAAAATGAATACACGCCAAGAAGCGGACTACAGCTTTAAAACCTAACTGTGCTGTGAATCTTTTAAGTTGCGCGCATGTCCGCCACCTGCCAAATATGAATTCGTTGTAATAGAGTAAGACTGCCAAAGTCCCAATGTGAAGCAGTGAAGCCTAATTCCAATGATATTCCAGAGCAATATCTGAAAAGTGCGTCTCCTGATAGAAAGTAGCTCCACTGGAAAGGCGCGGGGCAATTCCGCCGCGCCGCAGAATCTCATCATGTCTTCTCTCGCAGATGAATTACTCTCAATCAATTCAATCTATGGTGAAAATACGCTCGAGCTTGAATCTGCAGCACTTTCAGATCCAAACAACGCGCCGTCGATTTGCATCCTTCGTCTCCCCACTCCTCCCTCAATCACACTCCGCCTCGAGTTCCCTCCCAACTATCCAGACGCTCCACCATCAATCCTCGGCACGCAGAGTGTAGGTCATGACATACGCAAAGGCTTTGGCAACGAAGTCGTGAACGTCGTCAGAGACACTCTAGCGAAAGTCTACGAGCCCGGCGCGCCATGCATCTTCGACCTACTAGAAGATGTTGGCGAGGCCATTGCACAACAAGAGGAGCGAAGGCCCGAACAACACTTAGAAGAGCACAACGTGGGCGATGAAGACAATGAGGAAGGGCAAACGACGAAGAAAGATTGCTTTACACAGCAACCTTCGTCCATGCTAGACCATGAGCCTCTCTGGACACTTTCCGACCCGATAAACGAGAAGAAGTCACTATTCCTCGCGTGGGTCGCGCCCGTAAGCTCAACTGCCCAAGCACACGCCTACGTCTCGCATCTTGTCTCCACGGACAAGAAAGTCGCCAAGGCAACCCATAATATCACGGCGTGGCGGATAGAGGGTGGAAATGGCGCTGTCTTTCAGGACTGCGATGACGATGGCGAGACTGCTGCTGGGGGTCGACTTCTGCATCTTTTGCAGATCATGGATGTCTGGAATGTTATGGTTGTAGTGAGTAGGTGGTATGGTGGGATTAAGCTGGGTCCTGATCGCTTCCGACTTATCAATCAGGTCGCGAGGAATGGCTTGTTGAAGGCAGGGTTTGTGAAAGAAGAGAAGGAAGCAGGATCGAAGAAGGGTAAAAAATGAGCATGAATGCTGGAGTGGATACAAATAGTCTCATGCTCAGCTGGAATGCGTTCCTGGGCTTCTATGTTTATGCTTAGATTCAAGCGTCATCGAATCTTTAGAATTGTGAGATACCTCAGTCTGCCAATCTGGTATTCAGAGCTGTATTAGGCCTAGTATATAAGTAGGGGTCCTTCCTTACAACTTACAACCTCCAACCTCTCAAACCACCCACCCAAGCTGCAGCCTACATTCACAGTCCAAGCTTCGAGTCATGGATGGCACTAAGCCCTTACGGGCCAGCCAGGGTCTAGTCACGTGCCACTAATTTTCCTCTGACTATATAACCGCGTGCCCCTCGCGTCTCTTTTCAATCTCTATCTAAGTTTGTCTTCCCTCTCTCGACTGCTTGCTTGACTTGCTAACAACATCTCAGGTGCAGTGGCGTTACGCATAGCAGTGAAGATTCGTCTGAGCTTGCGTTTTTGCTAGTTGAAAACTACTTTAACTGACTGCTCCTGTTGGTCTTCGTGATCGGCAGGGAATTTTTGGAACCTTCTTTTTATGTGAGAATCACACCTCGCAAACCTTTTTTTCATTGATCGTTTGGCCATTGTGCTGATCATCAGGGAAGAGAGTATCCCTTGTTCCTTACCTTTCGTTCTGCTTATATCGTCGGAAAGACCCTCGAGCGTCCTCTCATCGTATCGTTGACGTGAGACTCGGAAAGTGTGGAAGGGCCTGCGTCTTACGTGTGACACTTCTTGAGCGTCTCTCCCAGCCAGCATCATGGCGAAAACAAAGACAGTCCTGATCACTGGAGGTCAGTCTCTATCTTAGAGCCATGTCGACGCGTTGCTAACCTTTGAAGCCACTGGCTTACTTGGTCGTGAGGTACGACGGATTTTTGACGAGAGAGGTTGGGCTGCTTTAGGCACCGGCCTCACAAGAGCCTCACCTCCCTCCGTGCTCAAGCTCGACATTACAGATCAAGATGAGATCGAGACTGTTTTGAAAGAAACCAGGTATGTTCACACATCGTCGATACACAGCTATAGCGTCGAACCTGACATTATCACCTCAGACCTGAAGTTATCGTGCACTGTACGCAACTCCACGCAAAGCGAACTTCCATCTTACTTCACATTAACCTTGATTACACTTCTCGAGACTTGCATATCGCTCATACATCATAGGCGCTGCCAACAGATACCCCGATAAATGCGCTGCCGATCCCACTGCTGCTCGAGCATTGAACGTTACTGCCACCGCAAACCTGGCGAACTCTGCCCGACATTGCGGAGCCTTCTTCCTCTACATATCCACCGACTACGTCTTTTCTGGCCGCCCAGGTGAAGCTCCATACCAAGTAGACGCTGTCACCGGCCCTACCAACGAATACGGTAAAACAAAGCTTGAAGGAGAAAGGGCAGTTAAAGAGGCAGTATCACACGGTGCGAATGCCGCAATTTTGCGAGTCCCTGTTCTCTATGGTACGAGCCCAGAAGACGACGCTTCACAGAGCGCTGTCAACTCCTTGATTCCATTAGTGTACAAGGCAGGCAGCATGACCCAAGAGCCAGCCAGCATTAAAGTGGATGATTACGCGCAGCGGTTTCCCACGAATACTGCAGATGTAGCCCGCATTTGTGTCGATATCGCTGAGTTATACACAACGACGGAAAAGACAGAGAAGGAATTACCGCACCTCCTACATTTCTCAGGCGAGGAACAGTTCACAAAGTGGCAGATGTGCCAGAAGTTTGCCGAAATACTAGGCCTCCCACTTGACGGTATGGTGCCTGATAGACCAGAAGAGGGCGTTGGTGTGCAGCGGCCATACGACTGTCACCTCGATACTAGCTCGTTGAAAGACCTTGGTATTGACGTGAGCTGTGTCACATTCGAGACATGGTGGTATGTCAGACCTGATACTTTTAAACTGACTAGCTGACCGCGAATAGGCGACGTGAACTTCGTGCCTTCCGTCACTAGTGACGATGCGATATTGCTTACACTGAGTGATCGTCGCACACTGTGAACGCGTGCAAAAGACAATCCGACAACGATTGATGGCTCAAAAGGCCCGGTATATCGCTTCGGAAGGATGTCTGAATGGAGAGCCCCGGTAGTGTATTCGTTCCATATAAACATTCCATTTCCTAGATCGACCATCGTCGTCTCGTATAGCAGTACTCTGCAAGGAGCGACAAGGGCGATCGCTCTGGAGCGTCACTACTTTGACTCCAAACCGCCCAATACTATCGTATAGCATGCTTCTGCTGTGCTTGAGACTCTTTGCAATCAATCTCGCACGAACTTCTCAATCCACTCTCGTATATCAGCCAAGCCCTTCGAACTGACAATACCTATCTGCTCTCCTCTGCTCCAAGGTTCAACGTCTCCACCGCTCCTACCATGCGCAACTACTCAAATCTTTTGTTCTGGCTCGTATCAACGTCGTCTACTGTTTGCGTCGTCATTATGATCTACTCACTGAGAACGCGCTAGTGATGATCTGATATATGGCATTGGATGTGTGAAGTCTTTGCCCGCTGCAACTGCCAAATCAGACATTGAACATATGATATACTTAAATATCTTGTTGCGGTCGTCGACTACATTCAATACATATACATATATAGTGCGTGGCTTGAACTTGGGGTCATTAATTAGTGCTGCCCCGCATCATACCTGGATCCCTGGATTCGGCCCTTTGTGCTGTGAACGTGGAAGCGACTGCCACAGGTCCTTGAGTCGGCCATCGTCGCCAACTGCCTGAATGTACCTCATGTTGACCACCTTGTCTTAAAATCTCTATAGCCATTCAAATTCGCTAGACGAGTACCACGTATTTATTTTCTGACTTTCTCGAGGGCGTCGGCTCACAGCTTGTACCGCCAACAATTGCTGCCTTCAGGCGACCCTAGTCAATCCTGGTCGCGCGCCATCAGCTACTCCGACATCCCGCCTCCAGCCCTAAAGATTCCTCGATTCCTCATACAAGGTCCGGACAAACAGAGTATCTTCTTATTCTAAGAGACAGTCTCTCGAGCGAATTCCTTACTGTGCCTTACAGAGTATCCTCTTGACCACCTCTGCGCCTCTTGTGCTTGGCTGGAAGTACCCCTCCGATTGCTAAGGGTTCTGATACCCTCAACCGCCTGCCACATACGCACGCCACTGTCACCACTCAGCCTTCCGAAATCTTCCCTCTCGTAACTTAAGCGCCATGGCCGACGGCAATCAATCTGTCGATCAGTCTCAATATATCCAAAATGCGGTTCGCGCGGTGAATGAGAAGCGGCCAGTCCCTGAAATTGACTTCACGTTGCACACAATGGAGGATGGCACCCAGGTCAGCACGAAAGATCGAGTCTGTAAAGGTAAGAGATTTAGACCATATCGTGCGCCATGGCGAATTTGCTGGTTCACCCATACTGCTCCTGTGGTCATGATGGCCCACAAAATTCCGCAGAATTGAACTAATATGGAATTGCCCAGATGTACAAGCGCCCGCCTTCACAACCCCTACTCAGGAACAGTTCCTAGACCCGCGGGACAAATCGAAGCCAAACATTCAATTTTTGAAGAATCATCTGTACAGGGAGGGGCGATTGACCGAAGACCAAGCCTTGTGGATCATCAAGCAAGGAACTGAACTCCTTAAGAAAGAGCCGAACTTGCTGGAGATGGATGCACCAATCACGGTATGCGGTGATGTACATGGACAGTACTACGATCTTATGAAACTCTTTGAAGTCGGTGGAGATCCAGCTGATACAAGGTATCTCTTCTTGGGCGACTATGTGGACAGGGGGTACTTCAGTATTGAGGTACACAGGCTCGATTGACGAATTCGGCGTATACTGACAGCACATAGTGTGTACTGTACCTTTGGTCTTTGAAGATCCACTATCCGAACACTCTGTGGCTTCTTCGGGGAAACCACGAGTGTAGGCATTTGACCGACTATTTTACCTTCAAGCTGGAGTGCAAGCACAAATACTCAGAGACGGTCTACGAAGCCTGTATGGAGTCCTTCTGTGCGCTTCCATTAGCTGCAGTCATGAACAAACAGTTCCTTTGTATTCATGGTGGCTTGAGTCCCGAGTTGCACACGCTAGAGGATCTGAAAAGCGTAAGTCAGGCAAGCTTTTTCTCATTTGCGTGCCTAAACTTTTTGCCAGATCGATCGGTTCCGCGAGCCCCCTACTCACGGACTCATGTGTGACATCCTCTGGGCTGATCCACTCGAAGAGTTTGGACAGGAGAAAACGAATGACTTCTTCATCCACAATCACGTGCGTGGTTGCTCATACTTTTTCTCTTATCCTGCGGCTTGTGCTTTCCTGGAGAAAAACAATTTGCTCTCCATCATCCGTGCACATGAGGCTCAGGATGCTGGGTACCGCATGTATCGCAAGACCAGAACGACTGGCTTCCCTAGTGTCATGACAATTTTCAGTGCGCCAAACTATCTTGATGTGTACAACAACAAAGCTGCCGTCTTGAAATATGAGAACAACGTTATGAACATCCGTCAATTCAGTAAGTGGATTCGCAGTCACTATGACTTCTGGAATTAATGACGATTTAGACTGCACACCTCACCCGTACTGGCTCCCCAATTTCATGGATGTGTTCACGTGGTCTCTGCCATTCGTAGGAGAGAAGAGTGAGCGAGAGATGTCTTCTCGAAGCTAGTAGAGTTGTGCTAACCAATTACGCAGTTACCGATATGCTCATTGCTATTCTCAATACATGCTCCAAAGAGGAGCTCGAAGAAGACACCATGTCGATTTCTTCCGGTCCCAGCTCTCCGCCGATAACCGCCGCGGATGCCTCTGATCCGAACTCCGTCGAGTTCAAGCAGCGTGCAATCAAGAACAAGATCCTTGCCATAGGACGGATGTCGAGGGTATTCCAGGTTTTGCGAGAAGAATCTGAGCGGGTGACTGAGCTCAAAACTGCTTCGGGTGGTCGTCTTCCAGCAGGTACATTGATGCTGGGTGCTGAGGGCATCAAACAAGCTATCACCAGCTTTGAAGACGCCCGCAAAGTCGATCTTCAGAATGAGAGACTACCACCGAGTGGCGAGGAAGTTCGGAAGTCACATGAAAATCACCGCAACGAGGCGATTGAGAAAGCAACGAAAGAAGCAGAGAATGACACAAACCTTGCATCTGTTGCGAGGAGAATCAGCATGTAAGTTCCAACCAAGTCTTGACTTCGACAAGGTGCTGATGCTCCATTAGGTCTTCTGGATCACGAGGAAAGCGTAGCTAGTGCCGATTACCCCCATGCTTGATCTTAATACATCTGGTGTATGGAATACCCATTGAAAATGGCTTTCGCACGGTGTCGCAGGTGGGCTAGACGTTCAAAGGTTTCGGGATACCAGGTTACACTCCCATTTATACTCATGACGGTGACAATGGTCTATCAGATATGGCACGAAAGGGATCAAAGTAATACAAGTCTTTTTGGCTGTCTCCCTCACTGTAATAAACCAATGAAGTCCAATGATGGCGAGGGAAGTGTCAGATAGTGCGACGTTTCATTATTTTTTGGAAAAGGCCAATCTGTTCCCGGTGGACTGGAATGTCCTATTGGGGCTGGTCCTCTATTCTCAATATGAGATCAATTGACTTTATGACCGAATATTTCCAAACAATTTCAGACACTGCTCGGTCCTGTTGGCAGAATATGGCTAGGACATTAACAATTCCTATTTACGTCACAAAGTGTGGCTGGAAGCTATTGCATGTGGTCCCGCATGCAAGTGGTTCGAGCTATCCAGAATCTTGGCACAGTTCTACCTCCGCAATCGTCAACCTATTGGTATTCGTTCTCATCCACCAATAATGCCTCCGCGGCTCAGAGTCGCCCGTACTGCGTTCAAGTCTATACGGTGGTTTCAGGTGCCCGATACATTCGTATGCCCATCCTGCTCAACCTGGCGCCTGTCATACCCGCTCCGACGACAACGCGCATCGCTTTTCCGGACCTACATACGCAGCTATGCGTCGACTATTAGCTCGGCGACTACGATAAATGGATCGGCGCATATACCACCAGCTCATAAAGAGCTATATGAGGCTTTAGATGTGGTAAAGAGCGAGGCGGGAAGCTATGTGAACCTGAGCAGATTGCAGCTTGCGTTAAATGGGCTCGCGGCGAGAGATGCGGTCATACGAATTGCTGGTGAGTGAGAGATGAGGAGAATTGTAAAGATCCTGTGCTGATCAGGCCGTATATCAGTGCTCTCTATTGGGGATTCGGGCATAGCGAGGCGCCTGGTGAAGGCGCTTCTTGCGGACCCGCTGGCCGAGGTAGAGGCCTGGGAGAAGGAGCTCGAGAATGGAGGGGATGGGCGAGCGCTATTATTGCGGTATGACTCGATTATATGCGTCGTGAATGGCATGAAGCTAATGAGGTTGCAGATACGGCGAAGAAGATAGCGCATTTCTGAATGATAACCCTCTTGTCAAGACGATACATATACCATCTACAAGCCTACAACGGCATAACCTGGAGATCTTGGTCACATCTCTGAACATTGATCCCTCTAGTACCAGCCGATCACTCGCCACAGATAGTCCCCGCGATGCGTTTCTGATACCTACCATACAAATTCCTACATCTTTCTCTGGTCGGCAGACATTGGTCACATATCCTGTTCACAAGGCTGTTGTGGTTGGAAGGGGTATTGAGAGCGCTGTGGCATACGGCAGCTTCATGGCAGGTCATCATGATGATCAAGCGGATCGCGATATGTTGAAGGTCGCGATTGACATACCAGCTCCTGAAACAGAAACAACAGAGAAAACATCTGCGCTCGCATGCAGTGTTGACATCCAATTAGCTGATGCGGCGATATCCACATTCCGTAAATCAGTAGCGAACTCTATAGCCTATGAGAAAGGCTGGTTCAGGAGCGGACTTGCTCCACTCCAGAAATGGCTTGTAGAGGGCTCTGAAACGCCAACTACGTCCATCAAACCTGCTCTAGTAAAACTTCTCAAATCTACGTTGGATGAATCGAAAACGAATGTTGCCATGGAGGAGAGCCAGTATCAGTCCAAACTTCTATCAGCATCCGTTCCCGCCGCCACCAAAACCTCAATCTCTACCAGCATTACCACCTGGGCCGAACACTCACACCGCGAGCTGCGCAACGAGCTGGATGAGGCCTTCACCAGCCACCAATGGCGTAGGATTTCATGGTGGAAACTATTCTTCCGCGTTGATGATGTGACAATGATCACATCTGATGTTCTCGAGCGTAGATGGTTGCTTAGTGCCGAGAAGGCTCTTATATTCATAGGCGGTCGCCTTAAAGAAGCTGGATATTCGTTGGATGCAGCAGAGATAAGGATGACAACGAGCTCCGCCCTGCCTGATCTTATGGAGGCAAGATCGGAAAAGACTACTTCGGACACTAATGCTGAGAGCATAATTGGCCGCGAAGGTGGCGCTGAAAAGGCGGCATTAGAGAACACCACACACAATCTGACATCAAGGCACAAGGACCTACCATCCTTTATCCGGCTCACTCGCGAGCATCTCCTCAACGACACTATTCCCCCTCTACAAGCACTTGCCCAATTGCTAGTGCTTCAGACATACTCAACAGCAGGTCTGATGTCAGCACTGGCAGGACTAACCTACGTGGCGTCGCCAGCATGGTCACCCGAAGCTGGAGCAATTGCAGCCCTGGGCGTGGTGTACTCTCTGCGCCGACTACAGAGGCGATGGGAAGGCGCGAGGGAGTACTGGGAGGCCGACGTGCGAGAGCAGGCGCGGAAAGCGCTCAAGGCGTCCGAGGAGATGGCGAGGGGCCGTGTCGAGGAGTTGAGCCGGCCGAAGACAGACTTGGAGGGTGTCGAGGCGAGGAAGAAAGTCCGGGAGGTGATTGAGAGGGCGAGAAAAGTTCTCGAGAAGGTTGTGAAAGGATAGATGTGACGAGTGGTGTCGCAAAGTGTATATATAAATATTGGACTGCCTCGCACTCAGGGGAATATCAAGGTCATGCCCGTTTCGCACGCAACTATTCGTGATATGGTGCCTCCGCGTTTGGTGCTCCCTCACTGTAGTTTTAGAACTCATTCTCTGGAACATAGCACGATTGGCATGAGACTCACCATTCGAACATTCCTTATTGGAGAAATCACTCGCGTTCATGTCTCTGGCTTGCCGCTTCCGTGTGCTTGGTAACATCACTCACGTCAGCGCAGACGAACAGTAAGCATGATCCATCAATTCATTCATGTCGTGCAGCAATACAAACGAAACGTTATATAGTCTATATTGCAAGGGGTAAATAGTCGGCGGGTGACTTGGTGTTTCACTCTTAGATATGTCCAGGTAACGTTTGAGTTGGCTAAGGTGGGTTGTGCAATGGCTTCTTGTGTCTATGCTTGCACCAGATCGTGCTACTTGTTCTTGATCCCGATGGCTAATTATAGGAGCTAAAATGCTGTTATAAGAGCAAGAGGATGTGTTGTTTGCGGCGAAGAATGAATACTAGGCCCGATGTAGCCTAGTATATTGGGAGTCCGGAGGGGAGCTGTTTGGAGTTAATGCTCTGCTGCTCCGCAACTCTGTCTTCAGGACATCCGCTTGAAGCAATTGAAGCCTCTATACTGACATCAAACTCCTTTGTGGACCATATGGCGAGCTCAATTAGTGTCAGAGCCTCACGCTCGACAATCCAGAGCTATGTTACTCGTTGGTAAGTCGACATGCGTATCCCGGAGCTCTTCTATAGCTCATCCGACCCAGGGACGTTCCCCGCCGACTACTCAGCGGCGCCCAGCTTCCAGCTCTAGAGCACTCCCGGTTCCAACATACCACAAAACGTGCGTCTCGCTCGTTCACGACTTCTGCGCCATGTTTCAAGAAGAAGGGCAAGAATGACTCCGCCCCGCCCGCGAACGCAGCCGCACCGAAAACGACACCGGTCGACGCTCTTTTCGACCTTTCTGAGCTGGAGTCGAAGATACTGAAGGCGATTGAGAGACTCACACATGAGCTCTCTCTGTTGCGTGGCAATGGGAAGATCAACCCAGATCTGCTCCTCGACCTCAAAGTCAAAGTGGGCAAAGGCGATGAGAAAGAGACTGTGCTGCTGTCCGACGTGGCGCACGTCATACCTCACGGCCGCATAATAGATGTCATAGTCGGTGACGAGGAGGTTAGCTATACAGTAACCCGCCGTATTATGCGGCGACAGAAGCTGACTCGCAGTCCTAGCATATAAAAGCCGTCACGTCTGCTATCAGAGCGTCTGCGCACAGTCTCAATCCTAACCCGCCAAAACCAGACAATCCCCTGACGATACCCGTGCCCATACCGCCTCCGACAGCAGAGTCCCGGCAGCAGACCGTGGAGCAGGCTAAAGTTCTGGGCCGTGCAGCCAATGATGCAGTGCAGCATGCAAGAGCCGGACATAACAAGAAGATTCAAAACACCAAAGCACGGTCGGATGACATTAAGAAAGCAAAGGAAGATATGGAAAAGGTAGTGAAGAGGAGCAAAGAAGACATCAAGCGGCTCGTAGATGGAGCAGTACAGGTTCTGGATAAGCATTAAGCCTCATTATATCACACGAAGATTTCGTGGGTAAATATCGCTATCTCATGCTATATACAGTCCATCGTCCGCCCCTATCTATTTACACCTCGTCCGAACCCATGCCCTAGAATCCATATATCTGCGTCCCTTTTGGCAGAGAGACCCTAAATACCAGCGCCTGGTTGTTCAGATCCGTCTTGTCCGCATACGCATACTTGCCAAAATTCAAATGCCCATCCGTCGTGATAAAATCATTATCCGAGAACGAAAACAAGAAATACTCCTCCTTGTCCTCACCCAAGACCGGCGCAAGCGCCAAGCTCTCCCATTTCTCGTTTAGTAACCCGTCGTCCTGCGCCCCACCGTTATGCAGACCGAACTTGGCCAACTCGCTGTTAACATTGAAATCCAGAAATGAGCAGTATGTCGCTGCCTTGAGCCCCTTTTTGAGGTTCCCGTCCTTGTCCGCGATCGCACCGCCCGTCTTGTCATACGTATCGCCTTTAATATTGCTTGCGGAAGAAATGTCAAAGACGTCGACGTGACGATACAGCGACTCGGAGTAATCAGCGCCACGGCCCGCGCCGTCACGTGCAAGGACGAGATACTGCGACGCGCTGATAGCGAGGATCTCAGACTGCGCAGCGACGCGCTTCTTGCCCTCGTTATTGGTGTACTGCGGCAGCGAGACGATATTCTCGCCCAGATACGCCGGCGGCGAAATGGAGACGTCGTACTGCAAGAACCGCGCCTGCAGCCCGTCCTTCTTACTCGTGCCGCCCTCCTGGATAAGCGCGGACTGGACGAGCACGGAGAGCGTGTTGCCGTCCGCGGAGAGCGTGAGGCCCTCGAAGCCCTGGTTGTTTGCGCGGCCAGACTGCGGGTCCGTGGGCGTGAGGGTGCGGGTGCTGTCGTACAGGGGTGGGTTATCGGATGCGTAGCTGGCGGTGTTGTTGCGCAGCGGTGTGAATGCGGCGGGCGGGGCGATGGCGGCCGTCATGCGGCCGCTGCGGTCGAAGTGGTAGATGCGTGGGCCGTATTCGTCGCTGACCCAGAAGCCGGATGGGGTGAGGACGAGGCCTTCGGCGTCGAGGGCAATGCGCGAGTCGCCTGGGCCGGTGGTGTTGGCGTAGCCGTCACCTGGGTAGGTTGCGACGGGGAGGTCGGGGAATCCTGGGTATTGAAGGGAGCCGGTTGGGTCGGCGTCGAGGCCGGTTGTGGGCTCGCCGGTTGGGCCGGTGAAGAGGACGGAGTCGAGGTAGGTGAGTTGGAGATTTGGGGATCCGGTCTGGGCTGGGGTGAAGTGGATTTGGAACTTGTGGACGCGGTTTTGGTAGTTGATTGTGCCTTTTTGTTGGAGATGTTAGCTCTCTGGACAGCCATTATGGGGAGACGATGTACGTACCTTGAGTGTTCCACCCTCTGTCTGGAAGTGTCCAGACGATTCCCTCGTACTGGTCTCCATTCTTCTTCCACGACCCCTTTTCAATCGCAATGGAGCTTCCGATGCCACCAAGCGTGTCGCCATACTTATCCACAGCATTCGCCTTGATCAGACCATACCCAGCCAAGCTCTTGTATGAATACGCCTTGCCGTTACACGTGATATCCTTCACATTTCCAGTCGTCGCATTATCTCGTCGAGCCGGGCTCGCTCCAACGACCGCAGCGCCGAGTGCAAGTGCCGCAGCAACACCCTTGAAGTTAACCATTATCAAAAGAGAGAATCCTGATACCAAAGCCTTAGCCCAGCTCCCCCAATAGTCCAGGCCGGCGGTCCAGTCTTTATATCACAAAACCCAATCGCCACTCAACCCCCCGAGGAAACTGGATTTTGCCCATGGATAGAATGTAGTCAGTCCACGACGACGCAAAGAGCGCTGATTGGCCAGAAGCACGCGGAAGGAGGATCGCGCCGCCACGACCGGACCGGGATGATGGAACTGACGGCGCGTACCCCACGCTAGCGAGTTGCGCCTCAAAGCCACCGGAATAGGCAGTTCGCATCTTCAGTCGCCATCGGAGTGCATCGTTTGCACGTGGATGCTCCATAATGCCTCATTGGCTGCAGCCCTCATTTGCTGGGGAGAATGTTGCTACGTGGTACGTAGTATTGCTTTGCCCTGGAATCGCTTCGCTATTGGATTCGCCCCCTGGCGATGTCATGCTTGCATTTGCGGCCTCGCCGAGCTAGTGTGATGGCATTGGTCGTTGGGATTTTGGGGGTCGTCATGCTGGAATATGCTGCAGTCCAGCCCGTATATGCGGCTCCATGATCGTGAAATGGCGTCAAAAGGCCAGGACTGTTCGTGTTGTCCTGGTCCAATCGACCCGCCCGCGTGGTCCTGGATCTGCTGCGCCGATGACTTGCTGTATAACACACATAAACATAGAGATAGCCGAGTCGTACGTGGGAGAGTGGCTTGGCAGTACATCTTTGTATCTGCATAACCTCCTTTCGTCGTTCATTCCGGCAGTAGCACACATTGAGCTCTTCGTTCAGCCTGGTTGCAAGGTGTGATCGAAAGAACATGATGGAAGGGCGAATAAACACACCTCCTGGAAGACCAATTCGCTAACATGAAAATAAACCCGTCCCGGCCCCTGAAAATGCACCTCAAGCCTGCCGAGCTTGCCCAAACCAACTCCGTACCCAGTACATCATCTCGCCGTTCACATTTCGCTGTCCAGCAGACTATTTACAATACTCTCATCATTACTTTTCCTGGGTGCATTACTCCTCTGTGGTGCTGCTTTCTTTGGCCTGCCCCTCCCTCGCTTTGATAGTCTGACTTCCGGAATTATAGTCCCTTCAGCTTCGGGCGGAGCCCCAAACATAGTTTCGGCACCTTCTTGGTGTTCTACTTCGGTTGAATCGACGGCATCAACCATCTCCGAGTCCTGCATCTCAGTGTCGCTGTCTTCCTTAACGGCAGGAATTGGTTCAGGTGCCATCACAGCACCATTTTCATCAGGTACTTCAGTGTCCTCTCCTTCGTCTTCATCGACGTCACCTACATTAGGCACTTCAGTCTCATTGCCTTCATCCTCATCAGGAGCGCCATCACTGGTCTCGGTTGCCACAGATTTCTGGTCTTCGTCCTCAATATCGTCAGCGACGACTTCGGCTTCGCCGACGATCTTGGTGAGGGACGCTTGGAGCTTGGTAAGCGTTGTCCGACTCGTAGCATCTGGTGCAACGCCAGACGACAGCGCACTCGTCGCGAGATCGTTCAATGCCTGCAGGGTTCCAACGTACTCCGCACTAGGAACATGGGACTTTGATGTCGTGGCGTTCGCAGGGATGTATAGCTTGGATAGAAGGGCTAAGAGTTGCTTACATTCTTCCTCTACACGGACATCAATACGGGTCAAGTGTAAAGGTTTAATCGACTTACGTGAACAGCGTGAGTCCGTGACTCGTTCCAATATGTCAAGCGCCAGCACGACATGAGGCTCATCTACCTCTACGTCGTTTTGGCTTGCCCTGACCATGCCTGTATTGACAATGCGCCTTCCATCCGTCCATTCTGCCAGCATTCCAACAATGGTTGTCCAGCCCACAAAGTCTTCTTCGGCGAAGTTAGTCTCAAGATTCGTCATGAGCTCGTGAATTACATCTGTGAGTAGTCCAGCAATCTGGACTGCATTGAATTGCCTGCTATGGCAATAAACAGGGAGGAAATAGCTCAGAGCTTGTTGAAGACCTGGGTTGGCTGTTGTATCCGGCGAAAAGAACCTGAATATGAGATCTCTTAGAATCCCTGCTTCGTACTCAGCGGGGAGTACGTGAAGTAGTAGCAATTTGGAAAGCCCGATAACCGCGTTGAGTCGAAGAGCTGCTGGCGCTGATTCCAAGAGGGCCTTCCTGTATGCTTTGACGATTATGCGTTGAGTGACCTCCTTTCTCTTACTTGAATTCGGGTTTCCCTCCTCTGCCACCTTTAGGGAAGTAAAGAGGGTGGGATGGTGAATAAGGATATCAGTAATGACCTGAAGGCATATGACCTGTAGGGACTCAGCGCCCTTGGCAAAGCAGTGCATCAAAAGGTCCATGTTTGACTCGGCCAATTCCTGTTGATCTCGTGAGCCATCAATTCAATACCTCTCGATTACGAATATCGTCTTACTCTACTCTGTAAGCAACAGAGACCCAGGCATATGATGCCTCGCTCCCTGATAGCCGCCTCATGACTCTGAACAGCCGGAATGATCTGGATGTGCAGCATGGTCGTCAATTCATTGTTCTGCGATAGATCCATCTTTACTTCTTGCAGCATGCACTGCGCAAGATGTAAGCACTTCATGGTGACGACGAGTATGTTGAAGGCCTTCTCCTCGTCGGCCTCTGTGAATTCGCGTTCACTGGATGATCTCCTCAACTTGTTGGGAGGAGGCGTGTCTTCTCCACTAACCTCGGAACGAGCAGAATGAAAGCTGTCATCTGCTGCTATGTCCGAACCATCTTCGCCAACGACAGTATCGCGTATCTCTGCCATGGCTTCTTGTACGACGGCACAAAATTCTCGTTCACCAGCCGCATCCTGGCTGCAGACGGTACGCAAAACTTCTATGGCCAATCGAGTAGACTCTTCCGGCAACTCGGGCAGAGCAAGGGCCTCGCGCATAATCGAAAAAATCTTTCTCCGCCCAACCTCATCCGTGTAATCAAAAGTAAGCGCCATGTGAAGCATTTGTTCAACGCAAAATTCCTGCTGCACAGTATCTTCCTCAATCTCGGTATCTTCGCTCGATGCCACCTTTCGAACACCCTCGATAAACACATTTAGGTGATTCTTGAGGAAAAACGCGAATTTGGTGACTTCCGGCATCTTCTCCTCAATCAGCTCCTGAAGTCGACTGTCTTTCGCATATCGACAGTAGTCATTCAAAGTGCGTACGACGAACGCGCTCTCTGGTGTCAGATTGGACCAGAAATCATCATCAAACGATAGATATTCGCGATAATCAGGTCGTCTTTCCCAAAACTCCTTCATCGCGTCTTTGCCAAAGCCAGACTCGGTACCGGAATTGACAATGTCAATCCTTTCTAGCAGCTCTAGGAGCGCTGCCAGTGAAGGCACGGCATTTTGACCCTGAGGCGCGGACGTCCCGTCTTCAGTCGCGTTCGGTTGACCCGCACAGTTTTCAATCCATCGCTCACAGAAGAGACGTGCAGCGGCCTTGCGAACGTTCTCATCACGATCGCGAAGACCCCATCTCATCAACTTTTCCCTGGTAGTCAAAGATATATGTCTGAAATCGAGCTGAGGCAGAAAACGTGCATATTCTGCCTTCCTTGTTGCGTAGTCCATATCACGAGCTCGTTCGAGGAGGTGGTATAAGGTACTCTGTGAGATTGGTAGATTCAATAGTAGCTTTCGGCGAACTTCAGCGCTCGGATCATTCTGTAAGACATCTAGAAGTTTGTCGAGGATACCCCCAGCCAATCCGTCGTCACTGTCGTCGTCTTCATCATCCTCGTCAGTGTCATCGGCAAGCCGACAAAGTCCGATTGCTGCTTGGACCCGCACAGAACTTTCCTTATCGCGTAATCTCTTCAGTAGGCCAAGTCGTAGGTGTTGAAATAGGTCGTTATCCACAGAATCCGCAGTGATGATAATTTGCACAATAATCTGGGTTGCTCTGAATCGTACGACCTTGTCTTTTACGTCGAGCACTTGCAATGCCAATTTCAGTACGTGCGTTGTCAATCTAGTGCTAGGGGTCTCGTCGACAAAGTCGGTAGTCTCATCTTCGCCGTGGGCAAGTGCTGCATCTGCGATTAATCAGCACTGCTATGTCGACCGGGTCTCTGTTCAAGAAGTCTTACCTTTTTCGCTGGCATGTTTCAAGAAAAGGGTAATGAACCTCACAACGTTGTCTCCGGCCGGTTCACTCTTCTTAATAGCCAAGACACGAACCAAGCATCTCCCAGTCTCTTCATTGAAGTCCTCTTCGCTCGAACTTGCTTCCGGTTTGTTCTTCTTTGCTGGGAGGGTAGGCTCGTAACAACATGCTTCTTGAATCTTCCGGAGGTTGACAACAAGCTTTCGCTGCGCAGTAGTGCTGCGTGCTGTATCTGCAAATATTTGGCATACACGGGTCCTCAGTGTTGTCGTTGGGCCTTCGTCTGGTATTTCGATCGCGTTGGCTGAGGTGCGCGCAGAACCTGAGCCACGACTACGGGTCGCGGCACTGGTCTTTGATGCCCGTCCGACTCGTGCTGGCATTGCGGCGACTATTAGAATGCGCGTTGCCTGTCGTAAAGTCGTGAGGCCAAGCCAATTTCAATCTGCCAGTGTCGAGAATCTAGAGTTTGCGGTATTGTTTGTCTGTTTACGGCATCCAATTAGGTTAGCGTGGCCGATCCCTAATGGCCTTCCGCCGGCCGTGACAAATGACGTGTTGCGATCGCCGCTAGCCGGCAGAAAGAAGCTCTACAAGGATACTACAACAGCCCACGTTTAAGCTCACCCTCTGGACATCTCTCAGCAGTCACATATGATGTTCCGGACGAGCGTACGACGGTTCACAACCACAGCCTGGAGGTCGGCAGAAGCGATCGCGCAAATGGAAACACGGATAAAGCGCAACATCGAAATTTCAAAAGCGCAACGCATTGCGCAAAGAGGTCTCGTTGATGGTACGTATAGCAATTTATACAGTCCTATAAGCATGGGACGAACAAGACTGATCATATAATAGCAATTGGAAATACTCCCCTTATTCGTATGAACCATATCTCTGACCAGACAGGCTGCGAAATTCTTGGAAAAGCAGAGTACCAAAACCCCGGTGGCTCTGTGAAGGATCGCGCCGCGCTCTTCGTCGTCGAACATGCCGAGAAGCAAGGGCTTTTGCGAGCGGGTGGCACTGTCGTAGAGGGCACCGCTGGCAACACCGGAATTGGTCTTGCACATGTCTGTCGCTCGAAAGGATACAAGCTCGTCATCTACATGCCAAATACGCAATCGCAGGGCAAGATAGACCACCTCCGTCTGCTCGGTGCAGAGGTATACCCCGTTCCTGCGGTCGCATTTGAAAATCCCGAGAATTATAATCACCAGGCGAAGCGCCACGCTGAGAGCATGAATAATGCAGTTTGGACAAACCAGTTCGACAATACAGCGAATAGGCAGGCGCACATCGAGACTACTGGGCCTGAGATATGGTACCAGACTGAGGGGAAGCTGGATGCATTCACATGTGCCACTGGTACAGGTGGCACGCTGGCAGGCGTGACGCGGTACCTGAAAGAGAAGTCTGACGGCCGCGTAAAGTCTTTCCTTGCCGATCCTCCGGGGTCAGTCCTGCATTCATACATCCAGTCGGGCGGTAAGCTTACAGAGCGCGCCGGTGGCTCCATAACAGAAGGAATAGGCCAAGGTCGTGTTACTGACAATTTGAAACCCGACATCGATCTTCTCGACGGCTCTGTGCATATTCCAGATGAAGAGACTATTGCGATGGTGTACTCATGTTTGGATCAGGAAGGAGTCTACCTCGGCGCGAGCTCGTGTCTGAATGTCGTAGCTGCGGTGAAGGTAGCCCAAAAACTTGGCCCGGGGCACACTGTTGTGACAATGCTCTGCGATGGAGCCTCTCGCTATGCAGAGCGGCTGTTCTCGCGGAAATGGCTGGAACAGAAGAACTTGTTAACGTCGATACCCAAGGGGCTGGAAAAGTATATAGTACTGCCATAGGCACCCGGTACTAAATGATTTCATGTTTATTCGCCTAACTAGCCAAGAGCCTACGTAGGTCTAAGGGTCAATTCTTTATCATTCTCTCATCATGGTGACTCGCCTAGCTCTCATGATGTTTATCATAGAACTGTGCCGAAACCGAAAGTCCGTTTGATACTTATCACATAGTAATTCTCCCAGTTGGTTTTTACAACGTCTTCTTTGCCTACAGGCACTCCCTTCCATTCTACGCGCATGACGGTGACGTGGTCTGCATCATTCTGATCGAACTTAATCTCAAGTGTCGAGAAATGGCCAGCGACCCAGTCGCTTTGTCGCCATTTCTGCACAATCTTCGTTGGTGCCTCTAAGGTCACGTACTCACCGGAAATGTTGCCACCGAATAATTCGAACTTACCGCCAGCTTTTGCGCCTTCGAAGACCTTTGGAGGTGCCCGTGTGAACGCAGCAAGACGGTCAGGCTCGGTGAAGGTCTTATATAGCTCCTCGGCAGAAGTTCGGAACTCTGTTTGATCATTTACAGTCGTAACGTTGACAGATCCCTGTGTAGTGGTTTCGGCAGACTTTGAAACTTTGGTATCGCCTTTGGTGATATGCGAGCCGGGAAGGTATTTGGGTGTAGTGAAACCACTGGACGGATTTGAGCCAGGCGCGTGCTGGATGTCTTTCCCATGTTCGGAGATCAGGGTGGGGCCGAGCTTTTGAAGGTGCTTTCGCAATTGTGGTGTTATTTTTGCGCGCACAAGATCTTTCACTGGCTGTTTGCTGTTTGACTCAGAGTAGATGTCTATGTCAAACTATGCTGACTGTCAGATGATGCCGACATTGAGGCATGAACGAGTGACAAGGGAACATACGACGTACTCATCTTCCTCCGTGTCGTGTGCGACCTCTGGAACAGTAATAGTTCCACTGACCTCTTCACCTTCTTTATTCTTGCCTGGTATATGTCAGCGACAATGTCGCGGCTATTGTAGATAGATAGCGCCGACCACAGACCTGAGTATTCGAGTTGAAGTTTGACGTCGTAGAGCGTGATTACTTTGCCTTTTCTTTGACTAACATCTACATCTCCATCTAAGCTGATGACTTTGTCGATCTTGGCTGACACATCGCCCTCTTCTGCTGAGATAGTTGAGAGAACCTTGTCGAGGTATTCTTTCGCCCAGGCGGATACGTCTTTGTTGACCCAGTGCCAATTATTTGGATTATGAAGAGCCATTGTACCAGTCTGATGAGGCGATCTTATATGCTGAAATGCCAAATGTCATTAGCTTGTTTCGAAAAATATTTCGAGGCGTGGATGTGAAAGAGGATCATGTCAGATATGGACGCTTTCAGCGACCGCAAGCTATTCCGCACGTGAAGGGAGTACAAATCCTGCTAGGCCTGGTGCCAGCTGTGGTATCATCATAAGAATTGAGTATATGAGAGATATACATACCTTCAAGATAGCGCTAAAAGTCCAGAGTAGTAGTACAAGAGTAAGTTTTGTTACGTGAAGAGGGATAAAAAGGAAGAAACGTGGAGCTTGGAGTGCAGAGAAGTAAATAGTTTTGTGTGGTAGAATCACAACCCAGAGGTTCAGAAGCTCGTAGAATTGCGTGGCCGGCAAAACCTGTCTAGCGCTCGGAATGCGAGAAGAGGTCCAAGCTTGCGCCCAGGCCTGCCTCCCAAAGTGTATTATTGCTCTGCTAAGTCTGCTTCAACGAGGTTCCACTGGAGCGTTTCCCCGCGATAGCACTTGCACTTCTGTCATGATTACACAGCTTCATCGCTCAAATAAATTCCGTGCGAGCCCTATGTACACTTCGCCTATATGGCAAAGCCTCCATCGCCCATACCCTCAACTCGAACTCCGTCATTGCGTGAGTTTGCGATTCGGCTTACGATTGTATAATGTCTAGTGTTGCATCTTCATACAAGAAGCAGAACGGGACGCTCAGTATCTCAAAAGACAATCGTGAAGTATCATGGATACAAACGGGCGCGGCTGCACCTACTATCAGGTTGCTGGTAGCGGATATATCTAGTGAGATCTCTTTTCATATGTCACAGAAAGAATACTGAAGCTTTCAGACCTTCAACAAACCCCCGAGAAGTCGCCCAAAGTTTCCATCAAGATATTCACGCAGACTGCTGGTGCCAACAAGCCAGAAGATTTTACCTTCTCCCTGACTTCAGCCACTACTGCGCGAGCAGACCAAGCCGCGATAACAAAAATACTAAGACAAGAGATTGAGAATATAAGAGCCAGAAAGCAGCAACCTGTTGCCTCTGCAACAGTGCCCGATGATCCTGGTGCTCCTCCAGCCGCGTTTGCTATCGCACAAGCGTTGGCTGTAAGTACTGGCTCGAATGACAGCGCATTCACGGATGCCAAATTGCTAGCCAATTCTGAGCTACAACGGTCCTTATTACAATCGAATGTGGACCTTAAACAAAGATTTATGCAAGCTTTAACGGACAAACCAGACAATATCTCAACACATCAATTCGCGTCACAGTTCTGGGTCACTAGGGTGCATCTGTTACGAGAGCATGCAGTTTCAAGAGGTCAGACCCAGGGCTCATACAATGTTCTCTCCGAGGTCAAACCCAAGAATGTGGATGGCACAAATCGGCTGAATCTCAGTAAGGAACAGATTCAACTCATATTTAAGCAACATCCTTTGGTAAAAAAAGTGTACAATGAAAGTGTTCCGGCAATGAACGAGATGGAGTTTTGGTCCCGCTTCTTTGTGAGCCGCCTCATCAAGAAATTGAAGGGCGAAAAGATTACGGAGAATGATCCGACAGATCCCAAACTCGACCGTTATCTTAGTCTTGGAGATGGTGCCGATGTGCCTGTGCAGCTTGATGGCGCTCATATACCACGATTCATTGATCTGGAAGGAAATGAGCAAAACCATAGTCAAAAGAGAGGAAATGCGCCTGATATGACAATGCAGCCTAACAATCACGAAAAGGTGCCCATACTTCGTGTTTTGAACAGTATGAGCGAAAAGATGATGGCAGACACGGCGACAGCAAAAGGAGAAGTTCATGGCCCTGTTGGTCTTGATGAGGAGACTTTCAACGAAATAAGACTGCGCGACCTACAAAAGGACTCACTCGACAATCGAATTATGCTCAATATCAAAGACCAGAAACGCTTTCATACTACAGAAGGGGGAGACCATAGGTCTAAAGAAGCCATTATTTATGCTAGGCAGAATCCACAAAACGTTCTCGCGACTATATCCAATGAATCCAGGAGCCTCACTCGCTTCAACAGTCTGCACTCCGGATTGGACTTAGAGGAGGCGCTAGGTATTAATGATGATAGCTCGAGCGAGGATGAACAGCATCATCAGAAGAGAACATTGCACATTGGAAGCAAAAGTGGCCGAGCAGCTGCCACAAAGCAAATTGTGGGCGCGATTCGTCAGAAACGCGCTCAAACCGATGATTATTCAGCGCCGCCTGGTAGCTTTGCACCAGTGCCCTTTGAGAATACCGACCTTACCATCGAGATTCGCGACTCCCTTGCCCTCACTCACTCGACGACAATCGAGTTTCTTCATTACTTCTGGAGTGTGTTCCATTCTGGTGATCCTGAGCGTGCAGGCGAAGCTCAAAACATGATAGGGGCTTTGGACAAGTCTCTGGACCGGATAAAAGCGAATGCTAAGCAGGCTGAAGCAGGTCGTCGTGCGTATATCGACAGGCTGAATGCGCAGCTTGAAGAGCACTTCAGACGGAGCGGAAAACGAAAAAAGCTAGATCTTAGGCAAGCTCCTGGAGGAGCTGAAGCTGTCAATGCCATGATGGCGCCTACGGTGAGAGCCATCAAAGAGGCCTCCGACCGATTCCGAGAAGAATATGAGTTGCAAATCTCTCAAAGTAAGGCAGTGTCGTGAGGCATACATTGAAGGTCAGCGGACGCAGCCTTCACACAACGCCTTGAAGACCTTACAGAAGACTTTTGGGCTTCCAATAACAGTACAGCGATCTCAAGTGCAGAGATTGCGCCTTGTGTTCCGATTTACAAAGTCCTTGGAATCGCGCGGTTTGGGGGCGATGCAAAACTTAGAACTGTCCCTCAATCGGCGATGAGGTATGACAGGGCGGGCGTGACACCTCGATTCCCTGGTTGATGCCTTATTGCTGTTGCAGGAAACAATCCGATGTGGCGCCCAAATCCGACCACGTCTCATAAGAATGAGAGCCTTCATTGCTCGCTTTGTAAGATGCGCATACGAAGTTTTTGAATGAAATGATCACCTTGAAAGACTCGCAGGGGTCCGAGGGTGGTACTATTCATCACCAGGAGGTGACAATTGGTTTTATCGACCCTTTTAACATTGGTAATTCGGCATTGTTACCACCTGGACATGCACACATGAGCTAAAGCGCTGGGCAATGTCTATCGTGACGGCTTCAGTAGAAGTTTTATAAATCAACTGCTTCACACAGGTGCATACATCTCCCATTCTGTGTTAGGTTTTCGTTGCTTTGGTGGTTTTCACGATATGCTCTTGAACTGTTTTCTGTCAAGCGCATAACTTTGCCCTTGCCACGGCTGTCCATCCTCCTACGACATTGATAAATGAATATATCAAACCCAATTACGTAGTGGTTACCTAGTGCACCGTCGTTCGCCATTTGAGTTAGCATACGGCCGCTACTGCTGCTAGGAACTTTTGATCTAATCTCTAAATCGACCGCACCTTTTGTCTATAAAATTGAAAACAAAAGAACATTCAAAAATTTCGCTAGAAATAAACGCAAAAAGTCAGACATCATGGATAATCAATAAAACGGACTTTCATATCACCAACAAGAAGTAATGCTATGTCAGGTACGATAACGCGTGTATATAGTGCCGTGTTACAATTCTGCGACGAACGACGCCAGCAAATTCCTCGACAGTGGCTTCAGACGAATGCGCATAGAAGTGAATTAGAAACTGCAATAAGGAGCAGGAGCAAGGGGCTGAAGCATGGACACAGATACACACCGTGATTGCATCACTTGGCCAAAGCACACTGGACTATCTTAACCATGGAACTAGACAGCTAGTCGCCTATAAACAAGTCGAAACATGTTCAACATAGCAGACTCTGCATGTTTCAGCGATCGTGCAACTCTCTGAGAAGGCTTCGAGACAGTGTCCCAACGAAGACGACAACAAAGCGAAGGGCTCCAGTCGGCAGCAACATCAATACAAATAAGCCGGCCTCCACGGACATTAGATTATCGTGTGACCAATGAGAAAAACACATCCAAGTCATCAGTTGCACCTCAGTCATCTGCGACAAAAGTAGAAACTATGTATAAGATAATATGTCCCTCAGGGGTTTCCTCAAACATCACGTACGGGGTCCCAGTAAACAGATGGAACAGCACTCGCTTGGCCCTTTCGGTTGCGGTTGTCCCTATAACGAAAAGAATGCCACAGAAGCCAACGAATGACCCAATTCTCTTTATTTGGTCCATCTTCATAAGCACCTATCTGGTAGTAGTATCGTACGTATGGATCAGATCGTTCAAAGATGATGGCGATCTGATTGTATTTGTCGGTCTCTGGTATGGAGTCCCAGGTGGGACGGGCGATACCCTGGCTAAGTCTGTCTCTACCTGCAGCAGCCTCTGCCTTTGTCGTTCAGTAGTGAGGGCAAATATGAATGGGCTTTACATACCAACATAATGTTGTAGGTGACCATATCACTTTTATCACTAGTCCGAAGTCCCACAGCACTGAGGAACATCTCCCGAGTCGCGCTAGCCGCTGGATGTCGTTTGTTCATGTCGACCTCGAGAAAGTGGATGGTAGGTAAGAATCAAGCGATAGAAATTGATTTGGTACTTGTTGACCAGTCACCGTAAGCTCAAGAAGGTGAATTATGTGTTTGATATATCATGCTAGGCAGGCGCCGTATTCATTTTTATAGTTGAGATCCAACAAGAGATAGGGGAATCTCCCAAAACCTCTCGGGTGGATGTCTGACGTACGTCCCGTTCCATGACTACCCAATGTTTTGGGACATGCTTTGGTGCCCAACAGGACTGTCCTAGCAAAATATCAAACTTGCTTAAGCTTGACTAGGATCCGTTGTTACAATGCAGCATCAAGCCATTGCCCAGGGATTTGTTTCATTCCAATTTTAGAGGCTCCAGGGTTAGTTCGGCCCTTCCAAAGACAACACTGTTGTTGATAAGGATCAATTAGGGCCCCATATTGAATTACGACGTCAGGCGACCGAATCTAGTAGTCGTATCAAAGCAACCTAGTCAACACTTGTTCAGATATCGGCAATTCCAAGCGAGATCCGATACCATTTGCTGCTCTCTTGTGCATGAATGAAAATGACGAAGAAGAAGAAGAAGAAGCAAGCAAGCAAAGTCGAGTCGCGCAGCTATCCTGTAGTCGTAAGGAAGACTGATATGCCGGAGAACTGCGTTTGAGTGTCCAATCATTGCAAGGGCTGATGCGAATGGGACTTTTTAGAAGCCATTATCCTTAGACTTCGGAGGATATCTGCAAGACAAACAGCTGCAACACTGCTGATGAGCAATGCACAATAACGTTGTGCCATGTTCAGCTTGTCTGAACAACTACCGTAGCTTTCGACTACCACTGCAGCAACTTGAATAGTCAAACCCAGCTCGCCAGCCACAACCTGCGAGGTGCATGGCTTGTAAAGTGGCTGGAATACTAGTTCAATCCGAGCCATGGATGGATCTGGACAACTCGGCTTTGCCATGTCGCAAAAGGAAGGACTACGGAAACTGTCTCTGAAGATGGAATCAGGCGGCCGTTCTGGACCGCACTTGATATACGTCGCACAAAGCTGCAGCTAGTCACTAAGTGGCACTTCAAATTCGTCAATTCCAATTATGCAAGCGAAATTAATGACAGTCTAGAGAACTGTCACGAAACAAAACCGTATTCTTCTATGTTCTTCAAACCAGACGGGAACGGTGCGTTCTTTGTCAAGCCTCCAATAGGAAAAGTGAGGCTACGATAGATCGAACGATTGGGTACGTCATGAATTTTGAACCCAGCAAACTCATGAGAGTGCTTTCCTTGGGGAACATATCGACCGATTGAAAACTGGCATTACCCATCAACAGCCTCACCAACGCTCAGGTTCGCTTCAACCTTCCTCGAGCCTCATTCATCCCTGGCGTCCTGTCAAAGTCGGGTGCCTCAACAATTCTAATATCAGCCTGATATTGCGGTTCAACATAGTCAATGAGTAGATACTAGTCCCTGAATTTCAACTGTCTCTGGGCCAATATGACTGTACGAAACTGATGTGACAGCACGAAAAAGAACTGAAGCAGGGAGATCAGGGACGGGATCCTGAGCATGCGTACCACGACTGCGAGTAGCTAGGGTATCATCACAGCAAGGCATGTGATTCGATACCAGTAGTTATCGCGATACAGGTGCCCAGAAATGCATCAACTTTACGAGTAGATGTGCCAATGTCTCGACTGCCCTAGATATTCACGCTCATCCCGTGATGATGGCTCCCGGAACCGGTTTGTACACTTGTGTGCAAAACCGATACTTGCAAACAGAACATGATGATTTCCACTGACTGCTATCCAAGAGGCATCCTGTGATCAGCTGTGTCAACGAAATAAGTCTTGCAGTGCCTCGACCTACGTCGATCGAAAATCGAGCTGCGTCAACTTTCATCAGATATCATACAGGCACACTGCGTTAAGCCATTGATTCGGGGAACCGCCAGACTTGTGCTTACTGGTGGCACCAGGAACCCGTCTACTGTCAAGCCTTGACAAGGCAGGGAACACTATAGTGCTACTGAGAAGCCAAATTAGCTAAAGATCGGCGACCCTGCAGTCTTTGCACCTTTCAGCATCACTGATCGTTTGACAGTGATCATATTTAGGTCAGAGCAACATCCATGACCTGATGTGCTCTCTCACATAGGGTTCTAGACGAGTCCCAGCAGCCGGACGCCCTCTGTACGCTCATATGCTCACTTGAAGAGTCTATCAATGTCGCTTTCTGCTGTCGCATGGGAGATATGCAATGCCTGGTCATCTTGGCAAACAATGGCCTTTTTACTAGTTACAGCTTTATATGTTTACAAAATAACACTGTCAGCAAACGTCTTGACAAGGCAACAACCTTGGAAGGTCCGTTGCTCTTTACATCTATCATCATAGCTCACACTCTACGGTTCGCGACGAATGTGTCAATATTTGCTTCTTCAGTTGCGCTCAAACATGCGTGGATGTGAGTCGGAGTGACTGTGTCCGAGCATATTTGAGTTAGTACTTGGACATTACCATAGCTGTCCGGTAGCAGCATTGTTTTCCATCAGCATCAACCCTCGAGATTTGAGGCTTTCGTTTGTTCGGCCAAGAACCAACTGCATCAGGTTTTGAATGATCTTCAGCCTCCTCAAGCCTTGTTACTGGTGCACCTTCCTTCTACCGGATCGCTACGACCAAGGCAGGCACTACATTGTCGGGCCTCGTACCTACATGATAGCCTCCCAAAACTGCCAGCACATTTTCCTTTTCCTCAATCTTGGAACATCCGCCTCACTTTGTAAGCAATACATTTAAACCACATTGTCACTGGTCAGCATCGATCAAGCAGAAACTCAATCAAAACATACCGACTCATTAGTCACCACGATACCCTAGTGATCTAAAGTATCCATCGGCCCCATCGCCGATATCCACCCCTTCACATATACGCGAGCACCCAGCCTCAGAAAGAAGGACCCTCTGAAGGCAAAGGAGTCAGATACCGTCGTAGAACACATTGGTTGGTCAGAAATGTCGCTTCGGCAGCCTTCCTCGACGGTGAGACTGGCATGCTATCAAACCTGTGTGGCAAGTTCCACTAACTCACGACATGCAAGGACTCCGGAGGGGCCGCAAAAGAATCGAAACCAGTCTCCAACATCCAGAAGAGCCAAGGTCAGCAGAAGAATATTACTTCGTCGATCTCTACAGGCCGTAATGATAAGGAGCCCTCTGAGTGCTCCAGCATCGAGGTGAGGTTCATCAACCGGCCAGACGGTACACCCCTGACTACGATCATCGAGCGCAATTCATGCTCAACGTTGAATTCGAAAGCGTCAACGCTCCCTACACGTTGGCGTTTTATACGGAAGGAGGTTCCGCCAATATCTGAAGGTTCAATTGAACACAAGACATTGATGGAACCCACGTGTGATCAGTTACGCGATTCAGCGACACCTCTTGCGGCGGTGACGGGGTGGAAAGCGCCCCAACCTTCCTCAAGAGTCTCTACAGAGACAGCAATAATCCAGACCGGGACTGTTGTGTCAGCTGCATCATACAACCCAATGCCACCACCAACAAGACCGGAGAAAAGTGCTGCTCCGGAAGAGAGTCCCACGGAACTCACCAATTTACGGTCCGCCAAGCAAACCCTTTATTGTGTGTTCAATACACTACTCAGGATTCTGCAATCGCAACATGTCGATAAGCGAGCTTCTGAAGCACTACTCATTGACCAGTGTCCAAGAAGGGCCATAATACCTCCTGACATGGGGAAAGCGTCTTGGCAACTGACCAACGAACCTGGAAAGGTCATCTGCGAAGTTCAGGTAGAAGCAGTCTCACATACTGAGTCATCCCTGCCTCTAAAGGAAAGTTTTGTAGCTGGTTCTACAAGTCAGAAGGACCCAACTGGTAACTCACAAGACGTGACACATGCGCCCATCTCATCGACTCGCATAACAGATCGCTCACCTACATACTCCCTGTTCCCCTCTCTAACTCTGTCTCCGCCCGTGTCGCCAACCTTTCCACCGGGCAAGACCATCTCCTCATCCATCCGAGAGCATCGTATCGAACCATCGTATAAACCTAAGCAAGACATTATCTCAAGATTAGCTATCGAAAATGAACCCGCACGACCTACTACAAGCCCCAATGAACTCCATTCCGAGTGTAGAGAACGGTGCAAGAGTCGAACGGGCAAATCCGCTGAAGGTAGCATTAGTGCGCAGCCCTTCAGCTCTGATACAGAAACTAAAACATCCTCGGCAAAACTGGCGACAACGGGTCTCGGAAACGCTAAGTCAGCTTCAAGACATTCCGAACGGAATCATCTCGTCTTCGACATTAACAACAACCAGTCAGCCCTTTTTGACGCCTCTGGAGACCCTTTCATCACAGCCTACCCCGACAGACGCGTCGTCCATATCCATTCCGCTGCACTACCAATTCTCCTACCAATCGCTGCAGCAGAAGGGATCGTCAGACCAATTGCTCGCAGGCCCAAAGCGTCACTCGACGTTTCACGACAAGATAAAGATCCGATTCAATCGTCTCCCACCGTGGTTGCAGGTCGTGGTCATGACCGCCGTCGTCGTCGTCATACTTCCCTACTTGATCGGCTACATGATGTATCATTGGTGCAAACTGATGGGGAAGCGGGTGGTGAGAATCAGTCGGCGAAAGATAAGGAGGCGAGGACAGGGCAAAGGGAAGCAAAACGTAAACCTAACAAATTAATAAAGCAGAAGAAGGGTTCCGTGTCTGGAGCATGGGGCCTTCGTACGGACGGCGGACGTGATACACCCGACCTCGTGCAGCTAGAGCCCATCTCTACTAATGCTCCGCTCCCATCAGCGATTCCCGACGAAGGACAGAAGCTACGTCACCGTGTAGGGAGCCGATTTGGACGGATTTTTAGATCCTGCTTTTGTCAATCTCGTCGAGGAATTGGAGGGGATAGAAATGACGACGACGAACTGGACGAGAGCCCACGACGTGTCACGCCGCGCAGATTATCCCCAGCCGCGAAATGACATCTTCGAATAAAGCACAGTATGAGGTCTAAGAAGCGTGCCTCTCGGTAGAATTGGCTTCAGGTCAATGCATTTCTCGTCAGCAATCAAATCCTGGCAGTACCTTAACATATCACTGCAGATAGCATCTTAGACGCTGATACATCCATAAGTCATATGCGCCACCAAACTGTGATCAATTGGTGAATATTGCTGCGTGGTTTCGCGTGGTCGGCAACAATTTCCAAATATAAGGCATGAATAGTAGTTGAGGAAAGGCTTCGAGCGCTGTAGGATGAAGACCAATGTCAATGCCAATGCCAAGCCGCTTGAGCGTGGCAGCCTGAGGCCAACATATGGACCCCGATCGACGTCGACCGAAAACTAAATACGGCTTTGGCTTCAATGACATCTACCAAAGTCCATCCGCTTTCCCAGCGGCCGGAACATCCTGCTTTCATCGCCAACATCGTGCACAACGAAACCTGTTAGCTCACTTTCGTTCATTATTTCCTTGACTGGTCAAATTTCTTCTTCGTCGCGGCGGCCGCCGCTAGAACTCCGTCAACATGGCTCTCCAAGCATCGATGAGCCTCAACGTACGTTCCTGCTACCGTAGCTTGTCGCGGTCACGCTTGAAGTATACTGATCACCGATTCTCTCTAGACCATCGCGAGTACGTCAAGCGAGCTGTGGCCATCGATGGAGAAGGTGCTCAAAGCCCCATGGATTCGCTATGATAGACAGCTTGGGAGTGCGTCGTCCGCTTCAAGAAGAGTTCCGTCGCATGTATCCAAGACTGAAGAGGCTGCTCTCGTAACTGTTAGTTCATCACAACTGATTTAGGGATTCCGCTGACAGATGAACAGCCCTCTCCATCGAAGTTACCAGATTGCCTTAGGCTTGTCAATCTAGCAGACATTGTAATGCGACCGACACTTATGCATACGGCACCCACTACGACGAGTATACTTGGATATAGTACGTGCTATTGAACATTGGAAGAGTTATTCGACTTATTGTGTTTACTTACATATACCTCAGCGTCTCGAGATGCTCTTCGTAGCTGCAGTGTTCTTGCTCGCCCTATGCCTCAACCCCAATTAACCACGCGACAGTATTCGACATTCAACCGGCTCGGACCTTTCAAACTCCAATCGATACAAAGACCCAAAGAAATGATGTTTGGTCAATACAGGACCATGTACGGGGCGAATCCGTCAAGAAATCAACTTGCGCACATGGAGCTGACGGCAAATAACAATCCCACCAGCGCTACTGCCCAGAACGCGTTCTACTCTGCACTGCTTCGAGCTAACATGCCCGAGATACTCGTGGAAAGATATCAAACAGGTCGCTACGCATCCAATCCTGCCTGTGAAGCTCTTTACGGGCGAGCTCTGGAACGACTTGGCCAAACCGAAGGACTGTCCGGACTGCAAACGCAGGCCAACCAAGGTCATAACTCGAATGTTACCCCGGAACAACTTCAAAGCATCGGCCAAGCGATTGCTGCGAAGTCTAGAGGTGGGAACATGGCTAAGGTGACCGGTGGTACTGGCACCAAAGAAGGACCGCTCTATGTTGTTGTCGATGAGTCAGCTGGGAACATTGCCTTCAAGTGGGCCAAGTTCATCCTGTGGTATGCGATGCTCGGTTACTTCTTCCTCATCGTTGTCACCCTTTTCGTGGACGCAACAGGAGTTCTCAAGAAAGTCAGTGGCTCGCAGGACGCAGAAGCTAAGCCAGAGCTACAGACTACTCGATTCAGCGATGTCCATGGCTGTGATGAGGCTAAAGAAGAGCTCCAAGAGCTGGTCGAGTTTCTCAAGGCTCCCGAGAGGTTTTCCACTCTGGGTGGTAAGCTTCCCAAGGGTGTTCTACTCGTCGGTCCGCCGGGTACTGGCAAGACGCTTCTCGCACGGGCTGTGGCTGGAGAAGCAGGTGTTCCCTTCTTCTACATGTCAGGCTCTGAGTTCGACGAGGTATATGTCGGCGTTGGCGCTAAGCGGGTCCGAGAACTATTCAATGCTGCGCGGCAAAAAGCTCCTGCCATTGTCTTTATTGACGAGCTGGACGCGATAGGCGGGAAGCGTAATGAACGTGATGCTGCCTACGTCAAACAAACACTGAACCAGCTTCTTACCGATCTCGATGGCTTCGACCAAAACTCTGGCGTCATATTTCTCGCAGCTACTAACTTTCCTCAAATGCTGGACAAGGCTCTGACCCGACCGGGTCGATTTGATCGCAACGTTGTTGTGCCACTTCCAGATGTTCGTGGACGTGTCGCAATCTTAAAACACCATATGAAGAATATGCAGCTCAGTACTGAAGTCGACGCATCCGTCATCGCTCGGGGTACGCCTGGATTCTCTGGCGCTGAACTCGAGAACCTTGTCAACCAAGCGGCAGTACGTGCATCCAAGAATAAGTCCCAGAACATTGGCATGTTGGATCTGGAGTGGGCAAAAGACAAAATCTTGATGGGCGCCGAACGTCGCAGCGCTGTCATCAAAGAATCGGACAAACTTGCAACAGCCTACCACGAGGGTGGACATGCTCTCGTGGCACTATACAATCCCAACGCCGATAAGCTGTACAAAGCTACGATCATGCCTCGCGGTATGGCTCTTGGCCTTACCTTCAGCCTTCCCGAAATGGACGCGGTCAGTCGCGCCAAGAAGCAATTCCTGGCGGAGATGGACGTATGTATGGGCGGTAAGGTCGCAGAAGAAATCATTTATGGTGAAGATAGTGTAACAAGCGGTGCGTCGAGCGACTTGCAGCGGGCAACCAACATTGCTTGGGCAATGGTCACACAGTACGGCATGAGCAACACACTTGGCAACATGGACTTTGCTAGCGACTTTGCCCGCCTATCGACCGAGACGAAGTCCAAGATCGAGAGCGAGATCCGCGTCCTTCTCGATGACAGCTACGCTCGTGCGAAGAAGGTTCTTACGGAACGTCGAAAGGAGCTCGATCTGCTGGCAAAGGGTCTTGTGGCTTACGAGACGCTAAGCAAGGATGAGATTGAGAAGGTGATCAAAGGGGAGAAGCTACCTGAACGGCTTGCTGCGTTGGAAGGAGCGCCAATGAAGCTCCCGGCGCAGCCAACACCGGTGCCGATTGCAGGGAAGCCAGCTGGACCGCCGACGCCGGGTATGGCGAGTGCTGGTGCGGGAGAGACGTCTCCGAAATCCTGACGGGATTGAGATAAAACATGCTGGCGTTGATAAGCAGAGCACATACTCCCCTCTGCATGTACGGGGATGGAAGGCATAGTTTGCATGGTGTTTTATATCTCTGAGCGCGTCTGAACCAGGGCGTCGGAGTGTATTCTAGCATACGAGACAGCGTTTCTGATATCTGTACATGTACGTGCGTGCAAGTTATGTGTTTGATTCAGTGATCTTGGACCAGGCACGTGAGAGTATCCTCAACGTCTTAGTTCTCGTACAAGCAGAAGATATGGCGTGTTCAACATGCGATGTCTACATGTGTCACCACTGTACACGTTGGGTATCTCCTCGGCGACCACCTCTAGACTTAGGAGGTTAGTGAGGTCGTGCATATAATAAAGTAGTGGAGTAATTGGTCCCATGGCACGAGCGCATTGCTAATTATTTGATCGATATCATATCATATCATCGACAGCTGCGCCATCACCAGCATCATCGTCGTCTGGTTATGGTCATCTCATCATACAAACAAATGAACGAGCGAACGTTTGATGATGATGATGACGTGCGCAGCAACTGAAACATGTTGCGAGATATCAGCCTATTTTACCTTTACCTTTCCTTACCTTGTTAACTTATCTTACATTACGTTACATTACATGTACGTTATACATCAATCTATACATACGTATGTACGTCCATGACAACGGTTTTACGCGAAACAGCGAGAGAGCGGTTTCGGTACTGTCTGTGTGCCTCTGGTGTCATAGGGCTGAACTGTAAGTAGTACATACACAAGAACAGGAGACAAAGAACACGACGACGTGAGCAGGAAAGGGAAAAAAAAGAAAAAGGCAGTCGGGAGCAAGAGAGAGGGACTCGTCTGTCATTGTCATCGCAAAAACTAGAAAGCAGCAATGCGAGGAGAAGAATCGTACGATTTCTGCATATTTGTGGCTGTAGAGGACTCATTCTCAGGCTCGCGCTCAGTCTCATTAATCATCTTCATCGTGTTTCTTTTTTTTTCATGGGGGCTTCTCCGCTGCAGCTAGCTCTTCCAAGACTTGAAACAATCGAGAACATAATTACGAAGCATCATTCCATTGGGAACATTCAAGTGGCGCCGGCGCGGTAGCAGGGACGAGAGGCTTCTTTCTCGTGGTTGCCACGAGGTAATGATGCCATGTCCGTGTCCGTGTATGCGGTGGTACACCGTACATGCAGCCTGAGCGAATGGATGGATACATTCTTGAAGTGTGCTTTATGCTCGATACACATGCAAAGGTGCGTCTAGTGCGTCTGTCCTGTGGTATACGTGCAGTAAGTGTGTCGTACGACGTGCGCGGATGTGTCTTGTCCTTTTGTCCTTGTCTTAGCTTGGCTCGTAGGGCGCAGGGTGCTGTTCAACATCACACGGCGTTTGGCGAGAAGGTGAGCGGCATACGAGGTATATGGTACGATTTACCACGTGGTTTTGGCATGCGCTGCTTGCGGGGGGCCGATTTTATGCAGTGCATGTACGCCCATGGTTGGGTTCCATGGAAAGGGGTTTGTTTGTGTGTGTGATGGTGGTGGTCCAGGGGGGCGTGCGGGTGGTTCTGGACCGCGTGGGAGCCACGAGGAGTAGTGTCGGGTGTACGATGGACGATGTCAGTTAGTTGATACAGCATCTTGGAATACTTAAAGTAGAGCACACGTCATAATGATAATCACGATGTTGAAAACTGCGGAGATGGTAGATGATGGGTGGAGGGTGGGTATAGATGCGGATCCTCGAGTACCGACTTTTGCGTCCGGGAATTATTGGCATCGTCATCATCGCAAAGAACAACACGATTTGACAATCAATTATGTCTGTCTGTGTATGATTATCCAAGACGAGTTGGCAGCGGAACAGCGGATGGAAATCATGTGTGTAGCTGCGGCGGGCGTTGCATCCGAAGCCACAGCTACTAGTACTGCTACTCTTACTATTGTTACTACTACGTACGGTCTACCATCTACTGTATCAGAATTACTACTGCTACCAGTAAGCTGTCGGTGTTCTCGCGTCTCGGCTATGGTTTCCGGTGGGACGACAGCGCCATCCGGTCGCCCCGACGCCCCAGCCCCCAGCCAGCCCGGAAGAGGGCATAAACGCACTATTATGTATGCATTATCTCGCCTCGCCCTGGCTATTTTTGGCCTGCAGTCCTGGCCATTGCCGGCCTAGATCGTCAGGGGAATCGGAGCTGCAAGAAGGACCGCAAACGGTGGTGCAGCAAAAAGGAGATTATTTATTGGTGTCGTGAGATGGGCAAGGCTTCACTCAGCTGAGGAGCAGCGAAGCAAGGGCTTTCTACCACGCCTCTTACTACTCTACTCTACGATGTCCGTCGCGTCGACTTGTTGCTATTCCTCAATGCCTGTTGCCCGCAAAGAAGTTTGAAGTTCGTTAAAAGTGATGGCGGCCGAAGTTCAAAGTTCGATAGCGCCAGCCACCCGCGCCCGTCGATGAACCTAACGTAGTCGCCCGTTTCCGCACTGCCATTGGTTGATTGTCGCTAGCCCTACCAAAACAAGCTAGCGTCTTACCGGGCACCCACCTACATCCCTTCCAACAATCTCCAAATCTTGGATGTCCCCCAACGCTACCTAGGTATACCCAACGTCGTATTGGCTCTCCTCTATCTCCCAATCACCACATAATCCACTTTGTGATGTAGCGTGCAGTTTCCATGATGCCCATACACTTACATATTGCATAGCCTTCCTCTAATAGCATGTCTGCGGCCCTGTGTTTCTTTCTCTGCCTCCTCCTACCACTGATCTAATATCTAATATTTAGTCTCGCTTTGCATTGCGAGCTATGAGGTCGTCATGGAAATCTACTGCCCAAGCATTGAGCGCTTCGTTGGTGTTTGGTGCCGCCATTGCAATTGATCTTGATGTGAACAGTGAAGGTGCGCATTCCGTCATACCGCATATGCTGTACAACCTCTCAAGGCCCGCCCTGACATCTTTCCAGACTCCATTCGTTCTGCTGCCTCGACCATCGCAGAGGGACTGTCGCATTACTACAAGAATGGCGGCTCAGACGTCGCCGCTGATGAGGTTGGAGTCCTGCCAACTCCCTACTATTGGTGGGAGGCGGGTGCCATGTGGGGAGGCTTGGTCGATTACTGGGCCTACACTGGCGACGACGCGTACGTGGACAACACGAGAAACGCCTTGGTTGCGCAGTCTGGTCCGAACAGGGACCTCATGAACCCAAAATTCTTTACGAGCACGGTGTGTCTTGAGATTGAAACCCCGGGACGACGGTTATGGCCTGTACTGATTCGACTGCAAATAGGGTAATGACGATCAAGCTTTCTGGGCTCTGGCTATGATGTCTGCCGTTGAGCAGGATTTCCCGTCTCCACCAAAGGATCAACCGCAGTATCTCGACGTCGCCAAAGCTGCCTTTGACACCCAGGTAGCACGATGGGACACGGCTGGATGTAGCGGTGGCCTGCGCTGGCAAGTATTCGACTACAACCCCGGATGGGCATATATGAACACCATCTCGAACGGCGGCTTCTTCCAGCTTGCCGCTCGACTCGCCCGATACACCGGAAACAACACGTACGTCGAGTGGGCCGAGAAAGCCTGGGACTGGACCGAGAAGGTTGGCCTCATCACAGACAAATGCGCCGTCTTTGACGGCACCGACTCGGCCAAGAAGTGCATCGACGTCAACCACCTACAGTGGACCTACAACGTCGGCATCTTCATGCACGGCGCCGCCACGCTCTACAACTACACCAACGGCAGCAGCTTATGGGAAGACCGCGTAAACTGCATGCTGTCCGGCTCCTCCATTTTCTTCTCCCCCTACGAAAACGCAACCGACATCATGTCCGAGGCCGGCTGCGAGCCCATCGGCACCTGCAACACTGACCAGCAGTCCTTCAAGGCCTACCTCGCCCGCTGGATGGCAAAAACCTCCGTCCTGGCACCCTTTACCAAAAACGCAGTCTCCAAACTCCTCCAGGCCTCCGCTAAAGCTGCCGCGCGCTCCTGCTCCGGCGGCTCCGACGGCGTCACCTGTGGCACAAAGTGGTATACCGACGCTTGGGACGGCGCCTATGGTGTTGGCCAACAGCTCGCCGCCCTTGAGGTCGTTCAGGCTCTCCTCATTGGCAGTGCTGCCGTCCCGCGCACCCAGCCTCAGGTCGATCTAGAGCCCACACAGTCCCCTGAGCCGGTGCCGGTGCCCTCGAAGACTACCTCGGTGGAAATCTTACAGTCCAGCACCGCTGCTCCCGAGCCGTCGAGCAGCGACGGCGCTGCGGCAATGTCAAAGAGCTTGCAAGTGCCCCTCGCTGTCGCGTTCGTTGGTGGCGCTCTCGGCATGGTGGCGTTGTGAGTGAGTGAGGGGGGGTAAGATGGAGGAAGGCGAAAGATGCCTGTGGGCTTATTTTTTTTTCTCTTATTTGTGTGTATGCATACACACGGTTCATGGATATCAGGGCATTGGTCGGCGTTGTTCTGGTATAGATGGATGGATTGATGGATAGAGGGGCGGAAAGGGATAGACAAGAAGTTCCGGAGGGAAATTATCGGCATAGACGTGGCTGACAGCGCGGCGTAATGAGCTAGCATAAAGAATTTTGCGTCTCTGGTATAGAAAGCAATGAATGAATGCACGTTTCCTGTAGAGAGAATCTTGTGATTTGGTTGTGGAAGCATGCAAGCTAGTTTCAGTCTTTGGAATGAGACTAGTTTCGGTGACTGGAATGTTGTGTGTGAGCTGTTTATATCTAGGAGCGTGGGCGCGTGTGGCATTGAATGGCATTGGATGGCAGTCGGACTATGGACTATGGATCGGTCGTGCCTGATCCATTTATCTGGCTGTCACTCCTGACACTTGTCTCCAGCCGCGCTTCTCCCATACTACGATTATAAAAGCATAAACCAATTGTCGAGATTTACAGGTAAATCAGTGCACGACCTCCGAATAGATAGCAGGACTACAGAACCTTTTTCTAAATGCTACTAGGTTATGGCCCCCGTTCACGATATAGTGGCGTGCATTGCAGTATCACCAAGGACGCAAAGGGCTACGAGACATCTGCAGATGCGCCGTTGACTCTAATAGACCAAACATTCTATGTTTGTTTGAGGCGACTAGCTGGTTGACGTGTCGAACATGGCTATGTGGTGAACAGCGCTTCGGCTGCCTGTTGTCCTTTCTTGTACATATATTGAAAGTTTGCCGTATGTTTGTTTGATCATGTCCTTCAACAGCGATGAATCCTTCTTGGTAAATGTGCCACTGCAGCCGAGTCGAACACCACCTGCCCAAACCTGGGATCGAGGCGTTTGGGCGCAACCGCAACCGCTCATGGTGGCAGTGTCCCAATGACCAGGACGAAGACTATTTTCAGCGCTAATGGGAGCGCACACTCTACGGTCTGGTGGTAGTAAACTAGATCAGTCAACAGACGCTGGAAGTTTGGACATATGTATTGAAGTAGTCCTTCATTTATGGCACGCTCATAATGCCAAGTCAGGGTAGCTTTCATATAGTACTTGTCCTAGGAAAATGGTATATTGACCACGTTAAGTACAAGTAGCGTTCTCTCTCTTTCTTACTTAAGGATAAAGTAGAGGACAGCGAACTAGACATACCTGATAGTAATTAAGGTGTACTCAATGAATGCATCACACGCTCGAGAACCATTTTAGCCGACTCAGCTTCCTGTTTCCAACAGAGTGCAATAATCTCGGCGAACAGTACTTCGCTCAATACCGGAAATCTCCCATCCTGATACAATTTCTCTATCTGATCATCGTCAGTCAGCTCTTCGTACGGCTCGTGCCCAGTGGCGATAAAGAAGATCGTCGATCCCAGACCAAAAAGGTCCCCTTTAAGTGCCTTTTCTTTTGGATCTTTCGTAAACAAGCCCGGCAGTCTATATCGTGCTCCAGGGAGGACCTCCGGCCTCGAGCCATCCACCGAAGCCCCACCAAAATCACAGATCTTGAGCCCAAGATCGCCATCAAGCAGGAAGTTATGCGGCCCGACATCACTCTGAATGACGTGATGTGAGTGTAGAAGGTCGACGGCCTCAGCAGCCTCCTTAACCCACTGCTCCCTCTGAGACCGTAATATCTCCTGCCTATGCTTCTCGATATACTCCTTAAGACTGCCGTTGGGCATGTATTCTAACGTTAAGATATGATTGGCCGAGTCCCAGTTCTTGACTTGTACCAGTCGGGGATGCGATCCAAGTCTCTCGTATACGCGCGCCTCAATAGCCATGTCGTTTCTGCAGGTTGCGGCGTTGGGGACCCCTATCCAGGGGGACTTGATTACATCTCCTGATTTGAGACGCTCTACAAGCCCGGTCACTCCCATTCCCAGGACCTCCCCCTGCACCTTGATAGTTTTATCAGCCTCGCCCTGGAGAAATGTCATGTCCTCGAGGCTCGGTCTGCCTGAGCTGGTGTGACTGCAGGAGGCTGCAAAGTGCGTACATATCAAAGATTAGCTTACCAGGTGGAATCTTAAGAAAAAAAGCATTCTTTGGGATAGCTTCATACCTGGAGAATTTGATGCCTTTGAGGTCATTTTACTTTATTTCTAGTTATGGAGTTTCGCCGCTACTGAGAATGTGACCGAAGTTCACGAGTGGGAGACTGGTTGTCCACTTATTATTTTGTATCAGAAGCCGATCGCCAAGAATTAGCGGTCTACTAGCGTAGTTTCTCATATGGATCAAATTTGGGTTCTAATTAGTAGTGTTTGAGTTCCGTTTGCAGACTTTACTTACCAATATTTTATCCTTACTTAACTACAATATCACTATCTACCACCTTTCATCTTCATTCTTCATCCTAGTAGAGCTGCGGAGTGTATGCATGCACTCGCCCGGTTCTTTTCATTTCCCACGCCGCCCTGAACACATTAAAGCAACTTTCCTGATATATGTCATGGATTATAATAAACGTAAAATCTCATCATACAGAGTACGAAGAATCATTAGGGATTGAGCGGGCGAGTGCATGTAGCCCGTATCGATGACCGGATGTGATGTTACTGGATCACGACACTCGTTCCTGATACATTGCTATGCCGACTCAACGCTGGCTTTCTACATGGCTCGCGGCGCATAACGAATCATTTTAAAGGACTTGATCTCCAGGTGACCTAACCCAAGATTTCTCGACCACGACTGAGTCCTTCGAGTGATCATCAGGTACACCCGGACACAGTTACCCCGATATTCAAGGCGTGGGAGGGAGGCTGATATGGGCTTCATATGCTCAATGTCGTGCGTGCTTTGAGAAATCGTATCAGGTTCTCCCTCACACGCAGTTGCGGCCACATGTGGCGTATCAAGGAGTAGGGGACATACCTGGGGGTAGTTGATTCTGAGGGAGGTGGATTTATTGGTTCATGGCTCCAGAAATGTTGCACTTGAAGCAGCAGGATGACGTAGAGCTGTGTTGACAATGTGGAGATAATTTGTACGGACCACCTTGCGATGTATTGCGGTACCGCTCGATAGCGACAGTGTGCATGGCTTGAGGAGGTTTAAAGGTAAATAAGTCACGCAAAGTACTCTGCTACTCGAAATTAGTGGATAAAGTAGTCGATCCCGAATAGACGTGGATGGAGGATACTTGGATAAGAATATGAATAAAAGTAATTAAAGTCTATCTATAGCTGTCCTTCTTCTGTATCTAGATCTATAGACTACTAAATAGATATAGTGTTGGGCTAGAAGAGTAAAATTCTATACTAGTAAGTATAAAGCTGTAGGAAATATATACAGACTAGAATCCCTGGCTTAAAAAACCCTTAGGTACTCATAGGAAAATTGTGATATTGACTACCCACGAGACTAGAAATCAATACTTAGTATTATATCCAGTATATGTATACAGGACAAGGCCTAATTTGTACAGATAATACTGCTATGCCCTCCGTTCGTGGTATAACTTATTCCTTTCTAGCTACCGTTTACAGGGCTAGGAGCGTTGAGACGTTTCATTTAGATCCCGTCTGTCCGTCACACTGTTGACAATAAGGGATTGGCATTACTTCTAAGGTATGTGATTTGCACAAAACGTAAGGCCCAGCTGATCCAAGGCCAGCATTAGCCGTCACGAAGCATACCCAAAGCGCAGATACGTAGGTCAAGAATGGTTCAAACTTAGTTTCATTTCCTATGTATACCGCAATCCTTTAACCCCATCTGAACAGCTTGGTATCATACGTTCTATGCAATCCAGCATTCCCAGAGCCTTGTCTTTGAGCTCTGAATCAAATTTTCTATCAGATTTGAGCCACCGCTTGAGCGGACATAGGCTGGGCTTTTCCAACGACATCACCTCTAGCCAGTTTGCTCGAGACAAAGAAGTGTGCTAGATCTCGCGCGGCGAGAGCGTCTTCAAAGCTGTCATGGCCTCGACTCTGCTTTGATTGTATCTCCCTGCCAAGGTGTACTCGGCAGAGAGTCTTGAGAGTGTGTGGACCCTCTCCTTTGGCATGCTTTTTCGGTGCGGGTGCAGGCCCTCTGTCTGCCCCCAGACCTTCTGCTCATGAGACGGGTGGTTAGTTCGTAGCGGTTTTCGCGGTATTGTGGGCTAGAGCTTACCAATATCCCTGACTAGAGAGTTTATCATATCTTCTGTAACATCGTTAGGGCCCTTCCCCTTTTTTTGACCTCCTTCTCTTTCTTCGTCGTCTTCATCGTTGTCATAAGCTCTCATCTCCTCTGCAGCCTCGTCCTCCTGAGTTTGCGACACTGTTTCGTTGGTAATTTGTTGCGCAATCAACAGCGTATCAATGACCTGCATATGTATCCATCGCAAGGCAGCGAGATCGTTGTTTGCGGCATGACCGATAACAATAGTAGCTGGCCCGACGTGTTTCCAGACAGCTGCCCGGGCGCGTTCTCGCCCCATTATACACCTCTTCTCCCGTCGAGCAGATTCCATATCCTTGCGAGTGACGCCCGAGAATCTTGTGTTGAAATGTGCCATTGGCACGGCGGGATAGACCAAGGTATCGAGCAGTCTGGCTGCAGTAAAGTAGTCAATCACAGTGACTCGGATGAGTTCAGAATCTCCTTCAACGCTGGTGCCCATCTCACAGTCGATTGCGACTGCAATCGATTCTGCTCTGCCGTCATTCGGCAACTGAGGTGTTGCGCGGTATCCGAATTTTTTTCTGAGCTCTGCTAGACTAGTTGATTTGGGGACATGCCATTTACAGCCTCGACAAGGGCTGGCTACTTTTGCTCCGTTGGTTTGTCCGCAGCAAGTCCATTGCTTTGGCTTTCCTCGCGATGCAGAGCTGTAGTGGCCAGGATGGAATCGGCATCGGATGTCTCGTAGACTCTTAACTTCGTTGAATTTTACCTCTGGTGGAGCTGTGTGTGGCTTAGGTGCCGATGAGGGGGCTTTCGTGTTCGGAAGAAGAATGACTTCATTTGCATGGGGGTCTACATTCTCAGGGAGGAGGTTGCCGTTCTTGCAGGCTAAGGAGGCTTGTTAGGATTAGATCATAGAGTATTAATGTACAACTCACAAACTCCGCACTTCTCGCACCTTCTCTTCAATAACAGATCACGATCACTCAAAGATCTCAATACATAGCCCTTCTGAGCCATTGTTTCTTCCGGTAACTTAAAGCTGTGCAGTGCCGCAATATGAGGAATATAAGCCTCAAGAGTAGCTTCGGGAGAGGATATCGAAGTCATGCTTGAATCGGTTCGTAAGAGCTAATGGAGGTTGCTGCAACACGAAGGTGATTGTGAGCGCTGGTTCAGTATCTTATCTCTGACTGTTGTGCGTAGCTTCTGTGGCGACCTACTAAGATCTTTGCTGTTGCGCCGTTTGTACACGAAGATTTAGAGTTCAAGACCTGCTGTAGGCTCTGCTCCTACAATTGTCTAGTCAGGGGAAGCGGGACAAAAGTATGGGGCGGTCAAGAGACGTTGTCTGAAGAGTGGTTGTCAATCCTGTGGGATGAAAAGGTTGAAGAAAATGCGTTCGCAATATTTTGTTTTCTCTGAGTCACACACGACATGCCTGTAGAGCGTGAAACGTGGCGCTGCGTCGTTAGGTTCACAAGCTACAAGCCCATGAAATGTGTAGTACAACACATGCAGCAACTTGGTCATCAAACGTCACGACTCGGTCCGCCATATGTACCGAGTCCTCTACTAACAATAACACTACGGTGGTAAATCGTACGTGCCAAGCAGAATCCCCGCAAGCGTTCAATTGTCAGTTTCAACGAATTCGACAGCAAATTTACAACAAATATTGGCATCAACTCCGGTCATCTAACCTCTACAACCCTCTGTATGAACCTCGGACTTCCCCTAAGTTCCACAGTCAATCCACCTCGTAAAACGAGAACAAACGACTTCTGAACCTACATTACATCTCATCAATACACAAACCACACTTGTATCAATATCACAGCGAATGATGCTAGGGCTGCGCTATATGCATATGGCTACACAGTTGAAGCACAGGACCAGCCGGAGAGAGACACCAGAGGCAAACAGAAGGATACATAGAGTGATGTAGAACATAAAATTGTCATTGAAAAGAGGGAGAGATGGCGTTACTGGAACCCACCAAGCCCGGGACAGCGTAAGCCGCAGCGTATGCCTCTGGAGAGTGGTGTATTAGACAGAGTGGGAGTTCCTGAAGGTAGTTGATCGGAAAATGTTCCCGAAGAATGTTTTATGAAGAGGCGGTCAAGTTGCACGATCTTATGTCAAGGCTAATATAGCGAGGTGCTTGGAGAAGTGCGCTGGTGATGCCTGTTTTTGCGATGGTGAGGTTGGCGTGAGTGGAAAAGGATTCGGTGATTCAAGCCTGGAATGAATGTCAGGCTAGTATCAAGAGGAAGATGGACCAGGGAGGTCGGTACACATCTAGGCAGATATACAGTGATGAGTGCTAGAGAAGAAGGGGGAACCAGAAGGAATTTGACAAGGGACTGAAAGGAAGCATCGTGAGAAGCACCAAAGCTAAACGCTGACGGTATTGTATTAGGGATAGCGGACTATATACAATTGGTTCGTTATGTTTGTTAGTAGATCGGAAAATTGGTTACTTGGATAGCGTCATTGAATAATGTCTGTATGAGAACAGGGCTTGGTCAATATCGATACAATATGTGAGAACTGATCACTTCTAAAATGTGTTGAGTTATGGTCTAAAGTTGATGGTTCTACAGAATTTATCTCATCTTCGCTGCGAATACTATGCTATGCTGTCATCTAATGCGAGGGTATATGTTGTGGTAAATGCTCCACTGTGCAGGTTCATCTGTCCCATGCACTTCTCTAAACATTACTTCTCGAAAATGATTACGTATCCATACACAGCAACCTCCATACTGCATGTAACCACATAGGCCGCCTTGATGCATATGCTTGACTCCTTACTCCTCCAGCAACGCGCCTAGGATCAGACTTTGCTTGAGGAACTCATCGCTCGCAACCCTGACTACCTTTCCTGCGAGTTTGCCCCTTCGTAGCTCCGGCACGCCTGTTGTATCTGCCATGAGCTTTTGCTTCCTCGAAGTTCCTTTCGATGCTCCAGTGCGAGCTAAAGATAATCTCGTATCGGGTTCATCCAGAAGAGCCATCACGGCGTTATCCACCATGTGCTCGTCCGCAAAAATCCAATCGAAATGCTTAGGCCCGTCCCGAGGTGCTGAAACGTCACTGTCGACACCGCGAAGTTTCTTTCTAGCCTCACTAATATCGCTGACACTCGCCACGCTCACGGCACCTAGCGCCAAGCTCAGGAACCTGTAGGCGCCTAGACGTTCCGCGCTTGCCTTACCTGTGATGAGTAGAACGGTCTTCTGGTCAAGCAGCATGTCACGTCGCGCCAGGACACTCGACAGATACGCCTCTGGTGCCGTAGGATCGTAGCAAATCGGCGCAGGCAAAGTGCGGGAGCGTATAGTGCCAAGAAGTCGGCTATGTCCAGCAGGCAACAGGTACGCACCTATCGGAAGAATTCGAGCATGACGTACGCAGTCGTGTGCCCAGCGAGCGGATAGACATGGGATGCCGAGAGCGAGAGCTTGTATGTACTTTGCGCGATGACCGTGAGTATTCGCGAGAACAGCCACAAATTTGAGCGAGGCATATCTGTGCTCTAGAATGAACGGTACCGATCCAGGAGTGGGAGAGTCAGGAACGTTGAACATCGACGCCATGTCTGGACCGATGATGCGACCGCCTTGAGACAAAATCAATCTTTCAAGGGTCTCGCGATCAGTGTCACGGTGCTCTTTATGCGCTCCTGAGGCGAAGGTGATGCCAAAGCCCATCTCAGCGAAGATCCCGTCATATGTGGGCTCAGGAGTTGGCGCTAGGTGCAGCGCGTCAGATGTTGTAAGCTCCTGATAGTTTCTGGCTGGGCGACGAGAGCGAGACTGGGGTGATATTGCAGAAATGCTAGCACTGACGGGCGTACCAGGACGTGGGTCCGTGGTGGTACCAGACGTTGCAGCCGAGACAGGATTAAAAAGACGTTCCTTGAACCGGGGCCACATAGTACTGGTGAGGTAAACATTTGTGAGAGCAACGATGTGGCGTTTAGTCTTCTTGTTATCTGAGATGCTGTCGCGTGCCTTTACTTCAAGCACAACTTTTTCGTACCCACATCGATCTGTTAGGGGAAAGGACTTAAGGTCTGTTGCTTGTGCACTAGTGATTCTTCCATTTAGGCCGAGGACCACATACGTCTTTTGCCGCATGCCTGTTACGTCAACTTTGACCACATCTCCATGTCGAAGATCGAGACTTCGAACATGCATTCCTTCGACCAGGTCTTGAGTACCGTCGTCGAAACGAATCTTGTAACGCTTGCCCTCTGATCCGATGCATGTTGCTGGCCAGTAGCTCATGTTACCACCAGGACCACCATTGAACCGCGCAAAGACGCGGTTCGGTGTGAGAGTGTTATCATCGTCGATATTAAGCTCGGGCTCATTGTCATCTGCGTTCTCGCCAGGAGAGGTCGATCTATGTGGCTCACTGTGAGCATTTGGCTTTGCATGCTCAGTCTGAATGAATACCGAGACTTCGTCCGTCTGCGGTAGAGCGTCGGCGCCATCGGAAACAGTAGCCGTCTTGGATTGAGGAGTCTCAGCTATCGAGGGAGGCCTGCGCTTCTTACCACGACGAGCGGCACTGCCAGAGCCTAGATCTGTAACCACAGGCCTGTTCATTGTCGGCAAACGACCTGGACCATGCGATACAAGAACAGCCGTTTTTTTCGGTAAAGCAGGCAAACTGAACATTTCCTCATCTTCCTCAACAGTAAGCTGATCAGATTGATTAGTGTCTACATCCTCACTCCCATCCCGGGGAGGACTTTTCGATCTGACGAGCGACTCTAAGTTTGCCTTCCGGGGAGAAGGTAGACCCCACGCATTGCCTTTCTTTCCATAAACGACACGCCTCCTTTTGGTTGGCCTCTTGGGAGAGCTAGCTGACGTCAGTTCGATGAAGGCCCGGGTATCGGCTGAGATGAGATCGTCGAAGTCCATGTCTTGTGTGTCGACTTTACCAGGACTCTTGTCAGCGGCAATATCCTTCATGCTCCGCAATGGTGTGAGCTGCGGCGTTTTTTGACTGATTTGGGGAGTCTTTTGGCTAAGATAAGATGGCTGGCTGTGGCGCTGGCTACCTGTAGATTTCCTGTTGGGGGATCCAGTTAGATGGGAATGCGCGGTCTGATATTGCCCTGTGGTATGGCTGTTAGTTCCAGCCTCTCCATTCGGTCTGGAAGATACAAGATTGGAATGGGAGTCCATGGTTGCTTCAGTCGGTGTAGTAGGGTCTTGGTGGATCCCTTTCAGAAGCTGTGCTTCGTCTACCGCATCGTCCCTGACGTTAACTCTCATTGGTTGTGATGCTCTCCGTCTTGGTCGTACAGGAGATGATTCTTTCTCAGTAGGAATGTTGTTTGCAAGTGGGTCGACATCATCAACGTCATCTGCTACGGGAGACTTAGTCAATACTTGATCAACATTGTCAACATATTTGCCGTTTATGTCCAATTTCAGGATCGGGTCTCGAACGACCAAGTCTTGGGTTTCGACGGAGATTTCGGTGTTCAATATAGGTGGGCTACTTGGCACTCTGCCAAGAGTATTGGCAACATGCTGCGAGCTATCAAGCGGCGGTGGTTTCGGAAACGAAGAGCTCTTCGTTTTAAGGCGATCTGCGGCTTGATCTGCCTGACTGGATGTAAGAGATGGCTGAGATTGACCGATTCGCGACCTTGAACCCAGAGAGCTCTCATCAATCAATCGTGCAGGCTTTCGAAGGCCGTCTTGTTGCGAACGAGTAGGCTGAGAATCAGCGACGGCCACGGTTTGTGAGCCAGATACTGTTCTTCTTCTTAGGGTTTGTGATGCTTTCTGTGAGAGCTTACTGGGTGTTTCGTTGTTATTACGATCGAGAGGTGGTGTAGTGGGAGGGCTGCTTTCAAGCTGTTTACCAGATGATATTTTCGGTCGGGACGAAGTCATAGGAACTTGTACAGAGCGCTGCACTTGCTCCTCGGACTGAGAATGAAAAGAACTTGTTGGTAGGTCGTCTGCTAGCTCATCTTCTGAAGATACGGAACTATCGTCCCCATCTGAAATCTCAATCACTTGTCTCGTAGCCTGCCTCTTCAATGATCGACCTGGGGTCACGTAATGAGCCTCGCTCGATATGAGAGATCGTGTCTTGCGGTGGGAGCTCGTCTGCCTCTGAGGGGCCGTGAGAGAAGCCTCCTGCAAAGCCTGCTTATTGAGCTCAGTCCTTTGCCTTCGACGTTGTGCCAATCTCTCTTCGCGTGAGAGCATATCATCCGACTCCATATCCGCGTCAGACCGCAAGCGCTCGAGTTCTTCTTCTCTCCTCCTGCGACGCTCTCGCAGCTCTTGTGACTCTTTCATGGCTAGGTAGGAGTCTCGTGGTTCTGTTGTCGCGCGGGCTGAAACACTCCCAAATTTCTTCACAGGTGACGATGCTGGCCATTGCATAGGAGACGATCGCGCCTCTCCAAAGTTCGGCGACGGGCGAAGAAAGATAGGGTCTGATTTTAAGTCATTCGCGGTGGGCGTTTCTGCTTGCGTTGCATCGAACATCTGCGTCAGCGACACTCCGGTCTTTGACTTTCCAAACGCGTTTCCGAAAGCAGACCCTGGTGTAGTTTTTGTAGCCGACGTGAGGAGTAAATCTCCATCATAATTCCTTTTATGGCCTGCAATCGCCGGAGTCTTTGGCACAACGAATTTTGGCGATGAGCTAGGCGGTGAACCTTGCGACATGGAATGCTGTATGCGAGACTCGGCCTGTGGACTCAGTTCTCCCGCCGTAAGTTCATAACTGGACACATGAACACCATTCACATCATCCCAACTTGTCGGCAGATCGGCTTCCTGGCTCAAGGCCTCGTCTTCATTGTACAATGGGCCGCCGTCGCTCTCATCCTCTTCCGCATAATTAACCTCATCTGGTTCAATGAAGGGTGCAATTTCTGAAACGTGTGATTTTGCGTAGTCTTGGAACAGTTGCGACTCGATCGGCTGCGTGTCGCCATTGATATCTTCTATTACACTGAAGGAATTGTACATCTTGCTCCGCACTTGGCTCGGTGTTTCTTCTACCATGCCCGAAAGACTCGCCGCTGGCGCCGTTTTGATGAGACTGAGCCGCGGTGGACCATGCTTGGCGGCCAAATTCGAGGCTGTAGTGTGTAAAAGAGCAGCACGGCGCGCTGAGCTAGATGCGCGCGTTACAGCAGTGGGAGAGTGTTCGATGGCGGAGGTCGGTTGGGAATTGGGAACCGATGACAGGTCTGCATTGTTCGAATGCTCAGACACTTGCATGGAGGCGTATGAGAGCCGCGAATCCGACTGTTAACTCTGTCAGTCGACTTTTGATCACTCTGTCATGCAGCATAAGCCTTTTGTTTGCATCGCGGTGGTGCGTGCGGCCCCGGGGAGGTGTTCCGTAAGGTAGCACAATCGATAAGGCAGCCTAGTCGGGCCGATAGAATACGCATATGGAGATGAATTACTTACATCAAGCAGTGCATGCCGAATAGCTGAAAGAATATCTGATGATACTGTATTCGCCTGGGAGGCCATCATCGCGTTAATTTCATGGAAAGATGAAGACTTTGAACGTGGTGGACCGAGTATGTCATTTTTAATTAGGCGCGTACGTGAACCAAGAAAAAAGGCACGAAATAGACGCGACAGCACGTGCTATATCTATACTGATATCCAATCAAATGTCATCTCCAATGCTTAGCGTGCTCGCTCTCGCCATTTGTCTTCACCTCAGCTCTTATACTCCCAGATGCAGTATTACCTGCCGGCTATCCACACATTTTAAACAATCATATATCAAACTGCTCGCTATCCCGAGCGCCACTAGAAATACTTATTGCCGTCGTGTAAAGCGCACCAAAGCATGATAGACAACATACGTTTGCTGCATGCAGGAAACGTTTCATCGCACACACAGGGCCTGGAAGGAAAAACTAAGAACCACGAAGATATTCTGACGGAGAACTCCATCTATCTACATCTAAAACTACCATTGGTCTACTCGCCTTTGATAACATCCTCCGGAGTCAGCAATAACAAGTCCTGTCCGCTTGGCAGTCATTCTTTGTAGTCCTAAGAGACTCAATGGTACCTAGTGTGTTGACCATACAATCTTCGCAAGATCATGACTCAAATCTTCAAAGAACTGCAAGTGACGAACCTTGCTGCGGTCATAAGTGGAGTCTTGAGCGAGCTCTTCACGGTTCGTTGTGCCTTTAGCTACCTGCGCAACCGCCGTGAGACTTAGACATTCTTCTCGGACGCGGTTTGCTAGCTCTTCTAGGCGACGCTGCCGTTGTCACCAAAGGTCTCTGCGTCGTTGGGTAGGACGTCCGACATTACGGAGACTGGAAGATGTTGGCAAAGGCGGAGCCATCAGTGCCAGTGGCTGCGTAGACAATTGACCTAGTTCTTAGAATCTCGGCTGTTAGATCCTCGCAAGTCGTTTCTATTCGAAACTTCGCCTACGCGAGATAATACCGACTCTCGAGCTCCCGTGGGTACTGGACCATGTATGTTGTGGAAGCCGACACCTCTGCTGCCACCGGCGATTAAAGCCGACTTTACCTGTCAAGTATGGGACAACTACGGCTCTGCCTAATGCTTCGTAGACTCTGTCGTGATTTGCGATGAAGATGCCTTGTTGATCACAGAAATTTACCGATGTGAAACTATGATGACAGTCTGTTTGATAGGATGTAGCGGGTTATCCTTATTCTTCTTATGTCCACGACCATTTCTTATACGAATCGTCAGTCCCGCACACTCCTGATAGGTCTTCCCAACAATGTGAGAGCGGAATGCAAGGCATTTCAGACCTCTTCTTTCATGGATATCCGATCATGATTCTGGCGTACTCACAAGTACTGCGCGTTATTCACTCGTAAGTCTCACTCGACTCACTTGTGCTCCATGAAGTGTGATTTACGCCTCTAATACCTGACACCACCAAGAGTAGAATCTTGTGAGATCACAAGTTTTATGAACTGTTCAGGTACAACTCAATTAAAATACCGCATTCAAACGCTAGTGTAATGATGGCTACCTCTCGTGTATCCTTATGCATAGAGCCGTTCGTACGAAACGCATGTCCGCGTAGCTTAGCCTAATCTGAAAGGCGATTTCCCTAAGTTCTTCATAAATACCGACAGTTTAATGCTCATCAGCAAGATTATGTTTCTCTCATAATCTTACACCGTATACTTCATACTGTTGTGTCTACGATAGTCTGCTAGATGACTTCGCAAATCCCGTTGATAGAGCATTTAGATCCAATCTTTGTTATTGAATCCAGATAGAGAGACATTGAAATGTGCCTGGATCGCTCAATCAGTCGTGATCTAAATATATGAGGTTGCAGATTACAAATCCGGACACTACTATTTTAGCACTTCGTGTCTCGTACGTATCATGAACGATTGTCGGTGACCTTCGCCATTTGAACCGTGGTCCCCGTTGTTTATGACTATCCGCTAGATTTCTATATTAGCGCATTTCAATGTCTCGCCATATGTGATTAGACCAGACTAGGGTGAATGATTCTGTCCAGGGATTGTATTATCAGTCGAAGTGTCCCGCCCGAATATACGTTGAACCACTCATCAAATAGTCATTCGGCAAACTCATGTACTCGTAAAAGGTGGGTTGTAAAAGATTGTACCTGGGAATCATGTCAGACCACACGTGGAACTACGCCTCGCTTGTGGTAGTCATTCCTGGCTGACACTTTGGTTCAAAGTAGTGTCGTTCGTGCAACTGTATCCATGACACTCAGATCCAAATCTTAGGCTATATTAGCATCTTATGGTCTATCTGGCAGAAAGATTCGTATGCTATACGTTCTGATGATCATTTTTCCTTGAACAATGAAGCTTCCGGCTCCAGCCTCCACCTGTAAGACGAGCAACCAGGAAGAGGTCAATACCAAACGGTGGCTATGTGGAATCAGTCTATGGTGGGCGCTTGCCAACGGCACTGAGTGAGTCCGCTTCACTCTTGGCCTCTTCGATGATATCCTGAAATATATCGAAATCAGTGCTAATATCATGTTAGAGACGGCCGTCTCTTTATATTTTTAATCTAGGGTGATGCACGTTGGTGTCGGACTCACCAGACGTGTGCAGGCTGTAGCGGATCAACTCAATCAATGTGCCGCACTCAGCACCTCATGTGTGTGTCTGGTAAGTGGGAGCTACCTATGGTCGCAAAGAGCTTCTTAGACAGGCTTAAGCAGGTAAGGCAATTCTGTCAAGCAGCAGCCTCTACTAGGTCCATATCTTGAGGGTGTCCAGCTTCTCGGGCTCTGTAGGTTTATGTGAGATCAGGCTGAAATGATTAGCATGGAGGGACAGTGTAGATTAGGGGATTTACGGGACCAAAGATCAAGAATCCCTCGAGAAGTACAATCTACAAGGCAGAATCAAGGCCGAGCCATGTAAAGATATCATTAATCAGGTTCTCCTAAATTCGAAACTCGCAATGGCGCACTCAACACCATCGTAGACACTTTCGAGTATTCATTTTCTCTCAGCACGTTTATGGCCAGAATATGGATTACCACCATCATCATGTGGTTATTCTCGCAGCTTAAGGCGACTTCCCACGCTTGGGTGATTCCATCCGAGCATCCCAAAGGACCACCTCTTCAATCGCCTTGTCGAAAACCTTTGTGCTTCAATTGCTTTCTCGATTTGTTACAGATCACCTTGTAGCTACTAGTCATCTTCTGCATCTCATTGATCAAATCTTTATGCTCTTCCGCGAGGCCAGCCAAAGCTCTATTTTCCAGTCTAACGCCCTTGCTCCAAACGACTCCCTGGTTGGTAACTCTTGTGCCAGCTTCCGGAATAACATGCGGCTCATTGAAAGTACTCATGTAGTACTGTCTACCAACCTTGCACTTGCCGTATCGCTCACTGCTTTGTCAGTGTGCGTAAGATATATTTATATATATTCATACTAGAGCTTATATCCTTTCATATTAAAGATATTCATAAAGTAAAGGACAGCCCATAGAAGCTGTGTCTTGTCTCAGGTACGTAGACAAGAATCTTCGGGAAGATTTCGAACGCCGAGCGGCTGGTAGATGCGGTAAGAGAATTGGAGAGGGATATATAACTCGCTATGCATGTATATTCATGAAGTCACTACCGAGTTATTTCGCCGGTCGTAGAATAGGGATGAATCACTTACATGGTTCTCTATCATCATGTCCTATGCTAGTTTCTCTTAGATATATCGTCGGAATCGATATGAAGTTAAGGGAGAGCCGTAAGCTTCGACGTTGAAGCCATGAATTAGACAATTCCTTTTGATGTGAGTAGGCCAATAGGGTAACATAGGTATTTAGAATACGTTGATAGGTTAGGGACAATTCGAAGGTTAGATCCATGCATTAACATATGATCCCTTGGTTCAGCAAAATGTCATTTGTGCGAGACCTGTACAGGGTACAAGGTATGGTAATCCAGTTCCACTTACCAAAGTGTTGATGACAGACCACGGTACAAGATCGCTTCCTCCATATCTTCACAACAACCCAGGCCCACTTTCTCAAATTCTCTTCTAGTTTCATTCATCATCTATTAACATTCATCTGCCTCCTAATTCTCGGAAGTCAGATCTCGATCATACACGCTTGCTAGTGACAATGATGCAGTCTACAAGTTCGAGGTTCTATGGTGTAAGCTAGGCCCAGTCGCAGCCAGTTCTTCCTCGTGGTCTAATGCCGTTATCAAGAGTTCTACAGCTAAGAGTGCTTCGTCTCACCTGGTCGAAAATGCCCTCCCCATGGCAATGGAACCCGAATACGACCATGACGAAGCAATAGGAAGCATGCGGTCCACAACGCTCGTATGGCAGGAGTCCGGAACAGTGACCAAGCAGCCTCGAACCGCCGACACCCAACTCGCTCCACCAACAGTCCATATCACCCCAGTCGCGGCTCGTACAGGCAGTCTAGCTATTTTAACGCAATTCGAAGACGCCGTGAAGCACTTTCACGCTCTCCACCGGCAGACCGACGCATTGCCAGACAAGAAGACAATCAAGAAAGGCCAAGATCTCCACCGAATGATCGTAGGGTCCCGAGGGACGAGCTTCTAACATACTTCAATCTGTCTGAAGGAGCTCGCTATGATAACAGGACTCAGATTGACTGCCACCCTGTGGCTGATGTCGATATGCGTCTTGAAATTCAACGACTTGAAGCTTGTTATGCACACTGCGTCCGTAAGGCAGAGAAATACCGGCTCAAGGCTCTAGAGATGGAGCAGACCTTAGCCAGGATGAGATACCAGGAACGGTGAGCTTTCAAGAGACAACGCGAGGACGAGTATGATACTTACACCATATTGGGAAGCATCACGACCAGATCAGAACGATCCCTGTAAGAAAAGCGCGGAGTGAACGAAAAGATCCCTGAGTTTCAACGGCGATAGATGTTGTTTAGGCATCATCCTAGGAAGAGACTCTGTCGCCCTGATGGAGGCAGATAGTGGACTTAGTAGCGGCCCCTGAGAGGCTGAGTGATGAACGTCTATGTAGACATTGCCACTGAGCTCATTATGTATAAATAAGAATGTGTAGGAACCTATGAAATACATTATACTGGAGAATCAGCAATTGCACTCAAAAATATGCACTAAATGATTCATAGACACTCAACTGCTGAAGAGCAGTCGCAACAGTATCGAGGCTCAGACGGAATTCCCTACGGTTTTACCGCACAGGCGTCACTGATGATATGATGGCATGAAATTTATTAATTCAATGTTCTGAGCAATGCTGTGTGCGGCATGTACCCTGTCAGTTGCAATTTACCGACTTGCTGCACAATGAACAACGTCCATGTTCACTCTGTCTACGCCCCAAATGGATTTACTGACACGAACACGCACTTTTGTCGTTTGATTTTCTGTTTTCCGCTTCTCGACTCTGCAAACTCCAGCTCTACAAACTTTAGCTCTGCAAATTCTAGCTCTGTCAATTTCGCACCGATAACTTAATATCACAACGATGCCCGCGGGATTTACTTCGATCGTATGTAGATGCACGCTCTTCTATATCTGTTAGCTAATGTGTTACACTAGAACAAGGGCGTCTCTAGACTTCCAAACTCCTCCACAAGTCCAGATGCCGCCTCCCCTCAAAGCCTAATGTCCGATGAGGTCGTCTCCCCTGTCCAAGACGATGAATCACCATCGGCACAGAAAGCCGCTAGAATGCTGGTCGACAAGAAAAATCCCACAGGTCAGGGTGTATTAGGAGCGGCCTCGAGTCGTTCAGATCTGTGCGTAAGTGGTAGCCAAAGCGATTCAGAAGAGTCAAACGAAAGCACTTTTGCCTCGAGCGTTCGTAGACGCCTCTATACGATTCGTAACACTCATGTACAGAATCATGATACTAGACTAACGGAGTCATTCTACGGTTAGTCCCACCATGAGAGCGAAGTCAAGGTCCATGATACTGATTATAAAGGCCCCGAACCTCATCTCCATTCGATACAAGGCTCTTTCGAAGGCCTCAATCCCATAGATCTATCTCCTTCATCCGCTCCGGCAGACGGAAGAAACGCTACTCCTAATGATATCCCAGACCTTGATGAAGAGTCGAGTCCTCCGGCTTCGGGTGCAACAACTATAAGCTGGACAACACCGCTTTCCCGACAGAGATCATACCAACAGCCTCTCACGGAAGCGAATCTCATGGGCTTGTACAGGCCATCAAAATGTGACAGCCCTGAACCGAGTATTGAGGAAGAGCTCGAATGGGATACTGTTCGCAGGCAAGGAGGACTTGAAGAGCGCCTCCAAGGCCTACGGAACGAAACCAATACCTTACGTCGTTCGACTCCTTTCTTGGCACCCCAATATGAATATGAGATGCGAGACAAAAGCGATTTCAGTGAGGACCATCGTACATCTCCTCGATCTGAACGCCCATATCCCTCCGATGAGGATAATCTGTACACTGAAGGCGCAGATACATCTCGACTACAGACAACATTGAATTCAAACAGCTACATAGGATTGGATGAGCAAGGCCAACAGCCGGTGTTTGGGGGACCCCGGAACATGTTCTCGTCTAACAGGATGGACACGACGAGTACTATACCACAATCTGCCCTCACACATGGTCTCCAGGCCAACGATGAGGCATTTTTGGCTAATGGCGCCCGTCAGACTGCTCGACGAGCTGACATGATGAGCACTTCCCATTGGCAGCGCCCAAGCCTTCTGCCGCAACTACATGGTCTACCGGATGTTGCCCAGCAGTCACGTCAAGGACGCCCCAATTCAGTGAATGCTCCTAATTCCTTGGACATTAGACGCCATGAGGACGTTGCGATCCTACCCAACCACTATGCTAGAGACCTGGCCGATACGGCCAACAGCTTGCGTCGGGAATGGAACAGCGATGAGTTGCCCAGTGTGGCACTTGCGCACTTCCACCTTTCCAGAGTCTATCTGGCGGACGCAGAATGGGGGCTCGAACAGAGAATGAAGGAGGAACCAAACAGTGGACGGGGAACAAAGCGTAGGCACAGTGAGATCCGTGGTGAGGAGGAGGCCGAGGAGGATGAGGACAGTTTGGTAGGAGAAGACTCGCGGAGGAAGAAGTCTTACAGAAAATGATAGCCCTGAGGCCTGCAAGTACTACCTGTGGCCTAGGTATCGATACTCTGCAGATGCCTACCAGAACTATACTCCTGCGGAAGCCTTTGGGTATATGGGAGGCACATCATGGGCGAAAATGACGTAGCGTCTGTACAATATCATTAGGAGTTCAACACAATGGCATTAGGTTTCAAATAAAACTTTGAGAAGATGACCAACAGTGAGAATGGGTCTTATGTGTGTTGCAATCATGCATGAAGTCTTGGACAGGGGCAGGGGCGAATCTTAACATCTTCATCAGTACTAAGCAGCTGATCAGGGATCGTCATCCCAAGCCGAGGGTACCAATTCACAGCGAAAGCAGAATGTGATACACCTAATATCAAAGAGAGCTCGAATGCCATGGCGACGATCAACGAAAATCTGGACTATCGACACATGGGACAATCAATGTAGGGTAGTCGCGCGATTGACATGCTGGACTCGCCAACTGATGTTGACCTCTGCATATTTCATAAGCCGCTTTGCGACAATGGAAGCTGGACAAGATATCCACTTCACTCCAGAACCATCTATTCCGATGCTGTGTAATGGGCCAATAGCCAGGGGTTTCGTCTCAGGAATCTTCCGTGCATCTACATATCGCGGCGGGTCGCCAGGGCTGGGTGAGCACGGTACAGGGTCTGAATACTGGGTGGTATGTGGGACTGCGCAAGAGGAAGACTTTCCTCTCACGGACCATGTGTTAATGTTGTGGAGCAGAGGATCCATCAATTCATGGAGTATGGATGGATCCGATCCATTTGCTCCTGCCGTGGTTCTCTACTCCCTCCAAGCCACCATCGATGTCGGCACTTGACCACGACAGCCAGGCGTCATCAGGTTGATTAATATTCGTAGTCACCTTTCCCTACGGCTCGACTATCAATGGCTAGTAGATGGCTATTGACGCGTTACTGGGACATGCCTCGGGAGGTCCCTCCCTTTGGGTGCGTCAGAAACGCTGCCCCGCTTAGTTCTGTAGCGGTCCGCCAGTCTTCGTCGGCCACCGAACATGGACAACGAACTAACAACAGCATAAAGCCACAGAACACTCGAAATGCCTGTTCTTGTCAAGCGTCAGCGCAAATATCCATCAGAGTTGCTCGAACCTATTCAGGAAGGAGATCTGCGGAAAGCGCAAACACCCAGAGCGAAAACGTGGAAATCCTTTTCTCTTGCGTTTGTGCGTGCGTACCACTGGCTAGGCACAGTCTGGAACCTTTCTCGAGTCTACAGTACACCGTGGCTCATTCGTGCATCGCTATTTTTGTTGTTACACTATTGGGGCAAGTCAAGATAAATCGTACCATCAACACTAGATTCAAGAGTGACCCGTAAGCCATGAGCCGTAACAGAGTGAATGCTCTATCACGACTTTACCTTCTGACTCATGGCAGCGGTGGCTTGAGATCGTAGCATGGATCAATGGATTCGAATGCCCTTCATCCTTGCCATGAGCGTGAGCGCCTCTTGAACGCCACTACGATGCAAACCGGAAGGGGGCACAACACTGATGGCTGAAATGCCATGGCGCCCTCGGCGACTGACTGAAGAGGCTTGGAGGGCCTTCCGTAAGAGGCGCTTCGCCTTACGACAGTTCCAATCAGACAAATAGCCTTCGTTTTACTTTGTCTCAGAACAGCTTGTGGAAGCGAGGCAAATAGTATGATGAGTTTGCATGCGAAGCGATACGATCGACGATCTTATGGAGGGTCGACCTATTCAGCACCTATTAGCAACTTCATGTTCGTTGAAATCCTGCTGTCAATACTTGTGTGTGGTCTTCGTCTCGATATTCTAAACACAGCAGCACCACCCCAGAAACAGCCAGCTACGTAGCGTGGACCACTAAGGTGGCCTAAATTTATAGTGTTTATACAGGCCAATGATGACGAGGATATTGTCTGCAGTTCCTCGGTAAGTATCCCTACGATGCGGAAGGCTGCTGTTTGGGATGCGGAGAAATGTACCCTGTGGTGGACTTGGGGCTGCACCACGACTGGAAATAGAAGAGGCTTAAGCCATCCATTGCGGCGTAACATCCATCTCTGGCTCGTAATTGGGGTACACACGGTTTGGTCATCTTTTGTCTTCTGTTCCCCACTCTATTATCCTCTTGGGGCTAATACCTTCATATTTAGAATGTACGGAAATGTCCTGTATGTGGCTCTAATTATTTCGTCACCGGCTTACCTCTCTACATATCGCAAAGAAGGGCTTATCGGGCATGTCGCCTCATTGGTCCTGACATCCTGTATATCACTGTCAAGCGCCGTACACTACACTAATTTGACCATTCAATGCTCGATGCTCGATGCTCGATGCTCGATGGCTTAAGCGACCGTCTAGTAGGTAGCGTGACCCGCTGGGTGTTTCTACTCATCCTGCATTGGTTGAATGTGTCTTGACTAGACACCGAAGTACCCACATTATTCGTACATGTCAATGTGAGAGAGAATGTCGCCGAGGCTCGAATCTTGATATTGGTACAGATCTATATTATTATATATATCTGCTTCCTCGCCATGTCGATCAGTTGGACTTTCCTTGCCCAGCTTCTCTACAACTCTGCATATTCACGCACATCGCCACAATGCAGCGCTCAATCATCTATTCCCTGCTGGCCAGCAGTGCCACTGCCTTCCCATTCGTCTCCAATGTCAAGGGAGTCGACTCGAGCCTTTTCCGTCGTCAGCAGGATGGTAAGGGCCAGCTTGGTGGTCCTGATAATTGCCCATACAATCCTCCCGAGAACCATGTACCGGCGGCGCCTGTAACCGACCAGTTTCCCTACAACAGTGCCAAAAATGGTGTTCCTGGTAAAGGAAAGGGTGGCTTCCTCGTCCCCGATCCTGCGGACGCAGCTCACAAATTCATTGCCCCTGACTACACACGCGATATTCGCGGACCATGCCCCGGTCTTAACGCCGCTGCCAACCACGGTTTCCTCGCCCGCGACGGTATCGTCACATTCAATGAGCTTGTCGACGCTCAGCAGAATGTTTACAACGTCGGTTACGACTTGGCTGTCCTTCTTGCCGTTCTTGGTCTCACTACTACAGACGGCGATGCCGTGACTATGAAGCTGTCAATCGGTTGTGATGCCACCAACCGCACTTCAGTTGCTCCTCTTCTGACCGGCAGCCAGCCTGGTCTTGATGGACACAACAAGTTCGAGGCCGACAGCTCGTTGACTCGTAACGATTTCTTCACCCATGGAGGTGACAACTTCAAGATGAACGCCACTCTCTTCAGCATGATGACCGACACCACTGGTGGTCTCTACAACCTTGAGAACCTTGCTCTGTATCGTGCTCAACGTTACGACCAGTCCGTTGCTGAGAACCCCAACTTCTACTTCGGTCCATTCAGTCTGCTGCTATTCGGAGCCGCATCCTTCTTGTATGAGCTGATGCCCAGTGGCCCCAACTACACTCCTGATGTACCTACAATCTCGTCCTTCTTCGGTGCTGAGAAGGTCAACGGTGTATGGCGATTCAATGGCAAGGAGAAGATCCCAGATAACTGGACCAACCGCGTTGAGCCATACAGCATCCTCGATGTAGGCGCCCAGATCTTCGCCATGTATGGCCTTCACCCCAAGGCTTTCGGCGGCAACACCGGCGATGGGCAATTCAACTTCGTCAACTTCGGCGACATCAAAGATGGCAAGCTGCCAGCCGCCCCTTCAGCTACCAGCGTCTCTTGCCTACTCTACATGCTTGCCACCGAGCGTGTGCCATCTTCGCTCAACGGTGTCATTACCCCGACCGTCGATGCTCTCTCGCTTGCCCTGAGCAAGCTCAACCCCCAGTTCAAGAACTTGGGCTGTCCTCTTCGCCTCACCTAAACGGTCACAGACCCTATTTATGTAATTACGAATGTTCATGTTGTTATGCATCGGTTGGTTGGGAGCGTGGCATGGTGTGGGTCTTGGACTTAGACACACGAAACTTGTACATAGTTGATGTCTAGTAAAATGATATTGAGATTTAACACTGTTAATGATTTTGCCACATGGCTGTCCTGCATGCATCTGCACGAGAGAAATGTACACTGGAAAGCATTCTACATCTCTGTCTACTGTACCTCGACTACCGTGTCCATATCACTTGGCCATGGCTACTGTTCAACGGAATATGCGCCGTGCTGTTCTCATGAACCCAAAACTTCAAGTCGCCTATTAACACACTCACTCCAACCTACCGACAGTGCCCGAAGACACAAACATCTACAACAGGCACACATTCATAGCCACCCGTCCCGAACTGCTCCACATCCATGACTCTCACCGTGATATTCCGCCAAAACTTACCTAATAGTCAACCCACAAAAGCCACCGGATCATCCCGAGCACCACATGTGTATATCTCTCCCTTCCGTTGCCAACCAACATGCACGTCGAAAATCTAGACAGCCTTACCTGGCAAAGTCCGCTGGCTTGCATTTACATCGTATATTCTCTGCCAGCACTGGTGCTGACTATCTGGCATGGCATGCAGTCACGGGCTATATTAGGCTATTTCCAAACCCATCTTTTGTCAAAATTACGCTTTTTTAACACATTTTGGCGTTGACAATGGCAATGACGATAATTCAAACATCGCGTGGGGCATACCTACATACCAGGTATCACGTTGATCCTTCTGGTGTGGCGGGACATAATGTCGACATTACCATGCGGATGATCGGCCCCGGGGGGCCCATTCCATCCCGGCTGGACGTATCCTGGATACTCAATACATCCTTGGTTGTTATGCCAGCGATGGGGATCTGGCGCCACACGCAGCTAGGCAACATCGCCAGAGTCGGGTGACTTGGCTGTCATGAGCGCTTCTCTCTCTCTTTCTCTCTAAGAACCACTCTGTAGCGACGTAATACAGGAGGAAGAGATAGAGTTGGCGGGGGAGGACCCTGGTCCTGGTCAGACGCCAGGTTGGGATCCGGATGCAGATGGGGCGCTTCCCCGCATCCGTCCACCCTGGACGCCCCACTCATCCTTCCAGGGGGCCGAGGCTGACATTTGATAATTGAGTGATTGGTTGTCTTGCGTGTAATTATTCGATTTTGCGAAGATACTTCATGTGATCGAGGATGGTGGGGTGAGGGAGTCACGTCATGGTGCATAGGGGGGTGGGGGGCATGGGGAAGAGGTTTGTTGTGGAAGTAAAGTAAAGTGCATTGCATGCATACTGAGGCGAAATAATGTATCATCGTTAGGCATTCCTTCTTTTCGTTCTTATTTAAATATTACTATGGAGTAGATGTAATGATGAGATTGCAGATCGCAATTCTCCGTCGATCCTTCTAATGATGCAAATGCTTTACCTTCCTCCTTCTTTACAAACAAATGCATGCCCATATGTTGTATCACTGCCCAGTAGAGTCTTCCTATTTACCCGAAGACATTGGAGTCGTTTATTTCTACAGCATGACGACTCATGACAACCAGCCATGACCAACGTCAACATAGTAATACACTGACTGCCACTGGAATATTACGAGATGGCAAATACAAAGTTCCGCCTAGAGCAGCTTCTCATCAAGTAACTGATACGCTAGAAGCGTGTTTCAATATATCAATGATTCACAGCTTGTCGAAGCGTTCGCTGGTCCCCCATCGACGCTATATTGACGCGTGTCAGTAATCGAGACCTGGAAGCTGTCTAGACTTCTTACTATTTACGACCATTACCCCTAACCAGTAGCCTATAGAAATGTTGAGAACTCTCGCATCTTTCTCATGCCTAGTCAGTGACGATCGGCCAATTTGAGTATTGACGTCCCTAAAACCATCTTGTAATGGTATCTACAAACTATTGTGGTCCACTGTTCTGTTCCGATCCTCTGGCGTTGGATTTGGTCGCTTCTGTGCCTACCGGTCTACGCTGCCGTGAGAATGACGATAATGGCTTAACTATGAATGAACAGTCCTGTCCCTAGCCAAAGCCAACCCAGCTGTTTCTCTTGTCTCTTCGGACTTTTCCTGCCGGTGTCATAGGGCCTTGTTGTACCTCGATGCGCTGAAAGATGCTGAAAAGATGTTAAACACAAGGTCCTGGTCACTGCAATACAATGCATTTGGCTGCTGATCGGAAGATGGTCCCCTCTCCCGTGGCTGCATTGGTGAACTCAGCCAGCGTTACGCCTACACTGTTGCCAACCTGTCCCTGACTTGCCGGAGACCTCACGGACGTTCGCAGTGGATCCCAAACAGATATCCACTGAGTTGTGTTGAGTCGATACCATCGACTAAGCCCTTAGCTCGACCCCATTCTCCGGGATACTATCAAGCTCATAGACCGTACACTGCATACATGCATCCTCATCCATAGGAGTTAGGACCGACCAACTTACCAAGTCACCTATCGCAACCTCTACATCTCGTTACCCAATTTCCTCACATCTCTGACTGCCGCCACATCGACACGGTGCGCTCTTGCTGTCCTGCACCTAATCCTCCCTTCAGCTCTAAGTCCTATCACAAGGTACTGTTATGAACGCGAACATGGAAAACTGCGAGACGACAATTGTCCACGCCTGTACCCCATGTCGCCGAGGAATGAAGAGAATGCATACATCGCACTGAGACTTAGTGACGCTCACGAACATTATACAGTTCTCAACGCTAACTTCTAACTACCGCTACACTCCCAGATATCGAGTATGTACCATCGGCGTGGGTGTCACCATATAATGCATATATGCCCATGCAGCTCCTCTTGAACCCTCTACCAGGAATCCATCAACAGCACTGAGAAACTCTGGCATAGGTCATGATCGCTCGGGATTATATCCCTTCTCCTTCTTGGTGCAGCCGCTGACGATGACCTTAACAAATGGTCGATCGGTTGCCCGCACCTAGACGTCACACAGCCAGCGAAACTATCTCAAACGGCTTGCACAACAAACACGAGTGTGACCCAAGCCCTCTCTCTACCAATACAGCAAACACCTTCAAATCGCAAAAGATTCAATCCAAACAGCTGTACGACATGCATCCAGTCCAACAAGGCCCCAGTCTAGTAAAGTACAGTCTGGAGAACACCCTCACCGAAAATTCACTCCTCAAAACTTCGACCGAAGGATCCACAGCAACCCCCTATTCTCTTCAACGCGCCCTTGGCCAGCTCCGCTTCGGACAAGCCCAGCCAGGCCGCATAGATGTTCATCTACCGCTTCATAGGCAACAAACCCGCGGAGCCTCCCAGACGGCAGTTCCAAGCAAGGTCGTTCCTCAAGTCCTTCTTCAGCTTCTACGAGAACCTAGATGGCGAACGAATTCCGGATAACTGACTGATACAAGCACGCGCCCCTGGATGACGCCTACACAGTCCCTTTTCTTGAAAATTCGACATCCTCAACCCTCTAGCCATCGGCGACACCACGAAAACAAACCAACTCCTTCCACCGCAATCCCACCGGACAATCTTCCATCGCCAGCTGACTCAATCGCGGTGCATCAACACCACAGGTCCACAGCTTCACTGACCTGATGTGTTTTGCTTCCTGGTTTGCACACGCGAGGCCGATTACAATGCTATAGAACGGCTACTGCGTTGTTGAGTCTACAGTGTAGACCCGTTAGTAGGTTGCGGCTGATGGATGATTCACTGTTGAGGCAGTTCTCTGAGGTACATATGCAAGGGTCACTAGGGCGGCGCGGGATATGGCGGCTTGATTAGACGGGTAGATATGCAGTATGGTGTGGCGTGGATGTGTGTGCATTGTGGGCTTTGAGATTTGATGTTTACCTTTGGTTTTATTTGGTTCTGATTTGAGCAGTATGATGTGGTGAGCTGATTAGACGACGAGCAAGATTCTTGGAATGTATGGTGAGGGAAAGGGAAGAGAGGGGTGTATTTGGGAATCTTGTATATAGTATATAAGCTAGGTCGAGCTGAATTAATCTCAGTGGAGTGGTCATGCGAGACAGAAAGACAGACAAGCCATATCCCACAGCATTTACGTTTACGTCCGATCTTCCAGGGCATGTCATGAATTCTATCTTTCGTGCTCCGTATCTCCATATCGTCCCAATGATTGTAGAGGAGAGAGAAGGAGAGAGACAGAGATTAATCCCGCGTATCTAATCCCGAGCAACATTCCCATGGAGAATACTCCCAAGCAAACGACCAAATCCAAAAGAAACAATAACGAATCTTACATCGCCGTTGATGCCCCGCACATCAATACTAAACATCCAACGCCAATGCCAATCCCAAACCCATATACAACCCCAAACTCAATTCCTCCCCTGAAAAGGGGCCACAGACTCACTTACCACATATATACATCCATTGAGCGTAATGGCTGATATATGTCAATTATATTAGTCATATCGGAAAACAGAGTCAAGGATTCATAGATTGAAGAATCATATCTGAGAAGAACGTTATACGGCTAAGAAGGGTCTTCTCGAGTCTATACGCCATAGAATGTCATAGTTCTTCCTTTATTCATGCCCGTTCGAAATCCACGCTGTTAGATCGACAACGAGAATACGTCTGACGTCGTTGTCTTTTTGGCTTTACAGATGCTTGTTTGGTATTTGCTTGCAGATCGAGATGGAGAGCTTGTCTAACGTGCTCTTTGTACTTTCCGCTTTATAGATGCTCGTTCTAGAGTTGACGCTGTCAGAGGGTCAAGATCAAGAATTTGCTCCAAATTTGTTCTTTGTATTGTTTCAAACAAAAACAGGAGTGTCTCTGGTCATACCCACATCTGCTATCGACGTCATTACAGCCGTGAACTTACACATTTTTGCGGTCGGTGAAGGAGATAGGGGCATAACACCGCTTGAATCCTGTTTTCCATCTATGCCCATATACACAGACGTACGTACACACGCACCATCCCATCAGCAAAACCTTTCCTTCCTGAGGAGCGCCCCTTTCCATCCATCCTCCCCTGTATTCCATCCTCACACATAACCTGTTTCAAGTCAGCGCAAAATCTCAAGATATACGGTATGATCAAGCGAGGGTCCCACCTTTGCGCGCGCCCTGAAAGAAGAAGCGCACAATAAACACCTGCAGACCAGCCATGGCAACCATCATCAAGCTCTCCATGACACTGAAATTAAAGATGCGCTTCTCGGTGCTGCGCACGGTGCTAAAGTTTCTGTTTTCGCGCGTGCGGAAGTATTTCTGGTTGCGCGTTATTGTGGAGATGGAGGAGGAGAGCTTGAGGATCGAGTCTTCGAGCTTCGAGGTTTGCTCGGGTGTTGTGCCTTGTTTGGAGGGGATTTGGGCGGGGCGGACTTCGTTCTCGACCTGTTGGGAGGTTAGGTAAGAGAGAGAGGGAGTGTTATGTCTTGTTTCCGGGGGGAGAGGGGATGTGTATGTGGTTGTGTATGTGCGTGCATACCGAGATCTCGAAATCAACTGTCTTCTCCGCAAACGTGCTCATCTCATTGTTGAAGCAGAAGCGATACTCGCCGAGGTCGTTCGCGGTGAATACAAAGTCGCCCTGGCGCTCCTTGTGACCAGCCAGGACCTCGCGCTCATTGGGCCCGACAACGGAGTAATCGACGTCAAAGGAGCCGCCCGATTGTACCTGATGTCTCGCATCAATAACACGCTCTATGTGGGAAGTTTGGTCCCGGGTATAACACGTACTGCGAAGTAGAATGCAATCTTGGCGCCAACTTGTTGCACGTCGGTGAAGTAGCAGGCCTTCTCGTGCGCGAGCAGCTTATATGTGAGCGCGGTGCCAGAGACGGCGCTGGTGAGGAAGGCCAGGAGGCTCACGAGAGCTAATGTCGTCTGCATTGTCGGTCACGGTCGCGTCGTGCGGGCGGGTGAGTGTTTCGAGTGAGTCTTGAAGAGACAATTATCAGTTAGTTGTCCAAAAGGAGGAGCTAGCGGAGCGGAGCAGCTAGAGGGAGAGCCAGGGTCCGAGGCTTGGCGTGGCTTTCCGCAACGTAACTACTTTAAAGCTTCTCACTTATTCTCTACCTCAATATCTACAACCCAAACAATGAGCGCGTAGTAGGACGTATACACGCACGCACACCAAACCATGCACTCTACTCTAGTCCGCGGACAGAATGTCTTCGGCTTCTTCACGACCGTCGCATTCTGCGTCGCCGGCATCATCGCCGCATCCGTCTTCCTGATCCCCCAAGCCCCCTCCGCCAGCCTCCAGCTGCGCAACGTGCAAGTGTATGCCCTCCACGAAACCACTCTCCAACCTCGAAGTTTCCGTCACTTGCTAACACCCAATCACAGCGTCAAGGGCCGCCCGCACTACTACTCGCCCAAGCGCGAAGAATACGCACACATCAAATTCGACCTCGACGCCGACCTCACCACGCTCTTCAACTGGAACACAAAGCAAGTCTTCCTGTACATCACCGCGACCTACCCGTCCCTCCGCGCGTCCGAGCCCGCCTCCTCGGCCATAATATGGGACGCCATCATCCCGTCCTCGTCCGCGCCCTGGCACACAAACCACTACATCCACCCCGTCGCCCCGTCCGACAAATCTGCCACCACAAAGGGCAAGAAGAATAGTAGCAAGAGCAAGAAGGCGGCTAAAAAGAGCGCGTACCCGGCTGGCGAGCTGCATCTGAAGAATCAGCGCCCGAAATATCAGATTACGGATTATGCAGGCCGGATTGCGAATCGTACTGATGCGGTGTTGGAGTTGCACTATAATGTGCAGCCGTGGGTGGGCTTGTTGTTGTGGGATCGCCGGAGCGACATTGCGATGTGGAAGGGTTTGGAGGGCGGGCGCAGCGAGCTGTTTAACTTCCCGGGCTTGAAGGGTGCGGCGGCGAAGAAGGAGGATTTGAAGACGGAGAAGGGCGCCGAGGGGCATCGGTTGATGGCTGGGTAGGCGATTTTCTGGGCCGAGCTGTGCAAAAAAAACATGAAAGGGGGTTCACGGGATTAGGACACTTTAGGACACTTTGCATATAGTAGAACCTGTGCAAACAAACAAGCAAGACAGACGCCTGTGACTGGTCGTCCGAACACCACTCACTCCCCGTATTAAAACACATATCGCTCCGCTTCCTCCTTCTTCACCAGCGCAACCTGTCTCGCGCGAATCTCCTTGATGAACCCCGTCTCCTTATCCGTCAGCTGCAGTCCCGTCTTCACTTTCGCAGCCAGCTGGTCAATCACGCCCTGCACCACCATTGCACTTGCTCGTCCTCCATAATCACTCGCTTCGGTAAGACTCGCTTCAACAACATGATCTGATGATATAGAAGATCTCTCGTCGTCGATGGACATGTCACTGTCTTGGTCTTCGTCGTCTCTGCTTGACTTGATGTTCTTGTCTGTCGAACCTATGTTCTTGGCGGGTATATCCCCTTCTGCATTTCGCTCGCGATCCCCCTTTCCATTCTCTTCCTCATCACTCTCATCATCATCATCATCGTCGTCATCCACCTCCTCCCGCGCCCTAGCCATCCTCTTCGCCAACACCACCTTCTCCGCAGCCCTAAGCCGTTCCACATACACATCAACGCGATCCACCTCCTCGGGCCCCAGCACCGCACCCGCATCCACACGATCACGGAAGAACTTCAACACATCACCCCTCAGAACCAGAATCTTCTCCTCATCCGCGAGGGCATCAAAGTCCGCATGAGCCAGCAACTTGCCCCTGACGCGATCACACGCCAGGGCACGGAAGTCATCCCATTCAGCTGGTGTAACGAGTTCGTTTGCGTGGAGTTTGAGCTTGATATTTGCTGCGGCTAAGAAGAAGCGGATCGTGGGGTGGAGGCATTGGTCTGAGGGGACGGCGTGGGTGAGATGGGCTGTTGCGGCGCTAACGAGGTGGAGTTTGGTGGGGCTGTCGAGGGGGTGGTTTGCGGTGTCTTTGAGGATGAAGTTCATTGTGATGGTACTCTGTTCGACGGCCGAGAGGGGCGGGTCGGTGGGCTGGCCGGAGACGGCGAGGTGGAGGCGGCGTTCGGTGAGGATGTCTTGTTTGAAGGCTGCTGCGGCCGGGCTGAGGGGCTGTGTGGTGCCTGCTTTGGCCTGGAGCTCGGTGATGGCGGCTTCGCGGTGCTTGGTTTCGGCGCGGGCTAAGATGATTTTTTGGTGCGCGGTTAGGGGGATACCGTGAGCGAGGGCGGCGAATGTGGCGGGGATGGTGTCTTGTCTGGCCTGGCGCTCGAGCTTGCGCGCGTGGACAATTTTGGCGGTTCTGTTCTCGTCCCAGGCGGTTTCAACGGCGTTGAGGTGTGCGCCGATGCGCTTCTTATGGGAGACGTGCTTGGCCATTACTCTATCGACGGGCATATCGACCGGGCGGCCGTGATTATCCATGTAGCCATAGAGGATCATGTCGAGGTAGCGCTTATGGATATCCAACTCTCGCCGGATACCCTCGCGCATGATGAGCGTGTCGGGCCTCCACAGGCGCATATTACCCAGCATCCAGCCCTCGCGAGACAGATGGCCGATGAATTGCGCGGGCACGCCCCAAACAGGCCCAAAGACTGGCACCTCGGGCTCGTAGCGCGTCATGATCCACAGCTTGAGCATCTTGGTGTCGTTCAGCTTGACCTTGCCGCTGAGGATCTTGTAGAGCGGTGTGAGGGAGCGCTGGTGCAGGAGCAGCTTACGCAGTGTCAACTCTCCCTCGCTATCGACGGGGTCGTTGAAGCGCATGTCGAGCTTCATGAAGAAGTACGTGGCCAGGATCAGATCCTCGTCGCTCCAGCGACGCTTGTCGAGCAGCGTCATCATGCGCCACTTGTTGTACGGGTACTCGAGCAAGTGCCAGATCTTGAGGATTGTGGTGTCGGACTGTGGGGGCAGGAGGTGGTCTTCAAGTTGCAGCCACATGATAATCTTCTGGACGACACCATGGCGATAGTTGAGCATGCCGAGATAGCGGAGAGACGGCACGTCGCGGACTTGGCCTGGGAATTGGATGCTGCGTTTGTTCAGGGGATCTTTCATGCTCAGACGGGCGTAGTATTGCCAGGGCATGATATCAGCCGCGTGGCCGTAGTTTGCGTAGGCATTGGTGAGGATATAGGTCCTCATGTGAGAGTCGATCAAGTAGTTGAAGTACCTGGACATGGAGTAGAGATTTACAAAGGACTTGTAGTCAAGGAAGGTGACGAAGATGAGGAAGACGGCCGGGTCGTGCATGACTGCATCGAAGAGGTTAAATGCGGAGGGCCGTTTTTCGGCAGGGCAGAGTTGGACGTGCTCATCTTCCTCGTCCATGACTTCGCGGCCTGGATCGAATATGGGCTCATGCTGGTCTGCATGTTTTGTGCGTTTCGTCATGCGACTCGTGCTTGGACTTTGCGCTCCTGCATTCTCCAACGGCTCATCATCGTCATCGGCCTCGTCAAACGTACGCTTATTGTTCTGGGGTGGGTCACACGTTAACATTCGACTCGAACTTGCGGCTGGTTCTTCTTGTCTCCCGTTACCAGACGGACTGTTGTCATCGGTATCAGGACCATGTTCTTCAAGATCTTGCACCAAGTCGGACGTGAGCAGACGACTGGCCTCCTCTATCCGATTCTCAATTCTGCCCTCCCCATGACTCGTGCCCCCTGAGACGGTTCGGTTCGAAATACTGCCCGAGAAATCGCGATTATGGGCCCAGGAACTCGAGTCAGAAGGTGTACGCTGGGAATCCTTCCCCGAAGCAGAGTGAGCAGTGGTGGGATCGATTCCTGAACTTGAGATGACTCTCATGAAGTCGTTAAAAGCCCTGCGACGTAGCTCGTCCTCGGCAGCAGATCCGTTTCCCAAAGCTGCGACGTTGCCGGTGGATGTTTTTAGCACATCAACATCCATATCGTCGTCGATGTCTGCAGCATCCCAGCTCTCGTAGTCGTTGGGGTCGGGCAATTCTTGATCTGAATCTTGATGGCCATCGGCGAGGTCGTTGTTCTGCTCAACATGGTCTTCTACTGTGGGTTGGCTGTGTTGCTGTTGTGTTCGGTTACGGTCGTGATCCTCCTCTTCTAGATATTCCGCGTCGAGAAGATTAGCATCGCTAAGCTCCTGTACATTCTCGACTTCGGGTTCCAAGTGGTCAGTACTCACGAGTTCGGAAGCCTGAGTATAGGTCTGGTTGATTTGGTGGGACATAGACGTGTAAGTATTTGGCTGACCATCACTACCTTGATCTGCTTGCAAGTTGCGCGAAGGGAGTTCCCAGCTGGCTGGTTGAACCATGGCTGTTGACTACTAGTATATAGGTGTGTGTCAGGCAGTGGAGTGTCGCTGTCGCGAGGTGGCTGGTTCGAAGTGCACTCCATGGCTTGTATTTTGAGGTTGACGACGACCGAGGCGGAGACAATAGCAACAATAGCAAAGACACACAATACTAAGGAAAGTCTTGGCAGTGTTGTGTGTTGAGTTGAAAGTGAATGGACACGCGGGAAGTAGCTACCAGTCACTATCAGGTAACAGGACGGTGAGAAGGCACGGCCAGCACAGGCATTGTGACGACAAGAAGCTCCGATCATGGTGCACTCGACCACGCATTATCACACTCGTCGCCAGCCATGCAGGAGCCAGTATTGTTGTTTAAGTGCAATAAGTGAAGCTGCTTGTAAGTCAATAGTCGCTGAGGCGTTGGAGTGCCGCTGACTAATTAAGGACGGTACGTATGGACCTCCCGGTCAAAGGACTCCGTAGAGCCCGGACAAAACAAGGTACCCATGTATTATATATGTACATAAGCAGCACAGCCACAGGAGCCACACCCCGCATCTCCAGAGCTTTCTTTTTCCTGTTGCGACCGTCTCTGGTATCTTCTATCTGGCCGGTCTGCTTGTCTGCCTGAGCGCCTGACAGCCTGACAGCCTGACAGCCTAACAGCTTGAGAGCCTGAGCACCCCATTCGGCCTCAGAGTCATTAGTGCACCAACATCCAACCATGCATCCGTCCAGCCGCTCAATTAGCAGTCGGGGATATAAAGTCTAATTGCTACAAGCGTTGAGCAGCACCATCTAATATTAAAATTATTGTTGTTGTCATTGCGAAGCGCTTTGGTCACTCCGCTTGCTGTTTGCTGCTTGCTGGAACTGACGCGTTGGGACAGGGATGGGATTAGTGCCTGCATTCATCCCGTCCCTCATCGTATTCCGGCGCAAATTTCGAATCGTTTGTATTGTAGAATGCATTCAGTTGTCGTGCTGGGCCGATTCGACCAGATGACGCAGCTTGTATACAAGATAGATACTGCTGCATATGTCGCGCAAGAAGTAGATTGATGCTATCAGTCACATGCCCCAGTGGCACAGCAATTCGTTCTTCCCAGGGACCATCACGAGACGCACTTTGAGGCAGGCTGAGGTCATACTCGTAACGTCGACGCCAGATTTTAGGAACGTAGAAGCGATGCTGCCATGCATTAGCTGCCCACAAACCCCCCGCACAGACACTTTTGACGGGGAAGATGGGCGGAGACGGGGTGGAGCTTGGTCCCTCAATCCACACATTACATTAGACATCCATCCACTTGGACGGGTTCCAGCCTCTCGCTTTCCACCTCTCTACACTACTACATCATAACATCCCCGTTTCGTCCTCATACTTAACTCTCCTCTATCCCCCTTCTCATCCTTGCTCTGCAGCTCCACCGTCAACATTGGTCTGTTGCCGCCCACACGAGTCCCACCATCTCCCGTCCCTGATCTCCCGCCGCTCCACCCTCCCCTCCCACCTACCTCGCTGCAGAGAGCTCTCTCTCCCGAGGTCTCTTCTTATCAAAGATCAATTGCTCTACACAACCGAGTATATTGTATCGCCCCCGACAGCTTCATTCATCTTATACTTCTGACGAAGACGACTAACCATCATGTCTGCCCCACAGATACCCTTCAGAACGAGAGAGATGGGTGACTCTCAGCCGAGAGACGTCGCTAACCACGTCCTCTTTGAGGTCGCAACTGAGGTTGCCAATCGAGGTACGGATGTTATGAAGTGCTGCCGTTGCGGACTGGTGCTGATCTGTAATAGTGGGTGGCATCTACTCGGTCTTGAAGTCCAAGGCCCAGGTCACGACTGCTGAGTATGGCTCTGCCTATACGTTGCTAGGGCCGTGGAACCGGTCGTCGGTAAGCATATAATTGGCACGTACCTTGCAAATACTCAGCTGATCTTGTTGATGGACAGGCACAAGTCGAGGTCGAAGAGCTCGAACCGAAAGACCCCGCCCTGGTCAAGACGATCCAGTCTATGAACGAGCGAGGCATCCAGACATTATATGGTCGTTGGCTGATTGACGGTGCTCCTAGAGTGCTTTTGTTCGATACTGGCACTGGGTATAGCTATCTGGATGAATGGAAGGGCGATCTGTGGAATGTCGCTGGTATCCCATCCCCGCCGAATGACGCCGAGACCAACGAGACGATTGTGTTTGGGTACCTGATAGCTTGGTTCCTGGGAGAGGTTAGTCATGAACGAAGCCATGCAGACCTGAGACAACCATATACTGACAAAGGATAGTACGTCTACCATGAGAAGCGCAGAGCTGTTATTGCCCAGTTTCACGAATGGCTTGCTGGTGTCGCCATTCCTCTCTGCAAGAAACGTCGTATCGATGTCACCACCATCTTCACTACTCACGCCACCCTCCTCGGACGTTACCTCTGCGCCGGTTCTGTCGACTTCTACAACAATCTTCAATACTTTGACGTTGATGCGGAAGCTGGCAAACGCGGCATCTACCACAGGTACTGCATCGAGCGGGCCGCCACCCACTCTGCGGACGTCTTCACTACCGTTTCTCACATAACAGCCTACGAGAGCGAGCATCTACTGAAACGGAAGCCTGATGGCGTGCTTCCCAATGGACTGAATGTCAAGAAGTTCTCCGCCACTCACGAGTTCCAAAACTTGCACGAGCAGGCCAAGCAAAAGATTGGTGACTTCGTGCGCGGGCATTTCTACGGTCACAACGACTTTGATCCGGAAAACACCCTGTACTTCTTCACTGCTGGCCGATATGAATACCGTAATAAGGGTGTGGACATGTTCATTGAATCATTGGCACGACTGAACCACCAGATGAAGAGCGCCGGATCCAACATGACTGTGGTCGCCTTCATCATCATGCCTGCCCAGACGCAGTCTCTTACTGTAGAAGCGCTAAAGGGTCAGGCAGTCATCAAGTCACTCCGTGACACTATTAAGATCATCGAGGAGAATGTCGGCAAGCGGCTGTTTGAGCGCGCACTGCTCTGGCACGAGGGATCAGAAGTTCCAGAGGACAAGGAGCTGCTCACGTCGCAAGATAAGATCATGCTGAGGCGTCGTCTATTCGCCATGAAGCGACACACTCTGCCGCCCATTGTCACACATAACATGGTCAACGACTCCGAGGACCCCATCCTGAACCAGATCCGCCGCTGCCAGCTGTTCAATCACCCCTCCGACCGTGTCAAGATCGTCTTCCACCCCGAATTCCTCAACGCCAACAACCCGGTCCTGCCTATGGACTACGACGACTTTGTTCGGGGAACGCACATGGGTGTGTTCTCCTCCTACTACGAACCCTGGGGTTACACGCCTGCTGAATGTACGGTCATGGGCGTGCCGAGCATCACTACCAACTTGTCTGGCTTCGGCTGCTACATGGAGGAGCTGATCGAGAACGCCTCAGACTACGGCATCTACATCGTCGACCGCCGTATGAAGGGCGTTGACGACTCTGTCAACCAGCTGGCAGACTACATGTTTGAATTCACAAAGAAGTCCAAGCGCCAGCGCATCAACCAGCGCAACCGCACCGAGCGTCTGTCAGACCTGCTCGACTGGAAGCGCATGGGCATGGAGTATGTCAAGGCACGCCAGCTTGCCCTAAGACGTGCATACCCAGCCGCGTTCGAGGAGGGCGACGAGCCGGACTTCTTCTCGTCTGCTGAGCACAAGATCTCGCGGCCGCTGAGCGAGCCGGGCAGTCCACGAGACCGGAGCGGTATGATGACGCCCGGAGATTTTGCGAGCATCCAAGAGGGACGGGAGGGCTTGAGCACGGAGGACTACATTGCGTGGAAGTTGCCGTAAGTCGACCTCGAACAACCTGAGTGTAGATAAGAAATGCTGACGGTTGTACAGGGAGGAAGAAGACCCAGAGGAATACCCATTCCCGCTGACCCTTAAGCAAAAGAAGGTCGCTGCCGATGCCGCCGCAACAGTCCCAACGACAAACGGGGCTTCCAAGTCATAACGCTAGATACATGGCCAAGTAGGATAGAGCTACAACAGAGGATACAGTACGTTGGGGGGTCTATTAATTCTGCTCACCATCTGATACATACATATATGTTGTTGTTGATGCATTTGCGCTCCTTTTTTTTCTGGTCTGCCTCCTCCCCTGCTGAAGGCGGGAGGGGGTGTGTTGGGGGGAGAAGGTCATCGGACGGGAACCTTGTGGCATAGCCTGCGCTTCTTCTTCTTCATGTTCTTCTATCGTTGAAAGATCTTTTCTTTTGTAACAATCATATACTATTCGATCTTTTATTTACCACCTCCACATGGTTCAATCCACGGGGCTTAAACGTGTGTGTGTCGCCGTAGTAGTGTGGACGTCCCAAGCGTCTTTTCGTCTGTGTTGGTGTGGGTGCGTATGTGTGTGTGTGTGGGCAGAGTGAATGGTGAATTTGTTCATGGGAATGAATGGGTGTCACGTATACGCCGTCCGTCATGTCCATCCATCTGTCTACCCGTCCGTCGTCCTCATGCCTCATTCCATATATGCCGGGTACGTAGGTAGACATGTAGACAATATACCAGCTACGTCTACGTCTATATGTATACTCCCTCCCACCCATTCCTCCTTGTTCTCTTCCCTTGTTTCCCCTTCATTCCACCCTCGCACCCGGCGCGCATCGTTCAGATCAGATCCAATAATGCCTAGTCTGGTCTGGTCTGGTCTAGTCTGGTCTAGTCTGGCGGTGTGGGGCTTGTGTGCTTGTGCTACATAGGAAAGCTGGGATGTGTGTGGGCAGGTTTGCGGGTGTGTTTGTGGGTGGATTCGGAATGGAGGGATGGCTTGGAAGATAGGAGAAGATGGGGTTGGTGTTGGTGTTTGGTTTTGGGTGAGGGGTGGTTTGGGGGTGGTGGTGGTGATGGACATTGGGGGGTGGTGATGGTGATGAGCATCATTGTATGTGTCTATGAGCGAGTGAGTGAATTCTCACATGTGGGTGTGGAAGAGGCACGTAGAGACACCATGTGCACGGGAGGAGGCACACATAGGCACCATGTGCACGGGAGGAGGCACACATAAGCACCATGTGCACGGGAGGAGGCACACATATAGGCAGCATGTGCATGTAACAGACATGTACCCACAGTGTCGACACGAGAGACAGATATCCCGTAGTTTTGAGATGAGTGGCATATCGACATGGTAGTGGTAGTGATGGTGGTGGTGGTGGTATAGATATATATACTATGTTATATAGACGTAGGTGCTGGGTACGTATACCTAGTAGCCGGGTACGTATACCTAGTCGAATGGCCAGGTAAGTAGTAGGTGCCGTGTGACCTGTGACCTGTGACGTATACCCAACACACACATAACAAACCTACCGGGTATGTTAGTTAGTAGGTCAGACATCGCTACCACACGGCAAACTTGTATCCGTATCTATTTGTATGTATATATAAGGGCCTATAATCATGTCTGGGAAATATTCTTCTACTTGCCTACAACCACATGGCGCATTACAGATAGGGACAATGGTATACATGGGTTGGTTCAAAAGGTTGATGCTGAGACGGCATGTTTGTTTGTTTGTTTGGTTGGTTGGTATAGTAGCTATGATGGGTGGTGCAGCACTGGGCTATCAAAAGACAAAGCGAGGACGATGGTGTTGGGTTGCTAGGGGGTGGTGATGATGTGTGTTAAAGATGGAGAGTAATGAGTATTATTAGTGGATGTGTTAGGGGGTGATAATGACAACGATCATGATTGAAATAATAACAATGATGATCCGCACCACCACGACTCCCGTTTCACAACCACATGTGCCTCTCCCGTCATACTACCGACAGACCAGCAGAGCTACACAGCGCAGCTTATCTCAGCCCGAGTCGTGATGATTGATCAATCAAGATTCAGTCTTGTGTTTTATAGTGGTGCTTGTGCTGTATTGACTGCCGGGTGTGCTTGTGGAGAAGTGTCTGTTACAAGAGCGGTATATGCTATGTTCACTGGTCTGTTTGTCCTTGTCTCCCTTTCACGAAGGAAGCTCTAGTTTGCCACACTCAAAGCGCATCTCGGAGGTTGAACGAAGCAAGCCTCCTAGGCTTGTATTGTATTATCTACGGAATGATTCCTTCAGGGGTTCGATTGTGAGAATTTTCAGTGTCACTGAAAGGTATACTGTGAGCAAACCTCTTCCCTCCTCAGACTCGATCCTCACCTGAGACGTCTGGATTCCTCCATATATGACATCACAGCACACGTCTGAACAGCCACCAGGATTGAGAATGCCCTGAATCTTTCAATATCAAGGCTATGCATACTCCCATCCCATTCAGAACGCAGATCCCCCTCCACAACATCGTTCGAGGTCACGCTAAGTTTCTCACATACATCGCGTCTAATAATATCAGGAGACAGGATTGGATATATCCCTCTAGTGAGTCGCCTTTATACCTGGAAGGACCGAGGAGTTCCAGTCGCCTTCTCTGCTGCTCTGTGGTCTTGTCGGCGAGGAAGACTGTGCTGCGCTGACAGCATGTCACTCACTCATGATGTTGCAGTATGCTGTTTGCATTGACTTCACTTTGAACGACGCTCTGATTTGTGGCTACGCAGCTTCAGTCACGCTTCATGGGAAGACCTAGTATATGCCTTATGACTTACTCCTTAGCTGGTGGTAGTCCTCTTAATTCGAGCCGACTAAGCATATTGTTGTCCTTTGAGAACGCTCGCTCCTCTTCGCACAATGAGTCTACACGTCGGTTGCTATAGACAATGTCTGTGTCTTCCTGCTCGGGGATCTGTATGTCGCTCTCACCTGACTCCTGACTCACTAACCGCCCATCGATCTCAACTCAAACTCGTCGCTTCGAGGCCAGGTACGACTGACGCAGTAAAGATGGCTTGAAGATGGCGTCATAGAGAGTTAGCTCCAGTGCGTATATAAGCACAGCGCGGAGAACGTATTGGGATTGATAAGTTGCGCCACCCAGGCTGCAGTGCGACCGTACACATGATCACAAGCAAGATTTGACGCTCATTGAGCCGGATGAATCAATTCTCCATGAGTCTGCGGGCAAGTTCCTGAACTGAAAAGACTGCTTGGGTATTTTCCATGGTACAATATTGCTCCATCCTTTTGTACGCCTAGTAATGCTCGATAGTCTGAAGAACACCGTGCTCCGTCGCCTCACGCCAGCTTAGTTCCATTTCTTTGCTTCCATACCATCTGGTGGGCTCGTCTCAACCTTGCCCTTCGATACCTCTGCCCAGTTCGTACTTAGCGCCGTTCCGTTGCTCTCTTGGTAGCTCTTCATCATCGCTTTGCGTGTGTCAGGGTCTGCATCGGCGAACAACTTCTTGAAGAAGAAGTTGACGTCGTCACCGCCATCCTCAAGATCTAGGTCATCGTATTCCTCCTTATTCTGACCCTTCTCGCCCTCCTTGGGCTCTTTCCTTGTCGCTTCTTTCACGACCTTGTCCCAGTCTTTCGGCCCTTTGCGTGAGGAGGTTGGATATGCGGGTGCGGAAGGTCTACCTGTGAGGACTTCCTGTGGTATCCTGGGCGCGGGGGTCGGCGCTGTACTACCATCGTCTACGCCTTCGAGGCGCTTCCAGTACCCCGGGCTGACCTTCTTGAGGACGACGAAGATCTTATTGGGTGTGACTGAGTAGCTTGACTGTGAGGGATCAATGGCCGAGAATAGTGGATCGACGTTGTATTCATATGTAGAGGAGCTGTCAGCCAATGGGAAGTTGATGGACACAGATCGCTCTTGGATGTCTACAACGGCTTGGTCTTTGGGCACCCCTCGAGCGTTCAGCAGTTCAATAGTCATGTTTTCTTGGTTCTCGAGCCAGGTCGGTTTGATCTTCTTGACATCAGTACTGCTTATAGGCTTTGGAGCAGCTGCGGCGGGTGCTGGTGCAGTGGCAGCTTTCGGTGCCGTTTGAGGAGCTGCGGTAGCTGAGACATTGGCATCGGGAACGTCTTCCACAGTGACAGTCACAGCTTGTTCGAGTTTTTTCTTTTCCTCTTCGGTGAGGCCCTCACTGTTCTGCAGCCCCTCCTTGGCGGTCTTTATACCTTTGGTGATTTTCTGTTCCCATATTTGAAGCAGCACGACCTTCTTCTTTGCTTTGTCAGAGCTCTTCTCCATGTTCACATCGTGCATCTTCTTCACAATCTTATATACATATTCCGCATCTGCATACCTCTCTAGTCCATAGAGACATATAAACCGCTGCTGCTGAGATTCGAAAATTGCCTCGCGCCTCTGACGGGTTGTAGCCAGATTGACAGCTTTGTCTGCGTCTGCTAGAGCCTGGACACGATTCGGAGGGCTTCTTCGATGGCTTGCCTGCGAGCGAGCTATGTAGTAGTCGACAGCATTGGGCTGTTTAGCAATAGCTTTGGTGTATAGTTCGATAGCTTCATCATACTGTTTGGCTTCGAGAGCTATCTTTCCCAGTTGTGCTTCGTCCATGGCGGAGTCTTTCTGTCGGAATGAATGTGGAGGTCTAACGAATAGATACCCGATATGCTCAGCCTAAAAAGAGTGATCGTGAAAGAATGGTGCTGGAACATTCCAAGAGTTGCCTGCAACGGCACGTCAGTGCAGGTGGGGCAGTATCCGTTGTGTTAAAGCTTAAGTAACGCACGGACTTTCCATGAAACGTAAACGTAAATATATCACTGCATTCTGGAGAATCTTGATTGCTGTGGAAAGAAATTTATCTCAGCCTACTTGGAGAAGTATGGCGAGCCTACTACCACTTTGTCCAAGCAGTAGTCATAGAATGCTAACATGGCGGCATTGCAAGCACCGTAGTGCTAAATTGGGACTTGGAGCTAACTCGAAGAGGTCAAGTCAAAACTGGTCTGAACGTCCTGTTGCACTTGTTTTTATATTGCGAGATTACATCCCTGGACTCTTCAAACCATGTCCATCTCCGTACATCCCTTGAACCAGGATGAGCAGTCGGTTTGTAGCCTTGATACGAACTCATCACATCACATCTCGTAAAAAGGTTGCCACGCTCAAAAAGGCAGCAGACAAACTTGAATGTCACGTCCTTCTAAGGAGCGGGAGCTACCCAGGGATGATGTACTGCGAGGGCACTGAGGAACGCGTGAGTGAGTGGATAGCAACGGTGAAGGTGGGTTTGATGACCCTTCGGACTGGCAACTGGCCCTGACCATTTGTAAGCGATTACGATACAAGGACTACAGACTGATGGCTCGACCGCAAGACAGCGCTATGGTCGAGGATTGTTCGCAACCTAAGAATACCAGTGGTCTTGAGGAAGTTGCCTCTGTGAGTGAATTTGGTTCGCGCATGGAAAGGAATGGCCTCAGAGAGTGGTATCGCAAGGCCATGGGCTATGTTCAGGACGACGAGTAGATGGAAAGGGGCCATTGGTCGAATAGCAAACCGACCTTGCAGATGGAAAGTCATTTTTCTTGGCAGTCCTTCATGTCGAAACGCTGACAAGGCTGTGAAGAACCTGAAGACTATCCTCACTTCAAGCGGTCTAGATCAAGACGGGGATTCCATTGTCCCATTACTATGGCAGACGATAGCTGGGTCAAACACACGTTGAGGATGCGACTATCACTATTATGCAGAGGTTATAGCCCTGTTGGATCGATCCGAAAGCTTTCTTAAGCAGTTGAAGAACCTCGAGCTCTTCCGGAGTCTTAGCTATATTCGCCTTGGACTCGGCTGCAGTTGGTGAGCGAGTGAAGAATCGCACTGGAGCCTCAAGCGCCCATGAAACCAAGACAGGAGCGTAAATTTCTGGCATCTATGCACAGATGAAAGCGACATCCTCTGGCTCACGAGCATTACGTTGTGTTTGACTATGCTATCGGGACTCTGAAGAATGCAATTTGAGGACTGTACGTTTTAACCTCGAAGCACTCGTCTCACATATTTGTATTTTTAGCACATGTATCGACACGTGCTAGCGGTATTTACATTAGAGCCCTGGTATGTTTCTTTTACATGTCACTTATAACTTAGCTTTGTTATCAGCCAACTCCAATGCCCCTTCCACTTCTTTGTATTGCATTCCCTTCTGCCACCCTATCCAAGACTTCAACAACCCTTCGCCTCCTGTCCCAGGCATGAGTCCTCCACTGGTCCATCCGTTTCCCTTCACACCTTTCCCTTGGCCTACAGCAGCAGGGCGACCCTCTGGCCCTTGCTGTATGGCAAAACCGGGGGTACTTTTGAGCGTCACTGCTGGCCTATGGTCGTAGCCTCGCTCTTCTAACTCTGAGTGTGTGAAGACTGGAGTACAGCACGCGTCTGTGCCATCAAATATCCGCTCCCATTGCGCACGCGTCTTTGTCATAAATGTGCCTGTAAATAATCTCTTCAAGTACGGCCACGTCTTTTTGTCTTCCCGTGGCCCTGGCAGATCCTCCCTCTTAATCCCCAAACCCTTCAAGAACGCTGCGAAAAACTGCGGCTCTAAACAACCTCTAAATTGCTGTCAGCACCCTCAGCCCACACAAAGCCACGGACACAACTCACACCGCCATAAATTTCCCATCGAGCGTCTCATACGTATCGTAATATGGACACCCGCCATCTAAAACGTTCGTCCCCCGTTCGTCCCCCCACATCGGCGTCTTGAGATTAAACCGCGGCATACTATTCAGCACCGCACTCCCATCGACCATATTTGCCTCCACAACCTGGCCCCTCCCACCCCTCTCCCGCTCAATCAACGCCAGCAAAATCCCCATAAAGCACATCGCCCCACCGCCCGCAAAATCACCGAGCAGGTTCCCTGGCGGCAGCGGCTTCTCACCCTTGCGCCCCAGCATACTAAGCACGCCCGAGACGGCAATGTAGTTGATGTCATGACCCGCCATATCCTTGTACTTCCCGTCGCGGCGGAAGCCTGTCATGCGCGCGACAATCAGACGTGGGTTCAGCTTGCATAGCACGTCTTCGGGGCCGAGACCCAGTTTTTCGAGCACGCCGGGGCGAAAGGGGTCTATCACAACATCAACGTGTGGGATGAGGGCCTTGAGGAGTGCGGTGCCGGAGGGCGATTTGAGGTTTATGCAGATGGAAGATTTATGGCGTGTCAGTTGGTCGCCGGTCGGGGCGGGAGAACGGTCGATGCGCAGGACGGACGCGCCATAGTCGGCGAGGAGGAGGCCTGCAAAGGGGCCCGGGGCGAGGCCGGCGAATTCCTGGGATGGTGAGTAGGTAGTTCATTATCAGAAAAGTATCCTTCGGGGGTCCGCTGGGTAGTGATCGTGATTGGAGACCTACTAGGACTTTGATCCCTGCGAGGGGTGGGGGAGAAGTCATTCTGGAATATCACAGGAAAACGAATACTGAGAGAGAGGCAGAATGTTGAAGTGGCTTCTACAGCTACAGGATTTGTATATACATGTATATAAGCAGTAGCGTGTATGTTATGTTTGCGGTTGCGGTAATGCACGGGTATAAGGACGGCGAGGTGTCGGAGCTTGAGCTTGAGCTTCACTGTGGGGTCTGGGGAAACCGAGGTCTGCTTTGGGCCTACTCGGTTGAGCCTTGTTGTCTATGCGATCTCTGATTGGTAGATTAGAGACAAAAAGGGTAAGTTGCAGCCCTGATGGGGTCATTCGACATCGTGCGCGAACCTAAATCTTGGGAACAGAAACGTCCGTACAGCAAGTATCGTAATGCTCCACCACCCACTCTGATGCACTGCTATCATATGGCCAGATTGGCGACATCAGATTTATACTTTGGCTTATCATACGTCTGCATACTACTCTCTGGGTCTAATGTCTCTGAGTCACTGACGGAAAGATAGACCTGTCTGTATGCAGCATAAGTGCAGGCATGATATTGTGAAGCTCTTTTAGCCACTGGCGGGTGGGCCAGGGGAAGGAGGCCCGCTTCCTTTCCTCCCGCCAAATATCCCTTTCAATCTCGTCCATATTGGGGTCACCGTTCTCCTAGCTATGGGCTCTACAGCGACTCTCGCGAACCATGGCGTTCCCCATATGCTGAACAACACTCGTGGGATCATGAACGCCTTGACGACCGCATAAGCAGTTGCAAACTCCACTACAAGCCTGACACCTCCCTCTCCGCGTCCCCACCACGTCGACCTGTTGTCCTTATCGGCAACTTGTCCCCACGCTCCTTGCGCAGCTCTGGTGACGAGGTTCTTCTTTTTCTTCTCAATTGCTTCTTCGCTTACATCTTGCTCGTCTTCTCTTTGCTTGATCCACCTTCGCCAGCCCTTGTTCTGTCGCTGTTGCTCGCCCTCCTCACGTATTGCTTCCTGCTCCACGTATTCGCCTGCCTCTCTTTTCTCTTCCTCGCTAATCCAACCACGTTTGCGCATCCACTTGCCAAACCTCAGTGTTCCTTCCTTAACCCAGTAACCTTCCGCAAAACCCGGTGGTAACCAATCATAGTAGTGAAATGCGCCTACGAGTCCGAATAAAGGTATGATAGCTGTTAGTTCGTGTAATATAAGGAAGGCAGAGATATGTGAGAGCGGCGCTGTGCGAAGAGCATGAGCGCGAAACCGCGTAAATTTGGGGACTGGACGCAGATAATTAGCTTCATGTGTGCGTATCATGGGTCTTCGGTGTATATACGGCGATTGATTAGACGTTCCACGCTCGATGCTTGTTGCTGTGCGGCTTTGACATTGGCTGCTGGATTACTTTGTGTGTTGCCCGGCGTCAATGGCTGCTTTCCTGTATAACATCGCCTTTGCGACCGCAAAGATGACTGATAGGGAGTCCTGAAAAGATATCGTATCGTCGTCGGCGCGTGTGGCGGCGTACGGAGTGGCATCATCATAGGTATGCTGGAGAGACAGAAGGTCGCATGAGCTGGGGTTGAAGCTAGAATATGTAGCGTAGCGTCGTACAGTACAAGAAAGAGGTTGTGGAAGCGGATACTGTGTTGCATGCACCGTTCGATCTAACAACGCGCAAGTATCACAAGGATCCGGAAGATACTCTCACATATCTTTTAGGATATCGCAATGCGAGTCAACAACAATCTCAATTGGCGTGAGGTGTTGATCATAATACTGTACTTTCGAGGACTGGGCTGGTGAGAGGAAATAGCATGGGGACTGTATTGTACGTAGGTGTGCCCAGAGATGCCGATGGTCCCTCGCTTTTTAGGTGGTTCGTGCCGTGCGTCATCGTCAGCTCCAGGGCTTGCTCCGCCTCCACCAGCTCCACGTGGGGTCTTCTCCATGTTCATGTTCCTATTCACTCCTCTTTCACGACGTTCCACCACCTGCAACACGCATCTTCCCCTACATCCACCTTATCTCATCAGAGATCCGCATTCCGATCTACCTGTAACCTCGCTGCGCTGTCTCAATCGTTCACATAGTCACTGCCTTGGCCTCACGCGTACCACGTTGCGGTCGCTTCCGATTAGCTAGCCGTAACTACGAACTCGTAGCCCTTTGGTCGCATCGCCTTGATATTCACACCCTCGAGCCTCATAAGATTTCAACGCGGTATACGTTCACACTGACGGCAGTACGGGCACATTAGTCCGAAGCGTTATCCCGGTCATGACTGTCGTTTGCCTATCGCCTCAGTAAGAGGCCTCAAAAGATTCGAGCTTCCGCGTGCACCTCTCAGTCCTTGCAGAGCTAAGTCCTCAGGCCGTACCAAGACTCTTTCGCAGCATCTACACCCCAATGGCTCCATCTAATCCGTTTTCGTCGTACTTCCGCTCTCATTCCAAACGGAATACCTCGAACCATTCGTCTCCAGATGGGGGTCCGTACACAAACAACCTACCATCATTGAGTAATTTCCGCCCGGAACTTTCTCAGCCGTCACGAAATAATAGCGATGGAAAGAGCCCCCAAACTGAGTTTCCAACAGTTAAAAGGCCACCACTATTACCTCCCATACCTCGAATTGCACCCACACATGCTGAACCAAATAACACTACACCCGAAAGCATCCCTCCCACTCCTCCACCAAAGAGCCCAGGTCGGGACTGGGGAACCAAATTGGCGAACAAAGTCGAGCACTGGAAAGACGGTGCAAGGGAGAACACCGCCCCGTTCCCAGGTGCTGGTATGCATGCCAATTCAATAAAGCCTACTCAAGATGTTCAGGGCTTTTCAACGTCGACGCACGAGACGGTAGGACTGGATCCATCCGGTCTGGCTGCGCATGGATCTCAAGCATACCTCATGAACGAGTTCTCATCCAACTCGCTATATCCCCCATCCTCCGTGTCACCAATCTCACTTTCAGGAGAACATACCTCGACGAGATCTCCCAGTACTGAGGGCTCACATGCACCAAAGTCAGCACGGGGCAGGTTGAACCTATTGAATCCCATGGGGCTTTTTATGCGACGGAGATCTCATCAAACGGTAGAAACGTCTAATAATGATACTGCATCACGTAGTCCATTTGTTCCTGCTATGACCCTACCTGAGGACTATGACCCCCGAATTCGAGGTAACAAGGTCCACGACTTCAGTGCTCCGAGGAAACGAGCAACACCCCCGGTGGATAATTCTTTTTCTTTCGGAGGTCATACACGTAACGACACCCCGGAATGTCAACGAGACTCTGCTGATTCGAGTCCATCAAAACTCGATCACACTCCGATATTTAAGGAGAACTTCGATGATGACTTTGGACCACAGGAAATGGATCGTGCTTTACGAGCGGAGCAATTGGCTAATCAAAGCTTCCTGAAAAGGGCTTCTCTACAGCCGCCGTCTCCGCCAGACAAGGTGCCTCCTACGATACCGAGCGAGACTGCTCCCTCGATAGCTAGTCGTCGATCGGTCTGCCCCCCATCAAATCTGAAATTGGACACTAATAAGGACTTACCTCCTCTTTCTCCCGTACGTGAGACGGATGATGTCAGCGAGGATCCGCCAAAACAAGGTTCATCTCCGAAATCCCCGAAATCACCGCCCATCACGAGATCACGTGCTGCATCCGGGGCGGACCCATACTTTCAAACTGCTGGTATACCTCAGCATACGACAAGTAAGGCTTCTAGATTTAGCTTCCAGATACTAGGCAATGATTCAGCGGCGCAAGAGAAGCTGCTTGAAGAAAGGCATAAGGAGAAAGCAGCTGCGAAGGCACTCGCTGAGCGCCCTTCTCAACCGGATGAGTTCGCCGAAGACGATTACGACGAAGACGCGATGTATGAAGAAATGATGAATGAAGATGGTTTCGACGAGGAAATTCCAGGAATGCAAGATGATGATGAATTAGGTTATGGTGGGTTTTCCGGGTACGGGGGCCTGGCGAATGCCGACTTGAGCACGTTTGGCACACAGCAACCTATAGTGTCAATGCCAGCTGCTATGAATAACGGTCAAGGTTTTCCCTATCACAGCGAGAGCAAACTATCAAAAGACGCCGGCGTAATTCTAGATCTCCAAATTCCAGCTCTGGGAGAAACCGAAACCATCAACGACACTAAATCTATTGATTCTGACACTTGTGTAGATCTTCCAATCAACGAAGGCATACATGAAGCTATTGGAACTTCTCGAGGCGACTTTCGGATGTCCTTCTCTAGCCACGGGCTTGAAAAGTTGCAAAACAAAGTGCAACGCGAAAGTGATGATCTTTACTTCGATGATGGTATGATTGATGACCCTGTTGATCAAGACGGCGAAGGCTTCGATGAGTCTGTCTTCGACGATCCGACGAATCCGTTGTACGAACGTCCTGGACGAAAGTACAAGCCCTCGAATGGGCCAGAGCCATCATTGGACAATGATCTGGGAGAAGAAATGCCAACACTCGCGCCGAAGTCTAGTGTTCGAAGGGACTTTAAAGTAGATGGGTACAAGGACATCCCTATCACCGATCCTAGTGCCGATCTTGATAATCTCAATGCATACCATGAAGCTCTTGCCGAAGCTGCGAATCAAGCAGCAGCGAGTGGCCGTTTCAATCGACACAGCATCCTCGAATTGACTCATGAGGCACACTCTTTGTCTCCCTCACATTCTCAATCTGATGGGACAAGCTCGTCGCGTCCCAGCCTCATACCTGATGATGGCCGCTTTAGTACGTCTACGGTCGCACCATTTTCCCCGACAGCTATGGGTAGCGGCGTCGGCTTTCCGGTCGAAGATGACTATGGTTACGATGATTTCGATGGTGGCCTAGAAGACGATCCCATGATTGCAGAGGCCAATGCAGAAGCCCTCGCGTGCAACTTCGAAGAAGACTACGGTCAGGAATTCGGATTCTATGCATCTTCATCTGGACAAGGCGATGCTGTCTTCTCCAACGGCGGTTACTTTGGACCACGCGATCAGATGATAGGACGTAGCACCAGTGGAAGGAACGCGGTCCAGGAACCGAATCTCACGCCTATTACAGAGCGCAGCGAGTACAGCACGCGGAATTCTTTCATTAGTATCACCAATCAGTACCCATGGCATGGACAGGGTCCTCAAGCTCTTACCAGTCCTGGGCTGGCCCAGCTTGCGCGCATGAGCCCAATTGCGTTTCCCGAGGACGATTCGGACATCAGCCTAGAGCAGCTTCGTAAGCTAAGGAGAGGCGCATTCGGTGACAGTTCGATGAGTCTGAAGAGCCCTGGCAGCTCCCCACGGAATTCGCTGCCTAGCGATGCTAATGTCCCCAAGCACGGCAGCTCAGGCCTTGTTAGTGGGATGAACTTCGTCCAATGGGACTTGGAAAGCTTAAGTGTCCAAGGCACCAGCGACAGTGCATCGCAATTTGGTCCAGATTCATCTCATCTTGACGATCCAACACTGGAAGAAGACCCCGAAGCGCTTGATGCCGTGAACTTCCCCAACGGCTCTGACTCTGATTTTGAGCCCGATGACGACAATCACAATTCATTTCATGGCTCGTACCTCGACGACATCGACGCCGAGGATAATGAGTCGCCCACAATCAGAGACTTCCATCCGGACATCCACACCACACCACTATCATCCCAATCCGCAGCGCCTCTCAGCCCGCAGCTCAGCATACCTAGCGCTTCAACTCCATGCACTCTGGATCTCTCCCCTCCAACCTCGCCTACCGCGCCACTTCCCTCGCTCCTGTCGCCTCTCGCGCCCATGTCACCATTCGCCATCGCCCCGCCCTGGGCACATTGCACGCCGCAGCAGCAGGGGTCCGTCGCGTCATCTACGGTCACGATGAGTCCGAGCGGCCCGCCGCCGAATGCATCCTGGAAGACGCATAGCCGGAAGAGTAGCGCGGCCGATAGCGTGACGTATGTGCGTGAGCGTGACGAGCAAGGCGAGCAGAGGTGGGTGATTGAGAGGAGGCGGACAGCGAGTACGGGCGAGATGGAACTGGTAGGGAGGGAGATTGTCGAGGGAGGGAGAATTTGAGGAGAAGAAGCATATTGATTAGTAGTGGATAAAGAGGAGGTAAAAAAAGAATTTGGGACAAAGGCAATATTTTTTTCAGGTACATATTTGCACTGAAATGCTTCAAAGGTTCGTGAAGCTATAAAAGGACATCACAACAACGGGGAGGACATTAGTTTTGCATATTAGCACTGGCGCATACATCATTCACGGCGCCTAAGCACGACACAGGACAGGCTTAAGAGTGAGAGGCGAGGCCGTCGACATCTACATGTTCATATCGCATCGCATACATTAGCATGCCCACCACCACAGTCAATAACTTCTAATAACAAAACAACGCAGACCACGAAATTTTCGCGTTCTGAATTTTTTCTGTTTCCAAACTCCAAGCATCTGAGTATCGTCTGAACCGAATGAACCCGTCCCAGTACATCCGTCCTAGCGTAACCGTCCTAGCGTGTGTGAAACTCCGGGTTATGCAAAAAAACAAAGAGCGTATATGACCTGGCTAATGCCCGGCGATCGTGTATGTCGTATCGTGAGCTAGCTAGGCGCGACTGCTTCCCGGCCTGCTCTTGTTCATCGCCTTACGACAGTCGTCGCAGTACCATTTTGCTGCTACTTTGTTAGCTGAATGCCCGGTACGTCATACTCTATACAATCAAGGGAGGAAGTTTTTAAAAAAAAAAAAAAAAAAAAACTCGCTTTTGTCCGGCGGCGCCTTCTTGATGCCGACACATTCCCAATGAAACCACTGGCGCGGGCAATCATCGTTATCACATCCAATCATCTGCCCATGGCTCACGCCGTTGCAGAAACAATATCGCTCCTCGCCCGCTTCATCGTCGACGTCTATATCATCTGATAAGTCGCCCGGCTCGCTGCTGTGGGGTGCGTCGTCCTCGGGCTCCGACCCTTCGTCTGGTTGGAGTAGTGGTGGTGGCGGTTTCGTCGGGCTTGGAGGAGCAGCAGTAGCAGGGGGTGCTGGAACAGTGGCGGATACAACCGAGCCGCGTTTCTTATGCGACACTTTGGATCCGGCGGAGGGAGCGTTGGATTCGGAGGAGGCGTGCGAGCCGCCGTTGGACTTCTCTTTGTTGCGAGTACTACGCGAGCGGGCCATGGGAGCAGAGTCAGACGTGTCAGCGGGAGGGGAGGAAGGTGGGAGGATGGGCGTTTTCTGAACTGCCATTGTCGGTGTGGTTTCGTCTTTCTTTGACGGGGCGGCTTCGCTTTTGGGCAGTGCTGCTGTGATGGTTTTGCGCAAATCACGCCCGCCGGCGCTGTCTTTGCCGCGACTAGAGTCGATTGAGGGGGAGCGTCGTTCGCGGATTTGCTCGACGACTGAGGCATGTGAGGTTGGCGTGGAACCTCTGCGTCCTCTTGTAGATTGTGGACGTTCGGAACCGAAGTCTTTAAAGGTGGTCAGGGCTGGAGATTGCATGGGAGATGCTGCGACACCAGGAGCTCTACAAGCCATGTTAGCATAACGTGTGACAGCCTTCGTCTCATATGTATATACCTTTTCTTGACGGGCGCAGAAGATGTTGGTGGTGCCCTGGCACGCTTTTTAGGTCCTTCTGCAGGAGTTTCTCGAGGACTGCCGCCAGTTTTGGCACTGGCTGTGGACTTTATGGCCGTGCTCATAGAGCGTTGCATGACCTCACCGCCCGCAGGCGCTTTTTCTGTCTTCCGTTTCTTGGGAGCTGCCACACTCGTGATACCAAGGCCGTTTACTTTATTCTCATCTGCCGGTTTTCGCGCCTTGCCAGTATTGACTTTCTTCGGTGGAGGCCTGTCATCAAAATCAGAGTCGACGTGATGATTGCGAGCTCTTTTAGACAGCATGGCCTCGCGTCTTGCCTCGCTTCTCGATGCGATCTCACTTTCCTGCATCGCTGTTGCGGCAGCAGCCATGACGTTTGTCGCGGCTACGTCTCTCCTTGTGCGCTCCGTCGCGGCCGCCTTGGTTTTTTCCACCTTGTCAATATAGGCCCAGTGTGTTGTACTGCCAAAGCGAGCTTCGTCGGAGATCTCCTCACCAAGGTGTACGTAGGAGCTATTCATGCGAACGAGACCTTTGCTCAAGGTTTGATTTGCAGAGGAGAGAACGTGTATCTTTTCGTCCAGGGTGGGGATCATTTGACCTATTAGTGAGCGCATTTGGAAGAAGATCTGCCGGCGCTTGAGGCCTGCCTGCTCCTCTGGTGGGAGACTCTCAAAATTTGCTGGATATAGCTCGAGCTGAAGTTGTTGGTGATGGGCGATCATATCCTGCTGCATGGATCCCGTAGCACTGGGGGCAGCACTCATAGGAACGTTTCCATCAACGGATTGCGGCTTAGTCTTGTAGCTTTGCGATCGGTTCGGTACCGGCATATGTGCGATCTCTTCAAAAATCTTTTGTACATGTTTCTCTGGTTCGTGAGACTTTGCTTCCACCTCTTTCAGCATCGAGAAGTGCTTGATCAACTCCTTCGGCAAAGCCGCGACTGAGTCTGTGAAGTGAGTGATTGCTGGGCAGAACCCGGGAGCAGTATTAGCGGGAGGCGTATCGGCATTTCCCAAGGATCCTCGAGGACCAAAGGGTCGCGCATAGTAGTTTGAAGGTCTTGTTGTGCTCGTGCGCACTTGACGAGTGGAGGTTCGCCGGTTGCTCGAGGCTGGAGGAGCCATCGCGAGCAGGGCGGGCGCGAGGTGAAGCTCGCGTCGTATCTGACCTGAAAGCTTTGATTCGGAGCTCTGTCGAGAAGATCTAAGCAGGACAAATGAACATGGAATAACTACATGTCAAGTGGTAGCGGAGTAGAAGAGGTCGGGAGAGTTATGAGGCTGTGGGGAAGACGCGAGCGGGTGTTACTGTTAAAGCCCCCAGTGAATTGGTGCAATGACCGCACTCAAAGCGCTCCCGTTAAAGCACTTGGGCCGAGCTACTGAGCCAAGACCAAACAGTTTATTGCGCGTAAGTCTCTTTGCCTGATGCCTTGTTGCCTTGTTGCCTCATATGATCACGCCTGCTCTCATTGGTCTAAGCATTTCACAATGTCTATACGTAGTAGATTCTGTATGTCGTTGACTAATTACCGCATATGGTTCTGCTTACCCCTAGGTCAAACTCCTTGGTGAAACTCGCAGATCTACAGTGTTGTTGGTATACCATTCATGACGTTCATGTAGCTCAATCAGTAAAATTTATGCTCTAGAACATGACTTCCTGTCCAGAAACTAATTACATGAAGTCAATTCGTACTCTATCGACACTGGGTCTGGAATATATATAGTACAATGCCCGCAAGGCTGCTTAGTTTCATACAGTCGCCTCTTCCTCTGGAATCATACCAATAGGCTTTAAAATTCTCTCTCGCACCATTCTGTTAGCCACCTCACCCCCTCTCTCTAATGCTAGGGCGCCAATGATGGCGTAAATTGTTCCGTTGATTACCGTATGCTCGCCTGATAGTGATAGATTGTCCGTCTAGAAGCGCCTGTGTTAGCTGCAGTCAAGTGTTGTTGAGAGGTAGTTCTTACACGCCGTGGTTTCCACCGCATCGCGGACCGCATTCCAGCTTTTATTCCCAGAGCATAAAGCTTTTTCGGGCTCACCAACTCCTTTCTCCGCTCAGCAGTCAGGAAGTCCAGACCGTCCAGCGCTGGATGCGCCGAAGGATACTGGTTTGCTCCATTCGCCAACACCGCCAGACTTGCCTGCAGGTCTACAATCCGCTTCCCTAGAAACGTGAGACGATCGTTGAAACCTCTTCGGCCATGATCGAATGATTTGTGTGTAACTGCAAGCCACTTTGTCTCTTCTGAAAGCAAATCGCAGCTGCCCGGACCCAGAAACTGGTTATACATCTTGTCGAGCCTTTTCGGTTCGGTGTTGACGACGTAGTGACTGTTCGGTGTTAAGGGATTGAGGCGTACCGGTGCGATCATAGCTTTAGGTGTTTGCTTCCATCGTGGGGCTGTCAATTCTTGTTCGTTTTCGGGAGTGTACAGGCGAGCGGGTGTGCTGGAGATACAGCGTTTGTTGGGCAGCGAGGGGCATCGTGATTGGGGTATTGCGGACGTGGAGGTGCTATGTAATAGCTGTAAAGGTCGCCTAGAGGCCATTGTGGCCGGTCTGTAAAGGTTGGCGAGCAGGATTCTGATCTATGCGATGAAGTGACGGAGAATGTCGAGCTGTTGAAAAACGACGCTAGTAACCTAAAAGGCCAGCCAGTCGCGCGGCGCGTCTTCCCCGTACAAGCGTCGTTTCCTGAATATCGTCAGCTCCAAGCCTCTTGCTGTCTCAGCATTCATGGCATCGACACCGGCTACTTTGGAACAGGCTCTAGCACAAGAGCTACCAGAGGGGCTGCGCTTCATATTTCACCACATCTCAACAACTCCCACTAGATGCGATGCCATATTTGCAGCAGCGCCTCAGACAAAGCCCGACAGAACATACTGCGAATCGCATCTTCTGAACGTGTCAATTGCACCCAAAGGCGGAGCTCAGGATGAGCGACTGATTGTCCTTGCGATTGAGATTCAGATATACACTACGAATCGTCTGACCACAATCTTCGTCTCCAAGGCTGACACCACCGGGTATCTCTCCGTCGCGAATTATCCTCGATCGAGAGTTTCTGTAGCCAGAGCTGTGTCGAAGGCCTTCATAGGATACCTTGCAACAAACAGGCAAAGACCTGGGAAGAGACTAGTCATCTCACTCTTCGCTCGTGCACAAGACCAATACCTGTTCCCTGGGAGCATTGACAATGGGCTGAAACATGTTCTGGACGACCGAGGGTTGATCAAGTGGTGGTGTCGTGTGCTTGACCCTATCTTGAAGGACTACAACCCAAAGACCAATCCGACAATCCAAGAGTTGGAAGGTGGTGCTGAAATGGACACGGACAAGTCCACAGCCCATGGATATCTGATCGTGCCGGGACTGGAACTCTATGAAACACTTCGTTACTTCCCCTCGCCAAATACCCAATGGACACATGGAGACCCTCTGCGAGAGATTTCTCAGAACCCAAACGCACCTCCGCGCTCATTGATTCCTCATTTCCCAGACGATCCAAAGGCGCGTTATCTTGATGAACTGGACATTGAGCTTCCGGACCGGAACGCTTCAACATTGAAAACTCCAACTCACTCTGACGGACAGTGGAAAAGCATCAAGACCCTCGAACAATTCTGGGAAATGATGTCCTACCGCCAGGAGTGCTCGTCCGGCCGTCTAGTAGGGTTCATTTGGGTGGTAGTCACACCGCCTGATCTATCGACCCATGGCGATGAAGCAGCTACTGTTGGAGAGAAACAGACCTCACTTTCCTCTATGGTCAACCCCTTGCCTCCTGTGAAGTCAACACATCCAAAGAATGCCCTAAGAAATACATATTCTCCAGCCCGCGCGTGTGGAGTGAGACGCCCAAAGCCGAAATCTACAGGGCGGCCAAAACTATGTGGTCCCATCAAACCGCGTCTCCCGAAGATCAAATCTGCGTCCTCAGGGTCATCCTCGAATTCACAGCCTGAATCTACACCATACTATTGGTGGCCGATCGCAGGACGCGGCGAGCTTGTCTTCGGTCCAAAAGACTATCAACGTGCACTTGATATACTTCTCAACCAAAATTTCACAGACCGCGATAAAGCAGGTCGAAGTACTCGAAAATGGACCGAGGAGGTAGGTCTATTAGGAGGACGTGACAAGGCAGCATGGGGCTTGGAAGTAGCGGGGACGCAGACTGCAGTGAATACCACCACAGAAACAGGTGACGTGACTGGTGTCAATACTCTTGATATAACGATCATGAAAAAAAAGCGCAAGGTCGATGTGTGCGAGGAGGTGAGCAATGAACCACCGACGTTGAACGCGGGATTGGTGCGCAAGAAAGCGGCGAATCAAGTGGACGTTTCGCAGAAGGCGGCATGTGACCATGATGTGAATGTGCTTGGAGGTGGACTGGTCAGGAAGAAACCAAAGACGTAAAGATTATGAGATACGCGATCATCGGGATGGGTTCCTAGGATGCATCTAATTATTCATTGCAGCGCGCCAGGGAGTATCAACGGTAAGAAAGTGCATTGGATCGGCGCATAGGCAAAATCGAATCATTGGGTATTATTAGCATGGAGCTTATTTGAGGCGCGCCGCGACGCACGTACATTGCTCGCGTTGACATAGAATGCTGCATACTTTCCGTAGGGATATCTTGTTTATTTAAATGAGCCCTGTGAAGCCTCCCTGCGCACGGACACTTGACGTATCCATCCGTCATATCCATCTACTGGTGGCCTCATTACACTCCAAATTCAAGCTCTGCCTGTTCACCTAGAAGTATCGAACATCGACGAACATGTAGTCGGGGTATGGCGGCCAGTATGCGTCTCCCGCGCATTCCTTTCTTCCGCATCTGGTACAGCACTACATATACTATCCTATTCTTGATATTGCTCGTCCTCCTCGCCGTCATTCCCGCCGATCATATCTACCAAGCCATACGCTTCGGCAGCAGGAAGAACGCTTTTGTAATTGCTGGTATTGAAGTCATTACTGCTCTGCTTGCGATCTCCGTATACGCGACACGTCTATACACCAACCGTACTGTCCTCAATTCGATACCGAAGCCATACATACCTGTAGAAGCTGGGGAAGTAGGCGAGAATGTGCGTCGCGTCATTGCGCGAAATCTGGAGCGGAGCGCTTTGATCGCATGGGATACGAGACCCAGAGATATCCGGCCCGAGATTCAAGAGAATGGTACAACTGGTAGACGACTGTCGGATAACGAGAGGAAATCGTCTAGGTGGAAGAAGAGGAGCCATGCAAGACCGGCAACTATCGTACCAATCAGTCCAGGTGACCCTCCATGGGGTCACATTTCGCACCCGGGATGGTCTCGTCCGGACTCGGAAGACCTGCCTGAGCTCCAGTACTGGATGGTCGTGACCGAGCTTCCCAACTTGATTGAAGCCAAAGCTGTATCTTTGGCGCCGCCGGATTTGTTCTTGAGAGGGCTCGGCCAGCCTGGAGAAAGCATTCCTGATGCCCGTATTGTTGCTTTACTTCAACGGCCGTCTTCCATGGGTCTTCGCGATTATCTTGGTCGATTGGCATCATTCAATCTTATAAGCCCACCCGAGGTCAGCGCCCAATTTCTTGCGCAGTATGAATACGCGCGCTTCTCTACTTTCAACCTGACTGAGAAAGAGTTTCGAAGTCTGATGGACATCTTTGCGGACTTACTGAGCGGCATGACAGATCTTGATCCGGTGCTTATCGCGCAAATTCAGGCAGAGTCAGACACCTTCAGCTCGTCTTCTGGTACATCTTTTGTCGCTTACAACCATTCTACGCACCAGTCAAGCCTTCCAGATAATAGTTCTGCTTACAGCGATGGCGCCTCCACCAATTCTGATGCTGCTAGTCCTACTACGATGAGGACGGCACCGTCGCAAAGGCGCGATGCAAGCTCAAACTATCCAGGCATATCGAGGACTGAGAGTGCCTCGACGATTTCACTCGGATCCGTCCGTATACATCCAGTCTCTGAAAGAGGCCAAGCGGAAAGTTTTACCTCTTCGACATCCTCTATACGATCGGCTCAATCAGTCATCAGGCTGACCCCCTCACCTAGCTTGGGGGACCGACCCTTTCAGTTCACATTCAACAATGGTTGACGTAGCAAATCAGCTGTGTTCTCATGGCAAGCCAAAAGTACGCCACACATCTATTCGTCTATGAATTGAATGGATCGAACGCTACTTACCAGCTGGTAAGTTGCCTTTCTCTATCAAACCCACCTCTTAGCTGACTCTGGGGCTTTACAACCTTACCCTGGAGAACCGTGTATCTGATGATATTCTCACAGTCCTCCGGCCGCACCCTCGCAAGCCAGATACACTGCCCGGCCTCTCTCGACGCCTCTACCACCGCTGGCGTCTCGACACTTGGATCATCTTCGCCCATGGTCACAGCTGGTACAGCTTTCACACCATTCTCGCTTGTAGCAGTCCCTGCATTCTCCTCCTCCACGACCGACGTCTTCCGCTCGTGCACACTCTCCCGCCCCATGCCCGCGCGCCGATAAATCATGACGTTCGCCGAAAACTTATGGCCACCAACATGGCTAATGAAGTAAATACCGACGCCACCAGGCCTCTCGTCTGTCAAATCACGATACATGCCCAGTGGACGTAGATGCCTCTCAAACTCCCTCCGCAATAGCGGCGCCGATTGTCCACAGCGTGCATCGCGTGTTTTCTGGCTACACAGCAAGATCAGGTAGTCGTGTGGACACGGACGCGACCTGAGTGGCGAGTCGACTGGAAGAGCAGGTATAGAGTTGTGAGCCAGTGGCGTAGTATTCGTTGGTCCGGCATTCACGAAATGTGTTATGAGGTCGGGGACTGTGGACGGGGTGACGTTGTCGATGAGGGTGAAGGCAGGGAGAAGGAGGACGGTCGAGGGCGTTTCGTGTGTGTTGTTGGGGTAGTCGCAGTGGTCGGGGCGAGGCATATTCGAGGCGGACAGCATGAGTTTCTGCGGTCGGAGTTAGCTGCGCCTTTGCACATATACACATGTAGTGCTCTCTCTCAAGATCTAGAGCAGTCTAGAGCTGGAACACATACCCCATTCACAGCCTTGACATCCCCCTTATCCACCGCCTCCATCACACTACCCTTCTCATCCGCCACATCACGCACCCAATCGCTCTTCCCCGTGCCCACAATCAAGTGTGTACTCCACCCCTTGACATGCCCGTACAGCTTCTCCGTCTCGTCAATGCTGAACTTGGCCGGGTATTTGATCGTGCATGTCGAGCAGTCTTGCAGACACTCTGGCCCGTCGACGGCTTCGTTTGTGACTTCGAATAATTTGTCTTCCGTGGGGGCTTTTGTAAATGAGAGGGAGGCTTTGCGGTCACGCGTCTTGACGTTCCAGAAGAGGGTTTTGAGGGCAGACATTTTGTGGCTTGCTTGATAGGATGGGATGGGAATGGTAGAACAGAAGAAGTGGAGGGAGGGGCCGCGAGGATGGCGGTAGGAGGCAACAGTGTCGCGCGGAGTGTGTAGGTACGTATAATGTATAATAATAATCAAGGCACGTTATCAATGTTCGCAGCGCGCGCAATTGAATTGAATGCTGCACGCAAAATGACGTCGTCGTGCAAAGAGACAAGATCAGATAAAAAAGTAGTGGTTGGGAGTTATCAGATCTTGGCTGGGCAGGGGAGCTTCAAGGTCTTAAAATAAGTTTCGGGGGCTACCTAATGATAGCTGGTGGTAATAGTAACTAGTTCTTTTTGAATTTATGCTACCTGCGGGAGACGCTCGGAGAGGATTCGTAATTGCGACTCGTGCACGCGATATGTGCTGCTGATTGGAACCTTACCGTGCTGAATTGAATGGATCCGGATTGTAATAGCAGTTGTTGGTTAACGCCGAGAACTGCGAGCTCGAGACGCGTCGGTAGACAAGGTCGGGATTCAATCGGTCAAGAACCATAATGCTCGTCGCTTGCGCTGGACCTTTGTCGCCCCTGTACCATGCAATCGGGATTTGATTCGTCGTGGCTATGAACTTCTCTGGAATACTGTTTCTGCAAATGGCTAATATCATACACAAGCCAGGGTTTGTTTACCAGAAGGATCTGCCTACCTGTGCGCTGTTGTGTTGATGAATGACGGTCCTACGGCTTCCCATGACGGGTAGTTTTGCCGAGCGAGACTGCCGCGTTCGGAGATCGCGCTAATGTCCGAGCTGTCTTGTCCGAGCCATGAACGACACATTCACATCACCCAAGACCATCAGGTGTGATACCTGCGGGATACGACACTAACGGCTCAAATGATGTTTTATTGTTGTGATGCGGCTGGTCGACACAATGGCAGGCGACTTTGAATCACCGACCCACGATGGCTAGAGAAAGTTGGCCACATCACGTTCGAAGAAGACGGAAAGCGATATGCCGCCTCCGCGAGTAAAAGGCTTCTTTGGAGCACCGGTTGCCAGGGATCTCAAGTGGGATGAGAATCTACTGTTTGATACTTTCCAACTATCGTACACAGTCCTCAAGGATATCCTGGAGGGCCAGTCTTCCTCATCAGGACTATATACAGCAGAACCACTCAGTACACATTCAGTATCAACGACGAAATGGCGAAGTGTAGCTACAAATCCAAATATATGCCTACCTACCGGTTTAACCCAACCAACGGGTTTCTATCAGGATCATGAGACTTTATCCAACGACCCAGCTGTCCATCGTTCCGGCATCTCTCTCCCGTATATGTCGACATCCTTTGCAAGCACAATCTCCTCGAGCGAACCCGAACAGCCAGTTTCCCCATCGTGCCTCCGCCACTCGTTCAAATTCCACGAACGCATCACAGCCGCCCATCTTACGCAGACCCAAGACGTCACCTCATTCATCAGCGCCCCATCCTTCACCTCTCTTGGCGACACGACTCTCGACGCAACGCTTTTTCCCTCAACATCTTCGCTCCCGGCCTTGCAGCTCCATCCAAGTCTGACTAACACGCCTCTTTCTGCACTTCCATCAGCTGCACGCCTGGACGCCTTACAGCCACAGACACCAACCGCAACACTTCTTGTAGCCGTGCTCAGCACTACGATACGATCCATTATCATCAAGCGCAAGCCATCAAAGCGGTCGCGCCGAACTGAGCCATCAGAACCCGTTGAGCGACATCTTATCGATCTTCTTGTCGCAGATCAGTCGCGTGCAGGGTTCAAATGCACGTTCTGGTTGCCGCCATCGACGTCCTTATCGTCACCCCTGATGGAGATAGAGGCTCACATGTCACCTATTGACATTCCGCTCACAAGCATATCTTCGCTGCGTCGGGGGTGCATAGTTCTGATTCGGTGCATTGCACTGGCAAGTTATGATGGCTCTGTGTACGCACAGAGCCTGAATCCATATCTGACGAAGATGAAGACGAGTATAGATTTACTAGTCGACGCAGATGGGAGGGATCGGGTCGAGGTAATAGATCCAGTGTGGCGAAGCAGGATTGGAGAGACGAGAGAGTGGGTAAAGACATACGTGGGAGGGGCTGGTACGAAAAGGAAGGCCAGGGAGGATAGGACAAAAGACAGGGTAAAGGTTAAGATGAAGAGGTTCGAGGAGGACTTGCCACCAGACGAGAGTGTGCTCTGATTGCAAGATACCATCTTCCTCGTCAGATCGCTGAACAGCTGGCTTCTACGCCAAGTTGAGAAGGCGTCAGCATAGAGTGAGGCTACACGACCTTCACCCGTAACCCGTAACATACGGATCCACCACCTGAGCTCCACGTACTCACTGTGCCGTCAATGGCTGATGCCTGTTTGCGTGGTCAATGAGTCAACAACTGTTCTTCGACCTTTACGTATACTGTTTCTAGGCAGAGCATCGTCGATGGACAAGGTCTCGCTGAATTTTTGCCATGGCCGGGATCTCAGGTCATGACTAGATCGGCAAGCATGGAATCTCCACTGAGCTGAGAGACCGCCCCTGTCGGAGGGTGGTTTGCGTGCGCCAACTCAACAATGTGCGTCATCTATATCGATTAATCTCACTGGTCAGAAGCAGCAAGCATGGAAGAAAGAGTGACGACAAACAATTCCGTCCGCTGTCGTCAGATTCATCTTATATTGGTTTGCTTTTTGTATTATCTTCCAGGATCAGGCATTTTTGTAAACATGAATGAAGCCTCTAACGCAATAGGCATGGTCGCCAAGATTAGTCAGGTGTCAACGCGTCCGAACGGCAAATTAGCGTTCGCGGACTCTGTTGTCTACTTCCGCGTCGGTACACCGCCACGAATCTGTAAATTGTACAGTATGAAGCGTACAAAAAAGATGTATCATAGCACAGCATGTGTTGGGCAGGGAAGAGTCGGAGAGGCTGAGGCTACTATTACCAGGAGCCGCGCACGACGCTCCGAGCCCATCGTTGGCGCACACCGCTCTTCAAGAACCCGAAGGCTCCAAGGGAGGGGTTTAGGCGCCTAGCCCGGACCTGTTTCAGGCTTCTTTGCTATTTCACTTAGTGTTAATTGAGTACTGTGGGGTTTTCTTTGCAGTTCGTGATCCAGCGGGACTCTCCACCTCGCGACTTCACCTCACGTCCCTGTACCTCACGTCTCTTCACCTCACCCCTACGGATAGTTTAATATAGTAACGACCTCGTTCAGCAGAAGACACTGCAAAGAACGACCAGCTGTTCAGCAGTCAAAGACTGTGTAACCTCGCAGCCTTCTTCACAGCCCTCCTGCCTCTCGTATATCTACCTCAGCCATCTCAACTCAACCATCTTTCCTACACCTCACTCATATCTTACTCTTCAACTACCTTCCCTCTATCTATCTTTGTTAGGTCATCAAACGGCTTATCGCTACATACCAAACAGCCAATCGGCCTGGTTTGCTTCGAAAAGATACCGTTCGTGTTGACTTTACCACAGTGAGTATTTACTTCTTGAACTCTCAGCTCCCCAATCTGCCCTCCTCTGATTGCCATCTTACTTTCATGTTTCCATTTCAAGGTTGTCACATACACATAACTTTCTTCAGCTTATGATATTCTTTGCTATCACAGCTATCTGGCCAGCTCGAACAATCTTGACCAAGTTTCTAACTTCACTTTTGTTACGTGCTATCACTCACTTGAAGGTGCTAACGTGGCGCAGGAACGTGAACGACTACTTTCCAACTTCAGGTGCTCAGCGAATGCCTTAGTCTTAAGACATCAGATCTTTCTACTAGGGACAGTCAACGCACATCTCGAGAGCAAATCTAATCAGTTCTTCTAAAGCCCTCCGCTTCTCATTTGGGAAGATAAGTTAAGACACCAAATCAATCATGGCTGATCGTGGTCGTGGTCGTGGTGGCGGCAGAGGTAGAGGCGGATCTGATGGTCCGCCGCGGGGTGGTTTCCAAGACCGGGGAGGGCACCGGGGAGATAGGGGAGGTGATCGGGGAGGAGGAAGAGGTGATCGGGGAGGAGGAAGAGGTGATCGGGGAGGAGGAAGAGGTGATCGTGGAGCGTTTCGAGGAAGAGGCGGGGATAGAGGCGGCTATGGTGGTGGTGGCCGTGGAGGAGGAGCAGGTGGTGGTGGTGGATCGTTGATCTTCCAGTAAGTCGACATAGGTCGAATGTGTATCCAGTGCTAATAAGTCTTGTAGGCAGGGTTCTATTACAGCTCCTGATGCTGGCGTCGATGCTCACGAGAACAACATCGTGGCTGGAGAACTGTCGACTTCACTGTCGAAAATGACGATTGGCGAGGATGCCATATCTTTGCCGTTCCGGCCCGGCTGGGGTGATCGAGGGAGAAGTATTGTTGTTCGGACTAACTATTTCCAAGTAAAGCCGTCCAAGGATGTGGTTCACTACGCTTACACTGTCGGGTCTACCCCCGAGGAGACTAGCAAACGTAAACGGCGCCGCGTCATCGAACTTGTACTTCAGAAGCCGTATTTCCAAGGAGTGACATGGGCCAGTGATTATGCCAATTGGATAATCACTTCGAAGAAGTTGACACTGCCGAACGACAGAGATGCGTTTCCACTCGTCTATCACGACATTGACGAGGACGCATTTAGTGCTCCTACTGCTGGAGAGGCACCAGCCATTACGGCAGCTCGTAATCGCCGGACTCGTCAGATAACCCTGCAACTACTAACGACACTGAGCGTCAACGACATCATGGGATATCTGAATGCGAGTACGGCTAGCACGTTCTACGCGAACAAACCAGAGGCTATTCAGGCGATCAACATCATCTTGAATCAGCATGCGATTTCATCGCAAGGGGTTGTCGTTGTTGGTGGAAACAAGTACTTCCCAACCCAGGGTCCGCTCCTTGAACAAATGACCTTGAGCGGAGGACTAGTGGCCATCCGCGGCTACTTCTCTTCGCTTCGGACCTCAAATATGAGACTATTGTTGAATGTAAATGTAGCTGCGGCTGCATTCTTCCAACCTGGCCCGCTAATCGACCTCATGACAGCGTTTAGACAGCACAGTTTCCGCGGTCAGGCGAGCCCTCAGCTCTACTCTGCAATGACGGACTTCATACAAGGCCTGAGAGTGACTACGTCGTACCTCAAAAAAATCGACAGGAGCGGGAAACAAGTCCTCGACAGCAATCGCAAGCCGATTCCTATCAACAAAATCAGGACTATCGCAAAACGCCCGTTCGTGTACGGGCCCGGGCCCAGGCTCGCACAGTCCTGTATGGATGCCAAGTTCGACTGGACGGATGTGAACGGAACTACCACCAACATCTCTATAGAGCAATACTTCTTACGTATGCATAACATTACACTAAGGGTCCCACAAGCACCAGCAATCAATTGCGGAACTGTCGATCGTCCAAACCTCATACCATCAGAGCTATTGACGGTCTTGCCGGGGCAGCCTATTGGGGGTCTCCTGGAGCCAAGTCAGACTGCAGAAATTCTGAGGTTTGCGGCAAGAAAGCCTGGTGAGAATGCCACTTCGATCACAACTCGAGGACTCCAGGTCTTGGGTTTGAACAACCCGACCAGCCAGCCCTCGGTCAGCAAATTTGGCCTAAGTGTTAGCACTCAGATGATCACGGTTCACGCACGCATTCATAATCCACCCAAGGTCAACTATGCTGGTAACAAGGTGGCTGAGGTTTCTGGAGCTTCGTGGAACCTCCGAGGAGTCAAGTTTTTCAAAGGGGCCACCGTCCCAAAGTGGGGTCTCCTGGTCCTCAATGACAAGAATCGGCCAATGTCAGTGCAGACAGCCTCTCTCATGGGCACGTTTTTAAAACAATTCCAACTATACGGGCTGAAGGCCAGTCCGATAGATCCGAAATGCACGCGCAGCACGAATTACGACTTCGGGGTCAACAATAGGAAACAGGGGGATGCACTCCTCAAAAACGAATTTGCCGGATTTGAAAAGGCAGGCGTAAGATTTATGTTGATCATCTTGGGATCTCAAGATGCTCACACATATTCCCGACTCAAATTCTATGGCGATGTCAAGTTTGGCATCGCCACCCAGGCAATGGTTGGTGAGAAGCTCCTCAACGAGAGGGGTCAAATTGGCTATATCGCAAATGTTATCGCCAAGATAAATCTCAAGCTGGGAGGCATCAACCAATTCGTGAAACTGGAAGAGCTAGCCCCCGTTGACTCCAAAACGATCGTGTTTGGCCTGGATGTGTCGCATCCCTCCCCGAAGAGCTCAAAGGGAGCACCCAGCGTCGCAGCCATCGTAGCATCGGTAGACTCCTTTTTTGGACAGCTACCTGGCGACATTCGAGCCCAAAGATCTCGACGAGAGATGATCGACGGTCTTGAAGAGCTTGTTGTGGATCGTTTGAGGTTCTGGTCTTCGAAGAATTCCGGCGAGCTGCCCAACAAAGTTGTCGTGTTCCGGGATGGCGTTTCTGAGGGCCAGTATAGGCAAGTCCTCGAAGTCGAAGAAGCAGCTTTCCAAAAAGCCTTCGACAAGCTTTACAAGGTCAAACCCAAAATCACCTACATTGTCGTCGGCAAAAGGCACCACACTCGGTTCTACCCAACGAAGCCCGAAGACGGCGATAGAAACGGCAACACTCTCCCAGGTACCGTCGTCGACAGAGGCATTGGAATGGAGCGGGGTTGGGACTTATTCGTCCAGCCTCATTCGGGTCTCCAAGGAACAGTTCGACCTGCACACTACATTGTTCTCAAAGACCAGATTGGCTTCAAGGCCAATCAGCTCGAGCAAGTCCTCATCAACATGGCTCATACCTTTGGTCGCGCGACGAAGGCCGTCAGCATCGCCCCAGGGGCATACAATGCTGATCTGATCGCTGAGCGGGGTCGTGCCTTTTTGCACTCGTCAATGAACGATAGCAACCAGGGAACGGACTTCAACTGGCAGACCGCGGAATGGACTCGTGGCGTGCACGATCGGCTCAAGAACACCATGTTCTACACCTAAGAATAGACACACTGCGCAGAAGCCGCTGCTGATGTATGTCGGCATTGGTGCGATGATCACCATCATCATCGTCGTTGTCAGTGGTGGCCACGTGGTGTATCTCTCGGCCTCTTCTTCAGCACAAACGCCTAAACGTCAATTCGGATTTCCTTCGCTCGTTATACCCTCGGTCAAACTTACACATGAACTCAGCCCCAAATAAAACAAAACACCGAAAAAAAGCCTTAACACTTACACATTCCCGGCCTTCACACAAGGCCTCAATTTCAAAGAATGGAGGAACAAGAGAACAGACAACATGCAAAGCCGCACATCACTCTAGATTGTTGTGTATGTGTGTGCTTGCAAGCATGCAAAGATTCATATTTGTTAACGACGCTGCGTCGTCGTTGTCATCGTCGTCCTCGTCTTGATCTATCAAATATGTTCTTTTGATTGACAGACAAACAGACGAGACAGACGAGACGAGACCGCTGCTCAGTCCACTCGCTTGCGTTACCTCCTTTTTTCGTTTTGCTATCTTCCTCTTATCTTTCTTTTTTGTTCTCCTTTCCTTTCCGTTCCTTCTCTTCTGGACCTTCTTTTATGCCGAATATTGAGTGGAAACAGAGAGATGATTTACTTGAATTTTCCTTGATGATGATGTTGGAAGTTTTGGGGCACTACAATGAGGAAATTTTGGGATTTTCGTTCGCTGGGACTTTATAGTGATTGGAATTAGGAAAACATAACAAATGAAGAAAAAAATTCGTGGTGGAATTGTGTGCTTTGTTGTAGGTGTGAGCGTATATGCGTTGTGACATGTATATCTATCTACCTGCTCGATCGAACAAAGCGATATCCGAGAGCACTAAAGATGTTGAACAGATCGGTCAAAGACGCGCTGAGACTCCGTCTCGCCTCACAAGTCTGATTAATTCACATGACTTGTCCACACGAATCTACAGCCGCTGGATAAAATCCCCAGATAAATCCCAACACAATCAACGCACCACCACCACGACTACCACAACAACACGTTAAGGAAATATACCTCACCTCAGCAAACACTATACCCAACGATTGTGATACTCACCCGAATGGCGCTACAAGAAGTCAACCAGGCATGAGAAGACGAACCACAAACCGTAAACCGGAACATCGATAATCTAATGTATAGTTACAGACTGGTGGTAGGTAGGTAGGTAGGTAGGTAGGTAGGTAGGTAGGTATGTAACAAAGACTAATTATATCCTATTTCATGTCCATGCGGGCCTTTCCTTCCATTCCAAAGCGCAATCCATCCATCCATCCATCCATCCATCCATCCATCCATCCATCCATCCATCCATCCATCCACACACACACATCCCTGCTTGGTTTACACAGCATACACGGCTCTCCCTTCCTCTTCTTGCCCCTCTTACATTCTCGCTTTCTCAAACAATCGCATCATGCACGCATGCTCGCTCGTCATTAGCGGGGGTGCAAACAAGACAAGAAAGAAAAAACAACCGCTCTTTCTTCATTCTATGGAAAAAAAATACCCCGGCAGATAAGATACCAACTCGACTCACTCACAACCCAAACAAAGCGTCTCAACGCGGAAAGAGGAAGGGACTTGGCTGACTGACTGATCGGGCTCAGTTTCCGCGCGTGTCAATCGATGCCTATGGACAGAACCTTAATTAGAAAACAGGACTCTATGTCTTTCTTCCTTTTCATTTGGCAAAGGGAGGGACGGTCGCGGATTCATACCTGATTGACAATGTCGCTCGCCCTCCTTAGGCTATCGACCATCTGAATACACTCCTTCCTTCGTCGGATAGTGTGATCGCTCTCCTTAAGCAGATCGTCCAGCTCCTCAGTCTTGTACATGTTCTCGAGCAACTCACGCTGCATCTCATCCTTTGTCATGGCGACTAGATTCAGCATGATTGCCTTGGGCACCATGTCGATCATTGTGCGGCGCACAATGCTATAGTACGACGCAATGAGGAGTTTGATGACTTCAACCTCCATGGCCTCCTTTTCGGACAGTGTTCCGGAGGCTCTAAGCGTCGGTGGTGGGGCTTCCATGGCAGCCATCTTCTTCTTGTTTTTGGACGCGAAGAACGAGCCGAAAAAGCCAGAACCACCGTCTGGGTCGAGCACAGGGGAGACTGCGCGTGGGGGAATCGCAGAAGCGGGCAGGGGCTTGCCGGTTTTCGGGTCGACCTGTGTGGGTTTCGTGGCGGAGTGACGCTCGTGAACGATTGCCATGGCCTTTGAGCCGTTGATGAAGTCTGGATGACCGGTGTTGATGTAAGTAGCCTCCATGGACACAAGATCGCGGACAAGCTTGTTGGTGGGTTCCATAGATTTCTTGAAGAAGGCGACGACGACGGCGTGGAATTTCTCTTTGAGTGCTGGATAGCGGCGGAACATAGGCTTGGTGAGGAGTTGACCTAGGATGCGGATGAGCTCGTCATAGACGAGTGAAACACACTTTAGGCTGGGCTCTTCGAGGCGACGGATTTGTTGCTTGACGATAACCTCAAAGGCCGACGTTCCGACGAAGAGAGCTGGGGACGGACCGGAAGAGTTGACCAGATATGTGCGGATGTCGTTATCTTTGACTTGGTCGAATGGGTCGACTGCCTTGACACCATTCGAGTATAGCTCGTGGTATACAAAGCTGATTCTGGCACCTCCGGAGAGTTCGATACTAGACAGCTCCGTGTTCTTACCTTCTAGAACAGCCCGGTACTCGTTTGAGAACTCCGTGATCATATTTAGGACGACGTTTGAGTTGTTACCGAGCAGTGAATCACCAAGTGAGGCGAGCTCGGCGGAATATTTTTGCAATGAGGAAGCAATTCGAGCCTTTATATCTGGTAATGTTTGTTTGATGTGCATCATAAGAATCTGTTGCCCGTGTTAGCCTGATCTGACTTTGAGACTTTTACGATCAACGAACCAGGTTGAGTTTGCGGGCCAGATACGGCGTTCCGCAGTACGCTGCCTTGCTCCTGTACGCCTTGTGTTGCTCGAAAAATTGCCTCTCGTGTTCCAAGGCATAAGAAATAGCCTTCTTATTTTCGATATCCCTCTGTCCTCTGTTGACCACAGGTACGTAGCCTAGTCTGAGCGGAATGATACGTCCGGCTAAAATATCCACAACGTCGGTACCTTCGTCCATGAGATCTACCTTGGTGAGGACACCGATGGTTCTTTGACCTTCTGGATCCACTTCTCTCGCCAACTTAAGGCCATCTGAGTTTGCCAGATCTGTATTGGCCGCCGTGACAGCCAATATGATAGCATTGGTCTTGCTGATCTGCTTTAGAACCATTTCTCGGATCTGGCGCTCGATATCTCTGGGCTGATCGCCAACAGGCACTTTTGTCAGACCGGGCAAATCCACCAATGTGAGAGTCAGGACGTTGGGCGAGTAGATGCGCAGGTTAATGGGAGCAGGAGAAATGCCCCCATTGCGGCCTGTCTTCGATTCAGTCTCGCGCACAATTTCATCACGAATTTTGCCAAAGTCATGGAACTTCTGGCCCGGAATATGCAGAAACTCGCCCCATTCATCAACATTGGCTTCCTTGTCATCTGCCTTAGACACAGTTTCATCGGCTTCGCCGACTGGCTCGCCATTGGTTTCGATCTTTGGTATAGCAGGTGGTCGGTTTATGAGTTGAAGGATGAGTGGGCGTCTTGTGACAATGCCTGTTCCTCTTGGAAGACTGAGGGTATTACAGTATCAGCGAGGCGAGGGTGCCCATGGGGGACTAAGTGCTCACAAGTCTCTTCCAACGATATTTTCCAGTACTGAACTCTTTCCGCTCGATTGTGACCCTACGACAGCGATTTGCGGTAAATCTATGGGATTTTGAACCTATAGGGGTCATATCAGCAGGGTGTTTACAACTTCTCACGAAGGTTGAGAAGGGTCAAGGGCACACGCATACCCCTACGGTGGTAAAAACATCCTGAAGCTTGTTGACGAGTGTGATGAGGCCGGGGTCGTTGACGTTAATGCTATAAACACAGTTTCGTCAGCTTCTCTGTGGTCCCATATCAGTCGCAGCCCACTTACGCAGTTGAGCTTATAGACGCCATCGCTGGCGGTGAAGTGAAGCGCTACTAGAGATAGATATTGATGCTACGTGGCGAAGTTGTAAGTGGTATATGTATAGAAGTAACGCGGTTTGCGGTTTGCGCGAGAATGCTGCAGTGGTCCAGAATGCAAAGAGCTGTCGTGGTATCAAATGATCTACCTCTGCTTCAACCACAACCACCATGTGGCTAGGGCGCGCACGGCCACTCTGCATTAGCTGTGGCGGCCAACACAGCGGAATACTCCCCAGGCAGCAGCAAATCTCTCAACTCTTACGTACCCAATTAGGCAGCAGTATTATTCACTATTTGGGCAAGGTCCATGCTAACGCCTTGTATCAGAATCTTAAGAAGTCTATTGTTTGAGACTACGTCCAAAACGCTTCTCAGGGGACCATGCACTAGTCAAGCTACAGAACACAAATTCACGAGAATCAACATCTTGACTTATTCGTCTGTCACAGATGCAAACTTGTCCATCATCTTTTGTTGCAGCGCTTCGTACTAGGTGAAAAGTTAGCGAAGTTCGCACGTCGTTGCTGAAAGAATGAACTCACCTTCTTCGTAATCTTTTCCTCGCCCTCTGAAGGCACTTCGAACTTCATACGACGTAGATCAGCTTGTATCTCAGATGTTGCCTCTCGAATCTTTGCCCAGCTCTGGCCTTGGGAAACTGCTTTTTGTGCCTCGTCATGGAATCCCATCATGCACTTCATCATCCACTCTGTTTTCCAGAGCGGACAGAATTGGTCGTAGTCACTATAGCCGTTTTGCTGCAGGAAGTCCTCTTTGATCAAAGTCGCGATATCCAGAGTAATCTTGTCTCCATCACCAAGAGCAGATTTACCGACCAGTTGAACGACTTGGTCCAAGTCCTCAGATGTCGTGAGAAGCTCCTTGACCCTGTCACGAAGGCGGGGAAACCCAGGGTTGTTCTCTTGATAGTACTTGTCCAAAGATTTCGTGTACTTGCTGTAACTAGCTGAGGTGTTGACTGACGGGAAGTGCTTTCTTTGCGCTAGCTTCTTGTCGAGACCCCAAAATACTTGGACAATGTTGAGAGTAGAACTGGTGACAGGTTCCGAGTAGTCACCACCCGGAGGGCTGACAGCACCAACAATACTTACACTTCCTTTGCGCTCTGGGCTACCCAATGCCGTGACTCGGCCAGCACGCTCGTAAAAAGAAGCGAGCTTGGCACCGAGGTAGGCAGGGAAACCTTGATCAGCAGGCATCTCTCCGAGACGTCCAGAAATCTCACGGAGCGCTTCAGCCCAACGCGAAGAAGAGTCAGCCATCATAGCCACAGCCTTCCCTTGATCGCGGAAATATTCAGCCACGGTTATACCTGTGTAGATAGAGGCCTCTCGTGCAGCCACGGGCATGTTGGACGTGTTTGCAATCAGAGTCGTGCGCTTCATGATCGCTTCCTTGCGACCGTCCACGTCAATAGTCAGCTCGGGGAAGTCCATCAACACTTCGGCCATTTCGTTTCCTCGTTCACCGCAACCGACATAGACAATAATGTCACTATTAGAGAACTTCGACAAACTTTGACTGATGACCGTCTTTCCACAGCCAAATGCGCCAGGAATACATACAGTACCACCTTGCACAGATGGGAAAAGGGCGTCAAGGACACGTTGTCCAACGATAAGGGGCTGATCGGATGAAAGCTTCTCGTTCGACGGACGAGGTACACGAACAGGCCAGTTGTGTACCATTGAGTATTCTGTTTTCTTGCCTTCAAACTCAAGCTCAAGAATCTTCGTGTCCACAGTATAGCTGCCCTTCTCGGCAATACGGGTGATAGTACCGCGGGCCCTTGGTGGCAAGAGAATCTTGTGGTCATTCAGGAGAGAGTTTTCGAAAACGCTGCCGAACACATCACCTCCTGTGATGTGATCTCCAACCTTCAGCTTGCCAGGAGTAAAGTCCCATTTCTTCTCACGGTCGAGCGCAGGAATGTCAATACCTCGAGGAATGTAGATAGAGTTCGAAAGATCGCTGATCTTCTTCAAAGGTCTTTGAATTCCGTCGTAGATCGTTTCCATAAGACCAGGGCCCAGTTCTACGGAAAGAGGCTTCCCAGAACGTATGACAGGGTCACCAACCTTTACACCAGCTGAATACGGAGCTCGTCAGTCATGCCTTCTGTTGAGTGGGACCTTTGCTAGGGCCAGCGCACCTGTCTCTTCATACACCTGAATAGTAGCTTTATCTGCATCGAGTCTAATAACTTCTCCAACAAGTTTATCGTTTCCAACTCTTACAAGCTCGTACATAGCACATCCGATCATGCTTTCGGCGACAATAACGGGTCTGTTCTTATCAGTATCAGGATTGTAGTTGTTCGAACAGAAGTGGAGATATACCCAGAAATCGAGAAAACGGTACCTTTAATGGCACGTTAGTAAGAGATCTTTGGTTATGGATTGACAGATTATGGCATACCATGCTCCTCGCCATTGTCTTCCGTCTTCTTAGAGTTCTAGCGGGCCGCCCTGGTTAGCTACTCGCTCATGACAATAGGATCATCAAGACGTACAGGTGCCATTGTGGTAGATTTCAGCTGACCTCTATAGGGCTCTTCGACGACGCTCTTGTGTGTGGTAGCTGGAGCGGGTGAAGACGGTAAAGGGACTTCGATTGGGGTCTCAACTGTGACTCCGAAGTAATCTGCGCCCCGGGGTGTTGAGGGGCGGGACGGTGAGCGGTATTCAGAGCTCTGACTTTGGATGAGATCAAGTAGGGAAGGACGAGCTTTCAATCGAGGGCGGAGACCAAGCATACAATTGTGGTAGTCAATAGTTAATGGGGACGCAGTAGCCAAGAGCTGCTGCTTGCAAGCCGTCAGAGCTGCTCCAAGAGTGGGGCACACAGACCAGCTAGGTTAGTACTACTGGGCAGCTGGCTCCCTCCTTGGCGCCTTAATCCGTATATCCATAGTTACATGGGAAAGCTTGGCTGCCGATGTTCGCCCATGTCACCAACACGCACGATTTAGTATAATTAACATTTTTATCTATTACCGCCGTATAATATATATATAGCTATAAAAATTACTATATATTAGTTCTATATAGTCCTAGTTATATATCTATCCTCTTTTTATTACTTTATATTATCTATAATACCTCTAAAATTAAAGAAAAAGAGTAAAAAGAGTAAGTAATAGAGAGATACTCTTAGGTCTAGCTAGCTATATACCCCTATATTTAAACGCGCTCTAGAAGGATATAGAGAGAATACTAAGGATCTATAGTATTATATATTAGTTATACTATCTCTTAAATACTATATAAGCGTAGTATAGTAGTAGTATATAAGAATATTAATTATACTTAATCGTGTGTGTTGGTGACATGGGCGGACATCGGGCGCCAAGCTTTCCCATGTAACTATGGATATACGGATAGTGGTTCTCTCTCACAAGACACGCCGTGCTCGAGTCGTTGATTTAAATCGATATTAAGGCTATGTGTATATGAATTTATGCACCAAATGAACCACGAGTAGCATAATGTTCAGGTTTCGCTCTGCCGGTCATGTGTCTCCCAATTTATGTGGCCAAAGATATTTTGAGAATGCATCCGCATTGAGCTCCAGCTTTTCTTCGCCCTTGCTGGCTTCGTAACACTACTGGCTGTCTTCGAATCTACTCGAAGCTGAGAAGATGTCGATGTATTCATAGTTTCGGATAGAGGCTGACCCCAGAAGCTAATCTTACGAAGCCGCATACTGTGAGCTGGCGTGCTGTCGGACTCGACAAGATGAGGAAATAGCTTCGCTACCAGTGGTTTGATCGACAAGAGGCAAGCAAAAGCTATTCCAACATTGGCTTCTACAATTGATCAGGTCAGTGCCGCAACACCGGAGCCTTAGGTTGGATTAGCCTTGAAATGTAAGGTACTGACTGTACGGCAACTTACGAGTCAAATCATGCCAGACTTTGGCGGCGACGTCTACCATGACCACACGGAGTATGCCGATAATACATACCCTTCAATATTTAGCAAATGACATACATCAGATCTGTTGTCATAGACTTACATTCCACCCAACGTAAACAACACCATAAGCCCTATTTTCTGTCGCCGCGGAAGCTTGAGCTGACTGACCAATGGCATTGGCAATAACCATACTACAAGGTCCAGAATAACATTGATTGGTGCTGTCGTATACCAATATACCATAGCATCAATACACATGCCTGGTGTGCTTGGATTCTACATCTTCCGTATCGGAATACAAAGGAATACAGAGCCAAACACGCCCCAGATTGGAATAAGCGTCAAGACTATAAGTACGGCTTGGCACGTCCGACGAAAGATGATGACCGGAGTAGATGAAAATATACGCAGATATTGAGTAACAATTGAGGCTTTGGTTACGTTGACGACAATTTGATAGATCACGTTGCTGGCGATGATAAGCTAGTCACGGATCAGTATAGCTTTCGATGTCATCGAAAATCTTACCTTCGCCATAGTAGGGATTCTAGCATGGTTGTCCGCCCACTGAGATTCACCAATCCCAAGATGAACCTCTGTAATTGTCAACACCCTGTCGTGTCACATTTCCATTTTATGGGATGAGCTCTAACCTGCTGCAACAACACCAGTCAAGGCAATCGCAAGTATCTGTGTAGTTCAGTAACTATACTCAGTTTATAATGTCTTAGATATTACCCACCGTTGAGAAGACAATCATATAATCATCCAAACCAATAACTCGCGTGATGCACCAACGAGTATACCACCTTGCACCTACCGCAACCAAAGTAAGACCAACGCAACCGATTGCTGGCCCGAGAGCCGCCCATCCTATATCAGCTGGATGTCCTGCGATAACAAGAACAGTCGGTGGTTCTGAGTGATCCATATCATCAGCGCCAAAGCATCAGTCAAGGATAGTAGCCTTTCCAATCAGTGTGGGACACTCAGTTGTAAGATGCTCTGCACAGTACGTAGGCAAATGTCTCGGACCTCGCGGATGAAAATCCCCCTAACGTCTATTCATTGCGAACCAATAATTCCACCGCAACGAGACATGTTTTCTAAAATAATATCAGTGTTCTTCCTTCACCACTTACTAATATACTTTAGTTATATATTCTAATTCTCTGATGTATTTCTCTAAAATATAAGTTTGCAGATATAACAATATAACATTTCGATTGATATTATCAACTATTCTTATCGAGCGGTTTCAAATAGCTTTAGGGTTATGCTTCTACTTTACCGGGACTGAGGACGTATTCTTAGCTTCGAATTTAGTCTTAGGTACTTGCTTTACCGACATATACGACAGCGAATTATAAACATTTGTATCCGAGTGAATTACGCTTTGTTGAGTCTCTCCGTGGACAGAGATCTACCATATTATATGACGTTCGATTAACCACTAAGCTGCTGTACTATAGTTTTGCGCTATTCCTATAGTAGGCAGCAACTAGCTGTAGATAGAATAGTGTAAAAGTCGGTGGGACAAGCCATGCGCGATGATCCGAAGCTTCGTTTCGACAATTGCTTTGCCAAAGCCGCCTTAGCATATATCGTTCTCCTTTTCCTCCTCCCACCTCGCCTCGCTCCTCGACTCGCTCTAGTCACCCTTTCCCTCCCTCTTAGTACTTCTTAACACGCTAGTTGTTAAATGTCTTGCGAAATTCCGAGCAAGATACATACAAATGCGATATTACCAGACAAACTAGAGTATCTCGGTGCTGGAAAATCTGCGGTGGTATATGGAATCGATTCTGAAAGGGTTTTGAAGGAGTTTCACGATAGCGAAGGGAGTGGGACTGAGCGCAGAGTGTATCAGCGGCTTGGCTCACATCCAAATATTGCAAAGCTGCTAGATACTTGGGCAGATGGTTCTATTATCCTCGAGCGAGGCACACCGCTTCGAAAGATCTGTCGAGCTTCTTCGTCGAACAAGATACCGGTTCTGACGAAAGTTCGCTGGCTGAGACACGCAGCTGAAGGCTATCGATATCTACACGCTTGCAATATTATTCATAGTGATGTTGGATGTAACAATCTGATTCTTATGGAGGGAGATCTGGTCAAATTAATTGACTTCGAAGGCTGTAGTATCGATGGTGGAGTTGCAGGTTCTTGCTATGAATGGTTCAGCTACTGCCCATCAACACCTAGGGTGAGTCAGCGTACAGATATTTTTGCATTTGGTTGTGCAGTTTATGAAGTTATCATGGGGCAACCACCGTACCATGAGCTCGAAGCATCAGATCAGCGATACCTGCAGGTTGAAGAGTATTACAGAAACCGACAGTTTCCGGATGTTACAAACGTTCCTCTAGGTCCATTAATACAGAGTTGCTGGTCGGGCGATGTTAAATCCATGGACGAGATCATTCAGCAACTAGAAGCTGTGAAAGATTAAGATATTATCATAAGCGTCAGGGTCCACAAGTATATATGAGCAGAACAGACCTATGTCCCTCTATCTACGGACTATCATCGTTACAAAGGACGAAGGTCTAAAGCGGCACAAGCCTAGCATTAGCAGTACCTCACCCTCCAAAAAAGAAAGTCTTGGTAGGGGTTCTATTGTTAACGTCTAGTTTCGAACAAACTAGCGAATCAAATATATACGTTCCCTAGCCTTCTGCATCCTCCCAAGCCAGCAAAGTAGGAAAGATATATTACATAGAATCCTCAGTGTGATTAATGGATGATGAGCTTTAGATGTGACCGCTTCTTGTCATCATGTGCTTAGAGGTGCTTTATTCAAATTCTGGTTCGCAAAAGCTTCTCTATAACAACGTGGAGCTCTAATAACCTGACTCGCGAATGTTTGCCAGATAGAGGAGCAAGTTGTTTAGGTGAAGCCTTGTCCATATGATCTTTCAGGAGATCTACACACTCCCAGGATTCGGAAATGAATGGGTCACCAGATGAGATCAACAGTGTTTTAGCACTTTTCACTACCAGTACATGAAGCCACTATCATGTGTTACAACGGCGTGCGCAAGTAACGACGATGACTATATCAGTCGATATCCATGTGACCATCCTCTTCGTCACTTTCGTCATCCTCATTTGCCATCTCTGCCTCCTCATATGGACCGTCTTCATCCCCGTCGTCCTCTTCGTCCTCTTCGTTGTACTCAAACAGGTTGATGGCTTCTTCTTCATCCTTGATACGAACATCATCTTCATCTCCAGTCCCGATGATATTCGCGCTGGCATCATTTGCTGCGAAAAGCTCTTTCAGGTTAGTACGCAATTTCCTGGATTGTGAAACGATGGTCCTAAAATCACCAAGCAGGCGAGCCTCTGTCTCATTGTAGACATCCCCTGGCGGAATCCTAGTCTTGTCGATATTCTCATCGGTGATATGGTCTGGAAATCCAATGATTCTTTCATATAGAATCGGATCCAAAGGAACACCGTTGCGCAAAGCCAACATCTTGTCGCGCATGATAATTTTTGCTTTTCCGATTGTGCCCATATGATACCATCCGGTTTTTTGGTTCTATGGAAGGATTAGTATATGACATGTACGAAGGCCCGAACAAACACTCACATCACACGTGGATCTGAGGTCTGTCGTCGAAAAGACTTGTTGCAGCTGAGTATCCGTTATATCGCATATCTGCCACACGCAATGCTCAGAAGTGAAGCGTTCGCCATCGAATGTATATATTGGACTTCTTTGCTGACTTTCAAACATCACAGAGGTAGCTGTGTTTCGAAGTTGAGATAGGGATGTCATTTCTGGCAGGTCCGAATTCAGCTGAAATCCAATCGTCTGATATGAACGATATTTTGGATTTTTTCGTGGATCGACCCCACGTCTGATGATGCAATTTTTCCATGGACCCATTTTGAAGCTATATCCGATGTAGGGCAAGGCTACGTGAAACTTGTTCTGGCGAGAAGAGCTGAAATCGATACGCAATACGCGGGTAGTGTTGATTGGCCGTTTCGCGAAATAAGCGCGAAGCTCCTTGATCAATTGCCGCACAGGGAGAGACTGTTTCTCTTCTGGTTGCATACCGATCGGGGCATCTGGGACATTTTCGGCGTCCCACTCGATCCTGGCTATCTGCGGCTTACGAAACTGATTTGAATTGAATGCTCTTAGGGGGCCGCCTTTCGAAACTGGGGCAAAATAGGTCAAAGGATTTTGAAGGTACCTTTTTTACGATCAGGTTTTGTTACTTGCTAGTGTGTCGCTCACTTACGAGTAATTGAATGGAACATCGATGCGGAAAAATTCTGCTGGTGGACCGGCGTCATTATCAGGACTATATAGAGCTAGAGCTGGATTGAGTCTGAAGTTTTTGAGTTTGGAATCTAACACAGCTTTCAGCATACACTTTATAGAGGCCGTAGTCTATACTCACAATCCAGAGACATCATAGTATTGCGGAACTCTCTGGTGAAACTGCTAGCAGTCGTGGCATATTGTGCGTCAGGGAGACCTAAGAATGGAGTCAGACATGATAAATTCGTGTGCCTAGCTCGCACATACTTCTGAATCTATGAGTGTCTTGAATGACACCAAGGACCCTGAAATTATATTTCTGTGGGTTATCACGAAGACTTTTGATCATAACTTTCGGATCAGACATTACGGCGGCCTTAGTGGCATCAGAACTGACTTCGACATCCCCAGAAAACGCCTCTAAGCTCCCTCGTTTTCGCTTACGGCCTGTGCGTTTGGGGACGGTGACTTTGATTAACACGTTATTCGTGTTAACAATTCGAGACGTTATCTTCTTGGCCATTGAGTCGTCTGGGCGAAGAGACACACCGATGGTCCTTTTGTCTCTCTTGATAGGCGCAGCCTTATGCATGTGCTGTACCTTCTCCTTGTCTCTTGACTTTGATATGTCTCCATTCTTCTCCTTGGCTTCTTGCTTTTCTTTAGCTTCTTGCTCCCTGGCTTCATGTTCTGCCTTTGGCGATGCAGTATCGAGAAACTAGTAGGTATCAGCGTATGCGCCGCATTCTGATCGCCGTGGGTAACGTGCTCACCCGCTCGAGAGCTACCTGACCACCAAGGGATTTGATACCTTTGTCGAAGTCTTTAATGATGCACGGATGTTCGATACAAACAATAGAGTACGGTAGCACGTCTGAACGGGGTGCTGAAGGTATGTTCTTAACAATCCCGATCTTGGATGTATCAACTCCGGTGCTTTTTGCGGCAGACATTTTATTGTCGAGGAAAGGAGCCCGTTGATGAAGTGAGAAGCTCGAGTGAGAGCAAGAGCAAGAGCATTGAGCGAAATATCGGGACACGCGTGAAATCCACTTATATTCAAGTAACTGGGTTGTTTAGACGTAAGTGAGCACCGTATTCTCAGTAGATAGCCCAGTTCCGTCTCCGAAAAAGGTTGAGCTGGTGCTCAAATTGATTTGTACAGATTTGTGGTGTTCCAATCGTCCTCCGCCACGCCAAGCCTTTCCGCGATAGCTCTTGAGTAGACTTTTTCAGGATTCACGCCGGTCTGCTACACGCTGATGGCTATAAGATTCATCGGGGACTACTTCCATGTTCGATGTGGTGGATTTGCGAGCCATCAACGTTGAATGGTCGTGAGCTGTGACAGAATCATAAGTGGTGGTTCTCGGGCCCCTCCCTGGCACCTAGGTAGCTCGGCCTGAAGCAGTTGCCCATCGGCCGCATCACGTCGACCAGCGCCACCCGTGACTCGCTAATCCACTTGTTGCTCCCACCTCTAATGAACCGCCTGCCTTGCGATGGCCATGCAACATTATTCCCTTTCACCTCTTGCTACTCGATGACCATGCCACATTTGCATCGCTAGGACCTCCGTCAGAAGTACCTCGCCGTCCTCTTATTTGCGACTCCTCGGACCTAAAGAAGCCGCAAGCCTACCTCTACCTCCTCCGACCTGTTCTTCAAACTGGCTGACATCCGTCACCATAACGTCCGTCATTGATCGAAGCTGCGTTCCGAGACCCGTGGAATCAATCCTGACCTGCCCACCCGTGATTTAGGGCCACTGCTGCCCTCTACGCGCTGGCCGCCATGAAGAACTTCAGACAGCGAGTTGTATGTCCCCCTGAGAACCCCACCTACCGCCCGGTTCCGTTTGTAGCTCTATTTTCCCACAATTGCAACGTATTGACCGGTCTGGCTGATATCACTAGCACGAACAGCTCTCTCGAGCTAAAGATTCATCTAAAAGCTCGTCGAAGAAGAAAGAGTCCAATTCAGGCACATCCTCACCCTCACATGGCGCCTCTACCAATTCCCCAGCTGGCTCAGGTCAAGCAACACCAACTTCCTCCCAGACACAACTCGTAGACCCTCGAAACAAGCAAACAAGCTCGGGCGACAACACAAGTGGAGTAACGAGTGCGAACATGTCACAGACACATACTGGGATGAATTCGTCGAGCCCCAGTCCATTTATGCAGCAGACGCAGCAACAACAGCCCCAAGGTAGTTCAGCTGCACCTGGCGCACACACTCCAATTCGTGGAAACCAATCGCTACCTCCAAGCGTCGTGATTAGCCCGAGTGCTCCCGTAAGTTCAAGTGGTCATTGTTGTTTATGCGATTCTGTATTCCCTTTCAAACTTTCATGTGTTTGCAACCGTCGCCCATAGGCCGTCAAACTCTGCACAGCGATCACCAAGCGCGCAATTACTTCCTATGTGCTGACATGTAGCTCTCTGCAGCATATTCCTCCACCAGGAGCTGCGGAAACGATGCCAGGTGATCTCCTACCTCCACCCAAAGCAGGCCAAAAATCGCTCCTACTTGATCGACTTGGTACAACGCCCAAAGATATTGCAGAAGGCATCCGGACTCCCAAACGTCAACACTCGTCAAGATTCGACATATCGGATCAGCGTGCAAGAGATTTGGAAAAACTTCCAGGGTTTCACGAAGTTGCTCCTCAAAAACGAGAGGAACTCTTCATGCAAAAGATTGATCAGTGCAATATCATATTCGACTTCAATGATGCTAGCGGCGACATGAAGTCAAAAGAGATCAAGCGTCTAGCGCTGCACGAACTACTAGACTATGTGGCGAACAACAGACAGGTCATCACCGAGCGGATGTACCCACGAGTGGTCGAGATGTTCAGCAAGAACCTCTTCCGACCAATTCCTCCCCCTATGAATCCACAAGGCGAAGCTTTCGACCCTGAAGAGGACGAGCCGGTACTGGAGGTGGCCTGGCCTCATATTCAGGTCGTTTACGAATTCTTCTTACGCTTCATCGAAAGTGCCGACTTCAATACCAATATTGCAAAGCAGTATATCGATCATGGCTTCGTTCTTCAGGTACTACTTGTGACAGTAAACTTGTAGCCAATGCTAACGCATTCAGCTTCTTGAGCTCTTCGATTCTGAGGATCCACGCGAACGGGATTTCCTGAAAACAACGCTTCATCGAATCTATGGAAAGTTCCTTAACTTGCGCTCATATATCCGACGCTCGATTAATAACGTGTTTTTCCAATTTGTTTACGAAACAGAACGTTTCAATGGTGTCGCTGAACTGCTTGAGATCTTAGGATCAATTATCAATGGTTTTGCTTTACCTTTAAAAGAGGAGCATAAGTTGTTCTTGACGCGGGTGCTAATACCACTGCATAAAGTCAAAAGTCTTAGCATGTACCACCCGCAACTCGCTTACTGCATTGTCCAGTTCCTAGAGAAGGATGCTGCCTTGACTGAAGAAGTAAGTTGTACCTGTTGCAAACTAGTGGACGATACTGACACGAGAAGGTTGTTCTTGGACTTTTGCGCTACTGGCCTAAAGTAAACAGCACGAAGGAAGTCATGTTTCTCAATGAAGTTGAGGACATCTTTGAGGTGATGGATCCAGCCGAATTTGCCAAGGTTCAGGAACCTCTTTTCAACCAGCTTGCAAAATCCGTTGCAAGCCCACATTTTCAGGTTGCAGAGAGAGCACTTTATTTCTGGAACAACGAGTACTTCTGCAATCTTGTCAGTGACAATGTAGATGTCATCTTGCCCATCATGTTCACCCCGCTTTACGAAAACTCTAAAGGACATTGGAATAGGTGCGGAGCATTACTGCAATCACGCTAGCTTTATGCTAATTCCCAGTAGGACAATCCACGGTATGGTCTACAATGCCATGAAGCTGTTCATGGAGGTGAATCCTCAGCTTTTTGACGATTGCTCACATGAGTATGCGGAGAATCAAAACAATGCTGGTCAGAAGCAACTAGAACGACAGGCTCGATGGGACAAGCTGGCTGAACTTGCCAAGCTGCAACAAAATGGCAGAATCCCTGTGTCCGATGGACGCGCAAAAGGCACGGAAGAATCAGATCCCCAGGAAAGCCAGAGACGTCTCGAAGCTCTTAGACTGAGAGACGACGAATCGGCCGATTCAGTACAAGCCCGAAGACGGCAGGAGAAACTGAATCGGAAACCTGGGGACCTACGTGAGTCAGATCTGCCCTCTCCAAAAGCCATTCCAGCCACCACTGACTTCTGAACAGCAGCGTCGACAGCGAGTGAGGAGGTTCGGGGTCATCGTTCTGGTCGGTCTCGTAGCAATAGCAGACCAGGATCTGCCGGACTAGGCTCTGTTCCAGGACCAGTGCGAAGCAATTCAGGAGGGTCATCGCGGGTTGGATAACCGTATGCATACACGGCGTTTGTTTGTTGCGAGTACTACGATCGTGCGATGGCCTTACCATTCTTTCGCGCCAAGTGGGCGCATTACTTTTCGAGAAATGGGACTTGGTTGCATGTCATGCATGAGGTGTTGCGTCATCAGGGCGTTGAAGTATACAGGCGAGGAGGTTCCTTTGCTACCATGTTGCTTGCTTTCCTGTCTCTACCTACCAAGACACCCGCAAAAGAAGCTGAAACCATGGAGTTGTTAATGCGTACACAAGAGAGGATTCCCTTCTTGAACGACGTGCTTAGAGTGCTTAAAAAGGCGTTGTTTAGAAAAACATGCTCGTCATCACATTAGTATGGACGAACCATGAAGTCTAGAGTAGCCTTGGAAGCTTGCTTTCATAGTAAATTATTGATTACAACCGGATGCTATAGAGTGCTCCGTCCCCGTACGGATGTCGGATCACATGTCTAGACAACACCAACCATTCAATAATATACACCAACAACAAGCCAAGCTTCTGACCTTAAAGGCTGAGCAAAGCGAAACACGCGTCAAAGATTGGTCGCCAACAAGGTTGCATTGGCCAGGCAATATGACCAATCGAAGGAGCCAATTGGAGCGGCGCAAGTGCATTACTGTTGCTGCCGCCGCCACCGCGTTGGGGGAGAAGCTGGGCTGGTAGGTAAGGTTAGGTACGGGGAGCTTGCGCACCAATCTCCCGAACTCCTGAACATCCTAGCGCGATTTATTGACCTTCGGTCTTGCGAAATATTTACCACCTACGTTCTTTCTTCCATCTCTTCCTCCCCTTCTTCCCCCCAAACTAATCCTCCTCGTGTGCGCATATTATACCTTCTCGTCTTCACTTCATCCGTCACTCCTTCGACTTCCTTGAATGACTTCGCATTGTTCTTAGACGTCCCTTTTCCGCGTCTTTGCCCCTTTCCCACATATCACCGAGTGGCTCATCATAACCTTGACCTGTCAACGCCCCAACATGTCAAAGCCTGACTGGATCCGTTACGGCGTACCGACGCTCGACAGGCCGTTTGGACTTGAATTATGGCCTATCTTCGAGAAGGCATTCGAATCAGTGAAGGGTTATAAACCCCAAGACTTCCGCTTCACCCCGGGCGAAACTCCCATCTCGACCTTTTCAGTTACTGCCACAATCTTGGTATCATACTATATTATAATCTTTGGTGGACGTGAGGTTATGCGCAACAGACCTGCGTACAAACTTAATGGCTTGTTCAAGATCCACAACTTCTACCTGACCGCCATCAGCGGCGCGCTACTTGCCCTCTTTGCAGAGCAATTGATCCCAACTGTGTGGAGACATGGCGTTTTCTATGCTATTTGCGATCACTCTGGAGGTTGGACTGATAAATTGGTTATTCTCTACTACGTAAGCAAAGCCCGCCGTAGATCCGCGTCTTGTTCGCTGATGAATCTCCAGCTAAATTACCTCACCAAATTCGTTGAGCTGATCGACACTTGCTTCCTATTCCTTAAAAAGAAGCCACTCAGTACGTATCTCGAAAGCACCGTATCTCTTTCAACTGCTAACAGATTGGAAGCGTTTCTGCATACCTATCACCACGGTGCCACGGCTCTCCTCTGCTACACCCAGCTCATCGGACATACCTCTGTTTCGTGGGTTCCCATCACCCTCAATCTCATGGTGCATGTCGTTATGTACTGGTACTACTTCCAGAGCGCTCGTGGGATTCGCATATGGTGGAAGAAGTATATCACAATCATGCAAATTACCCAATTCGTACTTGATCTAGGTCAGTCCGCGGTATCGTAGTTTGCATATGCAAGACTAACAATTCTTAGGCTTCGTCTACTTTGCATCTTACACCTACTTCAGCTCCACGTACTGGCCAAACATGCCCAGCTACGGCAAATGCGCCGGCGAGGAATTTGCTGCTATCGCGGGTATTTGCATCCTTACTTCGTACCTCGTTCTGTTCATTGGGTTCTATATTGCGACATACAAGAAGCCACTTCCCAAGGGTCGCCCACGTGCTACCAGTGCACTTATCGAAATGGCCGATGAGAAGATTCCTACTATCCAAGAAACTCGCAGACGTCTTTCGAGCGCTGGAAACATGCCATATGCGTCGGGTGCTCAAGCCAACGGTCGCGTCACCCGATCACGTAAGGCCTAGGCTCAGCAGTGCGGATATCGTGGAAACATTTTGCAGCTGTTCTTGACTCGGGCCCTGAAGCATACGTTCTGTGCCAAGGATGTCAGAACAAACGACCCCATCGCATGTTGGAAGGGCTTATTTAAGGCCTCAGATCTCCAATTTCTTGTTTTGAATTAGGGTAAATAAGCATAAATGGGAGGTTACGAACGGGTACTGTATGAATATGTGATATGGGAGGGACGTAGAGCATAGAGCCTCCTGATGCCCAGCCCGGGCGGAAAGGGCATAAGCAAAAGCCCAGAATCATATAAGATTAACGCAATAGAGATTGGATCTATATCCTGGCTTGAAATAACTGTGGTGTAATTAGCATATGTGCAAGAGGTCAAAGCCGACTCCCTAACCTTTTAAAATACGTCACGTGTGCCTCCTTGTCGTTCGAAAGTGCAGTGTCTTCGGCTGAAGAGGCTTAGTTCAATTCTTGGCAGAACGAACTTCACTTCGTTAAACTTCACTTGCAGCGTCATTACGACTTTACTTGCCTCTCGCGAACCCACATCTCGACCCTCTCCACTCCAGTCTTTCGCAATGTCGGCGAGCAGTATCTTCCGCATTACCTCGCGAGCTCGCACGCCTGCGCTGAGGGCGGTCCGCCGTCCTATTGCCCCGAAGCGTGCCGGCTTCGTGACTCCCGTTTACAAGAGCTTCAGCAGCACCGCAAGACAACTCTCTGACTCTCATGGAGAGGAAACGTTCGAGGAATTCACTGCCAGGTACGATTGATCAATGGAAGAGATGGGCGACAGCCAATGGCTGCGCGGAGGACAGCTATTGAACCTTTGTTCAATTAAAGCTCTTTGCGTCTTATTAGGGGATACCAGAGTTCAGTTGGATAGCTGCTAGCAACAGTGGCCAGACTGGGCCAGGTCGCGTCTTAAGATAATACTAACTTTGGGCAGATATGAAAAGGAATTTGAGAATGTAACCGATGTCTTCGAGCTTCAGGTATGCTCCTCGACCAGGCACCTCGGTGGCTATCAGAATTGACACTCGTCCCAGAGGAACCTCAACAACGCATTCGCATATGATCTTGTTCCTTCGCCAACCGTACTCATCGCTGCTCTCCGTGCTGCCAGGAGGATCAATGACTTCCCAACCGCTATACGCGTTTTCGAGGGTATGTATTCATACAAATATACAACTTTATTCGTCGGCTGTGGTCTCATTACGAACCACGCGGAACGAGAAGACCTCGCTGTGGAACAGACTAACCATGACTTCCAGGCATCAAGGCTAAGGTTGAAAACCCCTCCCAATACGAAGAATATCTCAAGGAGCTCGAGCCAATACGGGAGGAACTTGGTGTCCCATTGAGGGAAGACATTTACCCCGATATCAACTCATTCTAAGAAGTAACAACTTTTAAGTAAGGGTACCCAGACCCACAGCAGATAGACCTTTGGGCGCGGGCTAGTTTGTATCATCAATACCGGGAGACAGTCGATGCCAAGTGTGCTTAGAGGAATAACGGTAGCTACTACCATGTACAGAACCCCAATTGACTGTGTTCCGTTTGTGCATCTGATGTCAGAATCGTACGCATATATTACCGTGAGAATTGATTATTTGTTACAGTCTTAGGGCCGTATCACACCGCAACATCTGATCTAGACATGTTTCGAATTATGGATGCATAATGATCTCTCTGGCCAAGCACTACCATTCGCACAATCCGAGCATGGGGATGGTGTTTGATCAAGGATCTTCGAAATGGTTATGAAATCTAAGGAGGTATACGGAGCATGCTGATGTTTCTTGCATGTATGATCTCTATACTCATACAATAAACTCCCAACCGAAACGCCAACGCTTGTGAGGCGCGGTCTGTGCCTGCGCAGTTTCCCTATAGTTTAATTTACAATTCAGAACTCATAATCTTCATCACGTGTAGCCCTAGCCATGCCCAGCATATTTAAACCAACTCGGCCGACAATCCTCTTTGTACAAGAACGGCTCGCCGTCTGTGAGAACGCCCGTCTTACAGCCCTTACACTTTGGCGAATTAGGGCAGTTGAAGAAGGGAATATGCTGGTACCCAATATCTCGGAACCAGTGGATCTTCTCCTTGTCCTCGAACAGCCCCAGGGCAATTGAATGCACCGGCGCATCGCCCCAGCGCTCGTAGAAGAACCCACCCGCACGATCCAGGTGCGCAAAGTAATCCTCGTATGCGGGCGAGCGCCAGAATTCCATATCTGCGACCTCGAAATTTGACCAGAAATGGCACGTGGAGTAGCCGCCGGCCTTGAGGTTGTGCTCCGGGCGTGTGGCGCTGTCGGTGACCCAATCAAGGGCGTTATTTTTGTGCAAGTATTCGGGATGGTCGGCGATGAATTTCTCTGTCTCGGGCCACAGGGTGGCGACGCTTTGGGGGCTGTCGTAGAGGTTTATTGTGAAGCCGTAGGTTTTGTTGTGGTCCTGCATGTAGGCGAAGACGTCGTAGTCGACGTCGCAGAAGAAATGAACGTTGGGCTCAACGCGCCAGTAGTATCGTACGTCTTGAAGCGCCGGCAGGTGGTAGAACATGCCGCTGTTCCAGCGGCACATTTGGTGGTATGATGTCTTGCCCATGTATTGCACGTTTTGCTCGGTGAGGATCTCGACGGACTCGTGGTAGAGGTCGTCATTAATCCAGGAGGGGACGGCCCAGTGGTCTTCGGGCACGATTTCGTAGCGCACTTCGGCTTTGGTTGCTGCTCTCGTTTTCCGCTTGAACTCTTCTGAGAATGGCTTGTCGTTTATGAACAACCAGGGGTAATTGAATTTGTGGTTCCATGTGCGCTCTAGGTCACGCATGGATTGGAGAAGGTCGTTGACTTCTTCATTGCGGACGAGGGAGAGGAGGGTGGCATTTATACGAGCGGACTTGGGATTGTTGGGAGCGTAGTTGTCGCCATCGACTCGGCGGAGTGGTTCAGGTGGCTCCCCGGTCGCTGCCCGGTGTCAGTGTACTTTCATCGGAAGCGGAAGCACTTGGACTTACGTTCGTAATTAGGGTCTCTGAAGTCCCCCTGATATTTTGGAAAGCCCGTCGGGGTGTCTAATTTACTTGGGGATCTGAACAGAATGACCAAGAGGTAAACAAACAGGCCCAAAGTTAGCAAGGCCAGTAGCCGCATACCCCGAGGCAGCGACATTGTGCATTAGGAATGACAGCGATTACGTCCTCGAGACTGGAACAAAGAAGGATGCAAATCGCAGCCTTAAATTGCATGCGACGCATACGCAGCTTTGACAGGGATGGATAAGCAAACGGAAAGATAGATAAGGCTTAGTTTGGTAGGTTCGAGCTTGAACGAGCCTGCCCGCAACACGTGAAATTCTCGACTAATTACAACTACGCGACGCGCTTTGGGACACACAATGTCAACCAATGTTTTGCGAGATGCAACAAAACAATGGACATGATGAAATATGGCGCATACTGCGAGACTAAATACCCTCACAAATGATTTGATCAGATCCTTGACTGGTCTAGATCCTGCAAAGAAATGTGACGCTTCCAGATTCAAGAAAGCAAAAGAACTAGCTGCACGAGAACTACGGACTTCTCAGCATGGGCGTACGAATCAATTTGCTGTTCAGGAGCGGCTGTCTGGCTTGGAGGAGAAGTTTTTTGTGTTAGGTCGGGAAGATTTGGCTAAAGCTATCAAATTTCGATTGAAGGAGCTGGACAAGCAGAGGTTCAGATGGACTCCAGAATGTTTGTCACTCATGCTGGAACTTTCGAATCAGCCCGCGACAAATGTAGATCTCAATGAGTTGGAGCATTTGAGGCCTCCAGAACCTCAGCCAATACTGACGTGGGAGGAGATCATTGCTGATGATCCCATGGACGAAAATGGTATCTGGGAGGATATCGACTATGTGGTTCCATCTTCTGAAGACGAACTTGAGGAGGAAGAAGAGCTCCGTAAGACTGTATCTACGGCCATCATGAAACAAGCAAGCGACATCATCGCTCCTGATTCATGTCTTCTGCCCATGGACGATGCCCAGACTCACTCGCTGACCAGAAATCAGTTCTGGAGGTCTAATGCGAGGCGAAACGATGCCGAGGATTATGATTCAGGCATCGATACAGATGCCGAGACTACCAACAGCATAACTGAGATCCAAGCGATTCGCGAAATTCTTTTCATGTTAGGAGGCTTGCCGACGTCATTGTTTCGCGTATATAACAGTGAGCAACCAGTTGAGTATAACGGTAACTTTGTCCTGAGTCACATTTCTTCTGTCCAATTTCGCGCTGTTCTGGATGAGTTCAGTTCGATAGGAGGGCCTTTGCTCCGCCTACGACATTGGGTTGAGCAAGAGCAAAGTGCGTCTCTCCTCCAAACATTCCAGAGTGCCGTAGAAGCGAAGCTCCACTCATTCGACACAGAGCTTTCAGAACTTCACCAACAGCATATTCAAACCAATGCCAAAGTCTTGGTTAGTCTTCAACAGCTGCTCACCAAAGTTCAACACCTGGCGAGACCTCTACAGCGCCTTTCCGAGGTCGTTGTCCGTGTGGCCGTGAAATCAAGCCCTGTTCCATATGTGTTTTTAGAAGAACTGTTTGGAGTGACCAGCATGGCACAATTGCTTGGCGAGACCGACGTCTATGAGTCTCTTGGGACTATCTTCTTCCAATGCTTTCAAACTTATTTACGACCAATCAGGCAATGGATGGAAAGCGGCCAGCTTAACCTAGACAAGGACAGCTTCTTCATTGAGGAAAGCAACTCGAAAATAGATATGTCTTCGCTTTGGCACGACCGCTTCAGACTTCGATCCAACACCTTGGGTCAATTATATGCTCCGAAATTTCTTCAACCTCGGACGAAGAGAATATTCAATACAGGGAAAAGCGTCGTGTTTCTGCAAGAGCTAGGACAAACCTCAGGGGCATGGTCTAGCACAAGTCCAGAACCTCGACTAGACTTTGATGCGGTCTGTTGCAATGCTAATAGCTCGGCAATCGAGCCCTTTTCCAGTCAATTCGACGCGGCCTTTGACGAATGGATCCAAAGTAAACACAGTCTGGCGTCTGAAATACTTCGAAAGCATCTCTACATTAATAGTGGGCTTTGGAGAGCACTTGATGCACTTGAGCTCGTCTTCCTCAGCCGAAATGGCGTTTTGTTGCAAACTTTCGCCGATGCCATGTTCGAAAAGTTGGATGGCAAAACCAATACATGGAATGATCGTTTCGTCATGACAGATGTGGCACACCAGATCTTTGGTGAGCTTGTATGTGTAGATGCTGAAAAGCTGACCGTTCGCACCACGGCGCCTAAGCACTCAGGAAGGACTCTCAAGAATCTAGCGTCAATCTCTATTGACTACACCGTGAGTTTCCTCTCGATGTTTTTACTCTATGGCCTAACATAAAGAAGCTATCATGGCCGCTCCTAAACATTATCCCCCGAACTGCCATCCCAACATTCCAACAAACCACCCGCCTCCTCCTCCAATGCTACCGCGCAAAATACCTCCTTCAGCAACGCACCATTCCCTTCCCATCCCACTACAAAGGCCGAAAGGATCGAACCACCCACCTCGCCGCCTACCTCCGCCACAGACTCATCTGGTTCGCGGATTGCATGCGCTCCCACGTCTCCGAAATAGTCCTGCCAAAGCTCACCTCTGATCTCCGCGCCTCCCTTGCCACCGCCGACGACATTGACGAGATGGCCCTCGTCGTCGGCAGCTTCGTGTCCAAGCTGCAGGACCAGTGTTTGCTAGCCAAGAACCTGGCTCCCATCATGCAAGCCGTTGTGGGCATCTTGGACCTCGCCGTCGCGCTTTCGGATGCGCTGTCCAGAGACTCGCAGTCCGGACTCTTCACGTCGCGCAGGGTGCCGAGTAAGGGGAGTATTGTGGGGAGGTCGGAGGCCAGTTGGCGCTCGCGGAAGCGTCATGATGAGTCAGACGAGGAGGAGGAGGAGGAAGAGGAGGGTAGTGATGATGAGGGGTATAGTGGCGATGGCGAAGACGTGCCGTCGCTCGGCACCCTTGTGGAGACGCTGGACAGGGCGCGGGAAGAGTTTGATAGGTTGTTGCCGTTTGTCGTTGCTGGGCTGAAGGGCGTGGCTAGGGCGAGGGGAGGATTAGAGTGGCAGTTGCTGGTTGATAAGTTAGATTGGGAGGGCAAGGGTGATGTATGAGTATCGTAGCCAGCTTGCACAGGTCCTGATATCGATATGTTCGAACGTACCGCCACGATACGATATGTCTATAAAAGCTAATATGCTACAAGTCTATGATACTGGATTTTTTTAGCCGTCTATTCGGTTTGCCTAGATGCCTGGACCCATAAATTGATATCTCGAACTCGCCTTTCCTTACATGCAGAAACATAAGAAATCTCGCTGCTGGAAATGCGACTTTCAGTCCTTCGCCAGCACCGAAGACACCCATACCACCTCTTTCAGCCTACCCACCTTCTCGCACTTTTGAAGAGCCGGATCCAAGGCCCATACTCACCCCACTCCTTGGCCTGTTCCTCGGGGTAGTAGCTAGCCACCTCTTTAAGCACAGTCCGTTCCGGATGCGGCATCATAGCCAGGACTTTCCCGTCCGGCGTCCTCACACCCGTGATACCCAACGGGCTACCATTAGGATTCGCCGGATACTCCTCCGTCTGATTGAGGTGATTGTCGACGTACCGCATCGACACAAGCCCACGCTCGTACAGTGCCTGGGGCGTGACGCTAGACGCGACATCAGCAGGAAACGTGGCGCGGCCTTCGCCGTGCGCGACGGCAATCGGAATGCTGGAGCCATGCATGCCATGTAAGAAGGCGGATGGCTGGATGGGGTATCCGTCTGTAGCAGCGCGCGGGGGATCCATGACCTCGACCATACACACGCGCGCTTCGTACTGCTCAGACACATTACGCTCGAATGTGGGCCAGCTATCAGCGCCCGGGATAAGTTCCTTCAGGCGGGACAAGAACTGACAGCCATTACAGACACCGAGGGTAAATGTGTCTTTGCGTTCGAAGTAGTCTATGAATTCGCGACGTGTGTCGGCATTGTAGAGGACTGACTTCGCCCAGCCCTGGCCGGCGCCGAGCACGTCGCCGTAGGAGAAGCCGCCACAAGCAGCGAGGCCGACGAACGAGGCGAGAGAAACCCGTCCGTTGATGATGTCGGTCATGTGTACATCGATGGGGGAGAAGCCGGCGCTGGCGAAGGCAAAGGCCATTTCAGCTTGGCCGTTGACACCTTCTTCGCGGAGAATGGCGACGCGGGGTTTCGTGGAGATGACTGATGTGATGGAGGTTTTTAGGGGTAGGATGGATTCTTGGGGATTGTATGTGAGATTGAAGCTTAGGCCGGGGTTTGCGTCTTCTAAGATGCTGGCATATTCACTCTCGGCACATGCAGGGTTGTCGCGTAATCGCTGCATGTGGTAGGATGTTGCGGACCAGCGCTGCTGAAGCTTGCTCCTGCTTCCCCTATATATGAGATCCATGCCATGACGCAACGACAACTCTTGTTTCGAGGTTGCTGGGATACGTCCAATCTTCTTGATCAGCCCAGGGGGAGGGCCACATGTAGCAAAGCACTTGTTGAACCGGATCTCATCCTTCTTCCTTATCTGGAACACAGCACCCAGCTCTTCATTGAAAAGTGCTTCCAACAGAGAGGGGACATCTTTTGTAGGACATATGTTCTCAAGGGATATCTCGAGTCCGCATCGGCCAGCAAACATCATTTCCACAAGCGTAGTGAACAGCCCACCTTCTGATCGATCATGATAGGCGAGCACGATTTCCTCCTCATGAAGTTGCTCGATAGCATCATAGTAATCCTTGATCAAATCCACATCCCTGACATCGGGGCACTCGTCCCCGATTTGACCGAAAACCTGTGCTAGAGCAGAAGCTCCCATTGATTTCATGCCTTGGGCGAGATCGACAAACATGATAACAGTCTCTCCAACATCTTCGATTCTGCGGAGTGCTGGGGTCCAAGTCCAGTCGATCCTATTGACGGGAGCGAAAGCAGAAATTACGAGCGAAAGAGGTGCTGTAACTTCTTTGGGTTCCTTCGAAGACTGATCTGACCATTTCATTTTCATCGACATCGAGTCTTTCCCCACGGGAATGCTAATCCCAAGCCTAGGGCAAAGATCCATACCAATGGCTTCGACAGCTTCATAGAGATTGGCTCCCTCTCCTGGATGACTACTGGCTGCCATCCAATTTGCGGAAAGTCGCACACGCTCGAGGCGGTTGAATGTACTTGCTGCAGCCAGATTCATGAGTGATTCCACGACTGCCATGCGTGCCGATGCTGCCGGTGATATCAAAGCATGGAGAGGTTTTTCGCCCATACACATGGCCTCTCCAGTCTTGATACCCCCTTGTAGTGATGTCGCTGTGACGGATACATCTGCAACCGGTGTCTGGTAGGGACCAACCATTTGATCTCGGACAGTCAGACCACCAACCGTCCGATCGCCAATGGTGATGAGGAAAGACTTTGATCCAACAGCAGGGAGAGCCAGGACCCTTTCTATGGCCTCGTCTAGCAGCTTATCATTTGGGTGGCTTGGAAGGTATGTCGATAGGCTCGAGTCGAACTTTGGTAGGCGTAGTTTCCGTGACTCTACTATCCGTGACATCTTTGGTGGCTTGCCGAAAAGGATAGACATTGGTAGATCGATCGGTGTCGGATGATCCTTGGAGTCTCGATCCATCAGGATGAGTTGCTTCCCCTCATCGGATTCACTACCGGTCGCGGTACCAACCTTGGAGTATCCGCACCTTTCGCGCTTGCATATTCTCTCGAACTCCGCAACTCTCCCGGGGGCGACCGCTAAGACATATCTCTCCTGGGCCTCGCAACACCATATCTCCATGGGGCTCATACCCTTATCTGTGTTGTCAACCTCACGCAATTCGAACTTAGCTCCAAGCCCGGCGTCATGAACAAGCTCTGGCAAGGCATTCGACAGGCCACCAGCACCAACGTCATGTATCAGTCGAATAGGGTTGTTAGTCGCCATAGCCGTGCAAGTATTGATGACCTCCTGTGCTCTTCTTTGAACCTCCGCATTCCCTCTTTGCACACTGGCGAAATCTAGCTCTGCAGAGCCTTCTCCTGACGAGATACTAGAAGCAGCACCACCTCCAAGCCCGATCAACATTGCCGGGCCTCCAATGACGAAGATCTGCGCTCCAGGACCTACCAGCCCTTCTTCTTTGACAGCATACTGGGGTCTGACTGTACCAACACCTCCAGCAATCATGATGGGCTTGTGATATCCGCGAATCTCGGTGGTCTTGTCATCGATAGGGGCCTCTGTGGTAAGCGTGCGCCAATAGCCACTTGTGGCAGGGCGTCCAAACTCATTGTTGAAGGTAGCAGCTCCGATAGGCGCCTCAAGCATGATGTCCAGAGGGCTAGCAATATGCGACGGTTTGCCGACGTCAAGCTCCCAGGGCTGGACAAAGCCAGGGATCAGGAGGTCCGAGACGCTGTAACCTGTGAGACCCGTCTTAGGCTTCGATCCACGTCCGACTGCACCTTCGTCTCTGATTTCACCACCAGAGCCTGTAGCCGCACCGGGATAAGGCGATACTGCTGTGGGATGATTGTGTGTCTCGACCTTGATAAGAATGTGAACTTGCTCCTTCGTGGACGTCCATACACCGCTGGCGTGGTCCGGAGCCCAGTAGCTCGCCTGCTCACCCTGCAGGACGGCAGCATTATCACTGTATGCGCTTACTACGAAACCAGGATGCTTCTCATGTGTATTCCGGATCATCTTAAACAAGCTATGTGGTTTACGCATACCATCGATGGTCCAATCGGCGTTGAACTGCTTGTGCCTACAGTGCTCCGAGTTCACCTGAGCAAACATAAATAGTTCTACATCCACAGCATCTCTCTTGAGCTTGTTAGCATATGTGTCGACTAGGTATTCTATTTCGGAGGCGTCCAAAGCCAGTCCTAGCCTCCGATTTGCCTGTTGTGCAGCCGTAGCATCTGTCAGGGGGATCAGCTCTGCAGACTCTGGAATACCTTCGGCGAAGACGTCGTTGAGGTTGGGAGGTTCGCGGGTTATGTCTTGTGTCATGCGATCGTACAAGGTATCTCTAGAAGGAATTTCTGACTTGTCGATAGCCGTCTCGAATCTGGCCGCGATGACCAAGCCACGCTCAATTCTTCTTACGCTGTTCCGTAGGCCGCATACATAGGATATGTTCGTGGCCTGCGAACTCCATGGTGAAATTGTACCCTTTCGTGGGACGATGTAAAACAGGGCGGTATGCGGGTCCAAGGGTTCTGCTTGACGATGGACGGCGTCAAGCAAAGTGGCAGATAGCCTATCTTCTGACGACGGGGAGTCGCCATATCGCAGGATGTCGGTCAACTTGAGTCTTTCTTCCTCTTGAAGTGCCTGTTTCGCGTCGACCAGATGAATCCATACGGCGCGAGCTTCAACTGCTCCTATGTTCTTGGCTAGCTGTTGAAGGCGAAAGTCTGAGGACGCCAAAGAGCCCGGAATGATGAGGTAGGGGCCCTGCTGAGAAGTCATGTTGGGCTCAGAGCGTGGAATCCCACCTGTAGTGGTGGTGAATGGCGACGCGCTGGATAAAAGCTCGTGGTGGGGCATAAATTATTCACTCTCACCCCACCAAAAAGCTTGCCAGGCGCCTGAAACTGCTTCCACATTATCAGCCAATCCGAGAGCTGCATGGAGGTCCCAACCCGGTTAGCTGAGAACCTATAACCCTAACCCTAACCCTGATATACGAGATGCTCCCTCAGAGTGTGACGCAGCGTGACGCAGACATTCAACGAGGGCCTAACTGCAAAATTACCCCATCTATCCCAAAGGGGCCCAATCACGCTTCACGCTTACAATGTGTATGGATAACAGTACAACAGGTACATCATGTCACAAGCATCAGCCGCCCTCAGATACATTTATGCGCCTGACTTCTTAGGTTGACATTCCCGATCTCTCACCGGCACATTCCTCCACGCTTCCTCGAACCCAACATTCCATATCCACTTACTCCCTGGTAACTGCAGACTATACACAACCATCTGCACCATCTTAATAAATGCCATCTCATCCATACAGAAGCCCTGTTCCGGCAATGGTCCGTTCGCGGTCTTCTCTCCTGTAGCCTTACGAGATGCCTCCTTCGCCACCACGATCGCCCTTACTAACTTTGCTGCATGTCCGTCATCGCTAGGCATTCTGTTCACCGCATCCATCCACTCATACCACCCTGGGTCAACCTCCTAGGCGCCCGGGGTAAACCCTACTACTTCTTCGATCCTGAGCTCTAGAAACCCGCATGAACCATACAGCGTCAGATCTGTCCGTGCCTTCCACTCTAACAGGCGAATCTTCGCCGCATCCGGGATATACTCCACCTCCATGATTTTAGGGAAGAAGATGGCACTGTTGATGCTATTCATGTAGAATATATCAATTCTAGGTTCGTATGGGGGTGGTTGGGCTGCTGCAGTGAAGAAAGCCGCGAAATTCATCATCTCAGCTGTTTTCAACGGAAGGGACAACATGGACCGTACGATGTATTGTGCGGCGAGAGAAATCATATCGGTTGATGCACGTGCCAGAATGCCATCGCGGATCTTGTTTTTGTCGTTCCATTGTACGAATGAAGTGAGGGTGGTGTTATAGAGCATTTCTGTACGAATGCATTCCAGTTGTTTTCCAGGCTGTCCACGATGGGAAGCAGCCTTCTCAGCACCAAGAAGCAGAGGGGCCATCTAGGTATCGTGTACCGCCGTCAGGGCGAGAGCTTTTGCAACAATGGCAGGTTGCGCGAATTCTAGCCCAAAGCCGAGGTGAATGAAGGGGTGTAAGAAGCCAGTGTACAGGCGCACTAGCATATCGTCTGCTTTCGGTGTGCCAGCGAAGAGGTATTCGTTCATCACAGCAGCAAGACCTTTATGTTCGAGCTCGAGCGTAAACAATTCAAGATAGTTGACGTAGTGGTCCTTAATGCCCAGATAGGATGTGAAAGCTGAAGGGTCCTTGAGCAGTTTCTGGACTTGAAAGTCATCTGGTCGCTAGAGGGGAACCTGGTAGAGTGCATTCCGATCCAATGAGCGTTGTATTTGGTTTGGTGGCGATCCGAGAGCGTATACAGTCAGGAGGTGGGAACAATATGGTTCTGCAAGGAATTAGAGCTGGGAATTTAGGATCTGAAACAGCTGTGGAATGGTGGTCTACATGCAAAGCTGATTTGTTGGAAAAGATATTGTAACAATCGTGATTTTTCTGTAGCACTTCTGACGCTTTCTGCGCCGATTCATAGTCAAGCTTGTCGCGACCATAAATCAGTTTCTGTATCTTGCGCGGGGTTGCCATGGTAGACGCTGTTATACAGTCCTCCGGCACTTTCAATAAGAGTAGCAAATAACTACGTCGCTATGTAGACACCTTTGTGCGAGAAGATATCTTGTATGCACAGCGGGCTGTAAATCCGGGCCAACTAAACTGCCAGTCATGTAGTCTGATGTTCTGACTATTGTCTTCACCCTCGTAGTCAATTAGCCAGCCATACAAGGGTAGATGACGTTGATCCTAAGCAGGACGCTTCGGCCTTTCGGTAGTGCGAATTCCACTTGGCTCTCGGTAGAGTTATACTACAGATCAATCACTCCATTGTAAGCAGGAACTTGTTCAACATCGCTTAGCTTTGTGCGTCATACCAAGATTCAGGAAGTATGTAGTACTTTTCTAGTAGTCTTCGACCGATCACAATATGTACGACGGATGACGGCTTTGAGTCTATATTCTATTTTAGATAAGGAGTGGATTTCTGAGTTACAATAGAAACAAGGGAAATCTCCCTGCATACATGTATCATATCTACCTGTCACCGTCCAGTTCAAAATGAAAGCCGATCTGATCCAGTGTCGTGATATTCCTCCTTTTATCTCCCTGAGCTCCAAATGCTTTCCTCATCTCCGGGAATCTAGGCCTACACCACTTCTCCCATTCATTCCATCTTGGTGGAATTTTTCCTGCTCCATCATTCTCTAGTCCCGCTCTACTCTCAGCCTTCGCGCTCCAATCATGCAGTATATTGATGTATTCTGCGTCTTTCGGAAAATGCAAGACATGGAATTCACCTCCATCACCTTGTTTCGAACGCACTGCCTCTTCCCACCTCTTCATTTCGTCTTGGGAAGGCAGCTCCAGGCGACCAGAATAGATGCGTGCCAAGAATGCGGATTGAACTTCGGAGACTTGAAACGGGATGACTCTTTGGGGTAAAGCAAGCAAAGCAAGAGTCGGATGTTGTCGATATATGAGATGTTGATAAGTGTTGACAACGTGGGTCCCATCTTCGATTAGGGGTGGCTGTATGGAGCCGTGTAGAAAGGGATAGGAGTAGAAATACCCTGTGCAAAACACAATACTGTCCACATCACTTTCGATATGACCATTTGAGAAAATTACCGTACGTCCATTAGGATCAAGTGCTGAGATGGTTGGGAGGTCAAGCTTATTGGACATTGGTGTCGCTGGTGTCAGATACGATTCTGATCTGGACGAGATTATCAGGGACCCTTTGCACACAGTGGCGATCTGTGAGCCGATATCTATCCCGGACGCAGAATTGCCAACGATTATAACTTTCTGTCTGATTATCAGCAGCAAAGACTCTGGAAGTTTAACATAAGAGACGCAGTACGTACCTTTCCAGCAAATTCGTCCGGACGGCGGAAGTATTTGGAGTGGGATATAGAGCCGGGCAGACTCCTATTCCAATTTTTTATACCGTGTATATCAGGTATATAAGGAAGATTATAGTGACCGTTTGCAACCACCACAGCATCGAAAACGTTCGTCATTTGCTGCTTTGTCTTCACGTTTCTCACCGTAATGCTCCACTGATCATGTGTATGTTGGCTCGTTGCTGGAACCAAGGCTATATTCAGTACTTGCGTATCGAAATGTATCAGGTGACGTATATCATCTGCATACTCCTCCAAGTACTGTAGTACAGTTTCATGTCTCGGAAACAGTTGTGTATCTTTCGAGAATGGTTTATCGGAATACTGCATCAATGTATGAGGGATGTTTGTCTCCAGCGTTTCATATATCGGCGCAATAAACATAGGAACGTTGTCGTGACGCGATTCAGGAGTCACGCCATTGACTGTGTCAACCTTCCAACCACCCTTGCTACCACTCTTGAGCCATACAGGCTTCTCGACCTTACCCTTCGGGCTCGTCTGTGGTATCCCGAATGTCTCATCCGGCTCATTGTTGGGCGTGTAGTTCCATACGCCACCTACAACGCTACGCTGTTCGAATATCCTGATTGTATTGAAACTTTTCTCTGCTAGAAGGTATCTTGGTCAACCTAGATGAATTCAGGGTCCATTGCCAGCTGTTCGTGAATCTTACTCACTTCGCAGCCGCCAGACCAGCTGGACCAGCTCCTATTATGGCAACGTTTGAGATCTTGAGAGGCGGCATTGATTGATAGTCCCGTCATACGAAAAGGACTGAAGCTTTTGATTAATTCCGCGAAACAACTCAGTCATTATTTGATCGCGTCATCGGGGCCCCGGGAGCGTCCGCCCGGTGCCCCGCCACTCATGCATGGTTCTAAAAGCCGCGGCCGGAATTCACTGGTCACAAGTTTCAAGCTTGAGTTTTCTGTCATGCACTATAAATTTCCTACTTAGCATGCTAGGGCGAACAGCACGAGCAATCAGTACAATGTCTAAACCGCTGAGGATCGGCTACGTGCCAGGCAAGACCTCAGAGTTGGTGTTTTGGTCTCCAACTAACGGGTATCGCAGAACATTTTTCAACCCCTCTCCACTTTGCGCAAAAGTACTACAACCTGAATGCCTCACTCGTGCCGTTCCCGTCTGGCACTGGTCATATGATCCAGTCACTTAGAGCCGCGGAAATTGACGTGGGCGTTGGCCTCACAGAGGGCTGGGTTGCTGGTCTTGCAAAGCCAGAGAAAGGTTATAAGCTTGTTGGTACTTATGTTGAGACCCCACTCTGCTGGGCAATCAGTACAGGACCGAAGAGAAACATAGATGGAGTGCAGGGACTGAGAAATGGCAAAATCGGTGTCAGCCGAATTGGAAGGTTTGTTTATAATATTTTTACAGAGAGCACGATAATGACCTAGGACTCGCATGTGTAGTGGATCCTATGTAATGGGATTTGTCCTGGCCGACCAGAACGGTTGGCTGAAGAGCCCAGGAGAGGCCCCTTTTGATGTTGTGCCTCTCGATACCTTTGCCAAACTTAGGGAGGGTGTGAAAGATGGCGTGGCAGACTTCTTTATGTGGGAGCACTTTACATCTAAGCGCTATTACGACAACGGCGAGATCAAGAGGATAGGAGAGATATACACGCCATGGAGTAGCTGGAAGATCGTTGCAAGAGAGTCCGATGATTCCAGGCTAGATGATATGTTCAAAAGTATCAACCAGGGTGTTGCTCATTTCAACGACAACAAGGACGAAGCGGTTGAATACATCAGCACGGAGCTGGACTATTCGAAGGAGGACGCGATCGAATGGTTGACAACAGTCAAATTCGCGCATGACACCCAGGGTGTTGATGAGAAGGTTATCGACAAGACAATCGATATACTGGCCAAGGCTGGAGTTGTAGACCTGGCGTCCTGTAGCAGCAGCAGCGAGATGATAAGTCGCAAGCGGGCATACTAAGATAACCTTTTCGCGTGACGGATCCATTCTGCTGTAATCATGGCGGGGCTCAAGCTCAAGCCTTAGACGTAGACAGCTTCTTGCCTCCCTTTGAGATCAAGTCGAGGAAACTTTTCTTACTCATCTCTGAAGCCATTTCATCTCTCTTGTCCATACCAACCACATTTGCCTTTCTTGCCTCTCTCACGGCTTCTTCGCCCTTGACTTGTGCAGCACGAACAGCATTGAAGAGTTTCACCACACCCCTCTGCGCCATTTTCTTCAACTTCTTCTCCTCTTCAACAACACGAGCTGTAGACTCGTCAGCGTTGTCTAAGGCCAGCACATCTTTCACACGGCCCTTTTCCAAAGCTGCCCTTTTATCTTCTCGCATCTTGTTCTTTGCCTTCGCTTCCAGCTTTCCTTCTGCCATTTCTTTAATTGCAGTGGCGGCATCCTTGCTTCGTGACAGCACGGGATCCGCACGTTTCGACGTCGACAATTTGGAGCTTAGAATCCTTGATATAGAGTTTGCGAAGACCTCTGGGTCCTGTCGCTTCTTCTTTGATTTGTTGAAGGTTGTCGAGGTCTCTGAACCTTCTGAGTCTGCTTCTGATTCCTCTGAAGCATTGGCAGCCTCTAGATCCTCTGCGTCAAAGCCATCTCGAGCTTCATTATCCGAGCCATCCTGTGGGACTGTTTCTGATACCTCTACATCCAACTCTTGCTCTGATTGGTCGGCCCCAGATTCCTCCTCACTAGAACTGTGGTATGCTCTCCGCTCTTTGGAGATCTGTTTTTGAGAGACGCGAATCTTTTTCTTCGGCTGACCTCGCATTGATTCACCGGGTCGTGGTCGTTTCTGGACCTTTGAAGGCATTTTGTGGAACTTGCTTTGGAAGATTAAGTATGCGCTCACACAAATGAACTGAGAGACTGAATTGGAGGCTGCCTGAATTTTTTTGGGTAGGTCGGCGGTTGCCGGCTGATAACTCCGACCCCACTATCCATCCATGGATGGATTCCGATATGTGTCCCGCTACAAATCACATATATTTGCATCTTGAACACGTACACATTGTACATTTGATTTAAGTTTACACGGGCGAGAAGAAACGACTAGGCCGCCATACGACACTCTCCTCATCTTGCGTCCCGCAAAATCAGGGTCAGGACGCCATGGTGCTTCAGGATTTGGGTCGGCGCATCAATGCCGCTGTCTCTGACCTCACAAGGTCTCAAAATCTCGACGAAAAGGTATGCTGCGTATTCAGATATCATAATGTCACTGATTGATAGTTAAGGCTTTCGATGATATGGTCAAAGAGATTGGAAACGCCCTAGTACAAGCAGATGTCAATGTTAAACTGGTCGCTGGCCTACGATTATCCATAAAACGGAGTGTCAACTTCAAAGAGCTCGGAGCAGGCGTCAACAAGAAACGAGTGATACAAAAGGCGGTCTTTGACGAGCTGGTGAAGCTTGTGGATCCCCACAACGAGCCATACAAGCCAAAGAAGGGAAAGGCCAATGTGATAATGTTCGTAGGTCTCCAGGGTGCAGGTAAAACAACCACGTGTACGAAGCTTGCTAGGTGGTATCAAGCTCGAGGATTCAAGACCTGCCTGGTATGTGCTGACACATTCCGCGCTGGAGCCTTCGATCAATTGAAGCAAAATGCAACAAAAGCGAAGATTCCGTACTATGGATCGCATACACAGACCGATCCAGTGGTCGTTGCGCGGGAGGGTGTAGAAAAGTTCAAGAAAGAACGGTTCGAAATTATAATCGTCGATACTTCTGGCAGACATCGCCAAGAGCAGGATCTCTTCGATGAAATGGTACAAATTCAGAGAGCAGTCACGCCAGATCAGACTATTATGGTACTCGATGCATCGATAGGCCAGCAAGCTGAAGCACAATCGCGAGCATTCAAAGAGACAGCAGATTTCGGGGCCATAATCATTACAAAAACCGACGGAGCAGCAGCTGGAGGTGGTGCCATTTCTGCTGTTGCAGCAACACATACCCCTATCGTCTTCATTGGTACTGGTGAGCATATGCTCGACCTCGAACGCTTTAGCCCACAGCCTTTTGTTTCCAAACTTCTTGGTATGGGAGACATGGCTGGTCTTGTGGAACACGTACAATCGTTGAAACTAGACCAGAAGGATACGATGAAGCACCTTGCGGAGGGTGTATTTACTGTCCGGGATCTACGAGATCAATTATCCAACATTATGAAAATGGGGCCGCTGTCCAAGATGGCTGGCATGATACCTGGACTTTCAAATATGATGGGTGGGATGGATGACGAGGAAGGCAGTCTCAAGCTACGCCGCATGATCTACATATGCGACAGTATGACCAACGCGGAACTGGATTCTGACGGCAAGGTTTTCGTCAGTCAGCCTTCACGCATGACCCGAATAGCTTGCGGATCAGGTACAAGCGTTCGAGAGGTCGAAGAGTTGCTTACACAACACAAGATGATGGCGGGCGTCGCAAAGAAGATGGGAGGAGGTATGAAGAACATGCAGAAAGCGCAAGGTGCTATGGGTGGTGGAAACAAACAGCAACAGATGGCCGCCATGCAGAAACGATTACAAAGTATGGGCGGCGCAGGCGCTGGGAGAGGGGGCATGCCTGGAATGCCTGGGATGCCAGATATGGGCGCGCTTATGAATATGATGCAAGGCGGTCGAGGCGGCGGAGGTGGCGGGATGCCAAACATGGGCGGAATGGACATGCAATCACTGATGAATATGATGGGCGGTATGGGTGGCATGGGCGGTATGCCAGGAATGGGCGGTGGAATGACCGGGGGAGGAAGAGGACAACGAAGGTAAAAAGATGATACTTTGCGTAAAATACGATGCTCAACTTGAGGCACTGCAAATCGTTGGTGGTGATAGGCGTCCTTGTCCGGCTTTGCATATATGGCGTTGGACAGTGCAATGTGGTAAGGTCATCAGTGTGCTGTTGTTATTGAGATGTACAGTACACTTTCTGATAACTTTGATATCCAGACTATAGTCATCCAAATCAGTATCTAATTCTCATCGTATTCATTAACAAGAGGGTTTTGGGTAATGAGATCAGACAAATATTGCCTTTCTGTCCGCATGCCCGACCAGAAGAATGGAGCTCGGTTGGGTCCTTGGTTTACCAGAAATGATTGTAACATCATGACGTATCATAGGTAGTAAGGAAAGTACGAACCGGTTGGATTGCAGGCTCATACAAGATTATCATGGATGGAGTGAATTTTTTTGTTACACTTATCAGGTGGTCACCGTATCATGGAAGCACGCCCGAAGGGGCCCTCGCGGCAACTGTTTTAAAAGTGGATGAATTCTTCTGGACAGCATTTAGCATGATGCCAGCTGAGGTGATGTTGTGACTCGTGCTGGCTGCAAATCAGAGCTGCTGACGTTGGTTGTAGAGAAGAAAAAGTTAGACGAAGTTTGTCGGCTACAAACGTTTGGAGGGCCGCCAAGCCCAAAGCGCTAACGTTAGCTGGGACCTCCAAATGGATGGAATCACCTAACTGCGCAATGGCCGTGCCCAGCAAAAGAAACTCACACTTTCTCTCCACCTCCATTGCTCAAGACACTCCAGCCAGACTAATAGAGCGACACTTGAACGACCCACTATCTCACCATTCGACCTCTTAAATCTACTGCGACATCTGACAATCTATTAATCTACCGCTACATTCTCCGATACTTAAAATATCTCGACCGACCTGCTCGACCGCCGTGCTCCGCCCAAAGCCCATCTGTTCTTCCCATCTATACCCGACCAGCTTTACCTTCCTTCTTCGTAGCTTGTTCGCTCTTTTACACACACCAAGCTCGAAGACTCTCTTCTGATACCTTTGCTGTACTTTGTATTATATTATCTGATTCCAATGGATTCCAAGAATGACTTGTGGACTCGCCGATCGAAGTGAGTTCCCCACTTGAACGACTGTTACGCTTGAGAACTGACTGGCCTGCACCAAAGCTCTAGCAAGCTATCACTATCCACGAGTGACCGCGACAACAAGAATGATACTACAACACGTAATTTTCCCTCGAAGCGCTTCGGAGGGGAAGTCTCCTCGCACGGAGGTCGCTCAAACCCGTTCAATACAATGTCACCTCTGACTACCTCAAGTACAGCATCACCAACTACAAAGTCATCCGCTTCTTTTGGACTGGGCTCAGGCGCGTTCGCAAGCTTTGGGTCGGCCAGCAAAACCCCCAAAACCCCGGGCACGGCATTTGAGGTAGGTAAAGGCTCAAGTGCTGCACCTACACCACCACCACCGGCAGACAAGAAGGATCGAGAGAAAGAGAAGCCCACATCTAGGGCTGTTTCTCGCACAATGGGCGGATCATCAGCCACTTTACACTCTGACCATGACCGCGATACGGATCAATCCAATCCCGAGGATGCTCATAGCTCGCCGGCATATCCTCTGAAATATTCCTGGACTGTTTGGTACCGCCCTCCTACCTCGAAAAACTCCGATTACGAGAAGTCGATCAGGCCGATGTGCCGCATGAGCAGCGTCACTGGGTTTTGGAAGGTCTACACCCACTTGATCCATCCTTCGGCTCTACCCACTGTCTCAGACTACCATTTCTTCAAAGAGGGGATTCGACCGGTCTGGGAAGACGAGGAAAACAAGAAAGGTGGGAAATGGATCATGAGACTTAAGAAAGGGGTGGCAGACAGGTACTGGGAAGACCTCCTGCTCGCGTTGATCGGTGACCAGTTCGCTGAAGCTGGCGAGGAGGTATGTGGCGCGGTCGTTAGTGTCAGGAGTGGCGAAGATGTCTTCAGTATCTGGACCAAGAATGATGGGGGACGGAACGTGAAGATACGGTAAGCGACATGCAAACTCCTTTTACAGACGTCTAACAATGCACAGAGAAACAATCAAGCGTGTACTCAATCTACCGGCGGACACTATCATTCAGTGGAAGTCTCACGATGACAGCATCTCTCATCGCACTGCTATTGACCAGGCTCGGCAGGAGAAGACTACTCAAAATGCTACAGACAAGCGTAGAGGTACCTTGAGCGGAGACGGCAACGCAGCTAGCAAGGACAAGTAGGCTATCGCCATGTCGTGCCATGTCGTAACATGTCACGTCAAGTGTCCTAGATCATTCATGCCGATATTTGTTTGCATTAAGGTTTCAAGGGTTCTTGCATTTTTTTATTAGCGTTGTCTGGACGATTGGACATATTGGGACGGATGTATTGTGCGACTGCATCTGACATTAAAAGCGTCTTTGCGAGCTGCCTTTTGTATTTTTACCTCTGTACTTCCAGTAACGGCGCGACGGTTTGTCACTAGTCGGCATAGGAATACTGGAATCCTCGACGATTTGACGAGCTTGCATTGTCTATCATAAGGCAGGTGCAGGCCATAGCTCAATAAACAATGAATTCACTTGACAGATGCAACGCTATACTAGTTTACATAATAATATACCAAATAAGAGACGCAGTATTGCCTTTTCTGATTACAGATCTGGCATGATCTTCTGGCAGAATTTCTCTGAGCTGAACTGGACACTTTTTTTGGCCCAACCAACCTCGGGAAGTTCGTGAAGATGAAGTACCCACCAGGTGGGCGAACTCAACGTCACACCCTAGAATCAGAGCTCCCGCGTTACCTGCACTACAAATGCCGTTCACGAAGTACATATCCCTCGGCCCCAACTCATAACTCTCAAGAGTGTGAATATGAGGACGGGTATGACCGGCGACCAAGTTTGCGAAGAAGCTCCAAAGTCTCAGCGGGGCGCCCACAGAACAACTACCGTCGCAGATCAGACCCTCTCTCGGCCCACGAACAACAACAAGAAAGCAGGTACATGACTACGGACAGCATACTGCTTCAACAAGCTTGTGAAAATATTCAAAGGCCTGCCTCAGAGATTGTGAAATTCCAGACATTCGCCGAGAAACAAGTGGACGATAGTGCGCGGCAGGCGGGTGACTTCGACGAGGTGAGTTCTCAAGCCATGAACACTCCCCGTACGACCGATCATGAGAGGAAGTAAATGCTGATGTGTTAATGCAGAGCTCAGGAAATAAACAAGTTCGGCATAACACAGCTGCTCGCCGTGGCTCAGATTCTCGAGATCGTCGTCTTGCGGGAAACGGACGGTGTGTAAGAGGCCTTTGTGAGGATTCAAGGAGGATGCTGATAGATGACATAGCGACTCCGATACAAGATACGAGATTTCACAAGGTGCATGTGTCTCTAAGTCAGTCTTACTGCGACACAATTGGACTCGGTCACTGATTCATATGACAGAACGCCAAAAGATGGTCTCTTCCACTCGCATCTCAAATCTCCTCCTCAATACATCCAGGTAGCTCCGACCACCAACATGAAAAGGCAGAAGGTGCGTGAAATCCATTTGGAATTAGGCGTGAGCTAATAGACCCAGCCTGGCGGAGCTGGAAAAGTTCATCCTCGCAATGATCTAAACCGCCAATATGACCGTCACACCCTTGATACCCACAGTTCGAGAGGAAATAATGTTACAAGACTTTCTCGCTTCCCCAATCAAGATCAGGACAACATGGTCCAGCCAAACACGGGGAGACCCAGGATGGAAGACAATGATGATGGCGAGTTAGATCTACTCAAAGTCAGGACAAGGATGAGAACAGAATGGTCGTCTGAGCCAATGGACGAGTTCAGAGGGTCTAGGTCAAGGAAGCGATCGCAGGGTGAAGGGCAACTGTCGCCATTCTTCACAAGTCCAAGAGTACAACGCAAGTCACTACTTCAAGGTACCGGGCATCAAACGGAATATCGCGCAGTAGAGAACCGTATGAGAGTTTCGAAATCTTACTTGCAAAAGGGCTATGATTCGCGGGCACGGCTTCTGTCAACGTCACCACACGCACGTGGAATTACACCCGAGGACCCCCAAAGACCAGAAATAAACGCAACCGGGCTGAAAGACTTGAATTCATTGAAGAGAAATAGCCCGCATGTAACAGACAAGCTTATTGCGGTGCTGCTCACCAGTGAATATGAGAATATCACGTCAAAGAAAAGAGTTCAGAACGGGCATGAATCTGTTGCAAGCACGATGGCGAGATTAGACTCCCTTTGTTCGAGTCCAACACCTCAGTCGAACCTTCTGTCGGTATCACAACAGGATCCTAATATTAACAAGAAAAGATCTGTCCAAGAGAATGACACAGAGCCACAAGCCAAAAGACGCAAAGCCGATCATTCAACAGAGGAAGAGGACGATGAGCAGGATGAGCTCCAGATGGATAATCGGAAATTCGACGACCCAACGACGAAGACGAACCGTCGAGCGATTCATCTCTCACGTGACGAGATATCTGATATGGTTCAAAGTAACGAATCAATCAGAGTGCCTCTTATCCCTCCCAATTCGCTAGTAAAGACAAGTTCTAAACAACTCGAATATCATCCACCAACTCGAGATAGCAATGAGCATCTTACAGATCACGCGAGCCGGACACAGCCCAGCAGTGACACGTCATGGCCCTTGTCGTATTATATGACAAGCGAGATGCGTGAACCCATCACAAATGAAAATTGCGGGCTCATGATCGGACTGGACGGGCAAGAAGAATCTATCATTATCTCGATCGATAAGGAGAATGGGTCGAATTATGAAATTGGATCAATATCATTTCGTGAACTAAGATTACTCTCATTGTCGACTGGTGAGGACTGCAATATCAAACTGCACCTTCTGAATGGTAAAGATCTCAGGAAGCGTTGGTGTAATCTCACCTTCTTGAAGGCCTCAGAGTGTGAAACATTCTCCTCATATTTCAAATTACAACCTGGCGTCAAAATGAAGCAAACGTGAGCTCATCTTTATATCATACGCAATCCTACCGCATGTTGCTGATCCCTCCCTTGTAGAAAATCTCTCAATATCGAGAGAGGAAAGGACGAAGAAGAAGGCCGTGTTGGAGTACACCGAAAACAACCATCTGAACTAGAGGGTACTCGAGAAACTTCCAGTCACAAAGCTACACGCAAAGGAGGAGCTATTCACCAAGGAATGACAAGGACACTATGTACTACGTCACAGATGCGGAACGAAAAAGTAGATGGCCATGATAATAGCTCTCACAATAGGAAGTCGAACAAGTGTAACGCGCCAGAAAGCATCCAGGATAAGGTACCGGCTTCGCTAAGAGCGACTCGATCAAGCAATCGTGTCAACAAGCGACCGCCTGTGTCGTATGAAGAGAAGTCGCCCTCACTCAAGAAATTCTCGAAGAAGCACGGGCTAGGAACGCCATGGGACCAGTATGCCTATCCCATACGAAAATCAGCTCAATCTTACTAATAATTTGTAGCCCTGCCTACTTTCCACCGACCGGTCGTCCGCAGGCGTCTGTTCGGTTTGACGACCTCCCGAAGCTTGATGAAGGTGAATGCCTTAACGATAGCCTGATTGAATTTTACATGACGTACTGCCATGAGGAAGCCAAAAGGGAAAAACGTGTGCTTCCGGATTCCGTCTATATCTTCAACAGCTTCTTCTACACTTCTTTGACTCAAACGAGGAACTCTAAAGACAAAATCAATTACGACGCCGTTGCCCGCTGGACTCGGAAAGTCGATCTTTTTACGTATGAATACGTTGTGATCCCCATTAATGAGGAGTGAGTAACTATTCTTCTCGTGTCGCAAGACTGCTAACAAGAGCAGCTATCATTGGTATCTAGCGATTATATGCAACCTTCCGAAGATGAGCCGTAATCTGAACGAGGCTACAAAAGAACCGAGTCCTGCTGATGCGAAGACACCTGAGATGATGAATGAGTTGAAGGACAGAACTTCGAATATGCATCTGGATGATGATGTAGACAATACTACGGAAGATGCTGGCGAAGACCAAGGGGAATGGCCGGACCCCGAAGAGAACATACCGGCATACGTAACGTCCCCATTCAAGGGACTTGTATCAGAAGTAGCCGAAGGGCAAGCACGGAGCATACCAAGAGGCGTCTCTATCGGAGGCCTGGCAACATCAACTACCAAAAGGAAGTCTGTCAAGACTAAGAGAGGCCGTATAAAGTGTCTCTCTGAATCCGACGCAGCTGAGTTAGTTAGTTTCTCGCGGACCATTTTTGAAACTAACAAGCAATAGACCTGTCATCTTGACACTAGACTCACTGGGCTCGGCTCATCCAGACACTGTCATGAAACTCAAAGAGTATATCGCCCAAGAGGGAAAGACAAAACGGTCTATGGTCTCGAAGATACACAGATCTACGTCGGGCACAGCAGAAGCGATCCCCATGCAACGGAACTTTGTCGATTGCGGCATTTATGCCCTGGAATATTTCAAAAAGTTCATTAACGACCCGAAGGAGTTCACACGGAAATTACTTATGGGCCGCATGGACGCTCAAGAAGATTGGCCTGAGCTAGATTCTTCTTTGTTGCGAAGAGAGTTGAGAGAACTGTGCCAAAAACTCTATAAAGAACAAGAGGAGGTCAGGGCAGAACAAAGACGCCTTAAACTTGGAGCAAGGTCGAAGGTCGCTGGTCATTCGAAGAAGCCGGAACAGGCAGTGTCGTCCACCAGGGACAAAGACGTATCGCCGGTAGCAGTTGAGAATACACTTGACGATGATGGCACAGCGCACAAATACCCCAGCGGAACCGCGGAAGCCGTTACTAAGCAGACTGTTGCTGATCGTATTGGGACGCGGCAGAGTGCTTCTCCATGCACGCCGCTACTCCTCGCCAATGAATCGGGATCAGCTGCATCAGTTGAGCGTTCAGACCCGCAAGATGACGAGGATATCTCAAAACCCAACCTTTTAGTCGCTCCTGATGCACTTCAAGGCATCCCGGAAGCTTCCGAGGCACTAAACGAGAAGCAGCCCGAGAAGTCTTCCTTTACGCACAAGCCATCGGATGTGCTTGATAAAGCATCCCCTGAGGTTGCAGCATTGGATGCGGCGAGTCTAACAGAGGGGAAGACATCGGGCTTTGGATCTATCGATCCAGTCTTCGTCAACTCACAAGATAGTGGTACTCTCTTCGATGATGATAATAAGAAGGATGAATTTCACGTTCGTCATCATCATTCGTCTCCAGCTGCGGCAATAGACGAGACTCCAACCCCTGAGCGACAGCTCGGTTCTGATCACCCCGAACTCGAGAACAGGACAATCTTCGAGGATCTGAACAGATTGTCAGCCGCTACAGATACCCCAAAACCTCAACCTGCAAAGGTACGTTTAAAATCAAACAGCCCTACTGCAATTAGAACACCACGGCCATCGGGCAGGAAGAGACGCGGGGGCATGCCCCCGAAGCAGGTGCCTGGACCGGATGATAGCATCATTGAGATTGACTAGATCGGGTTGAACTGTCTCGTCGGATCACGACTTCTTTTCAGATAATTCGGCTGGTGTCTGGCGTTCCATGGTTTTTGAACCTCGATTTCATTTTTCTGTCTTCTCAAATCTGCATTGCCAAGGGAGTGCGGTGCATACGGGTCATTGATAGGAGCAGATTCCGAACCCCCTGCGAAGCGATTGAACTAAAAGCATGGCGTCTTGATTTGCGTAGTCACCGTCATATGAACTGTAAAAAGTAGCGACTCTATATCTGGTGAATGGATGTAACTAGCTGGGGCAACAAAGGGTGAAATAAGCACACCAAAACCAAAAGCGTAAAATACATTCAAACAAATTCAGAAAGCTGACTCTAATATACTGGCGATGCGTCTTGACACGTGTCGTCTACAGAAATATGAAAATAGTCGAGACAGCCTCATGCCTTGTATACTCTTCACTCCCGTTTCTACACGCTCACACCGCCTCCAACGCCGCCCTGACACACTCACTGAAACTCCTTGTCCACCTCCTCGAAATGATCCAAAAAACCCTGAAACATCTTCACACCCAACCCAGGATCCAGCGCTCCGGTCGTCGCTCTTATACTATGCATACTTAATTGCGGTAGCCCTGCGTCAATTGCTCGTATCCCAGTCGCCGCACTCAGCATCGGTCCCACCGTGCCACCACTGCGCGAATCGTTTCTGATCTGGAAGACCTGCAGCACACAGCCACACTTATCGGCGCAGCGCTGCAGAACCGCTGTCGACACGGCGTCTGTGGTCATATGTCCGTTCGAGTCCGCCGCAACCACAAGCCCGACGTTTAAGCGCGGTGCGTGATTTTCAAGGTACGCGCCGAGGAAGTTTGGGTTTACGGCGTGGGTGACGTCCGAGGAGACGATGAAGGAGTTTGCATAGGTGCGGGACAGAAGCGATACGGATGTGCCGTGGGTGGTGAAGGCGTCGACAATGCGGGACATGATGCTGGGGAGGAAGTTAGAATGGGCGCCTTGGCGCGAGAGGGAGCCGATTTCTTCGTTGTCGAAGAGGCCGACGATTTTGAGCAGAGAGGGGGAGGCGGAGGGAGGGGATTGCAGGAGTGCTTGGATGGCGGCCCATGAGCAGAGTTTGTCGTCGATGCGTCCGGCAAAGATGAATTCTTTGTCGAGGCCGCCGAGAGTGGCTGGCTGGGTATCGAAGAGTTCGAGTTCCCAGTTGATGATGGAAGAGGCTGAGGCGATGGTTAGCATATCGGCTTTGTGTAAGGTAGAAGAAGGGGGCTCACGTTCGACGCCGAGCTGCTTAGAGATGACCTTCATGAGACGGTGGGGCTGAGTAGAGGCGAAAGTCTTGAAGGCTTCACCCCCGAGGATTGGGCCTTCGCTCGAAAATCTGTCGTCATCCTTGTGGAGTGAAACACCAAGGTCACTGTTGTCGATAGCAATAATGGGTACCATCTGCGTCTCTTTGTTGAACGGCCCCTGAGACGCTGCTCCAAAGTGTGGAGCGAGTGTCGGGATTCTCGCGACTGAAACATTTAGCTGTGCTGGTGTGATATAAGCCCAGATAGCACGTACCTGGATAGTCAAGCTTTACCAGCCTGGAAACTATCTTGCCAGAAGCCTCCTTGACCAGTACGCGACCACCGATCCCGAGGTCACGGTCCCACCATGTATCGCCGAGACCGCCAGCGTATTGGGCAACTCCGAGCTGTACATAGCCTGCCTTGTTGCTCAATTTCGAGATTGGTTTCACTAATCAGTATCAGTGCTGTATCGCAGAAAGGGTTTCGAGCGGTTACATTTGGCAGTCAGTGCATCAATGTGCCCAGCAAGAATCGCGGCACCGTTCCCAGCTTCGTATTTGTCACCAACGACAAAAGCGACCAGACTGCTGCCATTGCGCTCGACAAAGTACCTTCCACCTCTTTCGAGCTTCCACGCATCCCGTTCCGAAAGCTTCTTGTAGCCCTGAGACTCCAAGTCTTTCCCCACGGCAGTAACAGCATGGAAGACTGTAGGGTTGTCTGACAAAAACTCGCAGAAAGGTTTGGCGTAGTTAATGGGGTCTAGTTGTTTGCGCGTCTGTGCTGAATGGGTCGAGCACGATTCGACATGCTGTGTTGTCGGTTCTGAATACCCGACGCCCTGTTGACCCGTTTCAATATGACCCCGGCTCTTGGAGACCTTCACGGCTGCTTCTTGGTTTTCAACAGTCTGCTCCTTCACAGTTGCGTCATGAGCGAGCGCCAGTTTGCGCACGGAGGCATTGGTAGTGGCATGCATCTGCGCAGGGCGTTCGAAGGGCAGATTGAGCGCCATAGTCCTGGGAGCCTGGAGACCTGTTGCTTGCACTGGTGAACGTTCATGTTGTTCGCCATAGCGCTGTGAGATGCCGATAGTAGAGGCTGCTTTGCGGACGTTTCGAGTCATCTCGAGGTGGCTATTATCAAGGAGATGAGGGAACACAGGTGACGTCTCGTTCACTTGATGTACATGCCGAGCGAGCTACAGAACCCATCCCGACATGACTACAGTATGCATGGTCGCGATGATCATCGGCATATCTTCAGCCTCAGGTGTCGATCACGTGGAGGAGTCAAGAAACCCACGTCCAAGACTCACTTGATATGCATGCAATGCGCTGCTGCGCATCCTCATAATCAACGTCACTCCCAACAAAACGCGTGCCATTTACGCAGATTGGCTCCGCTCTATCTGGATCGTATCCCTTTCCACGGTCGAAAACTTGGTGACCTCGTCCTTCGCCATGGCTTCCCCCTCGGGACGCAACCTCTCAGACTCCTCCTATACGTTGCCGTCCGACAGCGAGAACTACGAGGCCAACAATGAGCTTCTACCCTCGCCCCCATCCTCCTCCAGCTCTCCTCTGATCCTGTACTCTCCGCCTACGGTGTGGGGCCTGGTACGCGGGGCTGCAATCAACCTGATACTTCCATTTGTGAATGGCTTGATGCTTGGGTTTGGGGAGCTCTTTGCTCACGAGTTGGCATTCAGGCTGGGATGGTCGGGTACAAAGGTAGGGGAGGCGCGTGGTCTCGAGGTCCAATTTGTCGTTCCTCGGGCTATTTTCCTTTCCCTGGGTCTCGCCGCATTCTCCTGTCACGATGCTAACTTTGGGCACAACTAGATATTTCCCACACACCGAGTCGCGTCGAGAAGTGTTGGTCCGGGTGTTGAGATGGTAGATGACCCTATTGAACGACGACGAAGAAATGGGCGGGAGATGGAGGCGTACACGAGTCTGGAGTAGTAGCTTTTGAAAGTGACAAGACGCTTCTGCAAATGTCACGGGAGTGAATATAGGCACTGGCTTCGGGAATACATATGCGTGCTTTGGTCGCCTGTAAATACATGGATTGATCGGTGACGGCTGTACAGCAGACGTCGCGTTTGAAAGGAACAATAAGAGGAAGCATCTCTAGACCCGCAAACCTCCACCACACTATTTAGCTCCCAAATTTGGACATGGACTTGATCCTCGTTGCACGATCTAGGTATAATTGATATGATGAGCGAAAGCTATGCAAGCAAAAAGCCCGCATTAACGTGAACATGTTGGTTGCGGCAAGCAGCACGAGGATCGATTCAGTTGATACATGATGCAAGCTCGGACCACCTCTCGACTGAATTTACTACCTACATCGACCTCCGCTTGACACCACCAAGCTTTCTCCTCCGCCTCTGTTGCTACATACGCGAGACGCGACATGACAATGCTTCCAAGCAGAGGGTTAAGACCCGTGTTGACACACGCGCGATTGCAATTGAGATCTTCCGTGATACGTCAAAAAAAGGTACGTTCCGCACTGCACCAAGCCGAACTCGTCGTCGAACCTTTGGCGACCATCTGACTTGTAACTTGACTTTTACTGATGGCCACTGTTGTAGTTTTCAACCTCTCCCTCAATATCTTCTCCCGTCCCGCGATGGCGCTCCCCGCAATCCTTTTCACGAATCTACGCGCAGACGAGACCTAGCCTGGCCTGCTCTTCGGTCACAGCATCGCTACATGCACCGCGCTTCTACTCGTCCGAAGCACCACTGGACCCTTCCACGACCGCATCTGCAAATACTGCCGCAACGGGCGCTCCGACCTCGATTCCGTACGACTCGGCGCTGCCTCAATATGAAGAGCTTAAGAATCTGGACTTTGCATTCGGTGCCAACGAGCAGAACATGGGCTACTTGAAGGACTTGGGCCTGGACTTTGGGTGGGGACCGACGTCGGTGATGCAGTATCTGCTTGAGGTGTGCCACACCGGCATGAACGGTCTGATGCCGATGCCATCATGGTGGGTGGCCATTGCCATGGTCGCAGTGATTGTGCGCGTGGGCATAACACCGCTGTACAAGTCGACGGTAAACCAGGCGGCGCGAATGAGGGCGCTAGTTCCGGTCACGGCGCCCCTCCGGGAAGAGATGCAAGCAGCGTCCAACGCAGGCGAAATGGCGAGATACAGGCAGCTCGCTGCGCAGCTTAGCGACGTCTACAAACGTTCCGGGGCGCTGCCCAGTCCCGCCTCGTTCCTGCCAGTATTCATCCAGGGCGTCTGTGGCTATGGCATGTGGAAGCTGCTGCGCAACATGGCCCAGCTGCCCGTGCCGAGCATGCTTGACGGCGGCTTCGGATGGATCTCCAACCTGGCCGTCGCCGACCCGTACTTTATCCTCCCCATCGCAACATCCCTGATCATGCACGTGTCCGCAAAGGTGAGTCGCCCTGGATTCCACACACTCTCTGCCTTTGCAATCTGACAGCAGCCACACAGCGCGGCAACGACAGCGGCCAGCCCCCGCCCGAGGGCTGGCAACGGAACCTCATGCTCTACTGGCTGCCCGGCCTCTCCGCCGTCATCACCTCCTTTCTCCCCGCCGGCGCCCAGCTGTACTTTGCCATCAACACGATCCTGATGCGCGTGCAGGGCGAACTGCTCCGCTTCAACGGCTTCCGCAGAATGCTTGGCGTCGAACCCTTGTACGACCTCCCGCCGCCCCCTGCGTCGTCATCATCATCATCGCCCAAACCCTCAGATAGCACTGCCGGCAGCATGAGATACCAGAAACCAAACCGCACAATCGACACCAAGCTCACAACCACCAAGCTCGGCAAGACCGCCGCCCCCGTCCAAAAGGACGAGCCGGAGGCGAAGAAGTGGTATAAGCCCTGGACGTACGATAATTTTCAGAGCAGCAGGGCGTCTTCGGCCGCGGCGGACGGCGAGGATGCTGAGGAGAGGTATCGGGCGCGAGCGCGGGCGTATGAGACGCAGCGGCAGGCGGATGTTAAGGCGAGGAAGGAGGAGGCGAGGGCGGAGAGGGAGAGGAGGTTGAGGGGGTAGATGGGGGTGGGATGTGTCTTTTGAGAGACTTGGGGAGGGGGGAGATGGGGGGTGGATGTATCTTTTGAGAGACTTGGGGAGGGGGGTTGTGTAATTGTGTGTGTATGTATGTATGTATATATTGAAAGAGGTTGCGCTGTGCTGTCATGTAAACTCTTTGTGTGTGTGTGTGTGTGTGTGTGTGTGTGTGTGTGTGTGTGTGTGTGTGTGTGTGTATCGTACCGTATCGTATCGCATCTAGCATCCAGCATCCAGCATCTATCATCCAATCTAACATCTAGCATCTAATCTAGCATCTAATCTAGCATCTAATCTAGCATCTAATCTAGCATCTAGCATCTAATCTAGCATTTAATCCAGCATCTAATCCAGCATCGAATCCAGCATCTAATCCAGCATCTAATCTAGCATCAAGTCCCATCATACACCACCAAACAGGCAAACACATTCAAGAAAGCCCATCCATGCACACACCTCTCCCTCTCCCCCTCCCTACCCCCCTCTACAAAATCCCCCAACCAACCCAACCCAACCCTCCAAACAAACAATCACACATCACCCCACCGCCCATCAACCCCACAATCCCCATCCCCATCCCTCTCACCCACACCAACCCCAACACCCCTCTGCACCCGCAACCTCCCATCCCCATGCTCATACATGCCCAACTCCAACACATCCCCGCGCGGATCCCACGTGCGTCTGATATCCATCTCCATCTCCCTTGCCCTCCCCCTGTCCCTCCCTCCAGTCCCCTGACCACTACCAGTATACGCAGCACGCCCCGCACCCCAATCCCCAACATCAACAAAATCAAGACTAAGCACGGCATTTTCGACGCCTGCGTAGAGGGATAGCGGGGATGATAAGGATGAGGACGAGGAAGGGGAGGAAAAGGAGGACGAGGAGGAAAAGGATGAGGGCAGACAGAGGGCGTAGACGGGAGAGTCGCGTGTGCGGCGGTGGCGGGGGGTGCGGTTTGTTGTGCGGTGTGTGTTTGTGCGGTGTGTGTTTGGGGAGTATGTGGTGGTGGTGGTGGTGTTGTTGTTGTTCCGGGGATTGGCGAAGAGGGTGTATGGTTTACTTCCAAACTCACTCCCACTTGCATACCCACTGCTAGACCCACCCGCAGAAGCAGAAGCAGACCCAGCATCCCCATCCCCATCCCCGCCAGACCCAGAAGCACCCGCAGAAGCAGCAGCAGAGAGATAAGAATACGCCCGCCCGCCCGACACCCGTAGATCGAAAAACCTAAGCATGGAGTGGCGCGCACAGCCCGCGACGAGGCGAGGGCGTAGACGGGGGAGGAGTCGTGCGGGTCGGTGTAGGTTGATACGTGTTGGTGTGGGGAGCGGGTGTCGTGGAGGCTGTTTTTGGGGGGTTAGATGGTTGTTAAAAGGGGGGGAGGGGGGATGGGGGAACGAACCGAACCACCCCATCATAGCACCCAGAAAGAAACACCTCACCAGCCACAGCATGCCCCGCAGCGCAGGACATACCAGGAAGCGGAATAACAGGATACACAGACGTTGCTTTACCTCTACTATAGAGCAGCACAGAGGAGGCATCATCCTCATCCCCGTCAGCATGAAAGGCATATTTGCGCAGGGGCACAGGGTGGAAACCAGTAGGCGTGACGGCGTAGATATGCAGGGGCTCCGTCGAGACACCGAGGCCGACGGCAACGCGGGTAGGCGAGAGGAAGGTTGACGACCAGATGCGGCGGTTGCGGGTGTTTGGCGGGAGGATGTCGAGGGTGTGGTTGGGGGGGATTGGGTGGGGTGTGCTGTTGTTGCTGCTGTTGCTGTTGTTGTTCGGAAGCGGGTACAGAGCGAGGCAGGAGTCGGATAGACCAGCGACGACAAGCTCGTTTGATATATCGGAGCTCCGGACATGACGGGCTCGGGTCTCGAAGAGTGCGTCCTGCCGGACTTGGATCCGGATCCGGGGTTCGCTGGGTGTCGTGCGCAGCAGGCTGAGATACCCCTGTGGTGTGCCGATGAGGATTCTGTCCTCGGCAGACACCTCCAACGACCTAACAACCTTCAACGTCGTAATGTCGTCTCTGCCCTCCTGACTTCCCTCCCGCCGCCACGTAAACCAATTCACTTTACGCCCGTACACGTCAACCTCCCCTTCCTCTTCCTCTTCACCACCACCACAACCACCACAACCACCCCCCCCAACCCCCCCCCCCCCCCCCCCCCCCCCCCCCCCCCCCCCCCCCCACCCACAAACCCATCCACACAAGGCCGAAACCCCATCGTCTGTTCGCCCACCCTCCCCGTCACACCACCATCCACACCACCACCACCCCCCCCCAACCGGCCGAACATACCTAGCCACAAACGCCCGTCGGTCCCAACACCGCGACAAACCAGTCAGACAGCGCGCTGCTGCCTCGGCGTCGCACGGAGACAGCGGTTCGACAGCAAGCGAGGGAAAGCGCGCCCGCAAAAAGACGCGCCACCCTTCTTCGCGGGCGAAGGTGTGGAGGGTGGAGCAGGTTTGGGATAGGCGGGCGAGGGCTTGGGCGGTGGGGAGGTGGGTGGTGATTTGGATGAGGAGTTCGGGGGGGAGGGAATGGAGGGAGGGGGGTGTGGGTGGTGCTGTGGGTGGTGCTGTGGGTGGTGCTGCTGTGGGATTGGGCTTTCTGGGGGGTGGTGGTGGTGGTTGGGGGTCTTTGGGTTGCATTTTTGGGATTTGTTGTGGTGTTGTGGGTTTCTTATCACTTACGGGGGGGGGGGGGGTTGGTCTTATAGAAGGTTTTATAGAGTTTGGGGGAAAGATGTCGGTGGGTTGTGGAATGACGTCGCTCCGAGTCCCGATGGGTGGAGGCTGAGTCATATATGCGCGCACAAGCCTTGGAGAGTTATAGTCTTGAATATTCGAGTCATACATACATCCTACGTGCAAGTGACAAAGTGACTCAACATGCGTTGTTCGATTAGGCTGTTGAGAAATCTCGGCTCTCGAGTCAGCGCCGCATGTGTACCTGGTGCAGATCATGAGCTTGTTGTCAGCAAATCCACCAGATCCCGGGTAGAACGTAGAGCAGGTCAGAGTCGTCATATCTATTACAATCGCACGTCTACTACAATCGCCCAACAACCAATACCTCTATGCAAAAAAGCCCCGAGTCTTCACTCTGTCCAGGCCCCCCATCATACATGACTAGACATGTGTGGCATACAACAAGCTGCTGCTGCAACTCCTCTCTCCGCCGTTCGTTCGTTCGGGACAAGTTCCAGCTCCGTCTTCATTACTGTATACTCTCTCAAGCAACTTTTGTTGGTACAACAGGCGTGATAAATCGCCGTGACAATGAGCGCCATCGTCGACGAGGATGACGACGACGAGCCTCGGGGTATATGAACATGGGCTTTCCGCTCTCCCCCCTTCTGCCATTCAAATCCGTGCGATGCAACCGGTCATTTGGAACAAACGAAAGAGAGACAGACGATGCGGCGATGTCAAAACGCCTTGAAACTGCTGCTGACAGAGACGCCCAAGAACAACAAGCAAAAACAAAGCGCCACGCTCACTATACAAACATGAGAAAAGTCCCGAGATCGAAAAAAAAAAAAAAAAAAAAGAGAATCAGACCCTCCCCTTCTTTGCACTGCCGCCCAAGTCATAGTCTCTCCATCCGCCCAGGCTGCCCCACGCCGCAAGCACGTCCTCGCTCACGCTACACCGCGTGTCTACGGTCGGGGCCAGACTTTCGCGGTTCACGTTGCGGAACATCTTGCTCTCGCGCCGCACACTCGACCGGCTGCCCGCGCTCCTTCCACTAAGCGTGGATGCGTTTGTGCGCCGCGAGGCCGTGCGGACGGGGATGGCATGGAGATCGAGGGCATGGTCCAGTGAGCACTCGCGCAAAGCTGTTGGAGGTGCTCCTCCGCCTCCTCCGCCTCCTCCGCCTCCGCGACCTGGCATGCCGAGGGTGGACTGGCTGCCTTTCTCGGAAAGGCCAACCAGGGAGACGCGGTTGGTGCTGGAGACAGGAGATATAAAATCGACGACGGAATGGGCGGGAATGACGCTGTCGTCATCGCCGCTGAGACTGGGCTCGCTGTTGGCAACTTTGACGCGAAGATCGTCGTCGTCCGTGGTGCCAGGGGTGGCGGGCGAAGGGAGTGGCGAGGGGGCAGAGATGCTCGCCGAGGCAATGCTTCCAGTGTTGGACGGGGATGGGAGGGGTTGGTGGTGGTGGTGGTGGTCGAGTTGGGCGGCATAAGACGGGGCAGTAGCCGGGCGGGCGTCGCTGGTGACGGCGTCTCGCCAGGTGTGGGAGCAGTTCTTGGGGCCGCCACTGGAGGCAACAGGGACGGGGTTTTGGCCAAGTGCGCCACTACGAAGAATGTCGGAGCTACTGACCCTACTCGAGGTTATGATGCGCGATGGGCGATGCTTATCGGTCTGCGGTAGGGGCACTCGATCACGAGGGGGCGATGGAGTGGCAGCGTCGGAGAAGAAGGTGGATGTTATGGGTGTAGGGGCAGCTGGGAAGGCGTTGATCATCTCAGTCGAAGGAGAGACTGCTTGAGAAACGGCAGAGGTACCGGTGGTATCAGTCGTCTTATCAGCGAGTAGTTGTTGTTCGTCTGTCGGCTTGTCATCCGAGGCGTCTTGTCGAGAATATCTGCCCATGCCAATCGCCGTTTGGAAGCCTTGACTGAAGCTCTGCTTGGCCATTGCAGCTCGCTTCTGGCGCATCATTTCGAGCAAAGCCTCTTCTTCTTCGGTGACAGCCATCAACTTGTGGCCATCACGTGATCGTGTTTCACTCTTTGCCGATTTGCTGCTACGGATACTTTCTGACTCTGCACGCAGTCCTTCCGTCTCGGTCGTCATGTCAAGTCCCGAGGTTCGAGGACGGGCCCTGTCGTCGCGGGTGGAAGAGGATTCGTGCCGCGAGACACTCCTGCTTCTTGATGGGAGGAGGTCAGCGCGGCGTGAGGAGGCATGGTCGGTTTGCGGTAGCGGCAGCGATGGTGCCGGCGCGTACACCATCTGTATCGTACCAGCTTTACTGGAAGACGTAGTCCGAGCACTGACGTTGCTCCGGTTTGAAGGGTGTCTCAAAGCACCGGGTGTCACCTCATAAGCATGCGCTTTCCCTATGATGATCTCGCCTTCAGCACTGGACATGAGACTTTCCCTGACCGGAATCTGCACAGGGGTCGGAAGAGGAACGGCAGCGGACGCGGTGTCTTCTCCGTTGTCGCCTTCTGATGATGACATGGACAGGGCGCTTGTCGTTCTCAAGTCCAGTTGGGCCATGCGGCTTTCTTTGGTCCTGGCAGAAGCAGCTTCAGTCAGATTACTAGTGACCGAATAGGCGCTCGACTTGCGAGAGGGATATGCGGGTCTCTGCTGCTGAGTGGGAGAGATGATGTCTGAAGGAGCCGGCTCTTTCCGCGCAAGATCTTGGTTACCAGACATTTGATACTTTTCCCACTGCAAGGCTTGACCATTGACCAAGACTTTGCCCAAAGAGCTCTTGCGCCTCGGCAGCTTGATCGGCACTTGTTCGGTAGGGGTTGGTGTGTCGGCAGTGTCGTCTTCGTCACTCGACAGGGCGTCGAACCAGTGCTGGACGCCCTTGGGAGGTCTCCTGACATTTGTCTTGGCACGCTCCAGTGGATCTGCCGAGCGAATGTTTGGTGATGGTTGGCGGAGAGAGCTGTCGGTCGAGGCTTGGCTTCGAATGGATTTGGTGTATTGATTTTGGCCCCGAGCAAAGTATTCGGACGAGAGGGAGATTTGTGAGGGAGAGTTTACAAACTTGTTCGGTGAGAGGAGACCATTGTGGTCATGCTGATGGGCCCTGGGTCTGGGAAAGAGCTTGGACAGGTCCAGCCTGGATGGCTTGCGTGACGACTTTTCTTTCCGTGATTTTGATGCTGTAGAAGCAGATGTTGTTGATTTCGAGTCCTCATCCGCGGTCGAGATGTGCACAGGGGTATATCCTTTCCTCAGGGCCATGTCTCTCACAGCCGAGTTGGACGTCTGCTGCGAAACGGAGAGGGGTATCCGTTTGGAGTCGTAGTAGGAACGGATTGTCGAAGAGGAGTTCTTGTGCGAGACATGATGGAGGGTGGAAGTAGTGACTGAGGATATGGCAGAGTAGTCTTCGATACCAAGGGCATTGGAGGAAGCGCGAGAGCCAGTCGGGGGACGCAGACTGCCGAGTTGAGGGGGCAGAACCAGTCGTTCGGTCGAGTCGTAGGGTGTTGCTTCGGGCTCATACGAGAGGTCGGCAGTGGTGGCAGGTATAGGTAGGTTGGGTGCAAGTCGTCTGCTGTTGTTGTGGTGGTGGTGGTGGTGTGAGGGTGTGGCGGTGTGCAATGGAGCCGGCGAGGAAGTTGGAGTGGTGACGGGCAGACGTGCATGACCCAGCAGCCTCTCTGCCTTTGAATTGCTTATGGAGCCATCTATCCGCACGATTGGGACCCTCTCTTCGGTGACGAGATTGGATGAAGCATTGCTCTTGCGCCGAGTGAAACCGAATCTTGAGCTTCGTCCCATTGTAGGTGCATGTCAAGACGACCCACAGGCGGGTATGTAGGCGTCGGTCGGAGGATTGATGTGACAAGAGGGAGTTTGGAGGAGTGGTCTCGTTTCGCGGAGGTGCTGGCTGCAGGGACGAAGAGTCGGCAGGTCGAGAGGGTATGGAGGAATTGAAAGTGGAAGATCTAGAGGCCAGCTCGCATGATGGAAGAAGGGTAATGGTAAGTAGGAGAGGGAAGCGAGGTATTACAGAAGAGGCGAGACCGCAGGGAGGATGGAGGGGTGGAGGAATGACGGTCCCAGAGGAGTAGTCGAGCGCACATCCAAAGTCCGGTAGGGGTGGTGGAGCGAAGAAGGGGATTTACGGCGAGATATGAGGCGACAGGGGGAGACCACGGCCGCGGAGGGGGGAGGAGAGGGATTATACAGGGAGTTGTAGGAGCGGTAGTAGTAGTAGAAGAAGAAGAAGGGAATAGAATGTGGGGAGGAGGTTGTAGATGTAGATGCAGTTGGCTGTAGTAGCTATAGGAGGAGGAGTAGTATTAGTGGTAGGAGTAGTAGTAGTAGTAGTAGTAGTAGTAGTAGTAGTAGTAGTAGTAGTAAGTAGTAGTAGTAGAGAGAAGGGCGTCAGGAAGTCAAGGGTGTGGTGGCGTAGTTTTGACAGGTCAGGACCGACAGACAGGTCAATGGACAGCGAGCAATTGGCATGGGATTATAATATTAGAAAAAGCGACAGGACGAAGGATGCAAGAGAAGGAAAGGAAGTGATGGAATTGAGTGAAAGAGTAATTATGGGATGTATGGTGGGTGGTATGCTGCCTGTTCCCTGTCGGACTCTTGACTCTTGGCCAGCAGCGTAGGTGAAGGGGGGGGCCTAGCTGGCAGCAGCAGCAGCAGCAGCAGCAGCACAGTCCAGCGTGCGGCCAGGCTATCAATCCTCCCGCCAAAAGCAGAGGAAGAAGAAAGACAGTAACTAATTATTAGAATCATGTTCGATTATGATGATGGTTGTTGTTGTTGTCTTGGTTGTGTGTAGGGCGTCAGGGAGGGGAATGACATGCAGCAAGCTAATAGAAGTGTAGAGCAGTCTGTCCGTCGGGTGTGACTCCGGTGCGTGTGTGTGCCTGTCCTGTGCCTCGACTACATGCTACATGCTACTACTGTAGGCTGTCTGCACGATGCAGGTTGCATGCACTGCCATGCAGCAGCACGGAGAGTATCAGGCATTCATTAATTGATCAATCAATCAAGAAGAAGACAAGCCAGACGAGAGAGAGAGACACACACACACACACACAGACAGACAGAAAGGAATGGGAATTGGGATGTGCGACTAGGTTTGTTAGGGAGGGGGGGGACACGGGCACTGGCGAGGCTCCTGTTCAGTGATAGTGATCAGTGATGTGTGTGTGTGTGTGCGTCAGTCATCCTGGAGTTGTGGTGGTGGTGACAGTGACAGTGACGGCTATTAAGCCGACTATTGAGGTGGAGTCAGGGCAAGTCAGGGCAAGTCAGGGCAACGTGGGCGGTCGACGGCGCGAGAATGGGCGGGTGGGTCAGCAAGAATAGGCTGCTGCTTGGCTGCTGCTTGGCTGCTACTAGGCTGCCACTACCGGATCTGTCCCCCTAAGCTCAAGGTCGAGGCTCAGAGCTAAGAAAAAGGCTTAAAGAAGGGCCTGCACCCCTCCCCTAGAAAACACAGACGAGTTTGGCTCTCTCTCCAGTCTCCAGGGCTGACAATGTGTCATGGTCCACCGCCAATTCTGTAGGGGGCCATCCATGCTGCTAATTACATACACTATACATCCATGCTGACCACAAACTTGTCGACGTGGAGAGAGAGAGAGAGAGAGAGAGAGAGAGAGAGAGGGACTGAGAAAGAGGTATTGCTTCCTGTGCGCAAGTCCAAGACTGCGCGATGAGACACAGGAAAACTCCGTTGTGTGGAGATTAGACTGCAGAATCGAGCAATCCAGCGTCACACGATTCTCCATCTTCACTTTACTCACTCAATCAGCCTTGCGCCATCCATCAATCCACATGGCCATGGACAGAGCAACAGGAGAGACAGACAGCCAGACAGCCAGACAGACAGCCTACAGGGATCCCGCTGAGCCCGCAGCCCTAACCAACCCTCCCTACCTACACTACTACATGCCACACACAACGCCAATAATTATGTGCATGAACCCAACAACCTAATCAATCTCTCAACTCTCTAAACTGATACTGTCATACCTTCTTAAAACTTGCACTTCTCCTCCGAATTAATCAATCGCCTTTTTGTTTGCCCTTCTTCGCTAATTACCTGCCTCGGTCTGCGTGCATAGGTAGGGGGGTCTACAGTACTGATCTCTCTCATTTCAACCGTGGGCGCGTGCGTATATACCACTATCACTACACCACCGACAACCCAGCATCTCAATCCATCGCCCGTCCCTCTAGCTTCACCCAGCACCACCTAATAATTACCTACTCCGCCAGTTCTACAAATCAGGCAAAAAAGAAAAACAATAAAATAAAATAAAAACCGGGGAGGGGTCCTCTAGATCTCCTGAACCATCTGATCTTTCGCGAGAGATCAGGGTCAAGACTCTCAAGACGCCCATCCCTGGCTTCTGCTTTTCTTCGCGTGTGTCGGTGCTCTATCTTAGATGATGATGGGACGATGGAAGATCCACCAGGCCAAAAGTCGCCGATGAACTCCTTGAAAGGTAAAATAGAATATTCATCGTCGTTGGTATTAATTGGTGACAAGTCTTGGTCCTTTGCTTAATCATAGTAGCGTCGAAACTTGGTCCCAGGAATAATTAATCGTAGACTCCACGCACACTGCACACCTCCTATCCTATCATGTCCGAATCCGGTTGGTCTACGGGTCCTGCCCCTTACCTACTTACCACCTCGCTCCGCCATCTCCACGCCACCCGTCCGTCAAACAACTACAATACACGGCACCTCTCCCTTAATACGTCCTGCGCGTTTCAATAGGAAATAGTGCTGGCTGGACACTAAGATCAGATTCTAGATTCACCCCCTCTTCGGCACTAATTAAATCAGCTACAGCTTAGGCTACCTGGGTTGTTGGTTAGTAGTAGGCTCAGGCTCAGGCTCAGGCTCCGGCACCACGCATTATTGACAGACCCGCCCGGCTGCATGCTGTCGCGTGCGCAAGCCTCCCTCGCCGGCACGCGATGAATACACTTTGCTCTCTTTGCACGACACACTCTTGCACGACACTCTCTTGCACGACAATGCTCGGTTGAAACGTGCGTGTCTTGCATGCAATTTCGCTGCCTCAACACGTTTCGCGAGTTGGTTGGATTTGGTTAGAGCATCACCTTACTGTCTTCAAGCCGCACGTCCCCATTGGCATGTTTGCTGCTGTATGCAGGTGATTGCTGACCCATACAGACAGCCCTGTCGTCGGAAACATGCAACACCGCATCAAGCAAAAAGCATTTCAATCCTCAACGGGTGCTGCTTGTGCTACTATTTCGAGCTCGCCGTCTCTATATTTGGCTGTGCTTACTTAACTCGTCCTATGCATGAACGGACCCCAACGATCGACCGCCAGCCAGCAACATGGAGCTGTTGAGCAGCCCACAGCAGTCAACCTCAATCAGAGTCCCGTACACCGTATCCTCCGGCAGATCGTGTCGTCGTATCTATATTTTTCGTAATTGCTGCCTCGACTTCAGCGCGAAGGATCGCACGTGTGATGGGACCTGGGGCGGGCTGCCAGACAGAGGTATCAGTCCTACGCAGCCCAGTCGTTGAGGTACCGCTATTTCTGTCCCCACCGCGGATCTGCGCGTGACGTCGTGCTGAATCCTTCGCAACTGTTGCAACCACCAAACTTTGGTAGCAACTCACTTCAATACACTTTGCCACGCCCACGCCTGAACCCATCTCCCTATGCCTTCTTCACTTGCCGACTTCTCTTACAACAAACAAACCCAATTGTCGTCTCGATACTGCCACCTGGTACACCTTTCCTTCCCCCGGCCTTCTCCAATCCAACCGCAAGCATGGAAGCACTACACCCGTCCCGCGAATCAATGGAGCTCGCGGAGCCACCGAAGCCTTCTCCGTTCTTGGCACTCCCGGGCGAGATTCGAAACTCCATCTACGATTACGCGGCCGACTGGAACGACGTTGGACGAACCATTGAACGCATCCATCGTCAGGTACAGCAGAAACTCAACCATCGGACCCCCAAAGGTCCCGCCATCTACGACAAGGAAGTGTGGGATGCCGTCGTTGCCCAGGCGTCGCCAAAGCGGACTCCAACCATCTTCTTGCTGAACCGTCGGACTTATGCCGAAGCACGTGCTCGACTGGAGAAGAAGCCATTGCTGTTGCCTGCCTTGCTGCCCAGGTGTGTCGTTCTCCTGTGGAGGAGCAATCGTCGTGGGAACGGCCAGGACTATCAGAATACAAAATGGTGCCTCGAGAATCTGATCTCGACCGCGACGCTGCAGTCCGTTCCTGATCTTACCGTCACGGTACAGCCGTTCATCGACTTTTTGATTCCGTCGGGATATCTGCCATGGCCGGAGCGGTCATGGCACTGGCCACTCGCTCCGTTCAGCAACATCAATGAGGACAATCTGCTGGCGTGGGAGACCAGACACTTGACAGTCGTGTTCCCAAGAGCGTATCCGGTCAACTACTTGCAGAGCACTATTCGTGAGGTGGGTCTTTTTATTTTCAGGTTCGGTCACGATTGAATGATGGAAGCCTACTCGAACATCACACATCCGAGACCCGAGACTCGGTCGAGACGCCTTTGATATCTCAACATGCTGATACCCAGACCAGATCGAGCGAACTCTTCTCCCTTCAGCCCGGCTCACGATATGCCTCTCTCTCCCCGACACAACCGGATGGTCAATCCTGCCACGGTCTTCAATCCCGATCAATTCCCGTTCACACTCCCACCTAGGCCTCCCCTCGAGCGCCCAAAAGCGTGCCCTCGCAATGCCACCGCCAGTCCCCCGACCCTACGTCTCCCCCCTCCGCATCGCCCTCACAACGGCCGCATTCTACCTCCTCCCCCTCGTCCTAGTCGCCGCCCTCACCGCCATCCTCCCACCCTCAATCCGCAGCTCGCTCTCCCCCAGTCTGCAAACCTGGTCCCTCGCCTTCACCGCACGCATCTCCTTCCGCCTCTTCCTCTACGACCTCATGACCACCTTTGACATCCTCCTCTCGCCGCACCCGCACCCGCACGCCCCGCTCTGGTCCTGGTCCGCCCTGACCCGCGCCCAGCTCAGCCCGCTGTACTATCCCCTGCTGTACGCCTCCCAACTCGTCCGCCCGTTCCGCGTCAGTCCCGTGAGCAAGATGGCCCTGGGCGTGGTGTTTTTGTACGGTGGTACCTGGCACACGCCGGGGGATTGGCAGCAGGGTGTGGCGTTTGTGAGTGGCGGGTGGACGTTTTGGGCGTGTACGCTGGCGAGCTTTGGATGGCGCTATTGGCAGGAGAGTGTGCTGGACTTGGGCGCGTTCTTTCCGGGGAGGAGGCTGTGGATTGGGATTTGACCTGATGCGGGGGGGGATGCATCACTGTAGAAGAATGGGAACGAGAGCGTGGAGATGGGAAGGGAGATGGACATGTACATGTATATGTAGCCGACCTATCGTGCACAGCAGATAGATTAAACAAAACGCCACACTCTTGTAGCGTGAGCCATGCTACGTGCACTAGTATCACTCAGAACACACGAACCAAGTGTCTGCCAGCTCTCCGTCTACCCAAATGCATCTCATCTCTCAACTCCCTCTCCAACATGCACGCACGTCCGGGATCAGCGAGTATTTTGTTCCGCGGGACGAAAAAGAAGAAGAAGAAGAAGAAGAAGAAGAAGAAGAAGAATGTTACTCTTTTTGCTATGGAAAGAAGATAGGACTATTCACTATTCTTATACCGTTTCTTCCTTGTAGCGTCTTATATATAAACTACAAGTAGCTATATATGTTTAATGTAAGCGTGTGAGTTATTATAGGTTGCTAGGAAAGAAAGAGATGGTACACGTCCGAGGGGTCCATCGATAGGGAGGCACTAAGACTGCCTAGCTTTAGGCAACCAGCGGATCCATCTTACCATCGGATGGAATAGGAGTACTACCGCCGTTTCCCCGGTGTTGTGCTGTGCCAGATGGATCTCGGATGGCTCTGAGTCCGGGCGCACCGCTACGGTAACTAACGTCACTTCACAAGCACAAGTGCTACATGAACGTTTACTAAAGACGGCGCTCATCATGAATCCCCTCACAGCCCTCCCAAGTTCCCTCCATCTCCAGCATCCCAAAAATCACAAGATATGGATACTGTCAAGACGTGGGCCGCGACCGACGGCTCCGTGAAAGCTGCCGTGCTCGTCGCTCTCATCCTACTCTCCACACTAGCAACATATCTACTCCAGCAACCAGGCTTCCCGGAGAATGCTCCGAAACTCCATCATGAGGACCGCTGGGTGGTCGGCACGCGGGCGTACTTTAGCAAGCGCTGGGACTTTTTCAGAGACGCGGCGGCCCGGAGCGCCACGGGGATGTGGTCCTTCCATGTTGGCCGGCTTCCCATCATCGGGCTCAGCGGTCCCGAGGGCCGGAAGGTGTTTTTCGAGAGCAAGCAGCTGGACATGAGCAAAGGGTGCGTATCATATCACCCCGACAGTAAATCCTGAACTCATCTTTTGACAACCTCCACCCCCCAGATACGCCGTCCTCTTCGGCCAATCCCCCGACGTCGACCCCATGGCCCCCGACGACAAAGACCCAAGCAAACAATCAAACTACATCCTCACCACCCTAACCCGCCTCCTCAAGCGCGAAAACATGCCCTCCCTCCTCGCCCGCATCCTCAAAGACGTCCGCGCCAACCTCTCCACCCTCGCCACCACCACCCCCTCTTCATCCCCCCAAACAATCGACCCCTTCGCCACCATCTACGCCCACATCGCCCAACTCACAACCCGCACCTTCGCCTGCGACGCCCTCGCCGACAACCCCACCAACCTCGCCTCCATCCTCTCCAACTTCGCCGCAATCGACAAATCCGCCACCCCTCTCACAATGATGTACCCGCGCATCCCCACCCGCGCCTCCATCTCCCGCTTCCTCGCCGGCATCCGCCTCTACAGACTCATCGACGCCGTCGCCCGCGCCCGCATCGCCTCCTCCGGCCTCCGCCCCAACGACCCCCTCCAATCCCTCCTCGACCAGGGCCACACAGCAGATAAAATCGTCGGCTTCGTCGTCAGCGCCCTCTTCGCGGGGATGGTTAATACGGGGCTTAATACCGCCTGGACGCTCTGCTATCTTGCCTTGGATCCGGTCTGGTTGGCTCGTGCGCGCGAGGAAGTGCGCGGTGCGCTTGATAGGCATGTTCCGGAGGCGGAGGTGCCGGGGCGGAGACAGAGGACGCTGGACAGGATATGCGGGGTTCCGCTTCAGGCTTGGGAGGCGGAGTTTCCGGTCTTGGAGTGGTGTGTTCGGGATACGATGCGGATTCATATGCAGGGTGCGGCGCTGAGGGCGAATTTCTCGGGCAGGGAGGTGGGGTTGGGGAGGGGGGAGGTGGTGCCTGATCGGACGTTTGTGGTGAGTTTTGTCTTGTCGTGTTGGCATGTTGGACGGGGTATCAGGCGAGGGGAAGGGAAGGGAAAGGAGAGGAAGAAAGGAAGACGTGCTAAACGGTCTACTAGGTCTACCATACAGCCGACATCCACCTCGACGAATCCGTATACCCGGACCCGCTCCGCTGGGACCCGGGACGCTATATGCCTGAGCGTGCCGAGGACAGGGGTGCGCATCTTGCGTTTTTGGGCTGGGGCGCGGCGCGGCATCCGTGTTTGGGGAAGGCGGTATGTGTATACTCCCCAGATCCACCTATTCACAAACCACGAACACAAACTAATAACAAAACAACAGTTCGCAAAACTCGAAATGACAACCACCCTCGCTGCCTTCATCACGCTGTTCGACTTTTCCCTCGTGGATTTGAAAGGGGAGCCGTTGGCACGTTTGCCGGCGCCGGATCGCAATCAGTGGCAGATTGAGGGGCCGCGGGGGCCGGTGCGGATGAGGGTTGGGCGGAGGGAGGGGGTTGTTTTTTAGGGTGCGTTTAGGGTTGGGGTTTGGGAGGGGGGTTTGGGGAGGAGGAGGAGAGGAGGAGAAGAGAGAGGGGATGGGATGGGGAAGATTAGGGGGATGGGGAAGATTAGGGGGGAGGACGATCACGCATCGCAGACCGTGGCAGGATATCATGAATACATCAACACCCAACACTCAGCTCCATATAGTAACTCAGATACGAGATCGATGAATGGACGGTAGTTATGTAGGTACAAGAATAACACAAAAAGAAAACAAAAAAAAACCGGAACTTTCGCATCTCCACAGCCCCGGATCTCCACTCCATCCCGGTGCGCGGCATACGTCACACGTCATACGGATATACATTATATCACACACCCCAGCCCCAACCACCCAATCCACCTTCCGGGAAATCTCCAATCACGCCAGCCTCTCTTGAGGTACTGTACTGTATACTGTCTGTCGTTGCAATGGATAGATACTGCCCCCGTGCGTGTGTGTACGTAGCACGGTATAATTAACTGGCTGCGAGGAATCGCCATGGCACACACAGCATGATAACTTTATGATACTGCGCCCCTGGCTACGGGACAGGAGTGGCTTGGCGAAGTAGAGTGTAGTATAGTAGGGAAGAGTGTGGGATGGGATGGGATGGGGTGTGTTGAGAGGGTATGGAGTGTATTGAGAGGGAATGGAATGTATTAAGATGGAATGGAATGTATTAAGATGGAATGGAATATATTGAGCGAGAATGGAATGTATCGAAATAGAATGGAATAGGATGGAATGTATTGAAAGGCAATGGCACGGCACGAAATGGATCCCCACCCTCAATTCCCCATCCCGCACCCCCCCCATAAACTCCGAATTCCGCATTCCGCAATTCCGAACCCAATCCGTCCGCCACCCGACCAACCAACCAACCACCTTGCTAATTGACCGATTGCGCGCGAGGAAATCTGATACTCCGTTGGTTATTCACATTCATTTGCTCGATGATCTGGCTTGAGGGTGATTCTAGAGTGTCTGGTGGGGATGTGGATGTGATGGGGATGGATGGATGTATGTATGTATGCTTGGGGAGTTGTGTGAGGTGTTGATTGAGTGAGTGGCTGGGTTAATTATGGGCGTGTGTGGTGTGGTTTGTGGTAATGGAATAGTATAGATGACGTCCCTTCTTCGGGGGAAACGGGATTATATGTAACATGACGTGTTTGTATTATTCTTTATTCGCCTGATGATATGGTGTTGCGGCGTTGTCTATATCCCGGTGTTGTTATGTTGTTGTGTTTATATCGTCCTGCTTTCATCCTACACCCGCCCTCTATTCTCCTCTATTGCCATCATGTCTCCCTCCATGCCCGTCGTTCGTCTCGGAGATATATCCCGGAGACAGAGGGGGCTGGAGTACATGGCTCCATGCATGACGCATGAGAAGAGGCGGGTTCGGGTGTTTTGCAGAGAGAGAGAGGGAGAGAGACGCCGTGTGGGCTCGTATATAGCCTTCCTGGATCCTGCGTGGGTATTGTTTCTGTATCTACTACATCTTCTGTTCATACACACATACAACCACCACCACAACACTCACCAACCACCAACCAACAAACCCAGAAAACCCAACAAACCCAAAATGAAATCCCCCTCCCCACTCCCATCCCTCCTCACCCTCACCATCTCCCTCACCCTCACCACCATCCCCCTCGCCACCGCAGACAAAGACTGGACCTGGACCGAATCCTGCGCCGTAAGTCCCTCTTTTCCTCCTCACTCCCACCCTTATCCCTTCCCCGCTCCTCCCCCCCCATTTCCCCTCCCCCTTTCCCTCCCCTCATCCCCCCCCTCAACACAATCTAACACCCCCCAAGTCCCCCTGCGCCCCCGACTTCTCCCAAACCAACATCCGCGCCCTCTGCGCCGACCCCCCCGCCCTCTCCTCCGTCTCCGCCTGCATCGCCAGCGCCCCCGCATGCGCCAGTCCCACCGACGCGCGCGACAAGGTCCGTCAGAGCGTCGCGTCGCTTTGTGGTGATGTTACGGCTACGTCTGTCTCTACTGCCAAGCCGTCTAGTACTCAACCTGGCGAAGATGGTGATGATGGTGATGGTGATGGTGATAATGGTGATGATGGTGAAAGCTGGGGCAACAACGGGCCCTGGACAGGCAAAGACGGGCCGCACATGACGGCGGGTGGAGGAGGGCCGTTTGGCGGTGGGTGGGGGCCGTGGGCGCATTCGGGGGCGGGGTGGATGAGTGATGGGGCAGCTCAGGGAGCGTGGACGCGGTGGTGGGAGAATGGGGATTGTCCTGCTTCGGAGTGGGCGGGGTGGACGAGTGGGAGTTGGAGTCGGGAGGCTGTGAGTATTTTACTTTTTTTTGCCTTTCTTTTGTTCGCTTTGGGTTTGCTCACTTCCCCCTTTGTTCTGTGTGTCATGGAAGGTGTTGGTACTGACAGCCACAGGACTGGACGACGTGGAGCGGGTGTAGTGCGACGACGACGGCGACGGTGGTGACTACCACGGTGAGCGGGACGGAGAGCGTGTATACGAGTCTGGAGACGCGGGTTGCGCAGGTGACGGGCGGGGCGGTGCAGACTGGTGGTGGTGATGGGAGTGCGCCGGGTTCTGGGGCTGGGAGCGTGGGGACGGCGATTAGTAGGGAGATGGTTGGGTTTGGGGTGGCTTTTGCTGCTGTGTTTGGTATTATGGTTGCGCTTTGATGGGTGATTGGGTGATTGATATATGTATGATGCTGAGTCGGATTGGGGATCTCTCCGACGTCTTCAATGAGGAATTTGTGACTGCGATTGTAGAATAGTGGAACGGTGGACCGCGAAGTTGTTCGGCTGTTGAAAGGATTCGTCATTCGAAGATGGTTGACTGGTTCTATTGTGTGCTTCGAGGCAACGGATATTTAGATAATGTACAACATCCAACCACTCACAATCCCCACCAATCGCTACGTAAATACAGATCGTTGTGACGGACTGCCTCTGCCCCTTTCGTACAGCCACTTGTTGTTCAGGCCCACGCTCGCGGGCTTACTGGCCGACGCTGGTGTCGGCGTGGGTGGAGTGCTCCCGCCAAAGCTCGTGGTCGAGTCCATAAAGTGACTAACCGCCAGTGGGCTTTGTGATCCGTAGCTCAGTCTTCGGGTTGCGTCCTCGCCAGTCCGACGCTTCAACAAAGGACTGGAATCCCGCTTGAGCGGCGATGGAGAGAAAGAGTTGCTCTCTTGCCCACGGCCTGCGAGGGGCGACGAGTTCGCCGACCGCGCAGTGCCAGGCTGAGCCCTGACGCTGCTCCCAAGGCTAGACGCGCTTCGAGGTGTCGATCTAGCGTATCGTGGTGGAGTTATGTATTGCGAGCCCGGCGTCAAAGGTGCGTTCGAAGGAGGAAGTCCGAGCAGGGCGCGCTGGGACGGAGTGAGCGGTATGTCGGAGAGGTCGTCGGCCTTTGTGTAGAGCGGCTTCAACGCATAGATAGCATTGCCTAGAAACACAGCTCTGACCGCCCAATACAAGTAGCCAAGCTTGGTGCTGGACGCAGGGAAAAGGTTGAATCTAGGCGCCTGTCAATACTCGTGCTGGCAGAAAGCAGCTCTTGGACATCGTACATGAACGGTATGAAGCGATACAAGATGTGTGGAACGACAAAGGTCGAGATGAAGGCGAGAGCATTCCACACAATGGCGTGTACGTTCTGTTCGTTGAACGTCTTTGCGCCGATGCGCTTGTTGATCTCGTCAAGCCGGGGATGCCGCCATGCTCCCGTAGGTGTAGCCGAGGCGGCTTTCGGGGTTGCAGGTGCAGAAGCCATGACCGAGCTTGGGGAGAGCTACATGATGTTTAGTCGTCTTCAATCGAAAAGGTCGCGATGCTGGCGGTGGACATACCTCTTCAACGAGAATTCTCTAGAGTTGATCCTAGACCTGCCGTTAGTAAGTTAGTTGGTGAGCTGGGGAGCAATCGCGGGTTAGTCCATAGTGCAATTGTCCAACTGTCGTGACGTTGAGATTGAAGTGAAGCAGCTCCAAAGACGGTGGATCCCAGACACAACAGGTGGAGTGGGATTGTTTGGGCAACGGCCCTGGAGCGCGCTAAGGGGTTACGCTAGCACGTGATGTCAAGCCGCCACATCTTGCGCCACAACGGGGAATCATCAGTTCAGGTGGAGTGACGTTGGACCATCGGGCTATCTTTTATGCTCCGCGCCTGGCAAGCTTCAATCAGGCTCTCTCTCTCTCTCTCTCTCTCAACCCTCCTCTTCACACCATCTTACAATCATGGCTGGCATAGTGGAACAAATCGACAACCTCCTGGCTGACCTCTTTGCCGGTTGGAACAGCTATTCCACCGGTCTTGTCGCAGTCATTGTCCTCTTCGTCGTTTGGGTCATCACCGAATCCAAAGATCCCGATACCCATCCCCTCCTCCTCGCTCGACAGTCGCAAGCTTCATATGTCCGCCAGCCTGGCGAGTCAGCCGTCTACAGGTCTCCGGAAGTACCATACGGATGTGTGTATCTCAAACACCCCCACGTACCATGCGTTTAAACAACAGCGCTGACACTGTCCAGACCCTCTCCGCTCCGGTCTCAACGTACGCGCTCCCGGAGCCCCGATATACGCTGCCGGTAAAGATGGAGATCTGCGAGACATATGGAAAAGAGTTACCGGCGAGCTGCCCATCGACAAAGACGAAAGCGGACAGCCGGGCAAGATCTTGACCGTCTATGGTAAAGAAGACATTGATGATCACAACATCGCGGACTTGTCCAAGGAGATTGCCATAATCGGGAAGCACTTGACTAGCAATGGCGCAAACAGGGTTGCAGTGTATATGCCAAACTCCGTCGAGCTTCTTCTCGTTCTCTTCGGTTTGTACAGAGTCAATACACGGTTGCACGCAGATGCTAACTCTCAGTAGCTGGAGCTTTCTATGGGTTTACAGTTATTCTGCTGCCATACAACCAATCGCATCCGAATCTTGCGGGTCTTCTGAATACTACAGGCGCCGATGCTCTCGTCGCCGCTGCTGGATCATTCCCCCTAGAAGATATCAGCAGACAAGCCATTTCGCTGAAGCAGGTCATCTGGAGTGTTGAGAAGACCAGTAGGCATGTTGGCTGGAGCGAGGTCCCCGCGGGCATTGGCGGAAAGGTCGATGTGTCCGTTCTGCATGAGCTTGTAAAAGACGGCAAAGCCAGTGCAGAATTGCCAAACGACTCCACCACTGAGCCTGGGAATGTCGTCTTCGTTTGGCAAGACACTGAAGGCAAAGGCGGCGAAGTCATTGAATTTACCCAAAAGGTCAGCTTTCTAGCAGCAAAGCACAATGCGCATTGATTGACTTCAATCTAGAACATCGTCGCAGCAGTAGCCGCTCTCGGTTCAGCACTCCCCCCGCAACAGCGATTCACCAAGTCCGACATGTTTCTTCCTGCCGAGTCTCTGACGCACAGCTATCCCTTGGCCCTCACTCTGTCTGCTCTATTCACCAGGACAAATGTTGCGCTTACCTCTGTAGCTGGAACCGGTGTTGACCTGGGTATGGCCATTCGTAGCGTAGCCCCAACAATCCTAGTCGCATCTGCCGAAAGTGCTGCCAAACTCCACAAGTCAGCCACAACATCCCTTACCGATGCAATGAAGAAGCTTGGTCACTACATGGCGACACGCACTTTGGCGGCTGGACGCATGCCAGCCGGTTCCCTGGCTGCTGCCGTGGACAACAAGGATCCAGCTGCTGCCTCTCCTGGTAAATTGCGCCTCATCTTCATCTCTGAGCGCATCGGTGCCAATACTCCACCTCTGACCTCCAATGATCTCTCCGACCTCCGCATCTTCACCAAAGCGCGCGTTGTATACGCTCTCACGTCCGCGAAAGTAGCCGGAGCCATATCTCAAACCAACGTGTATGACTACCGTCGTGGCATAGGTGAATCAGAAAATAAGCACTCGCACTTTGGTGTACCCGTGAGCTCAGTCGAGATCAAGATGACAGACACTGCAACCCACAGAACGTCAGACGATCAAGTTTCTGGCGAGATCACTGTGACTGGACCTGCTGTCGCCGGTGGACAGGTGTCGCTGGGCGTCAACGGCACATTTAGAGATGACAACACATTGGCCTACGCTTAAACACGTCTTGTCTGGGATCTAGTTATATCAGTCTATCACCGATTAGCGGGCTTTGGATATTTATGTATGAATGAATGAAAATGAGCCAACATGAAACGAGCCTTCAATCCACTGGTACCAATGCATAAGTACTGCAATTGAGATGCATGCCCGCGTTCCACGAGCATCCGACGTCCATAAACGCCAAGCCCGCAGCCGCATTTGGATGCCGGGATCATCGACCACGCACGATGCGCGCATAAACTACTCCACTCTCTCCCATCAACCACCTCAACTTCAAGATGCGTGGCAAGCTAATCGTTTTCGAAGGTCTCGACAAAGCTGGAAAATCAACGCAATGCTCCAAACTCGTCGAGGCTATGCGTGCACAGGGGAAGGATGTGAAACAGATGCGGTTTCCAGGTTCGTCCATCTTGTCCGAAACACACCGGGATCATGATCTTCAAGGGATAGCATTAGGCTAATAATATGTAGACAGGACGACACCGATTGGTCAGATGATAAATAATTATTTGACCGGAGACAGCGAACAGGAAGATCATGTGATTCATCTATTGTTCAGTGCGAATCGATGGGAGGCAGCGTATGTTCCCACATTCGAACCTTCTCTCGGGCTCGCCGAAAACGGCTAACATCCTAACAGCGCATCTATACAAAAAGACATAGCCGCTGGAAAGACTGTCATCGTCGACCGCTACTACTACTCTGGCATCGTCTACTCCGCTGCAAAACGCAACCCAGCCTTATCGCTCCTCTGGGCACGCCATCCCGAAGTCGGACTACCGCGCCCTGACATCTGTATCTTCCTGGACATTTCGCCCGAGGATGCTGCGAAGCGAGGCGATTTTGGCAGCGAGAGGTATGAGAGTACTGAGATGCAGGACCGGGTTAGGGAGTTGTTTGGAGTGTTGAGGGAGGGCCAGGAGAAGGCCGACTTTGTACGGATTGACGCGGGAGGGGAGTTGGAGGAAGTGCATAGGCTGGTGAGGGAGGCGGTTGACAGGGTTTGTGAGGGTATAGACTTGACGGGGTTGCCTCTGCGGTTTGTACAGCCGTGATGACCTCACGGAGGGTGTGATAGGTGGCCCAGGTTGTGTCGTTTGAGTGCTGCTGGCTTCAAAGGGCTTGGATCGCCCTCGCTGTCATCGTCCGATGAAATGAGGACGTAACTGTCTCCTAGCATAGAGCCTGCGACGAATGGTTCGGGCGCCTCGACAGCTTCTTCGTTTCCGGAATCAAGCTCTCCGTCCAAACCCTCGTCTAACACGTCGTCGGCCTCCATCTCCTCGACGACACGCTTGCGCTTTTTCTTGAGGAGTTGAATGATTTCCTTCTCGCCTCTCTCGCGTAGTGTCAATTCCTGGACCAGAGTTCTCCACTCCAGCTTGGTTTGGCACAAAGGGCACTTGCCAGACTTTGGTATGAGTGCATTGGTCTCTGGGTTCTCTGCTAGAAAGCGTTTTGAAAGACATACAAGATGCGAAACTGACTCGCATTTTCCTTGAGGGCAGACTAGGACCATAGATTCTTTTGGATTGATGCGTGTTCGACACACTTCGCAATGAGGGGGTCTATCGCGATTGAGCAAGTCGAGACTCTTCTCATAGTGAGCCTTCACATCTTCATATGCAACATTTAACGCGTACAGTCCTCTTGCTGATTCCGGTAATTGTCCTTGCAACTTTGGTGGGAGACTTGGTTGACCGGCGATCGAATGCACCACAATCCTGGTATCTAGTGGCTTGCCGAGTGTCTTCTCAATCTGCTTATCAAAAACCCTCCATCGACCATGCACTCCCTCATCGAAGAACTCAAGTGTTAGTGGCCATCGTGAGAAACTCTGCGCGCGCAGTAGGAGATTCAAGTGTTTCAAGCCTTTTGGAAGAGTCACCGCAGGTCGTCTCTGTTTTGACGGACTCTTTACTTCTGCAGCAATGTGACGTGTCTTGTGTGCATGCTGCCATGCCCATCTAAGTAGTTCTCAGCGACCATGCAGGACGTAGACGTTCGACCGCACGTGACGGGGCAGTCAGAGCAGTATGTGTCTATTACTCACTCGAATTGCAGCGCTGCAATTTTGGAAGGGAATCCAGTGACGAGCAAGCACATCTCCCATGGTCTCTTTGTGCCATTACCGTTCTCCGACGCTGTGCGCCACGCTCCCCCCTTGGTGATGCCATTGTGCTGTTTAATGCGACGGACCGGGTTTGGCGTGGAGCCAATGTACAGACTGGCTTTTGGCTGGACGGTGGAGCGCAGCAGGTAGCAGCAGTAGAATGCAGGTATCGGTTTGTCCATCATGTTGGGTGTTGCTGCCGTGACACCTATATAGTTCGAGCAATGAAGTGTGGTAAATAATACACTTGATGCACAAGGCTACTAGCGCTGATGCATTGACCACCCTAGTCCGACACATGGAATCATGGACGGAAGAACGGCCTGAGCGCAGCCTGACCCACGCCGCCGCCGCCCCAAGAACTTAGAAAGACAATGGAATGTCGGACATTTGGCGTTGTATTATTTTGTAGGTAGAAGTAATATGGACGAGGTGAAGTACTTCTCCATCAGTGCTCCCAATATTTGCGCGTGCAAGATATAGAGAATAGACAGTGACAGCCATATAAGCACAGTATGAGGTGATGATCTTGGCCGCACAGAAACGAGGACGAGCGACTTTGGTGGTCTATCAGGTCAACGTTGTCTGATTGGGCCTAGAGATCGCTAGTGTAGACCTGTCGCTCGTACTTGCCCTTTGCACTTGCACGGCTTCTTCTACGTCCCATCCCATCCTCCTCATAACCTCATATCCCTTCCAACCCGCCTCCGCTGCCGCTGACATGCGACAAACCTCTCTCCGACGACATCACCGCCCTTTTCGCTCTCCGAATACTCCTTAATTGCTGCTGCCGGCACCCAATATCACGTCTTATTGCCTCCACCAGCAATTAGCCTGCATTGCCATATGCCCCCCGGTAATCTGCCTAAGATAATCCGTTCGACTTCCTTTTCCGTACAGTTCGTACTCGCCTAAGCTCGACAGAAGCTCATAACGACCTGTCGGCCGATCTGACGAAGCGTACACCATACAGAGGGTTGAGGAGGAATATCGAGGACGGATGGTTGTCCCTCCGGCTGTCCAGGGAGGCAATGCGCTCGCCCATAGCGCAACGGCCACCTTTCGAGTGAGCCCTGCGAACAGCGGGTCCGTTGCTGCTGCACAAGCACAGCAAGCACAACAAGCACAGAAGATTAGGATGGCAGCGAGCGCAACACCCACAAATCATGGCCCACAAACGAACGGACATGTCATACCTTTCAGTGCGCGCAAATCTGCTGCGTTGGACCTGTCTACCGTGGAGCGACGTGGAGAACCCTCAGCTGTTCCGAACATACGCAAAACGTCGCGGCCCTTTGGACTGGAAGAGGCGCCGACGTATTACCCTACGGAGAAAGAATGGGAGGATCCACTGGCATACGTTATGAGCGTAGCCCCAGAGGCGTCAAAGTATGGCATCATGAAAGTCATCCCTCCGGACACTTGGCTCCCAGATCTGGCGATTGATACTGAGGTACGTCATGATATATTCCACTCAGCACACATCTTACCTCGTAGTCTTGCGCGGCATTTTTGGCCACTTCACCTAGTCATAACCACCGGTTTTCAGTACGAAATTCTGACAAAGAAACAGAAATTCCACTTCAAAACTCGCCGACAAGCACTAAACTCTGTTGAGGGTGGTGGGTTTAACTGTCTTTCAATGTTGCGTTGAATTTGCTAATGAGTTTGCAGGAACACGTGCGAACGGTAACTATCTGGACCAACTTCAAAAATTCCACCGAAATCACGGGACAAACTTGAACCGCTTCCCTAGTGTAGACAAGCGTCCGCTTGACCTGTACAAGCTTAAAAAGGCCGTCGAATGTCGTGGCGGCTTCGAAAAGGTCTGTAAGGGCAAGAAATGGGCCGAGATTGGTCGCGACCTAGGCTACAGTGGCAAGATCATGTCATCCTTGTCAACCTCACTGAAAAACTCATACAGCAAATGGCTGCTCCCTTATGAAGAATGGCTGAAGCATTCGAAGCCTGGTGTCCAGAGACAGATGGAATTCGAGAATGGTGGTCCATACACACCTTCACCATCGCCCATGAAAAAGATGTCACAACATGCAACTCCTACGCCTGGGTTTCAGGACGACTCGCCAGCGATGAAGGCTTCATCGGCACTACAGACATCCCTACAGAATGCACATGTTCCAACGAGCGCTCCGGAACCACGCCTTTCGTCAGGTTTCACCGCAGTCAACGCTGGGGGATTCACGGCAGTGAACGCTCATGTCGCTCCTGTGAATGCCACAAGCTCTTTCTCGGCGATCAATTCTCCAGCAAACGGTCCTATTCGCGATAGCGAGCAATCTACGCCGATGCGATGTATCGAGAGCCCCAGGACATCCGCGAACACTCCCGATATGCGACCATCAGTATTTGGTACATCGACCCCCCTTTCGAACGGGCACGGTAACTCGAAACGGCCATTTTCCTCTATGGAAGACGACACCCTTGATCCCGACAGCGCAGATCGGCGGAGCAAGCGTATAAAAAAAGGTAAGCTGGTAATAATAAGGAGCTGTGCGCTCCTTAGAATTCCTGCTACCCGCTACCCTGATTTCACCCATGCAATGGAGCACCTTATGTTCTTGGTATCACAATTGCAGCTGCACCTCTCCGGCTTGGCACCGCTAACTTGTACATTATTAGAAGCTGCCCCTACCATAACTGGCTCTCACATGACGCAGCCTCGTACGCAAACGCCACGGTTTTTCAATCCGCGTGATCGATCAAAACACAGGCCAGGCGATGTAGGACCCCTTGGATTCGTATCACTCCAACATCAACACTCTGTAAAACAGATGCTAATTGTGCTGCAGAACTGCGAGATATGCGATATTAACGAGGTAGCTGGAGATATGGTTCTCTGTGATGACTGCGAGGGTGGCTATCACATCAAGTGTCTGGATCCTCCCCTATCTGCTGTGCCTACGACTGAGTCTTGGTTTTGCGCAAAATGCCTTGTGGGAACAGGCGAATTCGGTTTCGAAGACGGTGGCATATATTCACTGAAGCAATTTCAGGAAAAAGCCAGAAACTTCAAGGACAATCACTTCGCCTCGAAGCAGCATTTCGACCCTATACTTAACCAGAGGCGGCAGGTGTCAGAGGATGAAGTTGAACGGGAGTTCTGGAGACTTGTAGATGATGTCCAGGAGCAGATCGAGGTGGAATACGGTGCCGATATTGGGTCCGCAACACACGGAAGCGGTTTTCCAACTGTTGAAAAACATCCGCGAGACAAGTATGCAAGAGATCCTTGGAACTTGAATCGACTACCGTTTGTGCCGGATTCGCTCTTCAGGTATATCAAAAGTAATATCTCAGGCATGACACAGCCTTGGTTGTACGTTGGCATGGTCTTCTCCACATTCTGTTGGCATGCCGAAGATCACTACACATATTCTGCCAATTACCAGCACTTCGGTGCAACGAAGACTTGGTATGGCATTCCCGCTGATGACGCTGAAAAGTTCGAGGAGGCAATGAAAGCAGCTGTGCCGGAACTTTTCGAAAGTCAACCAGATTTACTTTTCCAGTTGGTCACCCTTCTGACGCCGGACCATCTCCGCAAAGCAGGTGTAAGAGTTTATGCACTCGACCAACGAGCTGGACAGCTCGTAATCACTTTCCCTCAAGCATATCACTCTGGGTTCAATCACGGGTTTAATATGAACGAAGCTGTCAATTTTGCTCCCTCTGATTGGGAGCCTTATGGCGAGGCTGGTGCTCTACGACTTCAAGACTTTCGCAGAGATGCATGTTTCTCCCATGACGAGCTTCTCATGAATGCCGCATCCCAAAAGGATATCACGATCAAAACAGCCAAGTGGCTGGCACCTGCTCTGCAAAGATTACTGGACCGTGAGCTCAAGATTCGCCACGATTTCACCACCAAACACCACGAGAAGTGGAACCAAAGAGTGGTTCACCTCAATGGTACTGGAGTCACCAGCAGCGTCGAAAGCGAACCCTGCCGAGTACCTGTCGAGCTTAGGGAGGACGAGGTCTTCGATGGGGAGAGCCCTTCTTGCGCGTATTGCCACACGTATACATATCTATCCCGCATGCACTGTCTAAGAAGCGAGAGTCTTAATAAGGACAAGAAAGACCCGGACTACAAGCCTACCTACGTCTGTCTCATACACGCGGGAGCATATGAATGTTGCGACATGAAAGAGGAGGAACGCTTCCTTGGTATTCAACATGCGATCATCCACCGCTCAACAAACGAATCGCTACAGTCCGTCGTGGATAAGGTCACAGAGAAGGCTCATTTGCCAGAAGCATGGGCCGAGAAACTCGACAAGTTTGTCGAAGATGAACCGAAACCCTCATTGAAGGGTCTGAAATCGCTACTTGCAGAAGGCGAGAAGATCCAATGGGACCTTGAACCGCGGCTTTCTGACTTACGCAGATCTGTCGATCGATATAACGAATGGGTCGAAGAAGCCATGGGATATATTACCCGGCGACAGCAAAACCGCCGCAAGAACGACCGCGTCTGGCGTAAAGGCAACTCCTCCAAAGCTGCCGAAGAAGAACGAGAACGCGAGCGCGACTATCGAAATATCAAAAACATTACCCGGCTTCTGGAGCAAGCAGAAGAACTCTCATTCGAGTGTCCTGAAATCACAACCCTCAAAGAGCGGGCAGAAAGTATCGCTGAGTTCCAAGTTAAGGCAAAGATTGCGCTGACTCAGCAGATGAGCCACAGCGGTGCACACTCACTCGATGAATTAGAAGAGCTCGTAGAGTTGGGAAGAGGCTTCAACGTCGATATCCCTGAGGTCGAAATGCTGGATAATCTTGTACAACAGTTCAAATGGGATAAAGAAGCACGAGAGAAGCATGAAATGCCCTTGACTATGCAGCAAGTCGTCGATTTTCTGGTAGCAGGTCGCGAACTTGGAATACCTGAGACCAACGAGCACTACAGCTTTTACGAAGAGCAAAAACGTCAAGGAGAAATGTGGAACGCAAAAGCTCTAGAGCTCATCGAAGTCGAAACTGTTCACTACCAACAACTAGACGCCCTTGCCAAGCAAGCAAGGAATATACCAGTCATCCCCGAGACGTTCAACAAAATCGATGCAATACTCAAGAAACAGCGCGAAGCACAGGAGCAGATCATTACGCTATACGAAAAAACAAGGAGTTCCGACGTCGCAGATCGTCCTACATATAAAGAGGTTTGCGAGGTCATGAGTGCTCTGAGTGAATTGAACAGCAAACCTCCCGGGACACTTGATTTGGAGAAGGAGCAGAAGCGCCACGAGGACTGGATGCGACGTGGCAAAAAGCTTTTCGGTAAAGCTAACGCGCCTTTGCACATCTTGCATTCCCACATGAAACTTGTTGAGGAGAAAAACCGAGCTTGCTTCGACATCGAAGACCAGCCTCGCGGCCCCGTTGAGCCTGCTTCCCGAGAGCAAACCCCTGTTGACGATCGAGACGAAGAAAGAGATATTCGAGATGTGTTCTGCATCTGTCGGAAGTCGGAAGCCGGAATGATGATCGAGTGTGAATTATGTCATGAATGGTGAGTCTGATCACTCCCAGACGATCGTGGATTCAGCTAACATATGCAAGGTATCATGGCAAGTGCCTCAAGATTGCACGAGGTAAGGTCAAAGAAGACGACAAGTATACTTGTCCCATCTGCGACCACCGTGTGAAGATTCCACGTGATGCTGCGCGGCCTAAGCTGGAGGATCTCCAGCAATGGCAAGACGACATAGAGAATCTTCCGTTCCAGCCTGACGAGGAAGAAACCTTGGAAGCAATCATACAGCACGGCCAGAACTTCCGAAATTACGTGCAGAGGTATACCAATCCTACGGCGTTTACCTGGGATGAAGGTACAATTTTGAGGTTTTACCTCAGGAAGCTCGAAGGCGCCGACATATTACTTGCTAGTGAGACAAATTACTTCCGCCAAGAGCTTCACAAGTTCTGTCCGGTTGCAGACAGGCCACCACCCATGATCGAAGTGTCTCTGTCTACTCGCAAACCACGACCAACAAAGCAGCAGAAGCTCATGGCCGAATATGGAGTCAACAGTCTTGAAGAATTGCCAGCACACGTCCGCCCCAAGGGTTCACAGCTCAAGCGAAAGCATAGTGATAGCTCAGGTTTTCGACAACATATGGAACCCGCAGAACCATCGACGACGCCTCCCGGCATGCCACCGTCAATGGAAGCCAACACAACCAGCTATTTTGAAAATAGCCACAACCCCGCGGCGTCATCCTTTCACAATTCCCCTATCTTCACCTCAGCCTCGACTTTTAACGTGACATCTCCCGGTCCTTTCTCTGCCTCCAGGACTCTCCAAGGCGAGTCTGCCACTATGTTTGACAGCCCAAACGTTCCGTTCGGCAGCTCTGGCTCCGGTGGCCTCGAGAATATCTTCAACGACGACACTCACACTCAGATCGCCGATTCCACCACGTTGCAATTCGGCAGCGAGATGGACACCGTGGAGCGGACCAACGATGTAGACGAGTTCCTAGCCACTGGTGGGGACTGAGCAAATCCAACCCTATCCCCTGATCTCCTTCCAACCCCGATCGCTGCTTTATGACTAATGCGCTTCTCTCTTCTTATAGTTGAACACGGCTATTATATGCCCTGACCCGATCAACCGCTGCTCCATTCTTTCGCTTCTATGTCATCATATATTACCAGCATGCAGCGCCATCACATGTAATGGCCGGCGCCAGCCAGGCGTATCAAACCTGCCAAGATTCTCACGATCGAGAGTGGTTCTCCATAAGGCGTTTTCTAGGGTTTCCTTTCTTTTTTTCCGCGAGATTACAACTCTGCTCTCTCTCGCTTTGTCTGTATCGGCGCCTGCTGCTTCTCGCATGGTTCGGCGTGGAACTCATTCACCACCCCGCTTTGCATGAAGTGTGGGCTGGGCGGCTTTTCGTGTGCTTCTATAGCTTGCTTTCCTTTCTAGTACTTCTGCTTTAATCGAGCGGGAGGCACTGTGTATGGGGTTTATCTTGAGAAGAAGAAAAGCATAGAAATGGTGCTACTTTCGCCTCTTTTGCTTGAACGGTGTGTGTATATTGTATTCTATTGTATGAGTCTGATGGCTGGTAATGCACGTTTTGATGTGAATAGGCAGGTTTGTCAAAAGTCGTGATCGGGTCGTGACCGGTTGTATGTATGAAATAGAGTTTTTTTTTCCCCATACATTTCAACAAACACGGGCGTCCTTTGCTGTCATACTACGTGCTGCTAAGCTAAATTATACTGATCGACACCACATTTCAATCATCCTTTTGAACATCTTATCGTTCTCGTTTGCAGATATGATGAGATGTATGGCCTTACATTCATTACAACATCCTCATACGTATCCTCATCCCAACTCCCTTCTCTGTCTGCTTCATAGCTCATCCTGCGTCTCTGCGACCGACACGGCAGACATGGCCGACATGGGCGAGATGCTGCCGACATCGATCAGCTTCTCCGTCGTCGAGCTCTTGAGTCGCTTGCGCATGGGCGTCTTGAACGGCAGCTCGGCGATCCGCGCACTGCGCTTCCGCGTCGGTGTCTGGGCAACCTCGACGGGATGAGGCGTCTGTGAGCTTCGCAGCGATCCGCGCCCTGCGAGTTGTCGCACTGGCAAGGGCTGCTTCATCATTGAAGCTGGTGGTGGTGGTGGCGGATGCATGGCGATATGTGCCTGGGCCGAGGCTTCTGCTCCTGCTTCTGCTGTTGTCGATATTGGCGCTACTGGTACCTCCTGTGAGGTGGTCTCGGTATCTTGGGTCTCGGGAGGATGAAGATGAGGAGGGATTGATGGCTCGAACAGCGCCTGTTGCGCGGCTTTCTGGTCCACGGGGAGCTGTGTTGTGAGAAACGAGGCTTGGGCCGCTGTGTTTGGGGGTGGAGGGAGCTGGGTGGTATCTGTGATTGTTGGTATTTCTGCGTTGTTGTTGTGTGGCGGCAGGAGGTCGTACTGGGGGCAGCATCAGTGACCGGCTTATCTCGTGAAGGTAGTAACGAAAATGTGTGAACTTACATAGTGTGCGATTTTGGCGAGCGGGTCGAAGTACTGCTTAAGCATCCGCGACCGGGCGGGTTCTCGATCCACAATCATCATCTTGGGTTTGCCTGTTGCTGCGAAGCCGCGAGAGTGGCTGCCTGGGGTGTCGATGAAATAGCCCTCTCTGCGTAGGTGTTTCGTGACATGGCCGGTGGTTTGTAGGTCACAGTCTGGCGTTGGTTGTCAGCGTGGAATCTAACACAAAATCACTTGCGCTCGGCGTGGGACTTACTAAGGAGCTCGGAGAAGCTTTTGTCGTTCTGGTAGCCGAATTCTTCGACTAGAGCGAGAGCGCGTCGGAGTAACGTTGTGTTTTTGAGATCTTGTAGTAGTGGTCCATCCCGGTCTTGAAGTAGGCATTGGTAGCAGACGTGGATCTTTGGTAATGTGGCGACGTCGCGGTGGCCGTAGCAAGATATGTGCTGCCATGTGTTGCAGAATTCGCAGTGTACCTGCGATTGTCAGCGATATGGTAATTCGGATTTCTTTTCACTGACCATCTCCCCTTGTTCCTTGTCCAGACCGCATTCGCAGCGAGCAACATCCTCACTCAAGTCTACCAGGGGAGATGAAGCGCTGTTCTGATGAGCCAATCGATCAGGCTGTGGCTTCTGTCGCTGCCTTAGAAAGTCCACTACGCCTTGTGATAGCTCATACTCAACTGCTTTCGCTATTGGAGCTGTATGAATCTTCCTGGGCGTGTTTGGAAGAGGTATATCGATTGGCTGTGTTTTATTAGTACCTTGGGACTGATCCACAGGATTAAGCTGTTCAATATATCGTCAGTGGACGAGCAGAGAGTCTTTAGTGATAGACCTACGATGCGATTGAAGTATCTCTTGGCCTCTAGAACACCTTGAGTGGCACTTTGCGTGTCCTCTTCTGGGATATGATCTTGTGCTCTGCCTAGATTTGGAAAAGAATCAGGAGCAACCTCGACTTGGTGTGGTCCTTCTGGATTCACTAGAGTGTCGGAGGTGACAACAGCAGACTCCGGGACGATCCGCTGATTCGCCTCCTCTGTGGATTGGTATAGACTGTCGACGAAAACAGTCGGTTCAGTCAGCGCGTCCGCACGAGAAACCTCGTAAGTATATGCTAGACCAGTCGGGATCTTGTCCTCCGTCGAATTCCGGTCTTCATTTTCAGGATCCGAGACTCGGATGAGGTGCTTTACTTTGAGGTTAAGCCTGGAAGCACAGAGTATCAATAATGTCCGTCCTAAGATTGTGTCTAAATGACTCACGAGTAAAAGCCCACATCCAGAGACCCACAGTTTGAAACTTGTAATTTCCATTGCTCGCTCTCAGGGAAGCTCACAGTGTCTTTCGGTGACGGAACAAAGCCCGGCGGCTCATACTCTGGATCGCACTGCTCATTGTAGAATAAGTGCATTGTCAAGAAGCGTTGGCTTGGAAGGTTCGGTAGGGTGCCACAAAGTGCGACAAGCTGGCGAATGAGCTGTTGTAAGCCAGTCCTGGCACTCTTCACTGTGACAGGCTGACCACGAGGTCCTTGAATCTCTAGGCCCGCGACGATCACTCCTTCGGAGGCAGACTCGATGTATTGAACCGTGAAGGTGTAAGTCTCGAGGGCCTTGGACGGATCATCTTGGTTTTCGAACACGTTCAATTGCATGCCTTTGAGGACACCAAGTCTCAGTGCATCAAACACGCCATGCTCCTGGTAGTAATGTGAATTAAAGCTTTGTATATGTGGAACATGAAGACCTACGAGCCACTCTAGAAGCTTATTCGCACCCTGATTTCGTCCTCGCTGTAAGACTTTCATGGAAGTTCCCCTGGAGCCTCTGCTTTTTGCCAGTACTGTCGGATCAGGTACAGAGCCGTCAGCAAAGGCACGATAGGAGAGGTATCTTGTGCGGTCATCGAATCGGTCATCAAAGCAGTCTTCAGTGAAGAAGCCGCGTAGATACGCAAGACAGCTGACCTAGAGGCGAAAATAAGTCAGCAACTGAATAGTAACTGAAGGAGCAAACATACTGAGCCAAGGAGTAGAGTCTGTACGGTCTCGGTGCTCTGCTCCTGTCGGATAATTTGCTCAACACTCGTCTGCGCTTCAGTATGAGTCTGAACAACAGGACGATTTCTCGTCACAGTGGTAGTGTTTGTCTGTTTAGGTGCTGCGTTCTTACGCTTAGAGTAAGTCTTCGGTGGCATGGCAAGATATGGAGAAAGGAGAAAAACAGAGATTTAAAAGTGAACAAGGTAGAAATTGCAGACGAACAATGTAGCACCTTCAGAGCTAGTGGAAGGAAGAGCTCACACGTAGCTCACACGTTATCACGTGAGGCTACTTTCGTATGCCTACGCTGGAAAGATTCGACCCGCATTGTACGAGACGATGCTCCAGGGATATGTACTCGAAACCGTCGTCTTGAAAGTTCGAATGTCCTGCTTGACACTATTGTAGGTTAGTCTGTATATTCTTGTGCTATGCGTGCTCATGAGCTCCAAACATCGTACTGACTCCTGAGGCACATTACAGCCCATGCTAGCGATTGTGATACAGACATGTCGGGGCATACTTCAGAAGACACGTGTAAGTCTACTATGTGGCTGAAGATTTCAAAGAACTTCTCACCAGTGTCAGACTCCAAAAGACAACATCGTTGATACTATGCCAAGGCGCGAAGTGATTTTACATAAGCAAGCCAAGGTGGAGAGTTCCAACTCCGCTCCGCTCTACCTAAAATTGTGCTATCGAACGACGAGATACGACTCTGCGTCTCACCGTAGAAGTACTTCGATTGCATGGGTATCGCGGACCTACTGCTACCATGGCAGGCTACACATATTCCCCATTGCAAGACCCGAAGACGCAGATCAGGCTCCTCACATTGTTTCCTGGAGACTTCTCTGACCCAATCATCTTGAGTCTACATACTGTATCTCTGACATTGACGAATAAGAACCACTATGAAGCTCTTTCATACGTATGGGGGTCGTCCACAGAGACGAGGACAATCTTTCTGAGGCTGTCAGACGAGTCACAAGACTCAGCTGAACCCAACATGGATTCTGCACCCTTTGAAGCTACGCTAAACCTTGAATCGGCATTGAAGCACCTCAGACAGATGAAACAGCCACGGAAGCTATGGGTGGATGCTTTGTGTATCAATCAGAAGGACGATGTCGAGAAGGGTTATCAGGTAGCTATAATGGCTGATATTTATCGCGATGCGAAAGTTGTGCTCTGGCTTGGTCCTGAGGAAAATGACAGCAAACATGCGATGAGCCTGATGGCAAACATGGGAGAGCAGATCAAAGTAGACTGGCACACTTGTCTTCCTGAAGAGGACTCTTTGGCAAGAGTAAACCTCTCATGGACAGATGATAAGTCATCCGGCCCCCATTGTGAGCGGGACTTCCTCGCCATCCACCACTTACTGACTCGGCCGTATTTCAACCGGCTGTGGATAAGACAAGAAGTCTTTCTATCCGGTCCCCAGTCAATTTTAGTCTGTGGCCATGATGCATTGTCCTGGGACTGCTATGGCGCAGCAACGATCGTCATGAGGGTAAAGTTCAAGCACGCACTAGAGCAAGGTGAATTTTTTCCGGAAGCTTTACAAGATCCATGTTGGCAAAGTATCGCCATCTGCAACAGACTCGAGTATGATTCCATGGATTTGGCTTTGGAAGACGCTCAGACGGCTAATTGTTATGACCCACGAGATCGCATCTACGCCAACTTCTTCGCAAGTGCGGATCTGCGCAGGATCATCAATCCTGACTACACAAAGACTATGGAAGAGGTGTATATAGATGCTACTCGGCGTATGATAGCTCTATACGGCGATTTTAGAATACTGTCTCATTGTGATTCGAGATATCACCGATCCGGGCTGCCTAGCTGGGCTCGAAATTGGCAACATGGATATGGCGTACATTCAAGTAGGATTGGACAATGTCCAAATTGGGCCGGTGGAGTGACTCGAGCTGAGGCATGGTATGCGTCGGACCAAGAATGCTATGGTATGAGCACACATAGTGTTTTCGCAGAAACGGTATGTCATGTTTGGCCTGTGGTGAGGAACGACAGTCATTCGAGTGTCACCTTCTCAGGTCTACCATCGATTGGTTTTCTGTTATCAAAAGCCGCAGAGTCGGGTCGCTCGTACACTGTGGAACAATTATTGGTATCGCTTTGTTGTGTGCTTTTCAGCAACAAGTTCGGTGAGCGCTTTCAGCCACCGTTGTCACATTTCGCAAGCTTCACGGAGACCACAGAAGCTTTCGTACGATCCTGGTCGAAGAACCTTAACAAGCCGTTGGTCTTCAACGACACCTCGATTCCTGTCTTGGGAAGTATACCGCTTGTGTCCACTCGATGTTTGTTTATGAATTCGTCCGGTAATTTGGGTCTGGGGCCACTGGAGACTAAACAAGGCGATTCAGTAGCCGTGCTTGTCGGAGGGGCCACACCATTCGTCGTCAGACCTAGGAACCACTTCTGGATATTGATCGGAGAGTGTTTCGTTGACGGTTTAATGTACGGCGAGGTCCTCTTCGGACCCATTCCTTCCTCAATTGAGCCTGTACTGACAGGTAACACATTTCAGAACCCTTCGTACAGAGACATGATTACAGGAAGGATAGTGGAAGATCCTAGAGTATCCATGCTGTTAGAAAAGCTGCCCGTCGAAGAGAGAAAACAAATAGAAGGGCAGAAGCTCTCCGCAGATGTCCTGAAAAGGATGGGCGTTCAGTTACAGAAGATCACATTAGCGTGAAGTCCTTTCGAAAATGAAATGGGCTCTCTGCTTTTTAGCATCAAGGATCCGGGATTCTACCATCTTGATATGATAGAAACTTGCAGTCTGAATACTCGTTGTTATTCCATGAATCAACCATAACCAACGCCGCGCAATGCCTAGATATAGCCTTATATCCTATCCAAAGGTAGAGCAAGTACTCTATTCCTCGTCAGTATCGACCATCATACTTTCCCCACCCATCATACTTTCCCCACCCATCATGCTTGTAGAATCCCCAAAGTCCGTCCGTGACTGGCGGCGGTCTCGGAAGCCTATGCTGCTAGTTGAATCGCGGGGGGCTTTACCCTTCACTTTCCTCCGCCTCTGTAAATCAAGTTTCCGCTGGCCTAGTCGCTGCTCATATGCTTCCTCTTCAGATTCGCCCATGATGGACGATTGCTCATTAGCTTCTAGAGCCTTACTTAGAAGCTCTGTCGCAATGGGATCCTGTGGACTAATCGCGAGTGCTTCATGAAATGCGATGACAGCTTCCCAGGGCTCGTTCATCTCTAAGAGAACAAGACCTTTCGCACAGAAAACACCTGCATCTTTCCCGCCTTGTCGTAGCACCTCTTCAAACTGAATGAGAGCTTCGTTGAGTTCGCCTAGTCGCCGGTATGCGTGTCCAAGGTTCGCTCGAGTCGCCACCCATGCGCGAGGATCAGAGTCTATGTCTGCTGCTGTCGTTAAAGCCAGCGTGAATATTTGAACGGCCTCTGCTAGATGTTCTTTGTGATAGAATACCACACCCATCTCATTCAGCAAAAGTGGATCGGTCTTACAAAGACTATAGGCAGTGTTGAGATATTCATGGGCGAGAGGCATGTTATTAAGCTGGAGATTTTGCATTCCAAGATACAGTTGAGGAAGGTGGGTGCCCTGGAACAATCTCGCAGCAGTCGAGTAGGCTGATATAGCCTGGTCGTGTTCTCCCTCAGCTGCGAATGTGTGCGCAAATCCAATCCAAGCCGGCCCAAAATGAGGATCCATCATTGACGCCTTCGAGAAGAAGCGTCGCGCCTCTGCAATGCGATTAATTGTAAGGTAGTAAACTCCAACCGCAAGCCAAGCGCATGGCTCTTCTGGGTGGTTATCTGCCAGATCGTGAGACAGTAGAAACAGTGTGTTCTTTTCGTTCAATTCGTGCAAACATGCCAGATGTACGGGGTAAGTCTTGAAGTTATAGCGGTCCCGTTCGAGAATCACCTCTGTAAGAGCCAGCGCATCCTTGAAACGACATTGTGTAAAGAGTAGCTCTGCCTTAGCGAGCAAGATATCCGGATTGGCAGACAGATTATAGTGCGTGGACAAAGTTTCGGTCGCAGCCGAGAAGTCATCTGCATGCTCGTATTTCGACAGCCTTGTCGTGTATAACATCTTGGTGAACTCTGCAGCTTCTTGCGACACAGAAGCACTATCTCCTACAACGGCCTCGAAGTTCAGTGATTCCAAAAACTTCCATTCTTCGTCTGGGGACATCAGTGAGTTCTTCATCAACTGATCGAAAGCTTCAAAACACTGAACATCTATGCGGACAGCATCCTTGTAACATTCCTTCGCTCGGTCGAAGGCGTTCTGCTTCGCATAGCAGACTCCTCTAAGATAACACATCGCCGCTTCGAAGCGTATTTTGGTCATATCCTCCTTGTCCCTGTCTTCACTTCGATCGATTCGATCGGGGAGCCGTGAGGCGTATTTGTGACCTTTAGAAAGCATAGACCTCGCGTTGCCGTCAACATGCTGCAACTTCCGGCGTGCGCTATCTGGCGTCTTGATAAGATGTGTAGGATTCTTCTCGCCCAGTATGGCCAAAGCATCCTCGAATTTACCCTGCTTGACGTGGCAATGGGCTGCTAGGTATTGACATGAAGGGTTGCTGGTGATGAGATTGCCCCGAGAGAGGAAGTTTTGAGCCCTTGTATAGTTCCCGGTCTGAAAATGTACTTGCGCAAGCCAGAAAGCATCGGTGTCGTTGTCTATAGGCTTTGTCAGTCAGTTGGTGAGGCAGCGACGTGCTTGTGGTATATGTACTGGTCAATGCAAGGAGTTTGTCGCCAATAAATATGGCAGACTCGTATTGATGCTTGTCGAGAGCATCTTTCCTCCAGTCTCGCAAGAACCTCTCCATTCTCATACTCCGGAATTTGGGCACTTAAAAGGTCAAGTAGAAAGACGAAGGTATTGGAAGAGGAATTTGGAGAAATTCCAGGCCATCACTGTGGTTCTAGTGCGGCCAGGTCATGGTATAGAAGCGATAAGTGACCTAGACCGTAAAGAGCGACGTTGTTAGTACATCAATGATGGCGCATCGTTCTTGAGACATGTAAACAGACAGGATGGGCGCACGCGATTTGACGTGTGTGCTAGCGTACTAAGTGTGGCGCGCCAGAGTGGCGGCGGGGCAGGGATGCACTCGGGATACATGGGATCTGATGCTACCTACTAATTAGGCTTACACTTCAAAGTTCGCCTTCTCAACTTCTTAACTTCCACCACACCCTCGCCACTATTACCTCCAGCACTCCTAAACACAAAAAAAAGAACATTCCGCCCATTAGCATTTATCATGTCGGAACGTAAGGTGCTCTCTAAGTACTACCCTCCAGATTTCGATCCTTCTCAAATCACGCGGTCGAAGAAACCTAAGGATGCTGGCCCAAAAGTACAAACTGTACGCCTCATGGCCCCATTCTCCATGAAATGTACATCTTGCGGCGAATTTATCTACAAAGGTCGAAAGTTCAACGCGCGGAAAGAGACCACAGACGAGAAATACTATGCCATTACTATATTTCGTTTCTATATCCGATGTACAAGATGTAGCTCCGAGATCACATTCAAAACAGACCCCAAGAACATGGACTATACCTGCGAGAAGGGTGCTAAGAGGAACTTCGAGCCTTGGAGAGAGGCTAAACTCAATGAAGAGACCGAGGAAGAAAGGCTGGACCGTTTAGAGAGGGAAGAAGCCGAAAAAGATGCTATGGCAGAGCTGGAATTGAAGACCATCGATGCGAAGACTGAGATGGCTATCGCCGATGCGCTCGACGAGATTAGGACACGGAACGCGCGACTAGAGAGAGCAGACAAGGATGGAGAGGCCACGGTACAGCAAGATCCAGAGAGCGAGAAATTAGAAGCGCAAGAAAGGGAAGATGCAGAAATCGCACGGAGGGCATTCGAGAAGCGTATTGAAGAAGAAATATCGACCGAGGTCGGTGTCGGCGGAGCACATTCATCTACCACCACAGCTCAAGCAGACAGCGCTGCTATGCCACCGCCACCGCCGCCAACTTTCAAACGCGCTCCGAAGAAGAAGAAAGATTTCGGGGCCGCATTGGGCATCAAGCGCAAACCTGGGTTGGTCTAAGAGTTGAGATCCTTTATTTTATGTATATTAGCCAGCGCCTTGTTCAAGATACCATTTCCGTTTCAATGTTCCGACTCCAGAGTAACGGCCTCCGTTAGGAGTATAGCCATAAAGGATACAATAGATCAAGCAATTCCGAGAGAATCAGACGGTCGACCCAGTCAGTGCATGGCACCTCCTATAGGTCATCACGACCATCCAGTGTGAAACGGATGTTGATATGGCTACACTATTTCCACAAAAAAGTAGACCGGCGACCCTTCGGACCGGCTTACAGAAGTACCCGGGCGGAATAGCAATTGGCGTATATCTCGATAGCATTCAAGGCGAACACAACGTTAAGACTTCAAAAGCACCTACCAATATTATCCAATTTAGAACGAGCCTAAATCGAACAATATGCTAGTAAGACAATCCATTGCGACCTACTCACTATCGATCATCATAGCCTTAGCTGAAGCCTTCAACTACCAACATTCAGGGGTATCACAATCATCACTGCCGCAAATCTACCGCCACCTGCCCGAAATATTCACACATCCCCCTCTCGTCATTCGCCACTGTCCTCATCGTCGTTTTGTTCGTCTCGAACACTAATCTGCTGCCTTGTCCCCACTGCTCCCAAACTGGCGTACCCCGCGCCCTCTCACGATTCGGATCCAGATGTCGCACGAAACTGGTCCAGTATCCCTGCACCACCGGAATCACACCATCATTTACACCTCCTGGCAAATAACTCTGCGGCCAAAAGCTTTTCGTTCCTGCGGCCCCGGGTGACCATATAGCATTGATTTCAGCGGTGTGGAACACGCCTAGTCCACTGGCTTCACTGCGGGGATCTTTGACGGACCAGAGGTAGGTGTATACAGGTATGGAGTGCGAAGCATAGATGGAGGACAGAGTGAGTCCTGGGCAGAGGTAGCGGATGGAGCCATAGGCGTTGGCGCATTGGCGCCAGAAGTCTGTGGATTTTGGGAAGCGTTCAGGTGTCCGTGGGAAATACTTAGATACGGCGTCGGCGTGACTCGAGTTCAGATGAGGGAATTGATTGCTGAGCCATTTCGTGGACGTTTCCATGTTGGCGATATTGCGCGGGCAGAACGTCGTGCCTTCATTGAGGACATTGCTGGGCTTGTTAGATGACACTCCGGAGAAAGGTGAAAGGGTATACACACCCGTAGATAGCAGGGAGCTTCACAAAATTGCCATCCTGGAACTCCTTCATCGTCACCGCACGTACGAAATCGCTGTCGATGACTGGACTGTACATGAACAGTGGCTCCCAGTGCTTGCGTGGATAAGGGACGTTGACAGCAGCTTTCTGATATGAACCGATGTCCATACCGCGCAAGCACGCAAGCGTGTCAGACTTGCCCTTGCACCCACTATTTGCGACCAGCGCATCGTATTGATACTGCGATTCCTCGATCGTCAGCACAGGCCCAAACGACTGCGACTCTGCAGCCGTGCCATGGAACAACCCATCATCGCGCCCACCATACGCAGCAAGGTGTAATGTGATACTCGCGGCTCCAGCGCTATCGCCACCGAGAACGACATGCTTGGGATTGCCGCCAAACTGTACCGAGCATGTTAGCCCTGCCAAGTGTGCACGGATCGGATTCAAACAAATGTCAACACGAAACGGTGACATGCAAAGCGTTTCGAACTTCCAGCGCACGTACCTTTGCGATGTTGTCCTGGACCCACATCATGGCCTTCCTTTGATCCTTCAGCCCATTGTTCACACTGCCACGCATCTCCTTGCTTGCCAGAAATCCGAGCGATGCGACGCGGTAATTGAAAGTGACAACGAGCATCTGCTTGTCCGCGGCGAGTAGCAGCGCTGAGCCATTGTAATTTGCATTGGAGTCGGTGTTGAAGCCGCCGCCTGGGATGAAGAAATAGACGGGCAGTTGAGAGTCCGCGGTCGCACCTGTGGGCGCGTAGACGTTGATGAAAAGGCAATCCTCGGAAAGCGCGGGGGTGGGTGTTTGGGACAGGCCGATGCAACGGGCGCCGTGCTATTGACATGTAAACATCAGAGCATTTCTGGAGGAGAAATAAGATGATAAAGAACATACAACAGTTGCATTCTGGACATATTGCATACGTTCCGGATCCTGGGGTGGAGCAAAACGAAGGTTACCCGTTGGAGGAGCGGCGTAGCGCATTCCGAGCCATTGTGAGATCCCGTTTGAGAGGGCGTGGCCGTGATATGTCGCGTAGTCGAGGTGAACGGTTGTGCCTACGGCGTTGACGATGCTCTGCGCCAAGAAGGCGCTTATGAGGAGAAGACGCATCGCATCAAAGAGTAGTTGGGTGCAGAGCTTGACAACCGAGTGGATAGATGTGTATTCGAGGGATCATGGTGACATGGTGCGTACATTGGGTACTTATCTAGAGAGATGAAATTGTGAATGAGCTAAGGGAGGAAGTATGCTGGAAGCGGAGGAATGCTCGGTCATATAGCTATTGAGTCCCCAGAACACCGTTTCAATTGATGATAGCATAGCCAGCCCAGTGGACGGATTTAGCTTCAGAGACAGGGCGACCGGGGTGACGACGATGGACCGGGTCTAGAATTAGTAGTACATGGACCAGGGCTGATCTTGTTCAGTTGGTCAGACTGTCCCTCACGCCGTTCTCAGGTGTTCTTGCCTTCGTGAAGAAGGTGAAGTGCGAGTCAATTAGTCTTGGATCAATCACATCTGCATCGCGTCAGACATTATGTCAAACGAGAGCATTCCTTTGCATGCTCTGGTGTTAGCTGTCGTTAAGAAATGAGCAACGGTTGGTTCGCGCTAAACAACAACCCACCAACTAAGCTGGAGCCACCCGGAATATCATTACTGTGGTCAGTATGGTGGCATCAGGGTAAAAGGCTTGAGCTGAACATCACGATTCACTGCTGCTAGCTGTCATGTTCCGTTCAACAATTGCTCTTGATCTAGCTACATGCACGCCATCGCGGCATCCTGTAGTCGCCCTTATGTTTACCATGACGGTGTTCTGAAGTCTCCACTGACTTACACCTGCTCAAGCCCCTGTATCCATGTTGTTTCCCTTCTTTTAGCAAGTCTGTGCCAAGAAAGGACGCTCCCAGATCTTCGGACATTCTCCGTGTTAATGGCTGATGTTTAAGCTCAATGATCTGCATGGCGTCCGACGTCCTGGCTAAGCTTTGCCGCCTAATTGCTCGTACCCCAATGTCGGCCGAGGCGGAGATATGAATTTTATACGTCAACGCAATGCATGCAGCGTATGACGTGAACTTCGAAATGCGAGTGAAAGCGTGTAGTGGTACAATCCTGTGCCGTGACTGAACAGACATTTGTCGAGCTCACAGCAGTCCCTGCTTTTGCAGGTCATAATACACCTTTTCGGGCATAACATTGCCATCACCATCCTCCATTTGGACCACATTCTCGACAGTAGTCTTCTCCTGCTTCTTGTCCCTCTGCAGCTTGTCCCACAGATCAAGGGCTTCCTGGATGCCTGTTATCTCGCGGAACAGAGTTGTGTTAGTGATACCCAGAGCCTTCAAGCCCCATGTATGTCTGGCTTCGCTGAAATGCTTGTCGAAGGCTCGGCGCCCCATATAGACGAAGTTGCCGCATATCTCGCAGGGGAATTCGACTCCAAGCCCATGCAGCTTATACAGCCAGAATGGAATCGGCTTGCCATCCCACGCAAGCGGCAGCTTCAATGGGTTGTATATTTTCTCTTCGCCATCATCATCGGACCCTTCCTGGTCTTCCTGCCCGACTGGCTCTTGTGATTCAGCATACAGTGCTGCGAGCTCCTGCGCTCTCTCTCGATCTGTCATGCCTTGTTTACGCTCAACGTTTACTCGTGTATCGCCGCGCTCTGTCTGCATGGCCGCTGCGAGCTTCCTTATGCGAAACTCTCGATCGGCCACAGCGCGTTCTTTCACTTTAAGCACAGCTGCGTTGCTTTTCGATGAGCTCGTGCCGTTGGATGCACCACTCGTACCACCTTTCTTGCTCTCTGCGGCCCTTTTATGCTTTTTGCCATTCATGTGATTCTTGTAGACGTTCTCGTTCTTGAATTCGGCTTCACAATCTGCGCACCACACACCTTCACCTGTGCCTTCGGTTTTGAGTCCACGTTGGGTAGATTCAGTGGGTTCCTCTCGCCAGCCTGGCAACTCAGCCTTCTTCCACGATTCCTCGAACTCTTGATCGAAGCTCTGAAACAGCTTGCTTAGATCTTCCAGGGGCCTTGTCTTTCGCATAAACCCTTCCAAATATTGTGAGAGCGTGCCGAGATAACTGAAATACGCATCAGTCATTTTCTCTGGTCGTTTGATCGGGCATTGCGGTGGGTGGAAAGTATCAAAGATATCGAGGTATTGAAGGTAAGATGGTCGTCGGGCGCCCTTTACGCCAGGAAGGTTTAGGTACTCCTCGTGGAGCATAGTCAAGTCAAAGTAGCGACCATAACCTTCCTCGCCTGTAAACAATGATTCGACATCCACATGCATGGTCCCTGTGGCTTCATCTGGTCCACGCCGCCTGTACGAGCGTTCAAGGTTCTCTACCGGCTCATTGGGGTATTTGCGATGATACTCCTTGATAGAGTTATATTGTTTATTAAACGACTCGAAGACGTCCCCAGCAGACAGAGATTGTATCTCACGTGCCCGCGTACCCTCACTATCCTGATAGATGTCAAGTAGTCTGGTCGACTGCTCTTGTATGCGGTTCATGAAACCGTTGACTTGGTGGTCTCGTGCCAGTCTGTCTCGTATCTATCAGACGTTAGAAAATCATATCGTAAGTGCGCTTTGTTAAACAGACGTGCTTGGGTTCATCTCGCAGTCTTTCCGCTATCGCGTTCTCCAGTCTTTCGATGTCTTCATGAGCTAGTCTTTGATCCTCGAGGAGCATTTTGAGTAGATGCTGGGTTTTTACGGATCACGAGCAAAACCTTTATTGGTGCTATAGAGGATATCGTGTGGAAGAACTCAGGCTCAGACAGGTCAATACTATAGTTGCGATTTCGAGTTTCCCTGGTTCCGCCTGGATTCGAGGTAGACCCGAGGTTTAACCGGACTCGCGTCAGTAGCGCGTTGAGCTCCACGTCCCCGGTTCGGAGCTCAAGCTCGAAAACATTCAACCTGCCAGTGAGCGACTCTACACTCAACGATCCAGCCTCACAACATTCGGTGGCAGCCGCAACCTGAATGACTATGGCTGATCTACAAATTAAGGAAGCTACTTTGCGTGGCAGTCTTGGTCGCAGCTTTCCGGCTCAGCACGATCGCGCGGCCGTTGACCCTGTTCCAAACGGTAAAGAAACAGAACTCAAAACACTCATCAACAACGTACTTGAAAAATGCTCTTCAGCAAACATAACAGTAGTGTACCTAAAACCTATTTTTGATGCCGTTGCTAAAAGAGATACTATCTACAGAAATGCAAGACTTACGTTATCATATACGTTGTGCCGTCCGAAGAGCGCATTCAGAAGCTTGGTGCATACCTTGAGGCTTTGTCAAAATCACTACAAAGTCGCCCACAGAATCTAGCCGACAGGAGGAAGTGGATTGCAGACTACAGTGTAGGCCTCAGAAGACTGTTCATGCTATATCTGATTAGCGACATTCTTTATCACGTTCAAAAACTCAAAGGCAAGGAGGACTCGACGAATGCAATCAAAAGATTGGTCCTCAATATCGATGAAACCCTGATTCGAATACTTCAATTAGCCGCTGATCTCGATGTCTCTAAGACTGCAGATCGCCAGCTACATGCCAAACTGAAGGAAGTCATCAATCTCTGGAAAGAAAGAGCTGTCTTCACCGAAGCCTTCATTGACGACCTCTATCGCATTATCGAAGGTGGGGGCAAGCATGTCTCTTTATCTACCACAGGCAATTGTGATCGCCTGAGTTACGCTATTGCATCCAGAGAAGGACCCTACGATTTGCCAGCTTTGTACGGTGAAGCTAAAGGTCGATGGTACGACCAGCCAGTGGGTGTGATGATGTACAATCTCAGCCTTGAGCCAGGGAGATCGATTCGAAAGTCGAAGATGAAGCCCATGCCCATGACCAAAGGACGCGCATCTGCAGCTCTGGTCAGTGCCGTCGATGACTTCATAGCTGATCTCAAAGAAGATCGTAATGCCGCTGTGAACGAAGGTCGGATGCACAACATTGACCGACTTGGACAGATCATTGTCAAAGACAAAAAGAGTGGCAATCTGACTTTTGGCGATACCTATTATGGCTTCTCACGCGACTTCCTTGAGACGCTGAATGCGATCAAAGCGTACAAGAAGCAAAAGCCCAGCAGGTCAAGTGACCTCACGGGGTCTTTGAGCCTGGATGAAGTTGTGAAGAAGCGCGGTGGATCGTCTGGAGAGGGGAATGGGGCCCAGCCTCATTGGAAGAAGCTCCAATTCTGGTCAGCACAAAGGCCCACGCGGTCTACAACTCCTTCCAGGAGCCGATCTCAGACACCCAGAAGGTCGCAAGACCGTTATGCCCGCTCGCGGTCTCCCAGAGATCGCTACTGCCATTACAATCGCAGGTCCAGCTCGCGGGACCGCCGCAGAGACTCGCGTGAGCACGTCTCACGAAACAACCAACACCGCCCGGACCGCCGGTCCTCTCACGAACAAAGGAGCAGTCCTACAAATACTCCCCGCCGCCACCCACAATCCCAATGGCAGCAGTCTCCTTCTTCTTTCGCTCCGGGCCAGTATGGCCAACACATGCAGTTTCCCCCGCCGCCGCCCAATCTGCCCGTTGGCGCGCCCTGGCCTCCTCTCCCACCTCCACCTCCACCAATGGGCGGCTTCGTCCCGCCCGGTCATGCGCAGTTCCATGCGCAAGGCCAGCGGCCACCATTCCAGGTGCCGCAGGGGGGTGGTGGGCAGTTTGGCCGGGGTCGTGGTAACGGGTTCCATGGGAACCACAACGGCCAGTACAATACTGGCAACAGGAACTGGGGTGGGCCCAACCAGGGCAGGAGATACTAGATTGCGTGGGTGGGAGGAGGAGTGGGGGCTCCTGGAGTCCTCACAATTGTACAATAGCATAGGTATCAATGAGATACCCACAGCCTGCGATAAGGCAGGATAATAAATGACATGACCGTGATTGCTTTAAGTAAATGCATGATGTTTAGCACATGCGAGTTCGTGACATATACGTGATACATGCATAATCTAAGTTGCCATATATATTATGCCTACTATATTCATATATAAGTACAGGAATTCTATATTATCATTCTAGCGATAGCTATATATGCTAGTGTAATTACTATAGTATACAGGACATTAGTAACTGTTCTTCTTTATCTTTTAGTAGAGCCTTTTACATATTCTTTACATCTAGAAAGAAAATTTACTCTATCTAAAAAATTATATACTAGATCTATCGTATAGCTAAGCTTACATCCTTATATATTAATATTATATCTAATAGTATATATAGATTCTATAGTAATAGTCATGTTATATCTCTATAATATAAATGAAGCTTGTTACGCTTTTATGTCTTGAGTCATTTATATAAAATAATACTTAGTAGAGATTTAAATAGACTAGAAGTATTATTATATCATAGAAAGAAGCTAATATATTAGTTCTGTACAGCAATAGAGATAGTTATATCCTTAGTATGTAGACTATTATACAGATAGTTTTATGTGTATGTCATATAATCTAGATGGAGAGGGGAGAGTATAGTGGTTCTGTTAGGATTAGAGGGACTTAGAATTATAGATAAAGAGATATAAAGAGCACTATGTATAGATGGAAGTATAAGTAATAATCTAGAGATCATTGGATTATTTGGCTCTTTGCAGGTAGATGGGCTAGTTGGTTCTATGCATGTTGTATATATGGAGTGTTCAGGAACTCAAGAACCTGCCTTTTCTTTTATCTAATAGCACACGAATGGGTTTCACTTCAGTTAGCAACCACATATTGAGAGATATTGTAAGGCATATTCGTGTTCTACTCCCAACGATTAAAATACGAAAGAGTACAAACCTTCTACATTATGGTTCTTGTTATGAAGTAAAACCACTCAAAGGTATCATCGCTAAAAAGCAAGAGCACATCAACATCGCTTCTATGTTCAAACAACTCCCAAAAACACCCATGTCTCGAGCTCTCTCTAGACCTTCTCATTCTGCTCCGCCTCCAAAACTTTCGACAATTGCCCTGTACTTCTCCGATCCAATGTCGACTCGACGCCACTCTCACTATCCGGCTTTTGCAAGCTCCTCGTGGTACCCACACTCAACGTGCGAGCAAATGAGAAGAAGCCCTGCCTCAAGCCAAGCGGTCCACCCCTGCGCAGCGTCTTACTTGCCGCAGCAGAGTCCTCGTCGTCTGTCGCACGGAACCAACCCGTCATGCGCTTGATGCCTTTCCACATCTCCATGCCCAGCACGAAAACGAAAACGGCACCAATTGCCAGCGCCCATTCCCAGCTGATGCCCTTGTGCTTGAACACGACTGTGTTGAAGCCGGGAATGTAGATGCAGGGGAAAACGACACAAGCACCGACAACGACTGACCAAAACAAAAAGCGGTTCTCCCACATGTCCTTGAAGAACGGGAACTTGGACTCGGAGGAGGGGTCAAGGCGGAACATGGAACGGCGCAGACTCTTGATCTCCCATGCGCTAATCAGGATCAGCCAGGTCAGTTCGGCGAAGACGGCGGCGCGGGCGCGGAAGACAAGGTCGCAGCTGTCGTTGTAGGACTTGTTACAGTCCATGCCCAGATTGCCGTCACCGACGCCGTAGACAATGATGACGAAGGTCATAAGCGTGAGGGTGCCCATGAGCGTGCCATAGACGAGCATGTCGGCGATGATTTGCCAGGTGAAGACACCCTTACGCAGGTCGTGTGGCGGGCGGGTCATGATATTGTATGATGCCTTTTCTTTGCCTAAGCCAAAGGCGGGGAAGCCGGATGTAACCATGTTGATCCAGAGGATCTGGAGGGGCGAGAGAGGGAAGACGGAGAAACCATTCGAATCTTGAAAGCCAAGACCACAGATAAGGAGGACGACTTCTCCGACGTTAGAAGTGACGAGGTGGAGGACGAAGCGTTGGATATTGTCGAACATACGGCGACCTTCTTCGATAGCGCTAACGATACTTGCGAAGTTATCATCGGTTAGCACGATGTCTGATGCTCCTTTCGCGACGTCTGAGCCAGCCAAGCCCATTGCGATACCGACATCGGCAGCTTGTAGGGATGGTCCATCATTGACACCGTCTCCTGTCATAGCAGCGTAGCGACCACGACGATGGAGGGCAGCAATCATACGTGTCTTGGTATGGGGAGCGCAGCGGGCGATAACGAGAGGGAGCTCGGGAAGTCTATCGATTTCGTCGTCGCTCATTCCATCGAATTGAGCAGCAGTCTTTACGAGCGCGTCAGAAACGTCCTTTGGTAGAACCGAAGTATCCTTTGGGATAATGCCGACTTCTTTGGCGATCGCAGCAGCAGTACCAGGATGATCACCTGTAAGCATGTGGACACGAATACCAGCAGAAGTACAATCTTTGACAGCGTCCTTGGTCTCATTGCGTGGAGGATCATACAGACCAGCAAGACCCAGCAATGTGAGGTCTTTTTCAATCTCATTGCGCGATGTGTCAGACTTTGCGGTGATTTCATTGCCTGTCCACGTTTTGCGAGCGATTGCCAGAACTCGCAGACCTTGATCGGCTAGGAGGCCCATTTGCTCGAGGACGGATTCCTTGATGTCCTTGGTCAAGTCGTTTTCTTGCCCATCCACACCAACCTTGGTACAGAGATCAATGATGCGCTCGACGGCACCTTTCGAAAAGATTATTGTCTCTTTACTCTGGGGGCGCTGATATGCGACTGACATCCTCTTAACATTGCTGTCGAATGGATATTCGGCGAGTTGTTTCCATCCGTTGCCTTTCTCTAGATGGGATTTACCTTGGTCAAAACGGTGAGCAAAGACCTGGAGAGCAACTTCCGTTGGGTCACCAGTAGTCTGCCATTTATCCTCGTCATCATTAAGACGGACAGTTGCCAAGTTGCACAGAGCGGCTGATTGCAGAAAGGCCTCAAGCCCAGGTACCATTCCAGGATTCTCGGTCAACAAATCGTCTTCACTGTTAGTTGTAGTCTGTCTTGCAGGCCGCCGCTGGTCTCGATCGGTCTTTTCTGAAGGCTCTTGAAACTTGACGTTGACAATACTTCGCTGGCGGTCGAATCGCTCCTCTCGCTCGTGTCGCTCCGCCTCAAATTCAGCTTTCGTCTTGACTGGGCCCAAGCTTATATTGCCGTTCGTTGGATCGGCTGCATCTTCAGAATTGCTGACGGTGTAAATGCCTACGCCAGGAACCCATGCTTTGCGTGTCACCATTTGCCCTTGTGTGAGCGTGCCGGTCTTGTCACTGCAGATGTTCGTGATACCACCGAGGGCTTCAAGAGCACTGAGCTTCCGGGTCAAGACCTTTTTACGTCGCATGACTGACATGCCTGTGACGAAAGTGATGGTCAAAACAGCAATCAGTGATTCTGGAATAATAGCAATGCCTATATCATAATTAGTATATCGCTGACTGTGAGGGAAGTATAAGTATTACTGACCGGTCGATATGGCGTAGATCGCTACCTCATTGGTGACGTCGAAACGATTCGCACCAAAGACAACAATAGCAAGTATTAATGCACAACCGAATAATAAGTATGCAAGCTTCGAAAGTTTCCGCTGAAGCGGAGTGCCTACGGTAAGACCAAGGAATGCTCCAATGCCATCCCATGTTCGGAGAACAGCACCTTTAGCTGGCTGGAGACTTCCATGCTTCTTGCGTGACATGGATCGATTTGGCTTCCTCTTCTTGCCTTGCATCGATGCCGCAATTAAGCCGATCTCAGTGGTCATTCCAGTGAAGACGACAATACCACGAGCACGTCCTTTAGTGACAGTTGATGAAGAGTAAGCCATGTTTACACGATCACCGACGCCGACCTGAAGCTCATCTTCACCATCAAAGTCCTTGTCCGCATCCTTCGAGACTGGAATAGCCTATTTATATTAGATGATGCTAGGCCGAGGTAGATTAATCAATCGCTTACCTCTCCTGTAAGAATCTTCTCGTCGCATTCCAAGTTCATGACTTCAAACAGGCGAAGATCAGCTGGGACGGTATCACCAGTCTTAAGCTGTATGACATCACCAGGTACAACTTCTGCAGATGCGATAGCATCGACCTTACCATCCCTCAGAACCATTGCTGTTGGAGACGAGAGAGCTCGAAGGGAATCCATCTGCTGCTCTGCTCTGAACTCCTGAACGAAGCCGATGACTACATTGATGATAATGACTGCTGTGATGACACCGCCTTCGACCCAGTCCTGGACACCATAGGACAAAGCCATGGCGAAAATAAGCACCTGGAGGGAATTTAGCTCGCGTATTGGACGGAAATCAACCATGACCCATACCAAAACCATTGCATTTGCACATTGTTTTAGTAGAACTGTATACCATCTGACGCCCCCTTGCCCGTCAAGTTTGTTCTCCCCGAACTTGGACCGATTATCGTTGACTTGGGATGAGTTTAAGCCAGTGTCGGTGTTTAGCCCAAACTGTGAAGTTATCTGGTCAACAGATAGTTTGAATGGATGCTTCTCATAACAGGAGCGAGTTTCAGAGTCCTTGGAGGAGCTCATCTCGGAAGTAAGTGTGTGTATCTTGTGGAATTTGAGAATAAAATAATTTCGATATTAGATGTGGTAAAATACTGGAGATGACAGATAAGTGGTAGTCTATCATTGACCGAACCACGGTTGATCTGAGGGGTAATTTGATAGTGTTCTAAAAGTCCAAAAGTGACAGGCATGTGCCTTTCTTATAGATGGACGTCCCCAATGGATTTTCATCTTCTCGCCCAGCGATATCCTACAATACGTCAGTGGACTCAATAGCTGCCAAGAGACCAACCAGGCTCTTGGGTGCTTGGCGATGGAGTGAAATAGTAGCCATGCCGTACTTGGTGTTGGCAAGGCGTGCTTGCCAGTAGTGGTCGAGGACATGATCAAGACACAACTCTTCGGTTCCGGACGTTTGATGGCTTGCCAGGCTTGGCTTCCAGGCTTCAGGCGGAGGTGGCGGAGGTCTTGGGAAGAGATATTGGAAGTCAATTCGCTCGGAGGCCCAGCCCTTATCCTAATCCTAGCCACTCCGCCTGTCCCGCTCACCTTTTCCTGCTCCGCCGAATGCACTATAAGTCTTAGCGACATGGAACCAAACCCGATTACCCGAGCTATCCTCGAGCGTATACGCTATTGTCTACCTGTCGTCATGAGGCGGCTTCGACCTTAAGACTAAGGGAACGTTCCGAACGCGGACGACTATGTGGCATAGCACAGCAAGCAGAATGTGGTATCACGTCTGTCATAGCGCTGGATGAGGCGAATGAAGCTTACACTGTTCACTATCAATTCGTTGTGTGGTGCGAGTGATATATCAAGATGACTTTATCAAGACGGCACGGATAAGTTGTCCCGCGATTATGCCTGAATGCCATGCGAACGCCTAGCCCGATGCTTGCCATGCACGTCGTGTTTTCTCCCAGGATGCCGCGAGTTGTGGGGACCCCGCCTCCGACCACTGTGGTGCCAAGGGTTTGCCAAGCCCGCGGAGCTCGTCATAAGAGCGAGTTTGCCTCGCGAAGGCATCGACAACCGGTCCGGCATATCTACTCATGACTCTTCGGCCGATGGGTTGTTCTAGTTTCTGCGTTTTGCCAAGATTGCCACCATCAACGCAATGAACCCTAGACTCGGTATCTCAATATGGAACATTAAGGACGGCAGAAATCAGCCCGCTGCTTCCTTGATTTGACCTCCTGCCTGCGGAGCCTCATCGATGAACTGGGGTGGTCTTGCTTCGTCCATCATGAAGGCGGGCAAGCCTTCTGACTCCGCTCCCAAGCCTTCAAATTCCACCTCCTCTCCGAGGGCTTCAAGCTCGGCATCTAGTTCTGCCTCGTCAACATCCTCAGGTACATCGTAACTTCGGCTAATGCTCTCTTGTATCTCATTCCCGATGTCCATCAGATCCGCCATCTCATCTTGAAGCTTTTCGATTTTGTCTATGTTTACCTTGCCGTACTGCTTCCGAAGCTCCTTGGTCGTGGTTTTCATGGCATCTACCGTAGTCATAGTGTTCTTGAGGTTGTCCTGCATCATGCCTGCTTGTTCCATGTTCCACGATTGTTGCTGAAGTTGGTCACGTTGTGCTTCGTACATCTTGCGCTGTTGGAGCACCTTCAAGGCCTTTTGTTTGATCGCCGTCTTGCCGGGTCCATCTCGCATCTTTGCCAGACGTGACTGATGTGTTGAAAGCTCTGCATTCAGTTTTGCTATCTTAACATCGACGGTCTCGATCCGACTATCGACCTAAGACTTGTCAGCTCAATGTGCGTCTTGGAAACATGCGACTGACATTGGAAATGGCACCACTGAGAGTGGGCTTTGGGGTGTTGCTCTTCGCACCAAACAAGCGATTCATGTTTGCATTAACAACTTGTAGCGTGTCAAGCAGTTCAACGTCGATTACGGAAGTTGATCATGTATCATGGGCTTGACGTACGTAACGCCGGGGCCTGGTAGTGTTGATGTTGAATCCTCACCAAAGCCCCGCGCCGGTAGGTGGCGCTAAGAATCGCTGCAATCCCGTGATACGAATTCGGACACCTACATTCACCCTACACCTCTTGCCAATTTACTTGTAGTGCAGTCTCATGACGGTCTGATCGACTCACTTAACACTCTCTTAGATAGACAGTAAGTCCCGCTGTAGTCAATACGTGGTAGCAATTGAAGATTGTTCTTGCGGGGGAAGCTCAAGCTAGAAGCTGCCGAAGCGCGTGCTCAGAGATAGATGGATACCTGATCCCACTTTCAATCGAGTTGGCCTGCCCAAATCACACGTCTGTATTCCGTGACTCGAGCTTCCGGACGACATTCCCTCTCCAACATCACAAACGTTTTCTAATTTGTCGTGTCGCTGGTTTGCATATTCGTTTCTGCTTGTAACTTGCCATTCCCTTTCTACGGAACCCCTGCATCTACAGTTTGGCGTGGGATTTGCGTTCTCCGACTGTCCCTTCTCCCGATCGGTGTACCACCATTGCAGTCACTCAACCTCGTGAACATCGGCGACTCGATCGAAGTAGCAACCGTATATACTACGCAACCCATTCACACAAGCTCATTTCAGAGCTTCCGGGTGCTACCACTCACGCTATACAACTGCATCTATACGAAACTAGTCGCATCGAGGGAGAGCTCGTGTGAGTTGGCCGAGACCCCCTCCATAACAGACAGCCTTGACAGAATTATGAACCATACGATCTCTCTTTCGACGAAGCCTAATCACTTGACGTGCCAGGTTCAACGTTTCCAGATTTTCTCCTGAGCCAACCCTCGATCACTGCCCCGCAATCGCCCTATCATACACCTCATCAATCGTGGCTATTTGTCTGTCTGATCTGTTTGAAAGTATTGATTTTCTCAACATTTGTGAGTCAGAACCATGCTTCATTTTCGTATGCAGGACGGGAGCTTACTTCTCGCGACTGGTATCTGAGCTGGATCAGGGGCCTTGCCGGTTCGTGCGCTCGACACAAGCTGATATCCACTACTAGTACCAAGTCACGAATACGACCAGCCTGTTCATTTCTCAATCGCTTGCATGAAAGCCAAAATTGGGCTGAAGCTACCTCATTCCCCAACGCCTCCATCGATATCTGCGTAGCTTTAGCGCTGACTGAGCGTAACGTCTCGCGATGTTTTGGCGCTTCGGAAACTATGCGAACATATCCACCCTCGATACTATTCTGGACAAGCCAGATCTGACGGTAGAAGAACTGCTGGACGAGTCAGACTTGATACAAGAATTAAAGCAGCAAAATACAAAACTCATTGAGTACCTGCGAGACAGTAATGTTTTGGAGCGGCTGTTGCGATATGTCATTGCGCCAAAGGAATCGCTGTCCCCAGAAGAAGAGCCAGAAGAAGGAGGGAAGACGGAAAGGCGTGATTCTCGCGAGGGCTTCTTCTCAAGAGTGCGCGCTAAATCGAGGTCCATGTCGAACTCCAAGTCAGAAACACCCGATGAAGGGGATAGTAAAGAAGAGAAACAGCGCATGAAATACGCGTATGTGGCATGTGAAATTCTGTCCTGCGAAATCTATTCGATTTCGCAAGCGCTTATAGAGGATAATCGCGATGCTCTACGCACGTTCTGGCAATATGTCAAGCAACCTCCCCAACTTGATCCAGTACAAGCTGGATATTTCACGAAAGTGAACGAGGCACTTCTGGATAGAGATACTGGACAGATGCTTGCTTTCCTAAAGAGCATTGCTAGAGTTGTGCCGGACATGTTACAACATGTGGACTGTCCTATGATCATGGACCTCTTACTTAAGATAATCAGCCTGGAAAAGAATGAGGGAGGCGAGGGTATCGTTGATGTTTGTATTCCGCCCGCATCTAGACAGTTCATACTGACACTTGCAAGTGGCTCCAAACCCAGGATCTCGTCCCTATTTTGCTGTCATATTTATCGCCTGAATATACGGCCTCCATGCAGACTTCAGCTGGCGACTTCTTGAAAGCAATCATCACGATATCCGCCAATGCTACGACGCAAGATCAGTCTGTTATTGGTCCTAATGAACTCACTCGACAACTTGTTTCCGAAAACTGCGTCAAGTCCATGATTACTGATATGCTTAATGGTGGGAATCCGCTAACAGTAGGTGTTGGAATTGTAATCGAGGTCATCCGAAAGAACAATTCAGATTATGATCTTGAGAACCAGACTGGTCCCGTTCCAAAGTCATCCGACCCAATATATCTCGGTACCCTTCTCAGGGAGTTCGCGATGCATATACCCAAATTCATGGATCTCATTAACAATTCACACAACATCACTACGACAAACAGCGACGGCACTAAAACAGTTAAGAGGCGAGAGATAAAAGCGGCCTTTGGCGAGAAAATAGAACCCCTAGGCTTTGATCGGTTCAAAACCTGTGAATTGATGGCTGAGCTGTTGCACTGTAGCAACATGGCCTTGTTGAATGAAAGAGGTGCCGAGGATGATGTTAGAAAGAGAGATTCGGAGCGTGACCTTTTGAAGGCAGAAGGCAAGCTACAACCCGCCCGAAGTCCTACTGTAAACGACTTCGGTACCAGCGTCGACAGCCATGGGTTCCATCATGCTAGGGCTCCCTCAAGCGAGTCCCCAGAAGAGATAAAAAAACTGGAAGTACAGAACAATACAGAAGAAGACGAATTCGAAAAGGTCACGTCATCCGAGGCAGTATCGGACGAGATGAAGGATGATCTAGATGATAGAAAAGACATCGGCGAGCCCCTTGAACGATCACCAAAGACACATCCACGTGGAACTCAACAAAATTCAGACCTACCAGAACCCAAAGACAAACTGCTTTCACTCAGAGAAGATGAGAATACAAATGCTGAGTCTCCTACTGCGGCCGGCTTGACTGCCAAAGTCGAAGAACTAGAGATCGAGAACGAAAATAAAGACGACGGATCATCCTCAGTTAAGCCACCTGCCTCATTACTCACGAAGCATTTGAATGAGGAGAGTGGAAATGAGCACGATGCTACGCATCCTGAAGACAAGCCTGCACCTCTGTTTTCAGGGCCTCGATCGCATGGACCAGCCGACTCCACGGATAAGCCGTCTCTCAATATCACCAGCCCAACGATACCAGAAAGTGAGGCATCCGAGATAACACCAATAGAAGATGCCAGCGAGTCTCAGTCTGTCATGCTCTCAGAGCAATGTGCTGGCCAGGCACCATTGTACGAAGTGGACATTGATGGATCTCCTGTCGTTGGAGATCTCTTGAAGATGAAATTCGTCGAGAACAAGGTAGTTCCGACCATACTCGTGAGTCGATAATATGTCTAAAGAGTACGTATGATTGCTGAATTATCCAGGATTTTTTCTTCAGGTTTCCATGGAACAATTTCTTACATAACGTTGTATACGATGTTGTACAGCAAGTTTTCAATGGTCCAATGGAACGCGGCTACAACCGTAGTCTTGCTATCGACCTGTTCGAGACTGGGCGCATCACAGAACGGATCATTGAGGGCCAGGAAGCGTCCGACAAATCTCAGACAGAAACGAATATGCGCCTCGGCTACATGGGTCATTTAACGTTGATCGCTGAAGAGGTCCTCAAATTTACCGAGAGACACCCAGCAGAGCTCCTATCCCAAGCTGTGCTGGATAGAGTCACGAGCCAGACCTGGAACGATTATGTGGAGAATACTTTGGCCGATACGCGGGAACGCGACAACGCTATACTTGGCGGTGTCAGGCCCGACATAAACGTAGGCCCTCGTCAAGCCGTGTTGAATGCTGTCAATGCAGCTTCAAGCTTCGGCGGAAATAACACATCACTGGCAAGTGCAGGCTTAGGCGGAAGCGGTTCAATAGGACTCGACAGCATGGACCTTGGCAATACTGGTGCAGGCGGATACTCCAGCTTTGGAGGAGGCCTTCTTAGTGGTTTCAACAACTCAAGCGATGAAGAGGACGAGGAGATGGAAGAAGGCGACACCACGGAAGGAAGAGAGCGAAATACAGTCCAACTGAGTGACTCGGACCAAGTGGGTGAACTCTCATTCGAAGACGTTGAGATGGAATACCGATGATGCGAAAGTGTACGCTCCTGGGATTTCTTCAACTTGTCAGTCCTATTGAAGCGCTTTTGTCATTTTCACTGTGTCTCACACCTCATGTTGCTTTTGAGACTTGCGGCACATTGCTCACGTATTCTTATGATTTCACGTACAAACTATCGCATGGAGTCTCGAGATATGGGTGCAGCAAGAGCTATGGCTCACCGCGCTTTCTCTCGGCATTGTCGAAAAGAACGCTGTGAGCGGGCGTGATAGTTTTGTTAGCAATCGAAACTATCAAGGCTACAGTCAATTGTGAGGCATGCATGGATCATCTGAACTGCGCCATTCAACTCGGTCATATTTCTCTCTTTCCATGCGCCACCGCATGCACTACTATCGTCTTATTCTTGCTGTGCGCTTGTTTTGTCTTACAGGTCGGCTGACAGAATTGAAAAATAGATTGTCCGCTCCCCCGACCCGGCTGAACCGCTTGGGTTCGCATCAACCTCTGAGGCGCCAGAGTCTTCTGCCATTCCTGCACCACTTGCGGTACCCCCATCACGTGCTCGTCGCCAATTTGCAGCACGGCTTGCCCAGCGCAAAGCGCAGATGGAAGCCGAGAATAAAGTAGACGACGAGGATGACGAAAGGGACAATGACGATGATGATGATAGCGATGATGCGCCACTCGAGCAGAAATTCATCACTAAACCTAAGATGAGTGTGGGCTCGAGCAGAGGACCGGAGAGATTCAGCGGTTTATTCGGCAGTGACGATGACTCTAGCGATGAGGAGTACCAAAGAGGGTGATCCGGCACCTAGCACGAGACCTGAGTGGTTTATTGTCTCTTGGGTAGCCAGTGGCATGTTGGCTGAACGAAGAGTGTATGATACACATGATGGCTTCGCATACGAGTGGTTCGGCCATGAGAGAAACAGAAACTATGGCGGAAGTTTAAGTTCCTGCTTCACATTCACATTTCTGGCACGGGAAATTCTAGATACCAATATCATAGATAGAACGAAAGTAATGCCTACGCGAATCTATTTACTACCACGGTGAATTACCTTCGACGGAAAATTGGGCTCAGACAGGGCTGTGACTGAACCCGGAGTTAAGGTTCGGACGCTCTTCGGCAGACCAAAAGTCGAAACACCAGCAGCACAACTAATACTCCAGCTCAACGCACAACATCCCCGAAAGCTTGGCTTTTTCAAGACTACTGGATCGCACCCGCATCATAGAGTCCATAATCAGTAAACATGTAATCTGAAGGAAGTGGAGAGTACTACACTAATACGACGACAGTGTCTGGTTCAGTGTCTTCTGAGTCTTCTGACTCGGACTCCTTCTCCACTTCAGATTCAGATTCATCCAACGACGAACCGCAAGCCGACCGACCACAAACCGAGAACAACGAAAGCCCCAATACACTCCCAGCCCCTGAAAATGCCACTGATAATGCACCTCAAGACAGCGAAACTGTCTCGTCAGGGTCGTCGAAGAAGCCTGCAGCGCCCACGCCTCTGTTCCCAAACGCCGCAGTAGTTGACAAGCGCAACGCAAGCTTTCGCGTCCCCGACGAAACCCGTATTGAAATCGTACGCTGCTTGATAATCGGCTGGAAGCCCGTCGAAATCGCGCCTCGCCTCAACGTTAGCTTACACAGCGTCTACAATATTAAGAACAACTTGATGAAATATGGCTCCTCGCTCAAAAGCCCGGAGGGGCACCGCGCAGGCCGCAGACCAAAGATGACACGTGATGACGAGAAAGCACTTTTGTCATGGCTTGTCAAGAATGGCTGGAAAGAGCAGAGCGATATGATTGAATGGCTGACGAAGGAAAGGGGAGTGACCATGCAGAGGAGCTCTTTATCAAGAATATTGCGAAAGAAGGGCTGGAACGAGAATACTATCAAGAGGATGGGCGGAAAGGGATTGGAGGTCAAGAAGGACAGAAAGAGGAGAGGACCAGGGAAGAAGACGTTGATGCGGAACTCGTTGGCGGGAGAGGGAGTTGGTGCAGCGAACTCCCAACAACAACAACAACAGCAACAACAGCAGCAGCAGCAAACAGATCAGCCGCCTCAGCAATTGTCACCGCAAAATCAGCCCCATTCGCAGCTGTATCCCCCAAATACTGTTCCGAACGTGAATGTCCCTACGTCATCGAGTACTCCCATGGGCCTACCGATTGATCCTCAATTGAATTCACGTGTGACTCAGGGTCAATTTGGGTTGTACGACCTGAATGGGAACCAGGTTGGAACGAGTCATCGGTGACCGTCGTATCTCGTTGCTAAATGTAGTCAATTTGACCTATCGCAACTAGCTAGTACAGTTCGCGAGAACAAGACTCTTTCATCATGCTCAATCTCAAGAGACCTGCCAGGATGACTGCACCTATGTAAACCCTGGACCCGCCTGAAACGCTGTCTTTTCTTGGAGAAATCACAAAAATTTCTGTTTGAACATCTAGCAGCCACGAATACTGGGGCACTTGCAGCAAGATACAAGAGCAGCCACGTCCTATAGTAGCTATGCGACACCAGGCCGACGTGCAAAGTCTCGCTACATCTACACGATTGTCGGTCAGCGCCTATAACATGTCGTTACATGTGACCATGTCAACGACCTTGACAATCACAAGGCACCACACCGACCATGCTGGTACTCGAGTCAACCGTGGTCTAGAGAGTCAAACTACAAGGTAAAAGGGTCAATCTGTAATGATTACCATTATTCCTAGTGTTTAGTATACACAATAATAGTACAGGATCTCATGTATACGTAATCTACCAAACATAACGGTCGTCTACTTTCCGCTATGAACCAGCAGAGCCCGATGAACAGACTCCGCAAGCCACTGACGCTGCACTTCCGGAAAACATCAACCGGTTTGTACATATATACAGATACTGATCATAGACTGTATCTGGGAAAGCAATGTTCTTATCAATGTACGCAGAATCCAGTACTTCCTTACTTAGATGGCATAGCTTGTGCTGCTATGTTACCACAATTCATGCGTAAAAGAGTACCAACAATTACGGGAAACAACAGAGATCATACTGTCTGACGTCGAATATTTACGAAGACTAGGTGATAGATGCAGGTTCTGCCCCTCACTTACCAGGGATGATCTCACATCTTAATCGTCATCATGCAAAAGAGACCGCACAAAGTGATCATGTTCATATACACAGCAGAACAGCCAAGGTTAATTGAAAAAAGGAAAAGTCCTAAGCTTTGATGTTTCTCTCGAGTCTGAAGAAACAACGATTCCGGCAGCACTGTCTTTCTTAATGCTACAAGAAGGATGTCTTGATCTGATAGTATCGAGCAAGCCAAGAGAAGCCTTATAATGAGACACAACTTGCGTCCCCTCGATAAGGGAGTTCCTGTAATACAAGTGGGAGCTGAGAATATTATGATAGCGGATCGCCAGCTAGCTACAATGTTCTATTGTCGGAAGGATCGCTCATATGTCTGCCTCCTTGCTTGAGCGTCCTGAGGATATCGCGAATGACTGTCTTGCTGCAAGGAGATTCTTTTTTACTAACACAAAATATGCCCTAATTAGGCGAGTCTCGTCGCACGAAACACAGAGTCACCTCAATTACAACTATGCTGCACATGTAGACCTAGTACTGATCATCGGCGCCTAGGGTCTGTGGGTGGAGATTGTCATCACTGTGTGTGCCGGACAGGACATGGTACGTTTGATTAAAGGCCAGCAAGGAAGTGGGACGAACCATGAGGTGTGCCGGATCTTGGCATTGGGTCATTCAGCTGCTCTGTACTTGAACGGTGTTTTTTGCGTATACCTATGCTTAAGATGGAAGCAGGACATACGTGCGAAGGTATTGCTTATATGCGACTCATGTTTCAAGGATTGCCGGGTAGATCTCCTTGGCTGAATAGCTTGCCATTGGTGAATGGGTGCGGCGGCTGCCAATTTTCAGGGGGGATACATGGCTCATATACTCGCCTTTGCTGACTGTCGGGTGGACCATCTCTTCTCTACTATATAACACACGCCGTGTTCCTCTCAATTTCCTAAGCAAAAGCAGAAAGTTGATGTCTGACAGTGGACATGGTACATTACCCAGCATGTACGTGGCCACCGATGTGGTGCTCTTTATGAGAGGGAAAGACAATTGATACTTTGGGCAGAACACATGCGACCGTCACTTTGTGTCTGGGATTCGACACCTCTCTCAGTATGGTCAGCATCTCATAGCAATGATGATGGTGATCGTCATTATCCACAGCAAGATGCAGGAACTACACAGAAGACTTTAAGAGGACAGCGGCGAGGCCAGAGAGCCTTGAGCGTTTGTATCGAAAAGAGCCACTATACCACTGTTTCGGGACATGACTCGCATTGCTTCCAATCCCAGAGACTTGTCGGAAGCAAAACAGGATGGTTGCAAGCTTTCATGAGCAACCCAAGAAGTTTATACTTGCTGGATCATCAACACTTCACGAGCTGTTATCGGAGCGCTGTGAATGGTTGCGTCCAACCCTAGACAAACCCGGCGTCATTGTGACGGGAAACGCGTACAAAGACTACAAAAGAGTTTTTTCTGGGCGTGGTTCTTACCACCGCACCACTTACCAGGAGGCATTCTTTACCTGCAAGAGCCGTCATGCCCAATGCTTTCAATGCGTGAGATGGAGTTCCAGTGAACACTATGTCATCATAAGTGATGAGTAGTCTTTATGGAACGACGGAGGGCATCGCGATTCTCTACTGATGATGATTATCATTACTTGTTCACATATAAGAACGCATCGAGATAGATTCAGATTTGGAGCGGATATAGGCCATATCTGTGAGCACAACGGCAGAAGCACATTGCGAATCTCCAGACTGAGCGGAACGCCTTGGTGGAAGGGGTTGAGGAAGATATCACCAGGTATCTAGATGAAGGAAGTCAAGGGAAGGTGTAAGATGGTCTATATATCCCTTTGGGTAACCTGGTGACTGGGCGTATTTGTGCCGGGTGGGTCTCAGAAGACAAGGTATGCTTGTGATATAACTCTATTCACAGATCTCTGATAAGGTCTATTCACGTGAACATTACTTTCTAAGACACACCCTCCATGTCCTCTCCGCTTACGTGTACCAAAGCATATTCAAATATATAACTTCTTCTGTCGCCTTCTAGAGTGTTAACCTTAGAAGTCTCGCACTACTGTGCTAACTTAGGCTAGCATATCGTGCTAGTTTCTTCGAAAGTACGATGTTACTTATTTCTGTTTTGGCTGTCGCCCGTCAAGACGCTTATTACGTATGAGGGGCCTCACATAAATACAATGCCGATCTTCATCGTCTAATGATGCTGGTAAATAGTACACGCAGCGAACAGTGAGCAGCTGTATTATCATAGCTTAATGCATGACAGGTCTTGAGCGGTGAACGGTCACGTCGAATACTATATGGTATGAGCACAAGTGACTTAACCCCCTTTTCTTGGACCTGAAATTGCCGAGTAGAAACTACCATATGTAGTCACCAACTCACTCGTCTCGTGCGAGAGAAGCATATATCTACACATCTCCCACGAGTTCGACTCTGGCAAGTATAAATGTGTTTTAAGCTCATTCACTTAATACTTCCTTATACATACATGGTGCCCCCCACCAAACATACCTCAATGCGCGAATTCTCCTTCCAGGTAGACCCACCAGATCGAAAATGCGTACATGTCCTTATTCCTTTCGCTGTCTGGTCCAGAAAAACTTCTCCCAGGCGCTGCAGACGGAATCGTTCAAGCTTCGTGTTCGTGGTGCCTGTCCATCTTCCCTAAAGCAAGGAGAAAAGCACCGTGTAGTGGCAGGGCTGAGGAGCCTTGCGTTCACACTAAGGTATTTCCACTGAGCACGCTCACCTCCTCCTTACAATCCGTATAGTAGACAGAAGTTCATTATATAGTCGCTCTTGCATTGTATCGGCATATGGTTGGTTCATATGCTTAGTTATCCTTTGACGTACGAATGTATTGCATCGCCGAATAGTGCTAATAAGCACAGAACAACAACAACCACAAATACCCCTTACTAGCAAAACAGTTCACGATAACACCATCTTGTCTCAAACATCAGAAAACAACGTATAAGAACTGTGCCTAGTCAAGAAAAAAGCAAGACAACGCGGTATCTGTGACTCGCGACTGCATCATCATGGCCAGCGAACTCCTGAACTACCAACAACCCATTGACCTCTCAGACCAGTAATATACTTCCAATTGCCTAATAACATGCCGTCCCTTAGATGGTTCGCAGAATAGTATAATAGCATATTATAGCACGCAAAAAAAAGAAAAAAAAAAGACAATGAAGAGAGACCATACATGCGAAAGTCTCAAACACAGCTAGCCCTCTTCACAGAAACCTCTTGACAGCAACCCGGCAACCCCTCCACAAAACCCCTGAATACGATTCACCCACCATACCAAAGAGCGCCAGGTAATACCTATATATATATTTATATATAAGCCCCCAGACCCAAACTCCTTCCAAATCCCAAATTAGCAAAAAGCTTGACTACCAAGGTCTAGGAATATCTGTGATGGATGTGATGCCGGTTAGTCGGTCTAATATGGGGCCGTCTGGACTGGGGTTGCAGTGCTGATGATGTGTGGCGTTAGGATGGGGTGATGCTGATCGTCACTGCTCTCTCTATCATCATCACGTCTTACCCCTCCCTCGCGCGCCGCACACTAACTAGCTAGTATTGACTTATCTACAGTGCCCAAGTACACGAGGGTCTGTCTTCGGGTTTTCAGACGATCCAAGTTATAACAGCCGTGAAAGCGGATACCAATGTATAGATACGTAAGAATACAACGTTTAGCTTTCTTTCCCAAAAGCCCAAGAAAGCTTTACCATATAAACATTTAAAACAAAACCGAGTAGGGTTTGGTTAATGATTACTTTAGCATTTCAGAGTCTTAGAGTCTAGGTACAGGAGAATCATACGATGTATTCATATAGATTAAAGTTTTTCAGGCGAAAATTCACTATCATCGAATGTGTCTTCTCTCTCTCTTTCTCCCCTGATACAATAACCCTAATGCACACCCAACCCAATCCCATCATGATTGATTTGGATGGGATGGGATGAAATGTACATAGAGGACTTGCCCTGCCTTGATGGTCCGGTGGTAACTTTATTGAACAAAACATCAAACGACAAAGCAGGTTTGTTCAAAGGTGGTGGTGCTACTCCCAGTCAGCCTTAACAGACGTGGTACCGGATGGCTGGTAGGCAGGTAGGTACGCAGGTACGCAGAACGAACGGGAAGACATTAAAGGGAGACCACCAGACAGGCCTTGGTACAAAAGAACAGAACGAGACAGAACAGGCAGTACAGCACGGTATATAGGTAGAGTGGAGCGAATGTGAAAATACCCCTGAAGTCTGCTCTAAGGCCGACCGTCAGATGTACTCTACTCCACTGTCAAACATGACCCGAAGGGGTGGGCTGTGTTGCAGATCAGGCGGGGCTGCCGCCGAGATTTGGGGTCTGGGACTGAACGATGTGGCCAGGTCCATAGAAGAGCAGTACAGCAGCAGGCTGGAGCTCCAGGACCGAATGTCCCGATCGGGTAACCAGACCCGAAGATATTCTATTGTAGTTTGTAGATGACAGTCGTTTGTTGACTGAGTAGTTGCTATTCATCCGGATATGCAACAGTGGCTTTGGGGAAAATGATGAGCCGGCAACCCCCTCGGGGCCTGCCACCGAGTACTTTGTACGAAAGATGGAAGACGTCTGTTAGATGTCTTCCGGTGTGAACAAACATCAAAGAAGATGAGAAGGGTACACATGAGGTTGAAGTAAGCTTAGCTGTCATGTTATCGTACCTTGGTCGTGTGAACTGGAATTGAAGCTCCTGCGACCCTTAAATGAATCTAGATGGTTCCACATATACAACGGACGGTTGAACCGTGGTAGTCAGCCACAGCCACCTCGACACCGTTGCTGCACATAACCATAACCATTCAACAAGTAAACGATATTATCAGGTTCCTCAGTGAATGGCAGCCGTCCCGAGTACCATGTACGCTGAACCAGTACCTTGTTGTGGCAAGTGAAGAGAGGTTGGTAATGGCTCGGGTGGTGCTGCTATCGGGATCGAGTGTCGGTCCGTTCTTGACGTGCCTCGTGTCAGACACATGTCTTAACACCTCAGACGGACGAGACTTGTGAGTTGATGCAAGTCACTCAAACGTCGAAGGTCTATCGTCGAAGGTTATCGTCAAAAGTCTTCCCTTTGAGGACACGTGTCGCGACCAAGGGGAAGCCTCATAGCCCCAGGAAGCCTCCAACATCTTTGGTGTCTAAGATTGTAATGTACATCGCTGATCGATCTGCGATATGATCCGATGCGTCGCAACGAGCAAAAGTCTCGTGGAATGGCTGAGTCCAATATCTAGCACTTCTTTCACCTCCGAAGGTTTCGTTGCGCAGCGATTGCGTGGCCTCCGCCGAAAGCCGAACAAAGCTCGAGGTTGCTGCTGTGGTCGCGAGGATGTGTGAGATACACTGACGCAAGGAAAACATTATTTCCAGCCCAATATTGACCGACATCTACACCTCTACAGTCTCAACCACAATGGAGTCGTCTTTTGTGCATCATGAGTGCTGTTTGGTTGCTGAAAGAGGTGTGACGATTTCGCCCCGTCATAGGGACCCAAATAATCTCATACAGTAGTATACGGAAAACCCCGCACTACTCTTCCATGGCGAGTCGAAGCTCTAGTAAGACCGTTCTTGAGGTAATCCCTCTCCACAAAAGAGTGTGCTGGTTTGACGTGGCGGCCAAAGGAGTTGGTCGGCCTCGTGGTCTTGACTTTGTGGACATGTCGACAGCTGAGTGTGTTCCTTCGGTTGTAGCGATAGTGTACCAGGATTCGGCATCCCATTAACTTTGCTGACATAGCCACTGTACTGGCCATATAGAGCATGCATCGACGAGAGCACATCCACACCATGTACAGGTGATCATATCTCCCATGATTGGTGAATCAGGAAGATGGCGGATGAGGACTTGGTGTCGGGGTCGGGATACGAGGGTAGGAAGACGACAGGGTGATAAACCGCCCCAACAGCGAACAGTACAGTATATTGAAGTGATAGGGAGGTCTAGGAGGGACTGGATCGGAGTTAGGAGTGAGAAGTGGATTGATGGCTGACGGCTTAGAGTGTTGTGGCTCAGGTGGCTCGATGCATCTTTTCCAAGAGAGGTCGATCGGGCTGTCGGCATTGACGCTAGTGGCTCTGGATTGTGAAACGTCATCGTCCAGCAGTTAAGAGGTATGTCGCTGCAAGCTGGAGGGAGTCCAGATCTAATGCTCGCCAAACTGTAGACCAGGTCTTAGGAGACGCCGAGGGTACGTCGAGTGTTAAGAGGCGTCGCGATGCTGATTCGAAGGACTCGAACGAGCTCAGTGAGTGCCTCTCACAACTGCTCTCGCAGCAGCAGTCCCATGCCAAGCTGCAGTAGAAAAGAGTATGGATGGTGACTGAAGAGTGTGCGCGAAAGAATAAGGAATATGAGCCCGGGACGAAACGCGTTGAGAGAGGCGTGCAGACAGCAGGCTAATGAGGAGAGAGGGAGAGAGAAGAAAGGAGATACAGGAGTAAGGCGTCGCATGCATGCTTAATGCGTACGTAGAGTTTTTGATAGAAAAAGAAACAGGAGAGCCAAGATATCAATGAGATAGAAAGAGGAAGAGAGAGAGAGAGGGCGCATGCGCGCGTTGTACAGCAAACTTTGAAAGAGCGTTGTGAACTGACGTGACGTGACAGGGCGGCGGCGACAAGAACGAGGGGGGGCAGCAACAGCAGCAGCCTGGGGCAACGCTCAGAACTTCATGCTGCAGCCAAGACCGGCTCAAAGTCGGGCCCTGGGCACACGGCACACCAACAGCCAATCAATAGCGAGTGCTGGAGCCCGCAGGTCACATGATCAACAAGCGATGCACCGGTCCGTCCCACGCACATAGCGTTGTTTAGACCTCACCTAAACACTCCGCCACACTTGAAACTGCTGAAACCTCTTATCAACCAACCTACCCTGTTCATAATAATAAAACAGCCAACTATGATCAGCTGCTTATCGTGTGGAGACTGGGGATTGAGGAGCCGATGCAAGTGACCTGCTCCTGTGCCCCCCTCTCCCCGCTGCCCTACCTTATTACTACTACGACAATTACCTGTGCGCGCAGATCTTCTGTGCAAGGGGTTCGTTCTTTCATTCATTCATTCATTCATTCATTCATCCATTCATTCACAGTCCCAAGAGACCTCAGCTGGCAGAGCATGAAGAGCACGAAGAATGTAGCCGTGAGGCGCATGTGAGGAAACACTCGCCCGCTTTCGCGGAGAGTGACATGTGAAAGCGAAAAAAGGGCTTACGCCCACTATAATACCATACAGGAGAATAATAACACCAATAGGCGGCACCAGCTCTACCTACTTAATGGATACAAATCGCTCAGCACTGCTTGATTGACACCTGTCAATAGTAACGCCACATCTGTCGTTGCAGTATGGCTTGCTGGCAGTCTCCAATATCTGTGTTTGTTTGTCGCGCTACCAGGGGGTAATTGTTCGGATTCTCGTATGCCGTCACCGTTTGTGGGACGGTGCACTGGATTGAATCCAATGTGTTGTGATACTGTTGTGTAGCAGGCTGTTGTGGCGAGGTCCACGTATTGCTTGCGTAGATGTTGTCGTCCCTCCTCTCGTCAGACCTGGCGCGTTTCGTCTCTTGCCGTGCTCGGCGGGGCTTCTCGTCGTCGCCATCGTCACGCTCTCTCTTGCGTCTAGACATTGTTAGTCTTATGTCGTCATATGCCATACAAGACTCTTTGACTCACGAAGTTGATCCTCTGGTCTCCTTTCGGAGCCTCAGCTTGACACCCTGGTCTGCAAATGTGCGAGACATGGCCGTCGATTCTTCAAGGCCGGAGTAATCTTTGCTCGCAACGACTGTCCCGAGTAAGCTAATATGTCTTGCATCTTCTGTGTACAGGTAGCATACCCTTGAATGTATTGGAAACGACGTTCTTGACGAAGATGGTGGTGCCTTCGTGTCTGCCTAAGAATTAGCTACTAGTTTCTCGATGTCTAGTGTGATGACTTACGGCTTTGTCTCAAAAACGCTGAATAGCAGACGAAATCTTCCTTGTTTCCTGACAGACATGTCTGCAAAAACGAAGAATGCACTCTCTATCAAAGGTGGACAAGTCAGCTCAGACACACAGAGCTTTGCACACGTCCAAAGGCCACTGACCGTTGTCTCTGTTGTCTTTGAGGCGATTTATAGATGAAACGATGGTCCCCAGTAAGACAGTCACCCCTTTGCTATCCGTGACTGGGTTGAGTGAATGCTCTTCGACCAAGGTTGCCAGGCAATAAAGGTAGGGGCTATGAGTGTAGATCCTGAACAGTGTTAGATTAAAGTATGTGACAGAGTTGACATAACATACTGTTGAGGATCCTTGTCCGTCGGAAGAACCATTTGTACTACTGGCGGGGGATCGATCGGTTTGCGCACTGTGGAGGGAGCAGTTAGCCGGAGTACGTAAAGGGGGAACATAGGTGACCTACTCTTTTCTTTACCTAGCTGGGTTACCAGAGCTTCCCTGGGCTGTTGCACGACGGTGAGTTGGATGGAACTGTTATATTTTACCAGGTCAGTGGGAGAACTCGGCTGGTGATGTTGTGTCTGTGAAGAATCTTGTGGTGTATACCTCTCCAGTTGGTCCATAGGCGGATTTTGAATCGTTATCGTGTCTGCCGAGTAGAGATAAGAGGGCGCGGATGGGTCACTAGGATGCGGAGGATGGATGATGGTATAAGGGGGATACTGATGCTGTGGCGGAGGATCCATATTGAGAGGTAGAAAATAGTGGGTAGTTATGTGATTAGAGAGATGAGACGTGTTGCTGGCTGGCGATGCCTGTTCCTTGCGATCAAGGTGTAGGAGTGTCAATATTATCAAAAGGCTACGAAGAGTTACACGGTCGAAAGTCGCAAGAGCGGGTACAGCGTCCTTTATGCTGTAATCTGACAGGAAGATCCAGAGCCACCAAACTCGCTTTCCAGTCGTCCAGTCCAGTTGTCCGGGCGTCCAGTTACGTGTCTAGCAGTCCGCGTCCTTGCTGAAATGCGATACTATCGCGTAAAATCGTGACGCATTCGCTAAGTCCCAAGTTATCAACGCCGATGCGGTGCGGTACGGTGCGGTGCGGAAGCGGTTCCACCTGCCCCTCCACTGTTTGGCACCAGCAGCGCTGCTGCCCGTGATGTGTTTGTTGGAAGAGACTGTAGAAGTCTACCACGGAGATGTACTTCCAAGCTTGCCCCTCCTCTTTGAACGAAGGTGGTTCAAAACTGCTGTGTCATCCACAGCAGGTACATGAGTAGGAGGCTCAGGGTTCACGCCCTGGGCGTTGGCATTCTACACAAGCGGACTGTCGCGGAAGTGCGCCACCCAAATGGAGTGAATCGAGCTCGATACTCTTCTCGTAATGTGTTTGGAGCTGGTAGTGAATCTGAATAGAATGTTTGAACGGGAATGATATTACTGCGATCGTCGCAAGGTTTGAAAATGGTCAAAGGCCGTTAGACGAGTGAAACAGCGTGTTAGATGCTGAATCAGCGCTCGAGAGCTCAACGAGTCGCTGTCAGGCTCGAGCTGATTGCTATGCAGAAGTTGACACTGCACAGATGGAGCAGAGCAGAGCAGGCGCGAGAGGTGAAAATGGCAACGGCAAGAAGCTCAGAGGTCTAAAGAGCAGCCTCGAGCTTTGAGAAGTAATAGCAATGTACCCCACTAGTGAATAGGTTTTGGAGCTGACTCGACTTGGCAGCGATCCTCGCAGTAGCCAGACGTGTGGCTTGAGCACAAAGGAGAAGCCTGGATTGGATGAGTGAAGGTTCGGAAGCCGGCTAACGGTGAGGAACACGGGGCACTGTAGGAGAAGGCAGATGGTGTCGTCAGGCACTCAGGTCGAGAATGATGTAGGGCGGGAGTCTGTGTGTGTGTGCTTGTCTCTGTGCGTGTGCGTGTGGGTGTGTCTGTGTGTGTGCTTGTTTGCGTGTGTGTGTGTGTGTGTGTGTGGGTGTGTGTGTGTGCTCAAAGGGCGGCTAAGGTAGTGCCCCAAAAAGTGAGAGTCGCTGAAAAATGCTGCCCAGCGAAGGAGAAGTTTGGGTCGAAGTGAACCCTGGCACCCACGAATGTATAAGGAATACGAAAGCCACTCAGCTCTGTGTCTTTCGATTAAAGCTCCGGAGCGATCTGGGAAGAGCCAGAATTGATGATGAGTAGAGGTGATCGTTAAGACCCACAGCGGCACTGCAGTCAGATGAGCGTCTGGAAGGATGTCAACATTGAAGTGAACGAGCCGACCGGGAAAGGGACCGGGCGGAGCAGAGTGGAGTATACGGGCAATATCCGGTAAGAGCAAGTTCGCTATCGTAATGGCATCTGTTATAGCAGGAGTGTTTGCAGATAATAATGACCGAGACTGTTGTTAATTGAAGCTGTTACAGCGAGTACTGCTTTTTTCTGCCCCTTGAGAAGTGAACAGGGTGCAGTAAGTCAGTGCCGGCCCAGTGTTTGGGCAGCGTAGTAGGCTCACAGTGCCAGAATTGGCCAGTGGCAGCGGAGAATTTGGCCTCTGCAGCACCAACCAGCGTTCGCAGCAGACTCTGCTCTAAACACTCTCCACCAAATCTGCCAAATCTGCCAAATCGCGAGGCCTGTCTTCTTCAACTGCCCGTCGTACTATTTGTTGGTAGATCCGGTTCGCTACCAGACTTTGAGCCACCGGCTGTCACGATTCACCACCCCTCTTCGCCCTATGGTCGGGCCTGTCAAATGAAAGCACACCTACTATCTGACTATCACCTGTCAAACTACCCCCGAAGCAGTCGAGTAATCAGCGCTCTAATATCCCCTCTCTTCTCTCGTTCTTGCTGAGTGCTACTGCGATGCTTGGTCGATGCGCGCACTGGAAGACGGATGAATGCTATGATGTGTACCTCTCAATCACCCTTTGCAGCGACTGAATCGACTGCGCAATTGTCTTGTCTTGCTCCTGAAGATCTGCAATGAATATAAGCGCACGTCGTTGTATCCCGACCGAGCGGCGACGCGAATTCGAAATCGCCCTCTCAGCACGCTTGAAAGTAGACGAGCGCGGAGCAATAATGGAGGCAAAGATGGCCGTCAGTGTAGTAGAACTGGCTAGTCTAGCAGACTCGATTATCTCCGATATCAATAATCATTCAAAAGGAAAAGGCTAATGGATGGAATCGGAACATACGCCGGCAGCCAACGTCCGATGAGAGGATAAGAAATCTACGACAACGACCGCCTGGCTAGTGAAGTGCTGAGAAGGGAGATAGTAGAAGAGGAAGAAGACGAAGACGAAGGCGAAGCACAACCCTGCCGCACTTGAAAGCACGAGGGGTTCCCTGACAGGAAGAGGGTTAATCAGTCTTATTACGAGTGTGTGTGTGAGTGCCATGTGCAGCGATATACTGCAGCATGGATGGATGCTTGCACAAGCGTTTCTGCTCCTGGTCTTGCTCCCTCTCCCTCCTCGTCCTCCCTCTCCAACGTCCTCCCCTCACCTTTGAAACCTAAACGTTAGTATGGCGGCATGGCCGTAGGTGGATGCGCTGCGCCCAGTCACAGTACGATGAGCGTGAAGAGGCTAGCAGTAGTAACAGCAAGCAATAGACTCCACCGCGAACTGATATGCAGCACTACTTCTGACTACTGCTGCCAGCCCTGCACGCTTCAGCACCAATCCGGCAGGGATCGCCGCCACTTTAACCTTAACTATGTACAGACGCCCCCCGAGGTTTGTGCCTCTTCAGATGCTTCATTTATCCATCCTTCTTCCATCTTGTATAATATCGAGAGCTTTCAGTCCGCGCTCGCCTCAGCTCTCTGTCATATCCGCCCTTGTCAGAACATGATTGAGAGACGTCGCTATTGCCGACTGTTTTGCGGCCGTAAAGTCCGGCGGGCCACACAGACTCGCCTAGAATTGATCCGTGCTCGTGGCTGGCACTTATCGATTGAGCTTCACCACCACCACCACCATCACCAGCCTCCACTCCTTTTGGTCCGCAAGTCCCGGGGCACTTAGGCCATAATTGCCCAGATACATTGAAAGCGACATCAAGTTTATTGACCGACAATGCTCGATTCTATTCTCAACAATATCCAGAAAGGCGCCATGACGATGCCCACCTTGCCTGCAATGTCAGCCATTGAGCATATCCCAGGGCATTCGGCCAGGTTGAGAGCGAGTCAAGCTTAATTGCTCTATCACGGGAGATGGCCATGATGTTCCACAAACGGCTAGCCACATATTCATGTGTTCACAGCGTGCGCTGTGTTCCACAGACATGCGTCACGAGGGGCAATTCTCCGAGTCGTCAACATCTTCTGCTCTGTCCTCATCAAAGTGCGTGCGGCATCAACGTCTATGAATTCAGTCAGAGTCTCTGGCTTGTCTGGGTGATTCCATGTGGATGTGCAACTTTCGATTGCGAATCTCTCGCAGTTCATTGGGTACAGGACTCGACCCAAAACGTATGACGCCACCACCATTACGACAGCCTTGCAACCACTACGTTAAGACACATCATTCCAACATGGAAAATATCATGCCGCCTTCGACAGAGTAATTGGCGTGGTGTACTTACTACAGCATAAGCCCAAGAGGTCCGGCTTTGCAGGTATTACCCATGGTCAACCATCGTAAGACCCTACGAGGATCAACCCACTCGAAAGATAAACGGATACTTGTAACATTAGAATGTCGCTTTTCGTGAGGACTGCCTCCAGATAGGGACCTGCCTAGCCTAGCCAGGCACAGGATGTACTCGCATACAAGTCCAAATCTCGACAGGAGGAACAGCAGCTGATCTGTCCGTTACCAATTCGAGCCGATGCACATGGAATGATGAATGTATCCGAGCGCTACCAGGATCAGCTGCAGCAGTTCGCCCCTCAGTTTCCTCTGCAAGAATGCAGAATCCTGCAGCCATAAAAACTTCCACCCTCTTTTGGCAGCTTCGTCCCTGCGCCTCAATGGATCTACGCTGAGCCCCACTTCTTCGTTTCAACGTTCAAACACAGCAGCTAAACGTGGCTGTTCCTTTCTTGCACCAGCCACTCATCTATTCCACTCGCTGCATTCTCACGACCATCAAAGCATCAAAACTGGTCCAGTATGTACCTAAATTACTTACGACGCGTCGTCAGCCATGTGGTAGCCTTGCTCTGGTAACACCTGAATTCTGTACTGTGGCAGCATGTGAATCGGCTGCATACGTCGTCCAAGGCCCTCACGAATCATAGTATCTCTAAAGCTCTAGATGTCCCGTGCCTTCGAGACTCTGCTTCCAGGTACTGCGGTATAACCTCGTCTCTGTCCGACTGTTACGCCTCTTTGATTCAGCACCTCATACAACCGCAGTCTTGGCTCTCTTGCATCGTTCAACATTTGCAATAGAATTCGAAAACCACGATATAATTGCTACCTCATGTAGAACGCACACATATTTTAGTGTTGCTCATCCCCAATCTAGGCTAGCGCTCTGAACCCTTCAGCTTCCTCTAACCGGCGACTTCAGGCTGGCCTTGGCCTTAGTGAAAAACGTGCTGCGTCCAGTCTAGGACAGGATACCTCCCGGCAACCCGCGGCTTCTAGAGAGACTGTCCTGGCCAGCAATAATGGCTCAGCCTCCTTAGTACGGGTCGAAAAAGTG